GGTGAGTCGTCGAGGTACGAGGGGACATGTCGGAAACCCTGCCATTATTGTCACCTTTGCTGCATCTGGAGCGAAAGTACTCGAATGCAATGACGTCTCGGGCGGATAGGCGTCGGTGGCTTGAGGAATGAATGCCGATAAGGTCGTTTGGTATGGTAGCAGAAACAGAGCAAGAGCATGCCAGTCGGAAACTGGAAATTCGCTGTCGTGAAAAAGCCCACTGTCCGAGTCGAAGGTGCATTGTCGCACTGGCAAAGTTGCCAAATTCCTAGGATGCAGGAAGCTTGAAGGGCGATTTTGTGGAGTCGATCTCAACAGATTGTGGGGGCGGGAGTCCAGATGTCCAGATTCGCTCAATTGGCATCGAGTCAGCTGTTGTAGATCTCGCCGCCAGTGGTCTGGCATGGGAAAGAACAGCTCCCATCTTTGACTTGTAAACACGAGCACATGTAGGATGGCCAATATCGAAGAGTCAGAACATATTGACCGCAAAACCGATGTTTACTTAGTTTCAAACACCCAGGCACCTTGGAATCGTCGTTGGATACTGCGTAGATGTGGAACTTGATTCGTCGCTATATCATGGCCTTTAACGAACACCCCTGGCAGCCGAGACTTCTAGAAGAAACTCTGATTGATGATTGACAATGATGCGTCCTCGGACCATTGCTCTTTCCAGTCTGCCTCTGGATAAGATGGGAAAAAGAGAAGCATTGCAGGTGATGAGATGAACGATCATGCCAACGGCAGATCATCCAGACAGACAGGCAGACGCTGAAAGGCGGTGATGCAAACATATGGATTGGATTGTACCCAGCAGTCGTGATTAAAGCGAGGTTGAAGACGCCGTCTGACGCCCAACTGGTGGGCCAATGGCCGGACTGAAGGAACGGCAATGGAAACACTAGGGTGTCGATGCCATGCTAGATTGGATTCGGCCGTCTGAACTTCCGGGGATCGACATGAATGGCCAGCTGCAGACCCAGACCATCATGGTGTGTGGCATTACAACAACCAACCACAGCAAGCGCCTATCATTCGCGGCCAGGGGACCAAATGCTATCGAATGCGTAATCGCCATGATCAACCGCAGGTAACAGTTTGAGTTCATGGTTGAGGCTTCATACCGCATTGCTAGCTAATGGACTTCCCGTTCCCAGATTGATGCGAACCATCCGGCCAAACCAGCCCGAGCCTGTCATGAGTGGGCGGGACGGCAACTGCAGACCACAGACAGTTTGGATATGGCCAAGATCCCCAGACCGATGATATGATCTTCAATCTGTGGCACTCGGTGAGGTCAAGGTTGAGCAAGGATATGGAAATTTTCCCCGGCCAACATCGAGGAGTCGGTCCCTGGCGGAGTCTGATCTTCGCCTTTCGAGATAATTGCCAATCGGATTGGTTGCAACGAGCAGAGTTGATCAGATTATTGGCGCACGTTGGCGCCAACAAAACCCAGGCACTTCGTCAGAGAGCTGCGAGTGGTGTCTATACAGGTGCCAGTTGATGGTACTAGCAGAAGCCCTACCCCATTCATGATCTTCGCTGCAGAATCATGATAGAAGGTGTTGTCCATGGTTGCCCCCGGCGAGGCCGACGGCTGGACACCATGCATTAAGACGAGAGTAGAAAATCGGGACGATGAGGCATGGAATCCCGTTCGAGCCATTTAAGCACTTTGTCAGGAATGGATGAATTGCCAGTCCCGCCGGCCTTCTGGAGCATTCGATCTTCAAGCGCCCAAGATCCGTTTTGTCCACGACCAACGTGTTTGGTGGGTTTTCTCCAGATTGTTAAGCGGAAAAGGAGACCCGCCGTTGAGAGCTGGCGAGCGCAGCAGAACATGTCGTCTCGCCGCGTCTCTTATTTAGAGTCAAGGCGTGTCGTTGACAGCCATGACGAATGGCTCCATCTGTGCGACATTAGAGTCATGTCGAGAAACAAGATGCAAAGACTAGTCAGTGGCTTGTAGATAGTAAGTTTATACACTATGGCAGATGCGAATTAGCGCTGTCCCAGGTGCTCGTTACCCTGGGCCCGTGTGCTGTATGTGTGAATCGGGTCCTGGAGCCATCGACGGGCTTGACGGGGTTCAGCGCACTTTCCCATGGTCCAGGTAGGATGGCCCGGCGAGTCACTAGTCTGCTAGCAAGGTGTCAGTATCCAGGGACGTCTGGGGTCTTGTCAGCTGATGATGTGATGCCAGAATCTGAGTCGCGATGAAGAAGATCGCCATCCTAGCTGCCAACAAAGGTTTTGGATGGATATGTCGTCGAGTCCCGGCAAGCCTGGACAACATCGGTCGTCCCTTGTTTTCTGCCGCCTCTTTTGGCCTAGGGGCAAAGAGGAGACCGGGTGTGGTGGGGCCAGCTGCACGCTTATCTGGGAAAAGGCTGATACCGAAATGAAATTGCTCCACATCGTTAGCGATGTTTCAAGGGGATTTTGAGCCTCGACATGGGGAGTCTGGGACATGCAACCAGGTGGACCATGACTTTTGTACAATGACACACGAGAGGCCAAACACGATGCCATATCCTCGGGACTGTGGTCTCGCTCCCGAGACTAACGAGATGGGTGGGTTGTGCATAGTCCAATCCATCCTCAATTCTGCATACCTCGTATGTCAACATTGTGGTGCCATGAGACGAACATAACCCATCAGTTTCGGCACCTTGTGCGATCGCATAAAAAATTACGTAGTGCAAATATCGTTCTGGGCTTCCGCAAAGAAAGGGAAATGCTCCGTACCATAATGGGCTTCAGGCCTGCCCGCGCCTGGCGGCTGCAGATGGCAAAGAAGTGGCCTCGTTGTTTCAATTGCACACCTAGGCAGCACACAGCCGACTGGATGCTCGTGTGGCCTCGGCCGTGGTCGATAGAATGGGTCCCAAACTCGGGATCGCATTTGCAAGTGGAATCACACAGCCATGTCGTCGTTGACCTAATTGGAAACAGCCTCTTGAGCTTGTTTCGACCGAATACACATCAAACCAAACAAGTTGGGATGCCCACCGTCACGACAGAGCCGCAACTCGTCCCAAGCATTCATAGCGTTCGCATTGACGTAGCTTGGCGACCTTCCTCGGTGGGCCCGTCCATTTTGGGACTTTGCGAGACGATACTCCCTGAAGAAGCATGAAGGCAAGAAGGGGTACCGCAGCTGCTGGTACGTACAGTTTTTTCTTTACTTTTTCTTTTTAGTAGGGCTACCACCTCGACCAGGTTGGCACCGGCGGGCTGCGCAGGACCAATAACAACCCCTGTCGATCCCGTAAGCGCGGATTTTTGTAACACCTTGAAGCAACGTCCTTACAAACCTCCCCAGTTGTCAAACGTCAAACACAGACCTTTGGGACCCATTCTGGTCGGCCTCGAACGACACACAGCTCGAGCGAGACTCGTATGGTACCCCCTTTCCTGCCTTCTCACCACCCGTTTCCAGAGTAGCCCTCGAGTCGCATCCATCCAGACCACCTCCGCCGTGGACTCGACCTGATGGATTGCTTGCTGTCAAGTGCGAAGTACCTACTCGACATCGAACCCACAGCCGTCAACATTGCCAGCATGCTATGCCACTCTGCCTTACCCATTGCGGCCCCGCTAGTGATGGTACGTCGGTTCTCGGTGCTTAACAACACGACTCGCTTGGGAAATATTCTCGACAAACATGCCCTCGTGCCCAAACAGCTCTCTGAGTCTTGACCTGATCCATCGCCCAAACTTCACGATTCGACACAGTTTGTGCCAGGTGGACTTGCTTGCAAAGAACAGAAGAGAACAAAGCAGGCAAGACAAATCAGAGACGAACCCGAGAGAGCCGAGAAGACTGAGGGGCAAGTGTTTCTGGTCCTACTTTGGCGGCGACAAGACGATCGCCCGTGGAGTCCTATTCCGCGTCCGCCACTTGTTTGGTATCATGTGCTACTGCTACTACCAGAGTGTACCGCGCGCTTGTGGCTTCTTATGTTTCCTTCACGCTCTTTTCTCTTGTCGTTTTGCCCACTTTTCTCCCGGCTTTAACAGCGACGGCTAACAGCAACGGCCAACAGCACGGTGGTCTTGGTCTAGTGGACAGACAGGCTTCAGCAAGATGAGTGGCAGATGTCACCATGGCAGCTTGGGCCAGCCCGCCGGTATGCGGGTACTTATCAAAGCACCAAGCTTACGTGGCCCGGGATGGTATATCCAACGTTTACTGCAAAAAACAGTAATGAGATTCCCCTTCTACGTCTAGGTCTAGGAACGCACGTCCCTATCGCCCACGACTCGAGGTGGCCCGTGGTTCAATGTTTTGGATGGTGCAAATGGATTGGCAGACGGGCGGATCCAGCCAAGATTATGCTTCTCATCTTGTCACGTCCACCCCATCTTTCCCAGGGTCGCCCGTAAGGTTTGTAACAAGGCCACTTGTTGCGGTGTGGATACTAGCAGCCCACCATGGACCCCGGCCCCTGTTCGTTCTGGGTCCTGGCGCGCCTGGATGTGTCTCTGTCCGAACATGTCGAGGCCACTAAATGGGATGCACATATTACTACCCCCTCCCCTTCTCTCTCTGGTGTATTCTATTCCTCCTCTGTCACACCACTTGTGTTATAGTCTATATCGGTCACGACGTTGCTGCGTGCCTCTTCTTTTCCTTTCTTCGCAGCTAGCGACCACTTTCTTTCACTGCCCAACTGGCTTGGCTGCTTACATTCTTTTGGAAAGATATACGCTTCATCACCGGTGTAATTCGGTTCAATATATGACCACTTTCTTCCATCCGTGTTTCGTTTCTGGTTCATCAAGACGGTACCTTGTTTCGACAACATAGTCAAAAGTCCCACGATAGCCACGTTTCGATAGCTTTTCCAAACATATCACCTTTTATTCAACCCCTTCGATTCTTCAAGCAGCTAGCTCTGCTCCCATTTGCGACGAACGATATTTTTGATTCTTCGGCCGCACCGTCACAACGTACCAATATGTCTCCCCCAATGCAGCTCACCGGCCATATGAACGTGCCGTACGCTCCCACGAGCGATGCTCTCGACCGCCACGATTATGGGATCTCCAAGCACCGCAAGCTGGCGTCGACTGGTGGAGGTAGAGCATGGAGCGAGGACGAGGTAAGCATGAACTTCTGCACGCCATTGGGCCTGCAGCATGGACTGTACCGTTTTGGCAAAAAGTTGTGTGCTGACACGGATGTCGAAACTAGGAGGTCTACCTTCTCCAAACTCGTCTCCAGAAAATGCCATATAAGCATATCGCTGCTCATCTGAAAAAGACTGAGCTGGCTTGCCGCCTGCACTATCACCAGTTGAGCCACGGCAGCAACCGCCGCAAGCGTACTACGTCGGTTTCGTCCAACTCTTCTGCTGGCCACTCCCCCATCCTGTCTGCCGCCATCCCGTCTCCGATTCAGGAATGCTCCTCGCGTGATTCGTCCCCGCCAGGAAGCGCCGGCAGCTATGGACCCGGATCTCCTGGCCCCGTCCAGCTCCCCAGCATCATGGGAAGCACGAGCACAAACACGTCGCCCAGCTTGCCTGCCATCCTCCCCAAGCCCGCTGCCATGAACTTCACGGCTGCCCACATGTCTCCCGGGTATCCCAGCGCTGGCATGCCTGACACTAGCCGAGTGTTGGGCCCGTCTCTGTTCCCTCACGCCACCCCTGTCGCCCACGGTCTACCTCTACGCCTTGATTGCTCTCTCCCACCTCCCTCGATGCACGTGGACCTTTCCCGCCTGCATTCTATCTACGCCGCCCACCGGTCTTCATTCTGGAGTGGCATTGCCGCCGACTACGGTGGCGGTGTGAGCCCCATCGTTCTGGAGCAGGCTTGGAAAGCCAGCGTCACCAGTGGTGTCCACACCCCCATTACCCCTGCTACTAGCCCCAATGATCGCGAAGTCTACGAAAAGCCGGATAAGACGCGCATCAGCGCCATCCTTGGCATCGACGCCAACCCGAGAAGCCCCAGGGAACGCGAGATGGTGCGAAGACTGGAGGAGGAGCGGAGCGTCGGTGTCATCGCCAGCGCGTAAGCTTCTGTGGTCGGCCTTTTGCCTGCGCTACAACCCGCAAGTACAGCTTGACATTCGAAAACAAGGGGGATGCAGTGTAGCTGGTGGGATGATGATGTTACAGGGGATATTATTTGGTGCACGGAAACAGATTCTCACCTCCTCCCCCTCACCCCTTGCCCAAGTGCCGACATCATTTATATCATGATAGCCGCGGGGCACTGATGGCGCCTTCTGTCATCCAACTTCCACAACGCAGTTAGAGAGCCCAGGTAGCCTGCCTACAGCAGATCTCAACTGAATACTACCGTCTTTCCCCATGGCACTTTGGGGCGTTGATTCCGGTCTCCAGTACTTACTTCGCTTCGCTTTGTTCATCTTTTAACCGTTTGTTTCTTTTTTCTATCTTTACGCATGACTTTAGAGCACATTTTTGTTGCAACGGAGTTGAGGTCAGGAGGGAGGGACGGGAAGTATGGCTTGGCTTCCACATGATAGATGACAGACGCATGGCTTCACCCTATCCCTACTCCTACTCCTGTGGCCATACGGCGCGAGGAGGTATCATCTATGTCTATTTGCTGTGACGCAAGGAGACTTCCTTGATGACATTGATGACATGACGGAACCACGATGATATGGAGGACGGCATGATATGAAAGGGCAGGGCAGGACAGACTTTTTTCTTGGGAGCATGCATGCTCGAGTCATGTATTGGATTGTGGGCAAATGGTCTTGTATTCAAAGTGTCATCATCTCTGGAGAGTCCAGAGAGAAGCAAAGGGCGGCCATAAGGGCCTTATATAGTCAGAAATGACTGATGCCTGCCCCACAGCCAGGACTTGTGTGGTTCAATGGGTAGAGGTCATATTGACCCATACTTCGTACGGTTTGCGGCTTTACTTTTCTCCTTTTGACTTGGCAGTCTTGACGGAGTAGCCTTGAAGGTCCAACACACCCCCTTAGGGCTGCACCCTGGGTGTCAGCTCTATACGAAAAGGAGTTCTCAAGGTTTCAGAAGGCATTCTGTTGTTTCTCCTGTAACCTATATATGTCCCATACATCATGGGAGAATTAGAGAAATGTAAGGAAATTTGGGCAAGCAATATGGAAAGGAATATGTCAGGGACTTGGCGATAGTATCCCTCTGCTATTCTTCAAGTGATCAGAGGCTTGTAGCGATAGCCGTAGTTGTGGCTGGGTCCTGGCCTTCTAGCCGCATCTCTGGTGGTGACGGCACTAGATTCAGCATCTGAAGGAATCGTTGGTGCTGCTGGGGCCTTAAGGCCTTGGTAAGTCCATCCGCGGCGACGTTGGCTGACTTCTGGTAAGTCAAGTCCATAGTGCCTCTCTGGTATTCCTGGCGTAGCCAGTGGTTGTGAATATCGATGTGCCTTAGCTTCGTCTGTAATTTGGCGTTTTCTTCTACAATAAGCCGAATCGTCTGTTTGTTGTCAACCTCGATAGTTAACTGTTCATCCAGATCGACGCTCAATTGGTGTAGTTGCCTTTCAAGGGCTATAGCTTCCTTGACGGTGGCTGCCACCCCCTTGAGCTTGGCCTCCTTACTCGAGGTGACTACCGTATCTTGCTTACTGGATCGCCAAGCTATCGGTCCGCCGAAGAGCTTGATAACGTATCCCATAGTGGACTTTCGGTCAGTGTGGTCCCCAAAGGACGCATCACTTGACACTACGAGATTACGGGGCTGCTGGCCATCCTGTTCCTCCGGGCTCATAACTATTGGATTGTGGGCAAATGGTCTTGTATTGAAAGTGTCATGATCTCTGGAGAGTCCAGAGAGAAGCAAAGGGCGGCCATAAGGGCCTTATATAGTCAGAAATGACTGATGCCTGCCCCACAGCCAGGACTCGTGTGGTTCAATGGGTAGAGGTCATATTGACCCATACTTCGTACGGTTTGCGGCTTTACTTTTCTCCTTTTGACTTGGCAGTCCTGACGGAGTAGCCTTGAAGGTTCAACATCATGATGATCAACAAGCCAACTTATGTTCACGGGAAATTTTGGACAATACTGCCTTCTCGCTCTGGTGATGTATGGCCCGGATTTTGTTCGGCAGATAAATATAACGGCGAATCGGCGTCTCAGAAATAGTCTATCCCATGTGGCATTGTGAATACCCTCGATGTGTTGATGTTGTGGATATTGTGGTGGTCTGTCAAGCCGGCGTTACGGTACCGGAGATCGGTGACTCGAGTACTTGTGAGCCTCGACCCTAAGAACGAGATGGGAGCGAGTACCGAAGGGCCACCCATGATCTTTGGAAATCACCTGAAACATCCACGTGGACAAGTCCAAGTAAGTGAACATAAAAACATACCACATAATAGGCAAGTATCCCCGACCCAACAGCCGAATAAGACTGCGGGTACAGGAACCTAGCACCACCCATCGTCATCTCTTAACTTCATAGTTTCGGTGCCTCGTCTGAACTTGGGAGGGCTGAAAATCAGGCGATCGACTCGAAACCGTCTCTGGCTCTACCCCGCCCAAACCTGGCGTTTGGTCTGATGAAGCAGTTCGTTTTATGCGTTCGGGTAGATGACGTGCGCGTTTGGTCTGGGTGTCTATTTTTATAAGTAAGGGTGTCTGTGGGATGGGAAAATGTTTTTCTCGTGCGCCGGGCCAGACTTCGGGATTGTCAATACGTAGCTATTGATTTCGAACATCCAGCCCGGGAGACAAGGCTGACTGCTCGTACCTCGGTCCTTCCAGGCTTGCCGTGTGGTTATGAAGACCTAGACCCTGGTAAGCTGCTGCAAAGACGGGGTTTTTTTGGATTGAGCCACCGATGGGAAGTCGGTGCCAAGCTTTGGACGGAAAAGGCAGTTATTTACATTCTATACTGAACCTGCCAGGCTTGTACCCCGCGTCGACTACAATCATCCACTTGCACGCCGATACGAACAAGGGCTATACTTTTCCGACGGACCCAGTTCCAAGTTCACACACGTCGCCAACTCTACCTACCATGGGGTCATTTACAATTACGCGTAACAGTTCCATGAATCGATGCCAATTAGCTTGAAATATCCTCGGAGAATTGGGTCTGACTTTCAGTTGAGCTTCTCACCTTGACGCTCACTCGCCACAGGGAGTTGACGACAACGTTGACAACAGAGCATGCCCACATTTTCTGGAACGGCTTCGGGATAACCCCTGGTCTCGGATTCCTCGATTCTATATCCACATTTTGCGCGGCCGCTCTGCATAACAAGCCCGAGACATGATCACATGGTTGGCAATACACCCAGTATGTCTTCCGAAGCCGGTATGATGACGCAAATACTCTCGATGGTTTGTGTCGTCACGGTACATGCACGGTGGATTCCGCTGCATGGGTCACTTGAAGCCCATGCTTCAGGAACGCACAGTATTAACTTCTTTCATGTCTCTCTGGTGTCTGGCATGGCTCCAAAGTATAGGTCAGCATATTCACGCAGCATCTAGCATATTCTATTGAGTCTAGTGGTCAACCCTCACTGGTCTATGGTGAATCTAACAAGCCGAAGCAAGCATCGAATACGGCCACGTAAATTAGTGATTCACTAGTACATGCAGCTCCGCTCTCCACTCCACCCTATGTGTGTCTCCCCGCGCACTAACAAGCCAATCCGGGCTTTTCCATATGTATTAGGCGCCTATTGAGTGTAGGGTTCCATCCCGAGCTCGGTCAGCCACATCTCGTGTTATTCGATTGGACATCTTCTAGGACCTCAAAACTCCCATCGAGAGTCTTCTCACCCCTGAGGAACATCCTGTCTCACTACTGCCCATACCTTCAAAATAGCTGAATGAGCTCAAGTTACTACGTCCAAAGTTCTGAAGTTTTTCAGTCAGTCTCCTGGCAGCGAGCAAATACCCCGCAACCCCCGGAAAACACCTACCCCGCAGCCTGACCCCGAGCCATTGTCCCCCAGCCATCGTCCCCCGTCTTCTCCGGACAACAGTCTTTGAGGTTGCAAGTCGCGCCAACTAGTCCCGGGATCCAGGCACAATGAGTGACGTTCACGAGGACGAGGGTGCTGGGGTGATTGATCCCAAATCGGACCCCCAGTACATTCAGTTCAAGTGTCTGCCTCTTGGCGGGGCGTTGAACAGGTGGTCGCATAATATCACCAGGGGGCATGACTTTCCTGGTGCCCAGGTACGTTTTGTCATTTCTAACCATGCAGTGTATAGGCGTAATGGCACGCAGGATGCACCATGGGTGTGGCGGCTGGCAGTGTCTTGAACTCGCTTAGCAGTCACTAATGGGCCTATGTTGGTAGGCAATGCTCTACGGAGCGGGAGTACCAAATGAACAGATGATGAAAAACGCGCCGCAGGTGGGAATTGCGACGGTTTGGTGGGAAGGCAACCCATGCAAGTGAGTTACCAACTTGGGCGTATTGATATTGATGAACTGACTGGCGCAGTACACATCGTATGTCCTGGCAAACTGGCCCAAACACAGATTGAAAAACTGATCAGCGCAGTTCTTGAATTTGGCAAAATAGTCAAGAAATCGGTTGAGAAGCAAAACATGCTAGGTTGGCAGTATAATGCTGTAGGTGTCTCGGACGCCATCACCATGGGCGGCGAAGGTATTTCTCACCCCTGAACCCAGCACGGCAAACTCATACTGACGCTTCGAAAGGCATGCGATACTCCCTCCAAACCCGTGATCTGATCGCAGATAGCATCGAGACTGTCACTTGCGCGCAACATCACGATGCCAATATTTCCATTCCCGGCTGCGACAAGAACATGCCGGGCGTCATCATGGCGGCAGCTCGCCACAATCGGCCGTTCATTATGGTCTATGGCGGTACGATCCGCAAGGGGCATTCCAGTCTCTTGGAGAAGGATATCAACGTCAGCACCTGCTACGAGGCGTCAGGCGCTTACGCATACGGCCGCCTGAATGCCAAGTCCAACCCTGGCACTCAAGGGCGAACACCGAGCGACGTCATGACAGATCTCGAACGCCACGCGTGTCCTGGAGCGGGTGCGTGCGGCGGCATGTACACGGCGAATACCATGGCCACTGCAATTGAAGCCATGGGCCTCACTCTGCCGGGTTCATCATCCTATCCTGCGCTCTCCCCTGAAAAGGCACGTGAATGTGAGCGCGTGGCTGAAGTTATCAAGACGACGATGGTCAAGGATATCCGGCCACGCGACCTGATTACGCGCGAGTCGCTTGAAAATGCACTGATCTTGACCATGATCCTCGGTGGCTCAACCAATGGAGTCCTGCACTTCCTGGCCATGGCCAACACGGCCGAGGTGTCATTGACGCTCGATGACGTGCAAAGAGTGAGCGACAAGACCCCTTTCCTGGCCGACCTGGCGCCGAGTGGGAAGTACCTTATGGAAGATCTCTACAAGATTGGTGGCACCCCATCCGTATTGAAAATGCTGATTGCAGCTGGTCTCATCAACGGCAACATTCCCACGGTCACAGGCCGCACCCTAGCCGAGAATGTGGCCGACTGGCCTAGCCTGCCACCGGAGCAGAAACTCATCCGGCCACTGTCTGATCCCATCAAGGAGTCAGGCCACCTCCGCATCCTCCGTGGAAATTTTGCCCCCCAAGGAGCCGTGGCCAAGATCACAGGCAAGGAAGGCCTAAGCTTCACGGGCAAAGCCATGGTCTTCAACAAAGAACACGAGCTCAACACAGCCCTGAACCGAGGGAAAATCTCCCGCGGCGAGAACCTCGTCCTCATTGTGCGGTACGAGGGACCACGCGGCGGGCCGGGAATGCCGGAACAACTGAAAGCATCAGCGGCCATCATGGGCGCAGGACTCACCAACATCGCGCTCGTAACGGATGGAAGGTACAGCGGGGCTAGCCACGGGTTTATCGTCGGGCATGTCACGCCCGAGGCGGCGAGAGGGGGACCTATTGCGTTGGTCAATGATGGGGATAGGATCGTGATTGACGCGGTGGCGAATCGGATTGATATGGTGGAGGTGGGGGAGGAGGAGCTGGCGCAAAGAAGGAAGGAATGGAAGCCGCCGGTGCCGAGGGTGAGAAGGGGGGTGTTGGCGAAGTATGCGAGGTTGGTGGGGGATGCGAGTCATGGGGCCGTGACGGATCAATGGGAGGATGATGTTGCGGTGCCAAAGTAGGCATGCTTTGGCATACGAGATGTCGAAAAGGGGCCAGTCACGGGGAGACGAGAGCGAAAGAAACTGATGTGGTGGAACCTACAGAGGCATGGCGTAGTTTGGTGTATGCAGGATGTGTTTGTCAGATGCTCAGCAGTTAGTTGTCGTTAGCAAAAGTAGCTGTTTAACCCGGAACGGTACTTGTTCATCACGGGTCTGAGAGCCGGGCTTGGCACCGGGAACATGGTATAGCGGCCAAAGAGAGAGCCTCCAGAGCGATCCTCTCGTGCACACCGTTCAGAGTTGGATGGTAGATTTGTATATATTCCTTGTGAATGTTCCTGGCTTGAAGTTCAGTTTCAATTAGTCAGGCAAAGGTCAGGCGATGCCGCGGTTCCTGCACGAATGTCGCCATCGATTGGTATCCAGCGTTTAACAACTTGGTCCGCTCGCGTCATAGTGGGGAGCATTTGTAATCCCGGCCTGTGAAACCTTCCTTCTCTTCTCCCTCGCAGCGCAAACTTGCATATAAGGAGGGAGATTGCATTGCGGCATTCTAAGAATCTTGCGCCTGACGTCAAGTCGGCAGATTGGGTGACCTTGTTGAGTTTAAATACTAAACGACAGTTCCCAGTCATTCGCATCAATCTGTCTATTCGAATACATAGATTTAAACCGAGCTCACTTTCGACTCGTTCACAGCAAAACAAGAAAGACATCGAATATCTCAGCATGGCACCCAAGCTATACGCCATCGTCGTCGGCGCTGGTCCAGGTACTGGTACGCTAATGGCTTGCCCCTATTCCACTCCCCATCGCCCCAAAATAACGGGCTTGCCATCTCATGCTCGCAATCATGCTCACACTTACCACAGGCCGCGCATCCGCTGTCCGCTTCTCAAAATCCTACCCAGTCGTAGTAATTGCGCGCAACTCGTCTAGCTATGAAGCTGCAGTCAAAGATGTCACCGAGTCAGGCGGTAGAGCCATCGGCATCAGTGCGGATGCCTCAGACCCCGCCTCGCTAGACCAAGCCTTTGAGTACATTTCCCAGGAGCTGCCGGACCACAAACTCGCGGCTGCCATCTACAATGTGTCTGGAGGTTACGCAGTCAAGTCGTTCGTGGAGATCAAGCCCGAGGAGCTGGAGGAGAGTTTGGATGGGAATGTGTATGTCTTCGCCCCTATTCTTGTCCGGCTTTCTACTGCTACAGAGCATGTTCATATGAAAAGATATCGCTGATATATGGCCGATCACCACAGCCGTGGCTTCTTCCATTTTGCCCAACGCACCCTGCCCCTTCTCGAGGATGCCGTGCCCCACTCGGAACACCCACCCACCCTTGTTGTGACGGGTGCCACGGCCTCGGTCAGGGGGTCGGCAAAGTTCGCCACCTTTGCCTTGGGGAAATGGGCCAAGCGCGGCATTGCCCAGTCGCTGGCGCGCGAGTATGGGCCGAAAGGGGTTCACGTGGCGCATGCAGTTATTGATGGGGTTATTGATATACCGCGGACGTCGACGTTATATGTGAATGGCGGTGTCTCGGATGGGAAGATTAGCGCTATTTCGGTGAGTTCAGCGTTGTTGCTGGTGGTGCCATAAGAAAAGGGGTAATGGTGTTGGTAGCTAATGTGGAAACAGATTGCTGAGACGTATTGGAGTTTGCATACCCAGCATCGGTCCGGTTTTACTTGGGAGGTGGATATTCGACCTTACGTAGAGAAGTGGTAAAAGTAGCTTACACGACTAGAACGGACAGAATTGCAGGGCTGCGTCTGGGATATAACAGCCACCAAAGATACGATAAAGGTCGGAGTTCTCTATTAGTTGCTAAAAATAATGATGGTCCATTACTCAAACCCCACTGACAACGTTCATCTGCGTGTGGATGTTCATCAACTGACTTGGTTCCGAAACGGCTGCTGAGGGCGATTATTTCGTACCCAGACAGTGAAAGTAGAATTCGGTTTTCAAGTTCGATATTGAGCGACCAAATAGCTTCTATGGCATGGAAAGCCACACTCCGGGCACGAATCCAGGGCTCTTTTTAGTTACGTATGGGGTTGTCTATTGAAAGAACAGGAAGTCGAGAGGTTTCTGAAGGGTACGGCAGGTATTCATGCCCTGGAAGGGCCAGCAAACCCGTACACACTCAGCCAGATCTCGCTTTAGGCTACTTGTACGATGAATCAGCGCGTCAAGGATGTGCAGTGAGTTCTCGAATGCAAGTGTTGTGGGAACAGGATGGAAGCTCGTTATGATTGACGGCTTGAAAAGTTGAAATATACTGAAGTATGACGTCCCGATTCCGAGGCTGTGATACTTTATACGGCGAGTCGATCCGGCAAGACAATACGTGCAATGCTCAAACTCAACTACGTTCTTGGAAGAAGATGGAAATTTGCCCTGGGGCGGCCACGTCGATGTCTGAACGTATGTAGGTATACTTGACATCACCGGCCGCCCTATAAGAATGACCAAGCAGAGGCAGCCTACGAAAAGCACAATGACAGAAAGTCTTTTGTCGGGCCATTATGGCATTGGAATCAAAGAAGACGGCCATGGTGCTACCAGCAACTCCAAGACCATACGCGCTCGTTTTATTAAGAAAATAGCGACCCGTATCTTCCTTAAGGGATGAAGTAAATATTAGCTTTTCGTATTAGCTTTCGTATTAGCTTAAGTGCTATACCAATAGGATTATATAATAACAATGGTAGTGGACGTAACGCAGTCGCCAATAGGGCGAACCGACGACGCAGCGTATGTATTTAGTCCAGCCATTAGGGCACGGTTTGACATACGGGAGTACTAGTAGAGGTACCGGGGGCTTCGAGCCTACGGCGTATTTAATAATAATAATAATAATATATAATAACAGGCTTGCGTAACCGCGTGCCCACTGAGCCCACCCATAGAAGTTCCCGTCTATTTTAGGGAATTCCTGATGATGCCGTTCCAACACATGCATTCCTAGCTTGGGATCCACAGTGCGCCTAGATTATGATCCACCTCATCATTCATTGCCAAAGCCAAAGCCAAACCCACGCCGTCGTCTACTCGTTCAAATCTCAATACAGACACCTTCCCGCCCACTCCAACGCCTCCTTGGCCAAAGCCCTCGTCTCGGCCGTCAAACTCAACATCTCAAGCATATTCCAACTAGCCCACACAGATTCTTGATCCTGCTCCTGGCACTCCACGACTATCTCGTCGCTGTTCTCCACCAATACCGTCCAGTTTAACTGCACCGTTTCATGAGTGACAGAACTCTCGGTTCCGTCCGGGCCAAGCCACACATGCTCTGTAGTCTGGCGGATCTCACTCAGCATGCCCAGCACCCTAAACACTTTGAGCCCCGTCTGTTTGCGAACCGCGCGCGCTAGGGCGTCCGAGATGCTCCAGTCGCCGTCGTCGACGCGCCCCGACGGCGGCTCGAACGTGCCCGGGCCAAGGGCCATCAGGTCAGACCACTTAAGCAGCAAGATAGTAGGCCGGCTGGAGCGCAGGTCCATGCGGAAGATGGCAGCCCCAACGCGGAGGCTGTCAGCCGGGTGGGTCGGTTGGATCAGGGACAGATACTGCGACTTGGACATGGCGAGGACGGACTTTTGCGTAGCCGTCAGAGTCGGCCCCATGACGAGGTTGGGATGCGAAGCGAGTGAAATCGTCTGGGGCTTGGGCTCGGGTCGGTACAGCGCGCGCTACCTACGCTACCGTGTTGTCGTCGTGCTCAGTCGGCCGTTGACCTGTCAGGAAGGAGACTGTTAACGGTGGAAAGTTCGTGGGAAATACGAAATCCCCGGGACGTCCAAGAGGTAATAAAGTGGTGCATTTTAGGTGCCTGTGATGAGAAATGGTCCGAGAAGCGTGCGGCGGCTGGGTGGCGTGTGATTAGGTTTGGCTAGACGTTATTAACTGCCGTTGAAGTCCCGAGCGCTATCGTCAAGTTCAGGAATAGCATCGTCCACGACCTGTGGCGGCTTCCCCGAGCGTTTCGAAACCTTCCAAGGCGGTACGTCGTTTCTAGAAACACGAGGAGAGGTGCTGGAACGGGAAGACTGCGATTGGTCTACCCGCGCCAGTGGAGATGCATGAGAACATACCCTCTCTGGCAAAGACACGCATTAGACACGCGTCTGGATGCGCCAAGTTTGCCTAGCCCGACAGAAAGCGCACGTTCGTTGCAATGGGGCCTCGATGCAGCCAAAGGAGGATTGTGTCGGTACGAGATTCAAAGAGCCTGTTCCTGTTCCAGGTCCTGAAAGACACGAGATGAGAATGGTGTTGTCACTTTGAGTGGGATAATGCACTGTAATAAGGACAAGGCCGCGACCAAACTGACTCTGAGCCCAAGAAGAAAACTAGTCAGCAGTACTGAAATTAGACAGTGCCGCAGGCCTGCATTGACACTCATTGCTGGATTAATTTAAATTATCATGGGGTGATCCTATTCATGTGTTGGAGTATGGCATCCTAAATGGCGGTTGGGAGGGACTCCAGTGGACGTTCATCAACACGTCGGATTGATTCAGCACCCGAACCAGCATGGCTCGACCGAAGCCGCGATGACGATTGCAGCGATGTCAAGTTTGCGAATTGATTGGTTTACCCTTACTTAAGTATGTGAGAAGACTAGGCGACCAGCACATGGACAAGTCGATCTGTCATCTCGAGCACGCACCATCTCCGTGTGCACGGCACTTCTGGAGTTTGGCTAGAGCGGCAAGCGATACTGCGCCATCGACTTCTCTGCGGTGTACTGGACGAGAATTGACCCGATGACTCAGACTTCTAGGACATGAGCAGACTGTGTCGGATGCTGGGGCGTTGATCCGATCCCTCGGCGGTGCGCAATGTGTGATGAGTCTTGGATTTTGGGTCGATGTCTAAAGTGGATTGGGACCTGGTCGTTCTAGAAGTCGGGCGGACAATGCCTGCATTTTTGTGCTACAGGGTTCTCCTGACAATATGGTGAAAACCTTCGAATCGAGAAAATCTGGGGAAGATCTCTTGGCAACCCTTAGCCGCCCTGCCTGCTTGGCACAACCAACGTTGATTGCTGTGACGGATGTGCGTTGCAGGTCCAGTGACAGTGATTTGATTGACCATGCCCAAGTGAAAAAACAAGACTTCGCTCTTTCACTTGGAATGCCTGCCCATCCGGAATTTCTCGATGGATTGATTATCCCGAATGGTTCTTCGACCGTCAACTCAGCTTGAAAATATGACATGCAAATGACCATGCATTACTGGCAAGGGTGCACAACAGGCGACAGACCTGCAGACCGATTGTCACACCACAAGTGCAGTTCATCAGTGCCCCCAACACACGGACGTTTTCGGGCGGTTTGGCCCAACATCGGGCTTCTCCGAGCTGCTCCGAGTCCATCTCCACGAGGAGAAGTCCAGACCGACATCATCTTCTTCGCAGCAAAGACTTTCTGAAAGTTTTGCTGTGACAGCTCTGCATAACGCATGCAAGCACTTTGACGGAATTGAAGCTCAAGGCTGCCTCACTGAGCGACCCCTTGCGCTTTTTCTGTAAGCTCGTATTGACCCAACAGCATGCAGAGGAGTCCGGGCCGGATCTAAATTGTGGTTCCAACTTGGAGCTGGCCCCCAGCTTCAGCGCAAGCATTCACACCAGGTCAGACCAGGGAGCGCCATATCATCCAATGATGATGGTGGGTGACTGCAAATCCTCGCTCTAGCGCCTGCTAACATGGGGAAGGAAGTGGGACTTGGGCCACTCATTACGAGCTTGCCAACTTGCATTCCTTGAAAGGTGACCCAAGTCTTGAAAAGTCACACCAGTGTGCTGCAACACTCGAAGCCACTCGGGACTAGGCTCATAGACCCAACTTTGCTATCTTCATCTTTTCTCCGCCGCATTGCTACACATTTTTGTCTTGGGTGCATTGGTCAGTAGGCTATCGTGATCAAAGCCGCCTCCTTCTTTGTCTCACTCAGTATATCCCTTCTTTTGAGTCCAGACACACTCACACTCCACCACGATCGCTCGCTTCCGACTCACACTCGCTGTTACTGAACCTTGTTGACTTGCTGTGAGTTCGGGGACGGGCCGACAGCAGCAACATCGAACTCTCATATATAATCCCATTGAGCAACATTTGCGAAACTGGTCAAATGTTCGTTTGAAGTGGCCACGAGAGGCTTTCTCCTCGAGAACCCTGCCGAGCACAAAGCATTCCAGGCGCCCCGCCCGCACTTGCACTTGCTCGCCCCGACTTTGACAGCTCCTCGCATTCGCTACAATTACACAATCGAAACATTTGTCGAAGACTTCGCTCGCTACTCGCACCGACTAGTTTTCTGGCCATTCTAACGGGTCTTACGCATGCGTATTTGCTCTATACGGTCATCCAGCATCGCCAAGATCGCATTAATACAGTAATTATAATCATCAACTCCCTTGTTCGCTGAATCTCATCATGTTCCGACAATATCTCCTCCCTCTGGGGTTTGTTCTCTTGAGCGCATCGACCGTCTTGGCCGACACCCAAGCGACATGTTCCTTGACGAACAAGTGCCCCGAAGAGACACCTTGCTGCTCCCGTAAGTACCCGTGGGCCGGCTACCGCTCTGTTCCCGATGTCCGGCCCGCATCCTGCATCCGAAACCTCCAGAATTGACTGACATTCGTCTTCCTAGAATATGGCCAATGTGGCGTCGGCGCCTATTGCCTCGGTGGCTGCGATCCTCGCATGTCCTTCTCGCTCGACTCGTGTGTCCCTGAACCCGTATGCGTAAGCAAAACGTACAAGATGGACTCGACCGACGGCATCGTCGACGTGACCAAATATCTCGGCGATCCAACCAAAGCCGACTGGGTCGCCCAAGGCACGCCCCTGCCCTTCGACGGCAAGGTGCTGTTGACCATGCCTCCTAAAACCGCTGGCACCGTTCTCGCGTCGACGATTTACATGTGGTATGGCAATGTCAAGGCTAAGATAAAGACTGGTCGAGGTGCGGGTGTCGTCACTGCCTTTATTCTGTTGAGCGATGTGAAAGACGAAATCGATTTCGAGTGGGTTGGTACCGAACTGGAGGTTGCCCAGACAAACTATTACTTCCAGGGTATCCCTGATTGTAAGTTGGCCCACCACCCCCAGATTTACATCCCCTAGATTCTGGCCGCGCACAGAGTGCCAACGCACTCGGCAGGAACCGTGCGTGCACCAATGGCATGCATATGACACATATCCTGCGTGGATAGCCCGTAGTGATTCCCACAACCTGGCTGATGACGAACTAACATAAGTCGTAACACAGATACCCACTCGGGTAACATCACGGGCGTCTCCGACACGTTTGCGAACGAACATGAGTACGAAATCCGATGGACGCCAGAGAAAATTGAGTGGTACGTGGATGGAAAGTTGGGACGCACCCAAGAAAAGTCCAAGACGTGGAACGCGAGTTCGAATCAATGGGACTTCCCCCAGACACCAGCACGTGTTCAACTCTCCATCTGGCCTGGAGGTGCAGACACCAACGCAGAGGGTACCGTCAGCTGGGCCGGTGGTCCCATCGACTGGAACAGTGAGGACATCAAGAAATACGGCTACGATTTTGCCACAGTCGGTGAGCTTACGATTGAGTGCTACAAAACAAGCTCTGCCCCAGGCACCAACTCGGGCAAGAGTTACACCTTCAATAACGCCAAAGCCACCAACGACACCGTTATAAATGGGGAAAAGTCGACTGTGCTCAAATCCTTCTTGGGAACCGGACTCGACATGGACAAGGAACTGCCCAAATCGTCCTCATCTAGCGGCACCGCACAAGTCGTCCCCGGTCTGACTGGCGGCGGCCCTGGAGCCAACGGCGAGGCTGCGGGTGACGCAAACGACGGAAGCGGCAGCGGCAGCGGCAGTGGTGCCACGGCTGTCGGCACCGCACCCTCCTGTACGGCGACGGGCTTCTCCCAGGCCTGCGACGGCGGCTCAAGCAACACCAACGAAGGCACTCGTCAACTCTCCCAAGATCATGCCTTAGGCGCCAGCGCCTTTGCTGCCCTCGTCGCGGTTGCTGGAATGCTCTGGCTTTGAAGAGTCGAGATCGCTGTTCTTAAGTACCAAACAAAACATGGCGGCCCATCCCACGTGTACGCCAAAAGGACGCATGGTTTGAAGCACCGGACTACTCGTTGTTCTTGGATCTAATAAAGCTCTTAAAGGCGCGAACGGCCAACGCGGAAATATTGCATTGGGCCGGCGCACGCACGACTTGGTTGCCTCGTCTTCGAGCGTCAAACTGAGGTGGATATCTGCTTCTTGTACCATGGGTCGCTTCTGTCGCTTGTGATCAGGGCGTGTGGAGGACGTAACGGCTGGATGCCGTCCGATCCTTTAGATATGTACCGGAGTATTGTTGGCTGGGTAGCCACATGAGAATGCGTCATGATGGGGTTAGTGAGCTCCATGACACAAGGAATTCGACACTGTATATAGGTGGTAGGGCGGTTTCAAATTGTACACTTCATGGTCTGACCGCATTTCTCCACCCTGTATTCGTTAGTACTGTGACGTTCGTATTTGCTTGTTGGTCAAACTGCAGATGCTTTCAGTGTGCTAGGAACCCGTATGAACATGCTTTCTTTGAGGTTTGGGTTGAAACTCAAATATGGTTCCAGGAGCCACGAGGTATTGCATCTCCGACCTCAGTCCCCTTTAACTATGCGTCCATACCCTCAATTTCATCCAATAGCTTTCTTACGCGCTCATCCCTAGCACTCCATGACTATGCCTTGGACTCGGTCATTCTTTCACAGCTCACATTGCAGTCAGTTAATGAGACAGTATCTCGCCATGACATGAATGATGAGACGCCAGCAGTGCGCAGAATAACAGAAGAAAGAAGGAGGAAACTGACTCTTCGTTATTTAACAATAGAGTAGGTTTTTGTTATTGGAACAAATGAAAGTATAAAGATGAGGGACCCACTCGTAGCAGAATGTGGTCATATTGGTAGTTGTGAGATCTAGCATTTGCCACTGACATTCGCATGGTAATCGTATTTGTGTCACAAGGTTACCATACTAAATTTTTCGGCCAGTTATTGTTATCTCAAGTACAGACGACCTAGCCCGGTGGCCTGGGTCCCCAAACCAGCCGTAATGCACCCTACGTCCCAGTGACACTCAAGGTATGGACATATCGAATCTTCCCCCCTTCAATCCTGAATTCATGGCTGTCCGGAACATTCCCCGCAAACGTATTGAACACATCCACCGTCCCAAAGCTCTCATCAATCACATACCTCCGATTCGTAATCGGCACCCCATCTGGCACGCCCACATCGCACCGGTCCGTTGCCGACCCCGTTCCTGTGTACGCCCCTCCCTCTAACCTGGCACACGGTGTTCCCCACGGTACGACCACACTCTTATCGTTGAATAGGTCACAGTATGCATCAGCAGCCGCCTGGATCGTGGCCCGGGTGTCGCGTTGCGCCTCCGGGATCGGGGTCCAGGTTTCCCGGCTGGCCCAGTACAGCGTGCCGGTGGCGTTGAAAAGCCAATCGTTGGAGTCGGTGATGATTGTCTCGATTTTATTGAGTGTAGGGGTGGCGGTAGAGTTGTCAAAACTCAGCTGCGAGGCAATTACGTAGGGGTGTGCCTCATTGGTGACGATGAGCTCGGTGAAGGTGGCACAGTTGACTGTATCGTGAGTGCTGCGGTTGTGGTCGAGCTTGAGGGGCTGAGAAAGGATGCCCGTTGCGAGGGTAGATGGATTGAAGTTTTCCGTGTATGTTAAGGTCGACGCTCCCAAGGCTTGGACGGTAGCCGGGTCTCCGGCGGCTTGGGCTTCAGTGTAAGTGTTTGATGCGGTGGTGAGGGATGCCAAGGGGCAGTCGGCAGTTGATGTTGTGGCCAAAAAGCCCAGGCAGAGCAGGATGGGTGCGAGTAAATAATACATTGCAGATAATTTTGTCACTCTATTTCTTTTCGACGTATTCAATGGTGTTCTTCGACCCGTCTTCAGTCAGTTTATATCATGAACGCCGGGTGGGGTCGTGCTACAAGGGGTAAATAGCAAGACCACCATTGCCGAATACCCCACACTACCATATATATGGATAATTGTCGGACTCCTCTTCTAATGGATGGGTTGCTCTAGATGGAACCATCTTTTCGAATGGGGACGAGTAAGTGTGACTGCGTGGTCCGATCTTGGCCGGTTCTGTGTTTATAGAAGCTCCTACCTGCTCCAGATGACTATTCCGTGTCATAGTCCACTCTACTAGATATTTTGTATATTTTTGTCCATAGTATGAAAACGTATTGCTTAATTTATATGTACAGACAAGTGGGTGACTGAAAAAGAGGCGCACGTAGAATATAATGGTATAGGATAAACCGATACTCCAGTGTCTCTTAGTTACACTAATTTACTACACAAGGACGTTAGACTATCTCATGCTACTCTATCCCAGGTGCGCCATTGATTAGATTGCATCGTTGCTTGTATGTAATTGTAAACTATCGTTGCCATTACAAGGACTATGGTTTCCCTATATAGCCCGAACGAAAGGTACTTATGTATACTCACACAACCACAACCCACAATGTTCTTGTGCAATCGCTCATCAGCTCTTTGTCAAATTCGCCCTGAGCGCCAACGTCTCAACGCTAACCGCAATGCCACTCGCGTTTACGGTGAAAACAAACTGATCTAGCGGCATATCTGCGTATACTGCCGTCGTCTGACTGACCCACCCTCCACAGTTCGTCGAGAACATGACCCCATCATGGTACACGGCACCGAGATCCTCAACCACGAGCTTGAATGCCAGTTTTCTCATGCCATCCGCAGCAGCACTAGTTGTTTCGATTCCCGTCGGGTACAGTCTCAGTCCCGCATTCGTGACGTTATAGCCCAGGGTATACCGGATGGCGACGGGCCACATGTCCGTTCCATTGCTAATCCATCTTTCGACCCCCAACCCCGGCCTATCAGGCGTCGTACTAAGAGTCAGCGTACTATTCTCAGTATTATCACCCCCACCACTCGTATAAGTGCCCCCAAAATTCCCCTCCGCCTGCAGTCTCGCCGTCTCTTCCAGGGCGGGGATGAGCACAGCCCCAATAGCATCCGCTATGGCCCAATTCGCGTTTCCTGGCCACGCGCCCGCCAAAAGCGCCGTGATGCCCACGTCGTAATCGGGAACAAGCACGAGCAGAGACGAGTAGACGTTTATACTCCCGGCCTTGCCGTAGGCGTCAACGATGCGGTTGCCGTTGTTGAGGCCCGAGCCGAGCGGGATCCGGCGCACGCCCCAGGGATAGCCGACCCCAGCATATAGGTCCGAGGTCAGGGCCGCGGGTTTGAGCCACCGACGAGTTTGGGCAGCAGACATCAGGGTGTTTCTGAAGATGGCGCGGCCGAGGCGGGAGAGGTCATTGACGGAGGAGTACAGGTTTCCTGTTCTGATCAAGTTGGCAGGTTTCAGTATGTGTAGTCACAATGTGTTAGTGTCATTGTTAGGAGGTGTACGCACGGGCTGGCCTCCCCGAGGCTATAAGACCACCCAACATCACTATTCGGTGGGAGTACACCGAGATCATCGGATGGCTTCTGATAATACGTGTGGTTCAGTCCAAGCTTGTCGATAATATTGGCTTGCAACATATCGGGGAATTTCTTGCCCGTAATGGACTCCAGCGCGTAAGCAAGGATCTGGTAACCTGCGTTGGAGTACCCGGCCGTCTGAGAGGGGGCGAAAGAGGGTGGGATGTTGGATAGACCGGCAAAGAACTCTGCCGGCATCATGAATCAATGACTCTCAATCTGTTTATTTTGGAACAAATTACCTTCTCGGGAGCACTGAGGCCACTCGCCACAAGTGGGGGTGTCATTGACTGGAGCGGGAGGGAACCCTTGTGCAATGAGACTCGATTGGTTGTTTTCTTGGGTCAGCTCTCCTACAATGGCATCTATTCGCAGACCTTTATCAATTTTCTGCCAGAGTTTCAAACGAGGCGACCATGGTGTACTCACAATCTCTCACGATTCCAGCCATGTGAGCCGCCAGAGCGCCCAAGGTAATATCACCCCAATCCACCTTCATGATCGGATCACTCTCCGCCTGCGCCGCCAGCGCCTCGAGCTCCGGCACATATTTCGTCACTGGCGAATTCCATGTTTCATCCCCCACTTCCTTCAAATACGTCGCAATAGTGAAAATCTTGGTCAAGCTACCGACTCGGTAGATGGTATCACCATCCACCTCCTTGACACCGCCGGTATTGGCATCCCTCAGCGTCGGCGCCGTGTGGTAGTGCTCCCAGATGGGCTCGTCATCCGACGCGGCAAAGATTTGGATGGACCATGAAGTGCCGTTGGGGTTAGTGCTTGCTTCCGAGTCCCGAGAGATGAACGTTTGTGTTATATTGGCCAGGGCCGTTCGGATCGTATCCGAAGATTTCAGAGAGGTCGGCTTGGGGAATGCAGGACCTTGGTAGGGACAGTTGGCCCTGAGTGAATTGACACATACAAGTTGAAATGCCAGGAAAGCGACGGAAAGTAAACGGCAAAGCCCCATGTTTGGATATTTTCAAAAGAATGAACTGCCTGGGAAAGAAGATATTGCCAAGACATTCCACAATCACTGAGCTGTCCCGAGTTGAAGGTAGGCAGTATATGATGAGCATCCTGACGTGAATTTTGTTATTCAATCACTCCTGAAGGCGATCTTCAAACCTTGTCTCAATTTGGAAAATTCGCAATGCTCCGCGACAACTGAAAATTAAACTCGTACCCTCGGAAGCCGGGTTATCGAACCCTCTTACCAAACATATAACTGTCAAATCTAGCGTCTGAAATTGACATGTTCTAGATTGGTTTGCCGGGAAGTTACGATTTCCAGGGATTGCGAATACCGGCTCGATTGGATATAGCGTCGCGACCTTAATTGACTATATATGATTCATTAAGGCCAGGGCATGTCGCGGCTGAATGCATACGCCCGTATTCGCACATGAAAACCGGGAACCCATCATTTCGGATTGTCGACTTCGGTTTGCTAGACTCCGATAGATGCCTGATCGGGATGGAGGGACGAATTCCAAGCCTCTGTCGTAATAGGCACCCAGATCCAGCAAATGGTTCTTTAAGCTATACTCCCTGGATCCCAGGCGATGATGAAGTGAGTGGAACGCAAGCATATGTTGTTTACCACTTATTGACCAATCGGAATCTATTAAAGCGAGACCCATCAATCCGGATCACTAAGAAGTCACCAAAATGATGACGAATGTAGTCTTCGACCTGTTTACAACAAGCCCGGGAGACAGTGTCGATCATGAGTCTTTCTCCTGACAACCGCACTCTGGATTTGATTGCAGCTGCTTGGATATAGTCTTTGTTCACTCTATCTGCAATGAAGACATTGATACGTAGAAGAGTGTACGGAGGCATGGACGTAGGCATAATAAAGCTCACTTCCCTGAACCATCTGATGTTCATAATCTTGGTCCAGTCTGTGGTCATGACTTCAGATCCTGGCAAATTGTACTGTGGCTTGGGTCGAAGGCCAACTTTGCGCAAGCCATGCATGACTACTTGGTTACTCGCTCGGACTGAGTACATCAAGTCAATATCCCAAGCACCCCTGTCTACTTGTGGCAATAGTGTGTAGCAATGGAGTAGCAATGGATAAAATGCAGGCCGAAAAACGCGCAGCCAAAGCTAATGAGACAAACCCGCTCCGCTGCATAATTACTAATAATTGAACCTGCTACTGAAGCCATTTTCCGGACTGCTTTTTTCTTTCAGTGATCCGGCAATTGATAGAGCTTGCCCAAGCACGGTAGTAGGTAGTGTGCCTTCGCATGCTTATTGAACGCACGGCTATTCAGCAATTAGAGCATAGTATGATCTACTTTGTACGTGTTCAAAGTATGACCGCTAGGTTCGGCAAACTTCCATAGGATAATCCAAATATCCAGGTGGGAATTTCCTTGATTTCGTTTACATACTTTTTGTTTTCCCCTCTATTTTACTATAATGTAGAACCAATATCGTCCAATCTATTCTGTTTTCCTCCAAAGAAGTTCTGAAACTCCTCTCAAACAAACCACCAACTGACCCAACCCAACCCAACCACACCCTGGAGCCCCCGGTCGAGACCACATTGAGCGAAGGAATGGAGGGAAGACCTTAGAGCCTTGCGTCCTAAGAGGATACGTTACCAATCGTCCAACACTGATGATACCTATAACTATATATAACGTGGTTTAACACCGAGTCGCGCACTTTTTACCACACTATAATTTCAAGTTCAATTAAAAAGAAAGCCACAACAGACTAAAGTTTATTGAAATTTATTCAGAGCCATATACATCTGACAATTATAGTTCGACCTGACAAGTCTTTACATTATGTCCGGTCTTCTTACACTTACTACATCGTCGTACAGTCGACGGACCAGCCTTTTCTTTTACCCCCCTAGAGCGCTTGTCCTCCTTTACCTGGGCCTCCGCGTCCTTCCGGGCCAAAATGTCCAGGGCATCCTCGATAGTAAGTGCACCTCCTTGCCGGACACGCGATTTTTTTGCCCTTCGACGCTTGCTTAGTGCCTCATTTGCCTTGCGAAGGGTGGAGCACTCAGCCTTCAAGAGGGTATTCTCATGGGCTAATCGAGTTATACCCTTCGCAAGGTGGCCAACAGCATCAAAATTTGGGGTCGGAGAGCTTCCCTGATGCCTGGCGATTCGGCGATTGACAAAATCGGACTGCGAGAGAGCCTCTGTCGGGTTATTTGGCGTTTGCGAAACCCAAAGGGTAGCATCTAGAAGAGAGGGGCTAACGGGTGTAGGCGACCGAATCCTAACGTCCAGCTTCGAGATAACGGCTTCAGGGTCGTGGGGGACTAGGCCGGCCCCTCGAAACCCTGCCTTGATGTTTTTGTCGGTTATTGTCTTTAAATAAGCCTCCTTAAAGGCGATAAAGAACTCGACCTTAGTAATGTGGTTAATATGGGACTTGATAAATATATCAATCTCTCGACCGTATATACGTTTCAAGACCCCAAAGCACCCGACATCAAATGGCTGGGTCAGATGAGACGAGTGCGGGGGCAGACTGATAGTAACAATGCCGTTAGACTTGCAATAAGACTCGAAATCGGCCGATGTATGACTCTCATGCCCGTCCAATACTAACAGCCGATACACGCCTCTTTTGGTGGAGATAGTGTGCTTGTTGAAATGTTTGATCCAGTCTAGACCAGTCTCGTTGTTCGTCCACCCGTTTTCGGTCGGTTTGACTACCCCATCGGCTGGTAGGTCCCCTCAGTATACCAATTAGCAAGGTGATAGCTCCCTTGAATTACCAGAAATGGCGGGATGTCGCGACCCTCCGAATTGACACAGGTAATCGCCGTGGCCCATTCCCGGTTACCCGGTTGGACCTTCTTGCCTCTATCATTACGTTCAGACGAGGTAACGACTATCGAGCGTTGAATAACGCCCATCATAAAGCCCGTCTCGTCGAAGTTCCACATATCGCAGTCCTGGATCCCGTATTTGGCCCTCATATTCGATACAAGCCGGAACCAATCCTCAATAATCTTTGGATCCTCGCAGAGGGCCCTCTGGAAGTCATACGAGCGAGAAAAACGCGTCTGTAACTCTGGGGTTCGCTTTACAAAGCGATGCGCCCAGAGCTTGCCGACGCGTCGGGTACCCCGCGTCGCAAGAATGGAATTGGCCATATCTTCCACACCCTCTAGCCGGGGAGGAAACCCTCTCAAATCTAGGTCAAGTACATGCTGAACAATAGCTCTTTCCTCTATCTTGGCGAGTAGTGCGCTATTCGGCCAGATTTCGGTACGTGGGGTGCGACCGTGGATTCTGTCACGGAGTGAGGACTCGGGTACACCGTATAGCTTTGCTCGACGTTGGCTCATATTTTTGGTCGATCGGATAGCTTCGATGGAAAGGTTGATTTTGGCTTCTTGGGTTTGAACTGACATGGTGTTGTTGTTGAAGAAATAAGTGTTGAAGTCAAAAGGTTGGAAAAGTTGAAAAAGTGCGCGACTCGGTGATATGCGCGACTCGGTGTTAAACCACGTTACTATATATTATTATTATTATATTATTATTATTATATTATTATTATTATATTATTATTATTATATTATTATTATTATATTATTATTATTATATTATTATTATTATATTATTATTATTATATTATTATTATTATATTATTATTATTATATTATTATTATTATATTATTATTATTATATTATTATTATTATATTATTATTATTATATTATTATTATTATATTATTATTATTAAGAGATGGCTCACCGGAGCAGAGCATCACGATCGCCAGCGACGCGCTATCGCTGAGGAACCGGAGGGCCCTTCGATGCAGATACCGAAAGGGGGCAAGTATTTCGGCCTGAACCGACTGGAGGCGTCTACGCTGTGCCAGATCAGGACGGAAAAAATAGGACTAGCAGCCTTCTTATTCAAGACAGGGGCTTTTGGCGTGTACTCGCCGCTATGCCGCTGTGGCGATGCCCCTGAGACGGCAGAGCACGTAATCCTCTTCTGCGGGCTGTTGGAAGGACCGAGGGAACGATTACGGGCCGCCATCGCACCACGGCCACTATACTCTCGCAGAGACCTCGCAACGGCAACAGGAGAACCAGTAGTTAGTGGGACTATTGTAAGATGGCTGCTAGGGACGGGTCGGACAGCTTCAAGGCCCAGATAGCATCGATCTTCTCAGGGGGGACTTTGTTGGTAGGTTGAGAACCAACGTAGTATGGTAGTGAACGCAACGCAGTCGCCAATAGGGCGAACCGACGACGCAGCGTATGTATTTAGTCCAGCCATTAGGGCACGGTTTGACATACGGGAGTACTAGTAGAGGTACCGGGGGCTTCGAGCCTACGGCGTATTTAATAATAATAATAATATAATAATAATAATAATAATATAATAATAATAATAATATAATAATAATAATATAATAATAATAATATAATAATAATAATATAATAATAATAATATAATAATAATAATATAATAATAATAATATAATAATAATAATATAATAATAATAATATAATAATAATAATATAATAATAATAATATAATAATAATAATATAATAATAATAATATAATAATAATAATATAATAATAATAATATAATAATAATAATATAATAATAATAATATAATAATAATAATATAATAATAATAATATAATAATAATAATATAATAATAATAATATAATAATAATAATATAATAATAATATTATTATTATTAAATACGCCGTAGGCTCGAAGCCCCCGGTACCTCTACTAGTACTCCCGTATGTCAAACCGTGCCCTAATGGCTGGACTAAATACATACGCTGCGTCGTCGGTTCGTCCTATTGGCGACTGCGTTGCGTTCACTACCATACTACGTTGGTTCTCAACCTACCAACAAAGTCCCCCCTGAGAAGATCGATGCTATCTGGGCCTTGAAGCTGTCCGACCCGTCCCTAGCAGCCACCTTACAATAGTCCCACTAACTACTGGTTCTCCTGTTGCCGTTGCGAGGTCTCTGCGAGAGTATAGTGTGTATCCCGTATTAGCGTATTGAGGTACTGAGTGTGAAGGTCAACCCTCGCAGACTCACTACAACCAGGTGACTTACAGCTGGAACACCTGCCGTGGCAGTGTCAGATGGGAAGCCAATCATAACCCTTGTAGGAGCCCCGCCAAGCGTGGATGACTTAGTCGCGCTCCCTCAAACCTAAGTTGTCATCTTCTTTCCTTCGCTCCTTAGAGTAGAATCTTCGTCGATAGCACCTAATCGAGGTCTCTACCAATGCGATGCAACCCAGGTCGTAACAGTAGGCCGGCCGCCTCAGTGTAAGGAAAGAGCCGTTGTGGCGGGCCGGTCTCAGCTGACAAGCTGAGTCGGGAGGGATTCGCCCCGATCCGGTAAAACCCCGGAACCGCCCAGCTTAAGAGGAGAACTCGAGACGCTCGCACCTAGTTTAGATTCTTCAAGAATCAGTCTTGCAATATACGCACCCATACACTAGCCTACTTCTAGCTACCCTTTGCACTACCTGACTGTCACGACCTGGGTTGCATCGCATTGGTAGAGACCTCGATTAGGTGCTATCGACGAAGATTCTACTCTAAGGAGCGAAGGAAAGAAGATGACAACTTAGGTTTGAGGGAGCGCGACTAAGTCATCCACGCTTGGCGGGGCTCCTACAAGGGTTATGATTGGCTTCCCATCTGACACTGCCATGGCAGATGTTCCAGCTGTAAGTCACCTGGTTGTAGTGAGTCTGCGAGGGTTGACCTTCACACTGACTATTATATTGTGAGACGTGTGGTATCCTCGTTACACTCAGCTACTTTGGTGATACGCTGGCTTATCGCCGTCTCTATTACCTTCCCTACCGTGCTAAGCAGCTACATATATACGGTATATATGCAAATTAGATAGTTTAACCCTATATATATACTCCTACGCTATATATACGTTATATTTACTCCGTGTATAAGCTTTTCTCTGATACTGTGGTGATGATTTATTTGGTTAGACTCTCGTTAGCGTTAGCTTAGCAAGACTTGGCCAGGGTTAGAAAATTTCTGACCCTGATCAACTTGGCTGCGCCACAAAATTTCTAACCCTGGCCAACTGTTGTCGAATATCACGTGTGTCCAATCGAGTAGTCAGAAATGCATAAGATTGTATATGAATGAGGTCTGTTCTTGTCTGTGTTCTATTCTCGCGAACTCCCGTTGCTCTGCCCTTTATAGATTCTTTCGGAAATTTCGGAGGTGCATTGTTCAGGTGTCTGACCCCGAACTTCGGAGTTATTTTCGGGAAGAGGGGTTCATTTCGCCGTCTGAACTTCAAGTAACACTAGTCTTCTCTAGTGCCATATTATTTCTGAACCTAGGAACCAGGTGTCCTATCTGACAACTGTACGCTCCCCCATTCTCTCAAGCTTTCTTGGCAGGCACCCGTCAAGATCGAGTGTGGGGCCGACGTGGACAGAGCGAGCCGTCGCATCAAGTTCTGTTCAACACGGCTAGAACCTGTCGAATATCACGTGTGTCCAATCGAGTAGTCAGCAGTGCGTAAGATTGTATATGCATGAGGTGTGTTGTTCTCTGTGTTCTGTTCTCGCGAACTCCCGTTGCTCTGCCTTTTATAGATTCTTTAGAACATGTCGGTAACTTTGGTGTTACTTTTGAGAAGAGGGGTTCCTTTCGCCTTCTGAATTTGAAGTGACAATAGTCTTCTCTAGTGCCATATTATTTTTGAACCTAGGAACCAGGTACCCTATCTGACAGAACCCGCCTTGTCTGCTTACTCATGAAACATCAACACCTTTGGTTCGTTCTCCTAGGGCTGGGTTCGTCCCGAAAATTCTCGTCTTATACCTCCTTCTCTCATCCATTCTGAACCATTCCCGACCCACATTCATTGATTCAAGCTACCGGTCAACCTCGTCATCAAGCACAATGTCGGAAACGACCTTTCGCTCCTTCACCAACGAGCAGGGCGCAAACTATGCCCAGAACAGAAAATCCTATAGTTACAAGCTGTTCGAGCTCCTCATAAAGCACCATATTTCGACAGGCGGCCAACTCGACACTGTCCTCGATGTCGGCTGCGGGCCCGGCATCGCCACTCACGATGTCGCATCGCACTTTGAGCACGTCATCGGCCTCGACCCCTCAGAGGGCATGATTGCCACCGCACGATCTCTAGGCGGCTCCTCCAAATCCTCCGAGCCCATCCGCTTTGAGCTCTCTACTGCGGAAGAACTGGGATCGAACCTCGACCAGCCTATTGCCGCCGGCAGTGTCGACCTTATCACTGCCGCCACTGCCGCTCACTGGTTCGACATGTCCAAGTTCTGGTCGCGGGCGGCACAGGTTCTCCGGCCTGGTGGTACTGTGGCGATCTGGACCAGCAGGTTCAATTTCGTGCATCCTTCCATGCCGAATCGTGACGCCGTGCAGGCGCTCGCCGATGAATTCCACGACAAGTATATACGGCCTTATGCCCAGCCCGGCAGCATGCTTTCTCAGAATCTCTACGTGGATCTTCCACTCCCCTGGACGCTTGACGAGCCGGTTGCCGGTTTTGACCAGGAGACCTTCTACCGCAGGGAGTGGACGGGAGAATATGATAGCGACCGGTTCTTCGCTGATCAGGCTGCGGTCGATCTGGATACCATGGAGAAGATGTACTCGACCGCCAGTTCTGTCGTGCGGTGGAGAGAAGCGCATTCTGATGCCGCCGGGACGGAGCGGGATGTCTTGAGGATATTCAGGAGGAGTCTCGAAAAGCTGCTGCATGAGGCGGGGGTGGAACACGGCAAGGAATGGGTCAGGGGTAGCGTGGGGGGTGTTTTATTAATGGTGAAGAAGAAAGCTTGATGTTGTAGCAAGCTCCCAGGCACCAAGGGACATGCCACCTTTCTCTTTTGGACACACACTTAGTAGATGTCTATTTGATGAAAATCCTTTGGACCTACCTGATGATTTGGTAACGAGTAGCTCTATCTATCTCATAATGAATCTGCTCGGGGGAGAACTTTGACGGGCAAGATTTAATGAGCTGGAAGTTACAAATACTTTCAGACGTCAGGTTACCTGAAGAAGAGCTATTACTATACACGGTTCTGATTAACCTTGGCTTTTACAGAGCTATTTGCGTGTTAGTAATGTATTAGCTCTGTAACGGTTGGGACGTTTGGAAGGAGCGGAGTATTGAAGCTCTTCAGGACAGCACAGATTTCACGATAAATATTTGCACTCTCCTGGGCTACTCTGATTGACTGGGGATTGGGTGTGATTTCCAGATCACACTACCCTATGTATGTGACATACTGATGCTCAAGCAAACAAGCCGCTTTTTTCCGTTTACACAGATCGTGATAATCGTTCACTATTTATTGCGGCATCCTTCTGAGTACCAAATAGATGAATCAACATGCCAAGTCTCGAGGTATACTGCAAGAGACCAAGGTGGTAGCACTTGAAGCGACTGGTCCCTTTTTAACTTGTTATGTGCTGAAGCAGGCAAGGCAATCATAAAGTCATCATCATTACTTCATACTTGGATCGTTACGAGGGCATTGCACATGGCGGATCTTGTGCATATGAAACGCATGGTCTACAAGATATTTGACATGTCAAGTGGGTGACAACATAAATGGCGCCGCGAAGGGTGAAAGGATAAAGTAACACTGGGTTAGCCTGGTACCGCAATGTAGTAAACCGACATAAAGTAGCTACTCAAACGCAGTAACAAATATATTCGTTTCTGCCTGCGATCAAGGTCACAGATACACCTTTACAATATTCAAGTTCGGTCCAATTCTGGTACATGGGGGGGTTGTTATACCTAAATGCACTGTTTGTTTTGTTTTCTGCCTGGAGTATAGTGAAGGTTTATTAGGCGGCTGATAAGTTGATGACGAACCTGCTTAATTCATATCGGACTTGTTGCACGCTATATCTCTGATCTCATCAAGCTCAAAGGGGTAAAAGTGGCCACAAGGTCCTCAACTACAGAAAAAAGTGCCTTTTGGCTGCACATTTAAGTCAGTTGCTGATACGCCAGAAGTTTCGTTCCCGAAGTTCTAACAGTTGGCCGTGCACCAAGGGTTTGGTGCGCAGGGTCCATCCATTATCAGTCAACTGGCTGTAATAGCTGTAAACGGAAAACACAGTTGTTGGAGTTCGAAGGCCGGTGCGGTCCAACAATTAAGATGCCGAGTTCATGTTTCTACTGTCACTGCTATTTCTCACTCACCCCATGTTGACACCATATGTCGAGAGGAACATTACATGACATATCCTATTGATCTAGCTACCATACAAACTGCCTATTCCCTTGGAAATTCCGACCCAGTTGTGACAAACGCATCTAAATGAACCCATGATTCTTATACACCTGAATCATATTGGCCAACGTTTTCAGCAGCCACGTAACTGTTCCAGTTGGCGCAAGTGGAGCTGAGCGTATCGTAATCATATGTCATCTCGGACTCACGCTCGAGCAGCTGCACCGCAAAACCTTCAGATGTATGCCAAGCAATGTGGCAATGCATAAGCCATGCTAGAAAAATCGAAAAAGAAAAAGTCAGCGAGAATCTTATCAAAGTGGGAGAGGCCAGAGGGGAAGGAGCAGAGCCAGTTCTTACCACCAGGGTTATTCGTCTGCAAAGCCACCACCAAATAGCCACTTGCAGGCATCATGGCTACGTCTCTCCGAGGAGAATTCACAAGCTGCAAGCTCCTCGTCTGGTTCGAGTCAAAGTTGCCGTAGCCCGAGGCTAGGACCCAGAAGTCGTGGCCGTGGAGATGCATGGGGTGGTCCTGCCATGCGTTAGATTGGATTTTCCAGTCGTAAACAAAGGAGACATGGACACCTGTGGACTTAAACTTACTTGGGCAAAGGGTGAGTGAATAATCATGTACACCCACTTGTCCGCATCCGGGAGTTCAATAACGTGCTGTTTGGTAGCCCACGTGTCGTTGCCCTCGGCCACTTGCAGCAGGGTTGGGTAGTCCCACTCGGTATGGAACGAAGTAGCGTTGACGGTCCAGAGCAGAGCGTTCTCGGTCACTTGGACGCCAATCTCCGAATTGTCATCGAAAGAGCTGGTATCGGGTGCGTCGATGACGAGGTAGGGCACCAAGTTAGACGAGGCCTCATCAAGGCACGAGTCACTGTAGCTGTATGCCGAGGTTGTCGGGTCTGCAGTCGAGTTGCCGTAGCGAACAATACCCTTGACGTTATCCACGGCGTCTGTCTCGGAGCAGGATTCCTGCGGGATGGCACGAAGCCAGAAGTTGCCACTGGTGATGTCCTTGGCCGTGACAATGACGTCGTATCGCTGGCCCATGCCGATGCTCACTTGGTCCGTGGTGTATGGCACAATGGGAACGAAATCCGTTGAGATGACCTCGAGGGTGTGGTTGTCGATCATGAAGCGGAAGTGGCTATCAGCCGCGGCGTTGACGAGGCGGATACGGTATCTTGTCCCTGCTTCAAAAGTGGTCTCGAAACGGGATCCCATGGTGTCGTTGTAAGTGTTCGTCCCGTTGATGAGGCCATTATCCGCCGTTGGCGGTCCACCGGTGGCGGCTTTCAAGACCAGTTCATCGGCCGTGCTCTGGATAGCATGTCAGCATGGAGTCAAGGTAAGAAGGGGCTAGAACGTACGTGGTACCAGTCGTTCAAGAATATGTGTCCAAGATCAACATCGTAATTGGCAGTTGCCGGGCCGTTGACGATGATGCCGCCAAAAACTCCATCCCAGGCTTGGACGTAGAAGTGGCTGTGGTACCATCCCGTGCCGTACTGGACTGCGCGCCACGTATAAGTGGCCGCATCGCCCGGCGCGATGGGGCACTGGGTAATACTGGGCACGCCGTCCATCTCGGACGTCCAATTCTGGCGAATACCGTGGAAGTGAATACCGGTACCGTTGTTCTGTAGTGAGTTGGATACATGCACAACTGTGATGTCAGGCATTAGTATAGGGCTCCACAATGCAACAAGAAAAGGCAGTTTGCTACTTGCCGACGGTATCGCCCCAATCGGCTATAATCGTTGGCCCCGGGAAGGACCCATTGATGAGCTGGACCGGCATCTCGAAGCCATCCGGAGAAGCTGTGGTGTTTTCGATATTGAACCAATATTCTCGCACAACGCCAGTGTCGGGCACATTCTCGTAGTAATTAGTAGAGAGGTCGTAACCCTCGCTCCAGCATGACCTATCTGAGGCACTGTTGACGCATGTTGTGTCGTTTCGGGCGTCTAATGTCAAGGCGGCGCCGAACACGCCCGGCAAGGCAGCGAAGGACGAAAGAAGAGTGATTAGGGTAAACATGATAACGACGGTATGGATGCCGGATGACGACTATCAGGAACAAACGAGTGAAAGTTGTGCAATACAACTAGAATGAGTGTAAAGGTTATCCTCTATCATTCAAGCCTCAAAAGCTAACATACTGTAGAGTATATAATAAGGTGTAGAGCAGGCGCTCTTCGGCTGTCGCTAGGCGTTCACAGCTAAGCAATGGTGAATCTCAATAGTGCGTTAGCACGGCCGTCTCCATATCTAATTCCACGTAATCCGCGGGCAGGGCACCGCAGATCATCCGTCATCCTCAGCTCGCCTGCCAACTTTCAGTACTAACCCCTTATCCTTCTGTCCGTGAGCGTAGTCGTGAAAGGACCAATGCCATTGTTTCAGAGTGCTCATGCAATCCAAGGAATCAGGGGAGTTCTGCTCAGACCGCTCGACAGCTGATGAATCGAGTACGCAAACAGTGAACAGAAACAAACACCCGAGATCGGACTGCCTGAGTTCCGGCGGACAACTCCACTTGACAGCAAAAGGAGAATATCGCATATCATGAGAGTGACTTTCGTTTCGTCAAAGTACGCTAGAAGAACGAGAAGGCAGGATAATTTAGAGATTGCGATCAACAGTGGACGTGGGCCATGGGATGCTTGCACCAATAAGCTAGTCATGCCGCATGTATAAATGCTTATATTCTGATGACCAGCCCCACTGCAGCGGGGGTGGACAGGGGACTTTACGCGGCCATACTGTCAAACGAGCATGATATGGCTCCGGTGGGTCTCAATCACCACTACAAACGCCAGTATAGTTGTAGTGTAGTACGTAGTGACTGCTGAAAACAAGAAACCTACATATGGATGGACTACGGAAAGATTGCTGCCAGGTTACCAGATCGATAAAGAGCCCGGGTTCAATTGCGTCCAACGACCAAGTCATGTTGACAGCTTGCACGTAAGAAACGTGTTCGACCCAGGGAGAAACTTGATCGAATGCAACACGCATGTTTTTGATCGTGTTCCTTTCTGTCATCCGTGATACAGGCTCCAGGTGAACACAGCCACCCGGGCAACGTATTCATATCGTCTCTCCTCATCTTATTTGCCGAGTTGTGCTGGACCTACGTTTCATCTGTGAACAATTGTGGCACTGCCGAACTGGTGGACTCGCTTAACTGGCGGGTTCACCTAGCCAATCCGCAGTTTTGTTTTGTTGCTAAGCATTGAGATTTCACAGCCGTTAAGGTTAATCTCTAGTGTCTCTCCAAGGTGCTAGTGAGAAATATGATGATGAAGCTTGCGACTGGACAGGCCCACATTCCGTACAGTTACGCGTCGCAAGGCTCATTCATGGGGATCGAAGGGCTGGATTTGAGCTTTCCCTGCGTGCTGACATCGTTTGATTGGTGCAATCAGAGTGGTGGGGTCACTATAGGATGTGCATGGGCTTTAAAAGCTCGAATATACCCGCTTGCAGGACCACATAATGCCGAAATTAATGGTGGGTTGTCTACGGTATGGCTCAAAAGCCAATTATGAATAGCAATGAGAGGTGTGGTCTCATTAGAACGATATTCAAATGACCGCCTGGCACAGTGAGCTCTGTCGACGTATTGCCGTCGTGTGTGACTATTAAGTCCCTGTCTTGTTCGTCTTGTTCTCGTTCCCGTCCTTGACTTCCAATGACCCACCAATCAGGTTAACCACATTCGTTTCACGTCATTTATTCATAGTCACTCTTTTCCGCGCAAGATAGACACGTTTGATACCCGAAACTATCGCTCTCAGGTGCTTTCCCATAATCCATCTAACACAATGCAGCTGCATAGCTTTCTCTCCCTCCTCTCCATGCAAATCGCCGTAGGCGCTGCTTTCACCATCCCAACCGGCACGTTGATGAAGCGCAAGCCCGAGACAAATGCCACCCTCTTTGCATACGGCGCCAACTCCTCGGCCTGGCCCATCGCATACGGCCTCAACGATGGTATATACCAGACCTGCTCTTACTCTCAAATATACAGTCTGGACCTCGGGTACTAATAAGGCCGTGCTTCTTATTTATAGGACTTTTATACATCTCCCAAACCCCTGATAACATCACAACGAACATCCAGCTCACTCCCATCACGTGGGATCTGCCTTCCATCACAGGCGAAAACTGGATTGTCAACGGCACGTTCGTTAACGGCACCACGGCGGGGTCCATGTTCATCAAGCCCGAAGACTCTAACGCTGTGGGCGTCATGAACATGACCCGCATCGCCTACAACAACACCAGCGTCACGGGCTTCGCACTGTTCGCCACGCAGCTGGTCTACAACAATAACTCGCAGCTTGAGGCGCAGTTCTGGGCCGAGTTGACTGACGTGGATGGCATTTACGCCCTGGTATGGAACTCGGACGGAGATGTTACCGATGGCAGTTTTCCCGTCGTTGTGAAGGGGGTTGAGTATTAATTGCCAAGATGAAGGTAACCTGAGATGCTAGAGGGGAGAGGAGCAAGCTTTGGAAGCAATAATGCGACATTGTGAGATGGGACGCGGACAAGATTCGGGATCACTTCTCTGGGATAGTATAGGATCACCCAATGACTTAACTTGGTCTGGCTATTCCGTAGGCTACCAATCAACATCAAGGGCGCGTCAAATTATGCAGCCAACCAATCATAAAGTGCAAGTACAGTATGCAATTCTTGTGAACATTTTCGATACATCAGATACCTACGTACATAGCGAGGTACTTTTACCCCTCCATTAGCGTGGCTGGGTGAGAGCAGTGGCGACAGCGGGGTAACTCCGATTTTCTGGAAATTTACCTCGACCCAACGCGACGGAATGGTTTCCCCATTGTTCATCCAAACCCTTCATGAACTAGATTTACGTAAAAAAAAAAGTCTCGAGACACACACACGACTGCCTGTAATCCTTGGCAGACAACACGAATCGAGTGAACGGCAGGCTACTATTTCATCTGCACATCCACCAAAGTCCACCGACATGCAGCTCGTTGGGTCCAAGTCGGCCCAGCGCCTCAACGACCTCGCAGGCGGCGAGGGCAGTGTGTCCCTCCTTCCCGTCGAGCCCGAAGACATGTGGCACGCCAACAACCTCATCAGTCCCGAAGACGTCATCAAAGCGCACGCCGTCCGCAAGGTGACGACGCAGTCCGCAACTGGCAGCACGCAATCCGAGCGCGTACACACCGACCTGACGATCCGCGTTAAATCCACCTTCTTCGACACGGCCGCCTCGCAGCTGCACGTCTCGGGCGCCGTCATCGTCGAGAACAGCTTCGTGAATGTCGGGCAGTATCATACGCTGGATCTCGAGCTGAACAGGCAGTTCACGATATGGAAACAATACGGTTGGGACTCGGTCGCATTGGAGGAGTTGCAGTCGGCGATTAAGACGGATAAAGAGGGCGCGGTGGCCGCGGTCGTTATGCAGGAGGGCATCGCGAACATTTGTCTCATTACCCAGTACCGCACGATCCTCAAACAACGCGTCGAGCACACGGTACCGAAGAAGCGATCCGCGTCGTCGGATCAGGAGAAGGGCATGAAGGCATTCTACAAGAAAACGCTGGACTCGCTGACTAGGAATATCGAGTTCGGCGTGCCGCGGCCGCTGCTCCTCGCCAGTCCAGGCTTCGTGGCGGGTGATTTCAAAAAGTACATTAGCGAGGAGGGCACCCGGTCAGGGGATAAGAAGCTGATGGCCATGGCCAAGGAGGCAACGGTGGTGCACTCTAGCTCGGGGCATTTGCACAGTCTAAACGAAATACTTAAGAGCCCCGAGGTGCTAGCGACGATGAAGGAAATGAAGTTTAGCAAGGAGACGAGGTTTATGGACGAGTTCTTTGACCGGTTACGGAAGGATGACGGGAGGGCGTGGTATGGAACTTCGACTGTGACGAAGGCGGTTCAGGAGGGCGCGGTTGGGATTGGCGGTGGGGTTTTACTTGTTAACAATTCCCTGTTTCGAAGTCTGGACATTGCGACGAGGAAAAAGTACGTTGAACTCGTAGACCAAGTCAGGGCGGAAGGGGGCGACGCGAGGATACTAAGTTCGGACCATGAGAGTGGACAGCGGTTGGACTCGTTGGGAGGTATCGCGGCCATTTTAACGTATCCGATTCATGACTTGGATGAGGATGAGGAGGATACAGCGCAGAACAATGGTGATGGGGAGCAGGAGACGATCATATAGGTTCCAGGAGAGTGTCAAATAAATCAATTAACACCCAAGGTTTACCCTTCGGATATCACGAAGTCCATTCCTGTGCGATTCCGCTTCAAGTTACACAGGATAAACTCTTGAGGGAAAAGACCATGGCCCGCCATAGCAATGTCTTCAGGTTCGAGGGAATTCAACAGTACAAACCTCCCCCCTAAAAGACTGAGAGGCCAGAGCACAATCTCTTTAAGCACCTAGGCAAGGTATTCCTGCACCAAACCTAGAGACATCTACCGCATAAATCGAGTAGATTCACTGTACGTTTCCGTACGTACCTCCATAGAAAACGCGGGAGATCTACACGTAAAAGATTTCAATTGGTTAAAGTCCTCGGTTTGATCACCGTGCTCCACTGTGCCGCCAGGGCTTCCCATATATGTGGTAAAAATAGATTTGCAGAAGTATGTAGCGAATCTGTCCAATTTCCACAGCAATGTGTTTCAAGGTCTTCATTATGATTTGGAGGTCGTCTTCCGTGTAAACGACTTGGCTGTGGTATACTTCGGGCGGCGACTTTCCGCGAGAACCTGTAACGAATAGGGAAGTTTCGCGGACTTCAAATGACCGGGTCCTCGGCTCGGTATCGTTCTTGCAGAGGGTCCTCACGTCCTCTGTCCATTTCGCCCTGCTGACAGCTGAAGCCGACCGGTCTGGACACACATCAGCAGTCATATTGATAGTAGGTCAGACCACCTTGGCCCCGGATATGACGGTTTCCATATGCGCTTTCGGATACTCGTAAGCACGCCAACACGCGCTTGTCTATGTCAAGAAACCCGGGATTCCCAAGGACTGACTCGAGGCTTGGGAGGAACGAATCGTCGACGGATGGCCGATTTAAGTGGAAAGAAACGGCTGAAAGCGACCAGGATCTGCCTTTCCGGGCTGTGTACCTCTCCAGGCGTGCACATTGTGAGCGGATAAGATATGCTATTGAAGCAGCTGATCCACGTACACAAATTGTGTGAGAAATGAAGTACCGGTTTACTTGACCACAGGTGTAAGACCAAGCGTTGTGGGGGTTGTAACACGCTAACAACCTGCATGCCTGGGGAGCTGTACCGTGGCCGGTGGAGTTGCGAAGTACACGCTAAAACGTCATGGTTTCCGAAGCAGCCTCAAGCTAGACCCCGGGCGCATCAAATCAGACGCATTGATCTGCAGAGGGCATGGGAAAGTGTGTTTTCCACTTGCAGCCATGGCCGAGTGCGAATCACAGGTCATTGACTGTTGGTTTACGTTTCCCACCACCACGATTTCAATTGCGTCACGCGTACTACAAGTATAGCATCCCCTAATATCTACCACAGTACTATATCGAACTTGCAAACAACGCAGCATTCCTATCTTACTCCATGAAACGGATTCGCACTAAAGTTCCAAGGCGTCGTCTGAGGATCCGCTAGATTACTCCTATTTTATTCCTAGGTCCCTTGGTGGCCAGCCCCGTAGGCAGCCGAATTCTACAAAATCCTTCCATCCTACGAAGCGGCGCAGACGACGCCGATGCTTTTTCGCAGTCACTGCAGCACCGTCGGCCATCACATTGCATGCGACGATCCGAACGACCAACGAACGAATCCAATCATCGCGCCGAAGTTGTACTCGAACGGTAAAGTCGGCCCCGAGCGACTCAGTATATACCCGTACCCGCCGGCGTTGTCGCTAAACGCACTCCGCCGCCCGCCGTCGAACCCGGCGCACCGTTAGCTCTTCTTCTTGCCTCCCTGTCGTCTGTAGCAACACCGCCGCTTCGCATTTGCGTACGACAACAAACCCCGCGGATTCGCACTCGGCCGTATCAGATGCCGTCGCAGCGTGGAATATGTCGAATCCAATAACGCCAGCCATCATGACCCCCCGCAACGAGGAGGGCAACCTGTCTGCGCATTCGTTGGGCGTTGCACTCGAGGACAACTTGGCCGACTCGCATACCGCGGGCACCCCAAAGCCTTTGACGGCGACCAGTCTTCCGCTATTGCCGACTCTTGCTGCGTCCGACGGTCCAGGTACGTGTTTGCAATCCTCGCCATGCGATCCTTGCAAAGGATTCATGTCCCTTCACATACACAGCCCCTAAGATGGAGTCTTGACGGCTGGCCCATGCCAAGTATGGCTGTCATTTCTCCCACGGCCCGCAGGCTCGAGGCACAGCCCTGGGAAGACAATCAACTATGCCCTCGTAGCAACTGGCCTTGGCTATACTCGATGCGCTGTTCGTGCTAGAATGAACGATACCGCAAACACATCTGATACTAACGGCGCATGCGCAACAGGCAACAGTCAAACACCATCGTCCATCCCTGGCAAGAAGTCGCCTATTAAGTTTCCGCGCAAGGAGACTCCCGCAAAGGATGGAGCAAGTAACGACCCTCCAGCGACAGCTATTGACCCTCTGTCACACGTTCGTCTCCCTCGAGAGTATACTAGCGAAACTCAATCACATGCAGCGGTGGCTAACACTGGCGTCAACCAGCACATATTCGTGAGGACAAATACCGAAAAAACGCTTTCACATCGCCTGCTTGGAACGGGCAGACCAGACAGCCCAGCCAATGAGGGACCAGGTCTCCCCAGACCAAGCGCCGATCTCTCTGCGAAGCCGTCTACACCCCAGGGCGACCAAGGAAAGGACAAGAAGTACGTGACCAATGCCGACCGACACTCGAGGATAAGGAGCTGCACGGGATGCTAATGCGCATAACCCACAGGAAGGGAGGCAGCTTCCTCAGTCGCTTAGGCATGATTGGCAACAAGAAGAAGGGTGATGTGAACGACGACGACTCTGAGATCAGCGAACTACGAACCGAAGGCGCCAATGCCGTCGCCTTCTCCTCGACCGTCGGGGCCGCCGGCTACATCCCCCATCACAAAGAGCCTCCACGGTACATCAGGGTACGAGCCAACAACAAGAAGGTGAAGGAATTTAACCGCATGTTTCTCGCTCAAGAGCTTGTCGGCACACGTCTACCAAGCGACCACCACAGCAGCAAGAACCGGGCGATCGACGCAGCACCCGTGAAACCGGTGCATGGATTTGGGCGCAAAGACGTACACACGGGCGGTCCGATCTGGGCGGCAGAGTTCAGCAGGGACGGCAAGTACCTTGCAACAGCCGGCCGGGACCGCGTCGTGCGGGTTTGGGGTGTTCTTGCGACGGCCGAGGACCGAAATGCGCACCAAGATGCTGAGAAGGATGCGTGCGACGGCGCGCACTTGTCGGCACCCGTCTTCCACTCAAAGCCCGTTCGCGAATTTACCGGACACGAGGGCGAGATCCTCGACCTGAGTTGGAGCAAAAACAACTTTCTGTTGTCGTCCTCGATGGACAAGACAGTTCGGCTTTGGCACATGAGCAGGAACGAATGTCTCTGCTCTTTCAAGCACAAAGACTTCGTCACTTCTATCGCGTTTCACCCGCGTGACGACAGGTTCTTCCTGGCTGGGTCACTCGATAGCGCGCTAAGGCTGTGGAGCATCCCTGACAAAGCAGTCGCTTACTCGAGCCAGTTGGCGGACCTCATCACGGCCGTGGCTTTCTCTCCCGATGGGAAGACAGCCATAGCCGGCTGCTTGAATGGGATATGCAACTTCTACGAAACAGAAGGTCTGAAGTTCCAGACGCAAATCCATGTCAGGTCGTCGAGGGGAAAGAACGCCAAGGGAAGCAAGATCACGGGCATTCAGTGCACTGATGTACTGTCCCCGGGGATATCCGTCGGTGGGGACGTGTTATCTCAGGGAACGAATGGGGCAATTTCCCACAATAGTGATGGAGGCGAAGTCGAAGGGGCAGGGGAAGGGGAAGTCAAGGTCCTGGTGTCTTCGAACGACTCGAGGATACGAATCTACAACCTTCGCGGAAAGGAGCTGGAAACAAAGTTCAAAGGGCACACAAACAACTGCAATCAGATCCGGGCGTCATTCAGTGATGATGGACAATATGTCGTCTGTGGTAGCGAGGATCGAAGAGCATTCATATGGTCCACGGAATCTTCTCTGGCGGAGAACAAGGACAAGCAAGACAAGCGACCCTGCGAATACTTCGAGGCTCACAGTGACGTGGTCACGCAGGCCGTGTTTGCCCCTACAGGGAGTCGGCAGCTGCTACAGACCAGTGACGATCCCATCTTCACTCTCTGCAACCCGCCCCCAGTCACTCTAATAAGTAAAGATGAGGCTACAGTCAGCCAGACGACGTGGCCAAATCTCGACAAAGCTGAGGCAGTGCCCAAGATCAATAAACCCGAGGAAACTCCGGCTTTCATAGCAAGGAGCAAGCATCAGGATGGACACATTCTGGTCACAACTGACTATGCCGGCATCATCAAAGTGTTTCGACAGGACTGTGCATTTGCGAAACGGAAACATGAGACATGGGAAACTGGCTCATCTTTCTCGAAAAGGCTCGCTAGGGACAATGTTCTAGGTAGAACTGGAAGCATTATTACCCAAACCAGCACCAGCTCTATTCGAGGTCCACATTCGAGGCGCAGCAGTATTGTTGGCCAGCCCCCGTCTGTAGTCCCAGGAACGCCTCAACTGAGCTCGGATCGGATTATTTCCTGGCGTCAGGGCATTGAGGGCAACGGTAACAGTACGAGCGTAAGCAGGCCCACCTCGATGACAATGACGCCACCTACGCGGAGTGAACGATCCGTAAGCCCAGCCAAGGCGCGCACACCAGCTACGAACCTAGCCTCTGAAGCCCGACGGCAGCCCTATGTCAATAGCAGTCCGATGCTGGGCCCAGTCAGTCCAACGTCCAGCATAACGAAAGACAGCATTTACATCACGCCCGTGAAGCAGGTCACAAAGGGTCGCCCTCCGAAACTGGAAAAAATCAAGGACAAACAGGATGAAAAGGAGAAGCAGGATAAGCAGCAACAGCGGCCGGGCATACCTCCAACCCCGAGTTTCTCCTTCCTCGGCCGGGATGACGAGGAGAAAGAAAACGAGGAAAAGGCCAACCTGAATGGGGACACAGTATCTGTCGATCCCGCTACAGGCGGCCAGAGTTCTAGCTTCTGGAATTTAAGTCGCTGGAAAGGTTTGGGCATGGGGAAACAATCCGATAAGGGCCACAGTAGGGCAAATAGTGAAGCCTTCAAGCTCGCGGAGGCGGACTCAGAGAAACCCAGGCGGAAGAGTGAGGGTGGGCATATCCTCTCCGCCACCTCGCAACAGAGAACTGACCAAAACGTAAAGGACTCTGATAAAACCGGGCGACCAAGCACACCAGGCGGCCGAGGCACCGGCGGTGGAGATGGAAAATACGACAGCGGGGACGACAACAACCATGTGAACTTGGACCTTGCGTCGCCGGACATTATTGGTTCAAGTAAGGGTCACTCTGCGAGGGGGATGACAACCTACCAAAGCGGGAGGAGGGATAGCATCGTGAGTCGGCTGACGTCGGAGCTGACGTCGGAGTGGTGCAGCGAGGGCGGCTCCGAGGAGGAAATGCGGTGTACATGCGGCAGTTTTGAGTTCAAGGCCAAGAAGATGATGGGTAAGCAGCGGTTCATGTGTGTGAGGTGTGGGAGAATGGCAGATGCGTAGGGGCGTGTGCCGATCGCCAGGAGAGGCAAGTCGAGAGAGAGAACAAGAGGGAGAGGGGAAAGGAAGATAGCTTCGGCACGGCATCGCATGAGAATTTGGTGTTTGTTTGGGTGTTAAAAAGGCGGATAAGGAGTATCACAAAGGCATGAGACTAAGCATGAGGATGCGTAGATACCCCCTGAACATATAAATATTGAGAATCGTTTGATGGAATGGCTTCAGAAAGTGGTGTCTATGTTGCCTCGTCGTGTGACTTTATTTAATTTCAAGGGACCGACCCCTCATTACGGAACAACCTGAATGTACGTTTGTCCAAGAATCACCAGCCAGCCTCATTAGTTCCACAGATCCTATTGGTCCGGGGATGGAAAAGGCATCCCTTCCACACTGGTCTAGTGACTGACGGGTGAATACAGCGCCCCATTGCTTTGTTGATGTCGGTCTGCCTCAGGCTTATATCAAACCAGGTGATATGCGTTATGAATTTTAGTTTGTGCGTGGTACTTACTTGATTACCTGGACATTGCCACGTATCTGATCAGTAGATGATCCTATCTTCGATCTAACCTTTCTTCTACTTTCTACAACAAACTCGTCCGACTCGGATCCCTCTTTCCTCAAAGATATACAGGGAGAACTAATCATGGTAACAAATTATACCCCCTGCCATGTGACCCATGATACTACCACCCCCAACCTCAAACTCTTCCCCGTGTCCACCAAACTCACCTGGGTCCTCACGATCAGCACTTGCCCAAGTGTCGACACTGCCGTGAATCGGTGCTGCGCGCCTAACCCTGTCAATCTGACAAACCGCTGCTGACTGTGGCGCGAGGCTCCCGGTCAGTGTCCGAAGAATAATTCGCTCTTTAAGGGCTTTGCGTGGTACTTGGGGAGGCAGAAAGAGGAAAGGGGTATTGCGGGCCGGTTACGAGGCGTGTGGCGGATTCGGATGTGGAAGGGGCGAGAATGATATGGATAGAGGGCGTTGGTTGTCTGGGCCATGATGGTAGCAATAGTGGTTATCGGGTAGGATGGGAGTAAATTGAACCCGGGTTAGCAATGAATGTTGGAATAGGCATGTTTTAACATGTAAAAGGAAAAGCTATGGAAGATATGTAAGGTGGAGTATAGCTTGTACTCCGCATACAGAGCAACATTGCGAGTCGAGATGTGCAACAAATAGGGGTAAATCGCACCGACCCCTGAAAGTTAAGAAACGTCATTATTCACAGTGTCACATTCAAGTTGAGATGACACCACATGACGACTGGTACCTATCTGGACAATTGAATTTCCTCACAATTTACCGAAAGTCCAAGATTCATTGTTTGACTACAAAAGAACTACAGAAGAACCCCTACTTTCTGGCCCCCTTCTTCCCACTACCCCCGCGTCCAGCAAACAGAGCCTCAATGCCCCTACGCTCACCAATCCCCGAGCTCTGACACCCGCCACTGACAATCCACCACAGATCCTCCATGACGACCGTCCCATTCGGATCAATCATCTCCGCGCCGTCGATAGCCCCAGCCGCAAACGCAACAGCAAGCTCGACCCAAGTGCGAACTTCATCCGCACTGCGACTGCCGGGACACTGGCGGAACTCGAGCGTTCCCGTGCTGCCCTCGTACGCAAGGTTGGAGAAGTCCCACTTGTAAACACCATGGATGAAGTCCTCGGTGTACCCGTTGGCGCGGCCGTAGGCCGAGGAGGCCGGATACAGACACATGGTGCGGACGACGTCGATGGGGTCGGAGCAGTAGTCTAGGTACTCGAAGCACTGTGCCATGGAGAGGGACTTGAGGACTGGGTTGGCGCGGTTACTCTGGCACCAGTAGGAAGAGGCGCGGGAGGCGGGCAGGAGGGCATCGAGAGCAGGCTCGAAGTAAAGGATGGATTTGGCGATTGCGGAAAGCTGGGTGGCGGATAGAGTCGGGGAGGTGCTGAGGTGGATGTGCGTGCTGGTGTTGGCCGACGCAGACAGGGTGAATGACGACTTTAGAGTTTTGAAGACGACCGAGAGGTGCGTGACCCAAGCCGTGTCCGTGGCGAGGATAGGAGAGACGAGCTCTAGGCCCCCTGATCATGGCTTTGGGTCAGTGGAAGTTGGCAGACCGGAAAGGGGCCAGCTGACAGAGGTTCTTCCCCGCTTGGGTGGGCACAGTGACCTCCTGCACAATGGACCACTCTTGGTAGTTCTCGAGTGACTTGTCGTTGCTCTCGTTGACATGGTTCGGGATACCGGCCTTGGCGAGCTTGGTGCTCACCTCTGCGGCCAGAGACATCCACGACTTATGGTTCTTGGAACGGCTGCCAATGAGCAACTCGATCTCGATCCCGAACTGGAAGGCACACTGGCTTGCCATGGTCAGAAGATGGGGGGGGGAGGGTGGGGAGTATAGAGAGAAGTGGTGTGTCAGTCCAAAGTAAGTACCGAGTGTCGAAAACAAGAAGGAGGCAGTGGAAGCGTTGATGCTCCTCCATTTCCCTCCGTTAACCAACCTTGAACCGCCATCTTTATATCCACCTCAGTCACTCCGTGACGGAGCAGAGACACGGGTGGGGCCTGGGTACAAACGCTGAGCAACGACGACGGTGTCTGAACTGAAACATGGCCGACTCCACAGTTCCTAGGGACAAAGACTACTAGTCTCGGTGAGCGCTAGCGAGCAAACTTCATTGGAGATGTTTCCCCTATCTTGCGAGATGCCGTTCGTCTCTTGCCTCTTCCAGAGATTCCAGACAGGCCCAGGACGCGAGAGCCGTGTCCGAACTCTAGCAAGAGGGCTCCCAACTCACTTGACGAGAGACCGAGGAGAGACAAGTGGACGAGGATGAGCGAGCAGTGAAACTGGTGGGCCGTGACTCGAGGATATCCAGAAGGGAGAAGTGAAACGAGGTGCCCTGAGTTGACCCAAAGAAGCGAGATAAGTGGCCCCCATCCTGCTGACGATGCCGTTATGACCGACGCCGTCATGGGGGAAGCGCGCACCTTCTCTGGCTCCAGCATGGGCCAGCCCGGCAAATCCATTTCGACGGAATGTTGGCCGTCATGGTCCACCAGCTGGAAACGCACGCCCTATCCCTTGGCTCGTTTGGGGATGGTGCAGCTGCCACGGTCGAAGTGACCCATTGCAAAATCGGAGGGTCGCACGAGACATGATTCGAGCCGACAACCGAAAGTCCACGAGCAGCCACGACGTTGCGTGAAGGGCATCGAGACAAAGACGTCTGGCGAGGCAGGCAGGCAAGCGGAACGAGGTGAAAGTCGATGGCCCATCCAGCCTCGCTAGACACACCGAAAAGAGACGTCTTAGATCTGACCCAAGACCAATCAGGTCCCGCCAGCGGAGGTCAGCTAGCCGGGCATAGACAGAGTGTGTGCAATAAGCCAACAAGACTTCCCTCAATGCAGTCTTATTTTGTCTGATAAGACGGTGATGTCCGCCACCAAGTTCGAGCGAAGCGGCTCCGTCGACAGGATGGTGCCGTCTTCTGACTGGCTGCGCTGAAGGCTGTCGTTGGAAGCGTTGTTGGTGGGGTCCAAGAGGTGCGCAAGCGGCGCTTTTGGGGCGTGCCAGACATGGATGGAAGCGACTATTTAAGCGCCCAGTCGATCAGAGAGAGCACCCGAATCTCAATCTGAGATGGCTACGATGGATCCTAGCGGAGAGCATGGCGATGGCGACCGGCAGGCATACGGGGTGTTCGGGGCATTGGGAGCGAAATTGGTGTTGCATCAGCTGCGAGGGGTCATCATCATCTCCATTCCTCCATGCAAGGCTGTGGAGGGGTTGCGACCCGTGGACGCGTTTGGCGATCACTTGATCGCGTCCTCATGCTGGCCCGACTGCGAGGTGTGCCACATCGTCACAGCGCGGAGGATGGAACCATGCCCAGTAGAGCAGAGTGCCTTATCAGCAGATGAGCAACTGTGAATACCGGAGTATATATTGCAGTGTGGAGCGCCGTGACCAGAAGACGGGAAAGCCTTGCAAGCACGAAAAGTTTAGTGCCTACAAGTGGGCCAACTGATGCTGATCGGATGAACCCTGGCCCGTGCATTGGGACTTGGCCCTGATGGCACCAGCCACCAATGCCTGTTAAAAGCAACAGCTTGAGGGGTGCTACAATACTACTGTCGTAGACTTGCCTAGTCTTCATGTTTTGACAAACCATTGCGATAGGGAGCCGTCGGCTCTCCAAAGATCCTGTCACAACTTGTATATACGATCTTCTCTAATAAAGCAAACACGGCACCGCGCGATATTATCATTTGCAAATGTCAGCGGGACCTCGCATTACAGATAACAGCAGGCCGGCATGACCATGGCGGAGGTGTTGGTGCCGGCTGTGGTGGACCCGCCACCGTGTTCTGGGTTTTTGCGCTCTTTTAAAGACAGTCGCGGCAGATGGGATCTCTGGCCACTCGGACAGCGGGATACATGTGAAGACCCTCTTCTTGGACTTTCTGTACATGGAACCTGGCATCGTTCCGCTGGGACTGTACCCACGCGGTGACTAGCCCACCGAAGACTATCTTGCTATAGAGAAGTACGATGATGTTGCGGCCGTCTCCCGGAACCCACTGGCAGCTCTAGACATTGTTGGGTATGCCCGCCCACAAATATCCTCATGGCAAGTTTCTACGCAAGAGGATTAGAGAGATCGACCTAGTTGAAGTGCTGGATCTGCCAGGCGTCCTCCACGTTCAGTCGATCGGTTGCCATACATTAAGGACTACGCCGGAGAGAATGTGTTTGCAGAATAGACGGAACAGGCCAAGGAAAGTAGAAAGGAGCTTGGGTTCCCAGGGGCACGCAGATTCCGATATTGAGGGCGTCTTGGCCCTGATTAGTAATGGAAACCAGGATGAAGGTCGTCCGAAGAGTTTTCCTGGACCTGGGCTTCTAGGACCTTATCTCTTGATCCAACTGTATCCCGACAAAGAAAACCACCAAAAACACCCGGTGAGGATAATCATCACGCAAACGTTCTGGCCTATAATCTAATATTCAAGCAGCAATTTCGCTACAAAAAGTAGATATTTTGTTTATACTTGGGATGGACGTACCTAGACATGCTTTACCTCTTGATCTCCACTGCAAGACCAAATAGACCCCATCCCAAACATTTCACACGGAAACCTGCGCCATTTCCTTGGACTAAGTCTGTCAATGGTAAGGGCAGGGTGACTATTTGGCACACTGAACATGATCTCGATACCCTTATGGCTACTCCATTTCTGCAATTTGAAATTGAAGCACTATGCCGTTTCGAGATGTGAGTTTACCTGATTGCGGTCGATGTGGATCCTTGGACTTATGGAAAATCGTGCCGATATCAATCTCTTGAGTTTCATCAAATTCTCCAGAGCAACACGGGCAACAAGCCCAGTGATGCTAATACGTCGGAGGCAAGGGGGTCCATAATATCCCAAGTTTGGATGTTGGCTTCACGTTTCGTGTGCTGCTTCGTGGTATCTATCCCATATCCTAGCCTGTCAAATAACATGTTGGTATTTCATCAGACACCCTATCCGTCGTCCCACTCGGTATCACCGGCACTATCTATTTTGTCGGAACACCATACACGACGGGAATAGGCCGCCAAACGCTGAACTCACTACCCGTCACCACCAATGTGCCCGGGATTTGAGGATGCCAATGGACCTCTTTAGCGTGCTCAACAATATGCTCAAACAGCAGCTGGGGTGGCATGTCTTGAACACCCGCTGTGTCCTTGCTCTCTTCATCATCCAACTCAACGGACAAATCCCACAATGTGACTTTGTTATCGCCAGCAGCGACGGCCACCATGCTGTCATCGGTCGGATGCCACTCAATGGATGTGATTTGGTCGCGATGGTAGGCAAAACTGGCAATAGGCGATGGCTTGTCCGAAGCGCCAGTTTGGGGCTTCCATTGCCTCAAATCCCAGACACCCCACACGCCATCGTCGGCGCCTGTGGCCAGAAGATGCGTTGTCAAGCGCGACCAACTCATGACGTTAACATCTGTGTTGGAGACCTGCACCGTGAGAGCAGGTTTGCGGCTTTTACTTCTTACATCCCACACGCGCACTGTGCCGTCGCTAGATGCCGAAGCGAAGACGGAAGCTTCTTGTGGACTCCATTGGATCTCCTCGACGCTGCCGGTGTGTCCCTGGAAAGCGCGCGTATCTGTCACCCAGCCGCCGCCGTCTGTCCGCGTCGTCGCGTAGATCAGGCCGTCGTTGTCACCCGTCAGTAGTTTCCCGCCGGGAACAAGTGGCGACCAGTCGAGGGCGTAGCCTTCTGACTTGTGCGCGCGGATGGTGGAGAGAGGCTTGTTTTGCTGGGGCGTGATGACGGTGCCCGGGGTATCAAAGGAGGCTAAGTGGGGTGTGATGTCGTGGATGAAGACCTGACTTGACTCGGTCATGGTTGCTGTGAAGGTCGTAGGTGGTCTCGATGGGTCTTGCGCTGGCATTCGATGTGCTCGTATGCGGTTTGTGGTGGATGTCAGGGGAATGGACTTGGACTCCAGAATGGGATCCGAGACCTCATCATCGTCATCGTCGGAATCCGAATCATCCTCCTGCCGCTCAATCTTGCTCAGACCACTGAACTTCATGACCATCAATTGGTTCTCCTTCTGGTGGGTGCTATCGGCTTGCGTTCCTGCGACGGTGTACATGGTCGCCGGGTAGACCTTCTCACGCTGGTCGCCAAGTCCGTCGCGGACAATGTCGAAGGATAGACACGGCCAAGGCGTGCTCAGACTGTGAAGCATATCGTATGTGCCAACATCAGGCGCAAGATGCTGGCCTGCCTCGAGCTTGTTCCTGCCCACAATGAAAGTGCCATTGTCGACATCCATTGCGCCTGTTGCAGCTGCGCATCAGCATAGCGCCTCTTCTCGAACACATCATGACTGCCTTACCTGCGCGCTCTTCTGCTTCCCTCTCGGCATCGGGCCGTCCATCGACACCGGCCTCGAAAATCTCGTCCTCGCTCTCGAACTCGTCTTCGAACTCATCCTCAAACTCGCCCATTTCCTGGTTGTCGTCGAGATCCATAGGTTCTGGTCGACCACCTCTCTTGAGCGGCGCATCGCCATTATCGCCGTCTGCTGTACGTTTCGACATGGTGACACAAGGTTGGAGAATCGTTATCGTGAAGATGTTGACTTGGCTCGGATTGAGGGGCAATTCCTGCAACTTTTGAAGTTGAGAGCTCAAAATATTTTTCTGCCGGACCCCTCGATTTGTGGCTTAGTTGACGTCCATGTGGCTGGGCTGCAGGGGTTCTCAAGTCTGCCGATGATTGTGCCTCACCTAAAACATCTCGCAGATCTCATGCCCACCAAATGTTCCAGACCATTATTAAAAATACACGGTTATTATTTTACACCTCGGTCAACTGGAGCGATAGTGAGGTGAAGTTCAAATGAAATCTCCTGGGAGAGGCTTTTGCAAACTGAATACGCGAGCTTCACTTTGTTTTACCAAGCATGTCAATTGGTCTTGTCGATGCAATCAGATGACTAAATCTAGGTGCGATCTTGGAGCCTGATAAACCGCCCCCATTTTTGACCTCTGTCGGCATGACCATATTTGATGATTGATGTCTCACTTGTGCCTTCTTCTTCGCCCAACTCATGATCTCATTCCCCCAACTCGCCTGGGATTTTAGAGTGACCCCTTCCCGACCTCGAAATTCGATTTCGTCTTGGATTGCACTGCATTTCCTCTTTTCGTAAAGATAATCACTTGAAACCTCCCTTTACTTCATTCACTGCGTCGTTGAAACTTCGCGTCCAGAGCGGAGCTTCCGTGCAGGCTCATTCTTCACAATTTGGCCACACCTCATCAACCCAGGCTCCCGCCTACAAGATGACCTGGGTCTTCCAACTCGGCCTCACAATCGAGTCCGTCCTCAACATCCTCGGCGCCGGTACCTTCCTCCTCTATCCAGAATGGTGCCTCTCCTACACAGTCTCCACGCCCAAGGTCCCCGCCAGCGCCGCCACCTTGTGGCAGACCTACGCCGTCTTGGTCCTCGCCCTTACGTTCCCCATTCTTCTCTGCATCCCCAACTCCAAGGGCGTGTTCGAGAAGCGCAAGATCATCTTTGAAACGCTTGTTGCAGGCGAGGTGGCCCTGGTTGGACTTTTGTTGTGGCATGCAGTGAAGCCAGCCGAGGAGAGTGGTTTTATGCGGAGTGGGCTGATCCTCGCTACACTGAATTTGCTGCCGGCTTTGACGTGGCATTCCTTCTGTATTTGGGGGGTTCCTGGGTTGATGGTGGAGAGTGGGAGTGTGGACGCAGGACGGGAAAAGGAGCTGTAATGGGCTTATCTTTGGGTCATAGTATGTCATCATTGGCATATTTCGAAGGATTGAGGGCTTGGGGGTTTCGTACGTAACATTTGGTACCAACGCTACGTTATATCATGGTCCCTTGAGAAGCTCATGTATTTTGCGTTTTTCAATCTACACATGCAAATTTCAGACTGAGTACACGTTATAATTTGCACCATGGTAGGCAGCTGGCATCTTATCGGAAAAGATACAGTTGCAATCCTCGATTTATTGAGCCTCGTCGGTAACAGGGGCGGACGGCGACGTGGCTGTATTGCAAATGTGAAGGTGCCTAGGGGACCAATATGCCAATTGGCCCGCCAGGGGTCCTTAAATATATATCCCGTGCCTGCCTGCCTAGGGCACTTCCATGCCTCAGGTCAACATTTCCCGCAAGCTTATCCTCATCTTTCATACTGAGACGGCCCTTAACCAATATTAACAATACTGTGCAACATATCATCTTTTTCTTCGTCCGAGCCTTGTATCCCCCAAATCACTTGGCCCCTGCCAGCTGGGTCACTGTCCTTAATCTCACAGCCCATTCTCCCCTCGATAGCCACATCATCCCCTTGATGTGCCCTCGCGTCGTAGATAATGTCAATTATGTCCTGTTGTCCGACCAGGGTTTGTGCGTCGTTCTGGAAAATGATGAACCTGCAGCTGTTGAATCGTAGGAGCTCTTTGGGATAAAAATCCTCGTTCAGAGCATTTAGGTTGTAGTTGTCGGGATAGACGGGTTTGCCTCCGGAACTGGCGTCTAAATTGAGGAGTGTCATAATCCAGTTGCAGTCGTTACCTTTGGCGTGCTTGTAGTTCTGAGCACCGCGCATGTTGAACCATCCAGTGGTGTCGCATTGTTGATTTCTGAGTCATTTCGAGAAGCTAGAAGAGACGGCGTTGATGGGGTCGCAGAGGACTGACCCAGCGCTGCTGTGTGGCATAAATGGATGGAGTGGAATATGGTAGCAATGAGAGGTAGGGAGGTGATGGGCTTCATGTTCGGTGGCTTTCGTGGAAACTTGAAGAATGGAGAGACTGCAAACTTGGTCACACTGGAGGCTTGTAGGGTTGCTCTGCTCTGGTGCGTGGTGTTCAAGGTTCGTTAGGTTGAGCTATGGACGATCTTGATCTTATAGTGCTTTTGCTAGACTCCCTCTTTTTCATGTTTTCATCCGTACATGAAGATAATTTCGCATACAGCAAGAACAATCCCAATGAATGTACGCTCACTTGAGAGGGAGAGATGTTGGTTGCCAAGCGCGTCTTGCAACAAAGTTCTACATGCACTCAAATAGAATAATACCCCGGATCATTTAATCTCAACCCGATTCATACGTTGTTTTCTGAAGAGGCAGTGATTTAAAATACATTAGCATTTAGTGCTTGGCAAAATTCCAGTCCACCTGTTCAGGTTCTGTCGCCGGCGGATACCACTTTGATACAATCCGGCGATGTGATTTGTAAAATTATTTTGAGTAAGCATGCAGTGGTCCAACAGCCGCCATCATGCCGCCGTACTTAAATTACAACACGCAACATTTGCCCCCTATTTGGAATAATAAGATGCGAAGTCCCTGAAAGATTGCTTGGAATGTATGATCATGCAAGGGCGCATCGCCCCCAAGTATCTACATTCCACGAGGCACGCCGCAATGCTGGACCACTAACTGCAGGTTAAAATAATTTTAATGTTGGATCTTTTAAACTGGCGAAGTAAGTGAGGACATGCATATAATAATATACCTCAATTGACTCCTGGGTGCCGTTGCCACGAGTGGAGAACCCCAAGACGTTGACTATGCATGTGGTGTGCAACAACTACTTATTTACAACTGTGGATTTTCTTCCAGTCAAATCGAAGGGATAATAATTTATCTACATGCCCTCAAACAACCTAATTATAGAGAGGTCTAAACAATAGCCTCTGAACTCGAATATCCCACACTCATAGAGCTAAGACAAGTTATCCGTCGCTCTAGTCACCTGAGCTCTTATATACAGGTACTTAATTAGAACTTAACATGATGAATTAATTGGTCCGAAGTTCAAGATGCAATAACCACCTTGGGTATGCATGGACACTTTCCAGCTTCAACCTACCAGCAAGCCTTGAGCTCCGAGCTAGGCGTCTCTACTGTTCAGAACCGTAGAAGGATCTGGGTCTGTGTCCACGACTTTGCTATGACGTTTGAGAAATCACTCACCCATGGCAGGTCGGACTCAATGAGAAGTGCACGTGCCGAAGCACCACGTCTGCCCAAAGCCTGGCGGCTTGGACACAAGGCATCGCGCCCTAGGCTGGTGAAGGACCCGACCCAGGGTCGCTTCACCTTGGAGTGAGGGTCTTACGCGGCCAAGCCCGACGACTTCGCTCTTGAGCTCTACGTGAAATCAAGATCCCAAGACGGTGCATGCTAACCACCCTTCGTAGGGTTACTGCTTTGATGGACGGCGCCAATGTCTTTCACGGTTGAATATTTGTTCTTGCACACGACCAAGAAGGTTTGTATGGAAACCGATACATCATGCAGCCTACCACAAGCTTTCAACCCTGCATGAAGCAGTCTTTCGACCCTAATGATGTAAGCGGAGAATATATACCCCATTTTATGGCTTCGTTTCGTATATGCACAAAGCCGTCAAGACGAATCATCGAAAATATCAATATATGCTGCAACCCTTTATTTTAATGTGTGTTGGTTGCCACCCGGGTGGCTTATCGGATACCCCCAGCTTTCTGCAACCACGGTCGTTCATACATATTCCACTCCTATGGGCAAAGGTAGAAAAAAAGCTCAGAGGAAAGTACCTGTTACGGTCTTATTCGCTTATACCTGCGATGATATACCTTGAACCAACACATAAATGTAAGCTCTTCATTTCGATAATTTGATGTTTTCCGAATCTTGGCCCATTGGTGTTGACTTCGTCGTATATGAAAATCTGGAGGAAACTATATACGGTACCCAAAATTTCCTCGGCCCGCAGGGTTTGTTCTGCCGTCTTTCCCGAGGAACCGCGTGTTTCTGTTCTACGTGGTATTTCTCGAGGGAGCTTTCAGTACACATAAATCGTCCGAAATGCCGCTCTGATTGACCATTTAAGGTAGCATCATCTACTTCACTGTCCACATACACGTTCGCGAACTTAAAACGTGTGTATGCTGACTGTCGGACTTCCAGCTCTTCAACAACCTTAATGCTGACATAACCCCTGGCATGCTTAAAAAACGGGAGGATTGAACCTTCTTTAAGAAAGACTCCCTTGAGTAAGTATCTCTCGAAAAATGAACAATACCGCTAATCGCTCTGTACCTGATGCCCTCATGGCCACGTTCATCCGTTGTGCGTCTTAGAGGTCCGGAGACACTCCCAATAGATGCCTTTCTTTTAGTATAGCTTATATACACTCTTATGCAACATGAACGTACTAAGCATTGAGTAAACAGAGTTCTGAATCTGTTTCCTCATAAGGCATTACACGATAGATAGCCTAGTGTCGCGTCTTTCCAAATTCGACTCGATTCTCATAGGACTCTATTTATGCAAACTAGACCGACTGTACAGGAGCTTTGCTGTCCACACCATTAAGCCTATTCAGTTCTTACAGGTAAATTTTCCGAGATGCGAAATCAACAATATGAATATCTCGCTCAGTTATGAAACACTAATACCATATTCGTCAGATCGCAGTCGACCACTGGCTTGAGAATCAACATATCAGCGGCAGTCTTCTGTAGTTTGCAAGCATGGAGGCTTTGTTAATTCTGTCCAAACGCCCTTGTAATTTGCCAGCAAGGCACTATTGTCGGTATAGCGAAGTTCCAGCAGATTCTATGAAAGATGGTTAGCATACGAAACTCTGCTGTATGCCCAGCGCTGGTATTTTCAAGGAACCTCCACTATATTCTGTGACTTAAGGTCATAGTGACCCCATTTTAACTGTTAAACTCTTTACTTCCGAGTTAGACGTCAATTTTCAATGCATATTGTTGTCGCGATCGCCTAAACAGGGTCGAAAGGGCACTTACAGCCCAGAAGTGTGTGGACATGATGATGGACGTGCTCCAAGATGCGAAATACGGGGATGGAAACATATCCAAGTTGCTTCTTTTGGTTGACCCTCTTGGGGATTTGTACCTAAATACCAGAACTTATACTTTTTCTACCACATAAAGCCTTATCAGGGAGCATTTCGAGACAGGCTCAATAGATGTAACATGGAGATATAAAGACCACTGAAATCTGTGTTGCCATTAATACCGTACATTCACAGAGATGTTTTTATCAGCGCATGACTCGCCAAATACAATGAGAGGGCAAAGGCCAAGATGCAAACAAACGATATCCTCAAAAAGAAGCAGGTATGTTGAGCGGTCAAATGCATTCTCGGGTTGGAAGAGCGCTTGCAGGTCATCTTAACAGCTGTAACCCAAAGCGTCATGATGCCTCGTTCTACTTCGCGAACACTGGCACAGGTAGCAGCACAACATGTTTCCTTCAGCCACATATGGCCCAGCCGCATCGATCTGACCAAGAATTTTGACCCTGAACTCAATATCTAGTTTCACCGATGCTGCCGAGGAGTATGAGCTGTCCCTGATGAGGAATTTTACTTTCTTGGCATTCTGTCCAAGTGAATGCTCCGAGACATTTTCCACAGTTGGTACGCATGACTTCGGAAATTGCATTCAATGAAGAGCGGTGTCAAAAAAGTAATAGCTTCCTCCACTGTGTAGCTGTGGACATTCCACTTGCCACCGGACACATGCAAGTCGTGTTGCTCACATTAAAACATGTGATTTTGGTTGTTATGTGCAATTGGGGAACGCCTATTTAGTTACAATGCTATGTATGAAAACGGTCAGGGTAGTGCACTAGGGTTTCGAGCGTTGTGTTTACCCCTATCTATGGCGTGTATGGCTTATATGGGAGACATATTTAGTGTTGACCAATAAATGAGATCTCTGTATTGGGCTAACAGTTGGATTTGTCGTGGTACAAGACAAGCTCGAGTTTTGTGGGGGTTCCTTTTCCTGGTTTGGACTTTCTGCTGCCATTCCTGCAGAGCTTAGATCTGGTGGCAAATAAGCACATGTTCTGCACGGAGGTTATGCGCATTTGCATCTGAGTTATCTTGCTACTGATTTTCCAGCCACATTTAACGAGTTTGATTACAATGGCTTGGCCCAAGACCAACGGCACCGTTTAGCACCACGATTAACAGCTGGAACCATGCAGTTTATTGAGCTTAGGTAGGTTTTAGGGGCAAAACATGCATTTGTGCAACGCCTTATTCTACGCTTGAAGTCTGTGCATGCTCTATGGATCCCGACTTTTCTAGTGCCTGTTGTCTCAGTACGAGATCACGGCCATATCCCACCTCCTCGGTTCATGCCGTCCGACAGGTCTGGATGAGAGTACATATGGCTCGGACTGGACTAAATTCAGCTTTGATCAACGGTCTCGGCATCGTTCCCCATAGATTCAACGACAAGGGTCGTCAAGGCTTTAGTCTAGGCCTTAGTCTAGTGGTATCGGGACTCTGGCAGGGCCACTAGAACCAACGCTCCAGGAATGCTATACTCTTCGAGGTTACCCAGGGCCTCATCACAGCTGATCTCAAATGTTCAACATAACTCGACCGCTTCATGTGGTAGTAGCTAATAGCGGCACGCTCGGACGCCGTGCAAAAACGCCGAGGGTGATGAGTTTTGCCTCCGTCAATGTATTATGGATTGACACGCAAAAAGGACTGCGGTCTAGAGCAGCCAAAGAAGGAAATGTTTGGAAATTTATTAGTACCTACAGGAGGTTCCTGGAATATAAAGAGTAGGACCAACTGTTTGCATTAAGTTCTTGTCTATCAGCATCAGCCTTCTATTGCTGACTCTCACACTCGCTCTCACACTCTCTCACACACTCTCTAATATTAACACTCGCTTGAATTTTCTCACACTCGTTTAGTCAGAATAGCAGCAACTCAAAGTAATCAGCATGAAAGCCGCTCTCTCCCTCCCGGCCTTTGCGGCCCTGGCCATGGCGGGTCCTCTGGTTCCCCGCCAGGATATCGACTTCGTTCTCGTCGAAGACGCACCAGATCCAACCCTGGTGATGGTACCCGTCGGACCGACGGCTCAGTCAGTCACATATGACTTAGCCGCCGCCACTCGATCTGCCACCGCCAACCCGCTGCCGGTCGAAGCTGTGGAGAAGCGAGGTGCTACCTTGGTAGCCAGGTCACCCTGCCAGCCTCAACCTTCTGGTTCTGGCCCGAGAGTCTCACCAGATACCGATAACGCCTTTCTATCATCGACTGAGCTCTCGTCCATCGCTGCCGCTGCCCCGATTCCCACTGATTACAGCAGAATGTTCGTCAACTTGCATGCCAGCAGTAGTGCTTATGGTTATCAGGGGTTTACGACTCTTGAGTCGTATGATACAAACCTTTGTGCAGCCAAGTGTAACGACATTCTTGGATGCTTTGGCTTCAACATCTACTTTGAACGAGACCCTTCGGTTGAGCCTGCTGCGAGTTGCCCAAACCCCTCCTCGACTACGGTTATCAAGTGCGTCTTTTGGGGCGGTCTTGTTGCTGCGGAGAATGCGAGGAATGATGGACAGTGGCGCAACAATTTCCACGTTGTGATCTCCGGATCTAACGGCTATATGGTACGCACTTTCCTCCCGCTTTCGATATCCCGTGCTTTACATTCTCATGTTGACATCTTCACAGCGGACTACTGTTCCCACTATTACCGGATTTAACGGCCAATATCTCGGAAACGCCTCGATCAATGCCCCTAATGACTGCAATGGGAAGGACACTTACATGGGCTCCAAGATCTTCACCACTACTTCTTTCGACCCCAGGTTGTGCAGCGCTGCGTGCAAATCGCAGAATGACTACAACACCGCCCACCCCCCTCAAAACGGTAGGCCCAAAATCTGCAAGTTTCTCACTACATACGTCGTGGCCGTCAATGGTAGACCCGAGGGCCAGTACTGCGCCATGTACACACAACCCTGGGATAGTTCGTACGCTACCAACTTTGTAAGACTTCCTAAAAGATATTCTCTGAATCAGCTGTCGACTAACATACAACAGGGTCAATGGCGTGGAAACGATCAGTACACCGTGGGCTTGGCATTCTCTTACTCCAACATCAGCTCGCCTGGTCTGCCGGTTTGCCCAAATGACATCGACTACCTAAGGTCTCAGGGGTCTGAGTTTTGCACTTCCTACGTGTCTTATTCGGCTCCCACCTCGACAGTAACGGCACCGGCCACTACCTACACCACCCAGACTATAACCTCAAGTGTGACTTCCGTTACTACCACGACTCGGACGTCTACCATCACGTAAGTTCTTGCTTCTTTACCTGTGGCAACTCTCTGAAACTGACTCATTAGATCCACCGTCACTGCTCCACGGAATGCCAATAAAGTGAGACGTGATGCAACCGCGGATGAGAGTGAATATAGCATCGCCATTGAGACCATTGTCACAACCGCCGCTGCCAAACTGACTGCTTCTGCCGTACGACGCCGTGATGCGATCCCAACTCCCGCCTCCATCACCAACTGGGAAGCCGCTTCCATTTCTTCGGCCTGTTCGCAAGTAGCAACTGGGACCATCACCACGACTACGACCTCGACGGCCACTCTCCCTACAACCACCATCAAAACTTCAACTATTGTCCAAACCTCGACCGAGGTCACCACTACGACCAGCACCTTAACCGTCCCCGGTGTGATCCTCTCCTCCCCACACCCATCGTCGGCTCCCTCTCCGGGGCAAACGGCAACTACGATGATTCTTATTACATCCTCAACCTCCCCTTCGCCATCGGCGCCTTCGGCCGCACCAGCATGACAGCGTTCCTCAGCATTAATGGTCGCTTGTCCCTCGATTCTGAGACAAGCACCTTTACCAACGCCCAGCTTCCCGACCCAAACATCCCATCGCTTTCTGTCCTGGGCTTTTACGATGATTTATTCATCTACCAAGGCACGCAGCAGGGTATCTATTACGAAATTTCGGGCAATGTCGGGTCGCGGGTTGTCGTGTTTGAGTATTACATCTCGAAGTTTCAGGAGTCGAACCAGTACTATCACTTCACCATGACGTTTTACGAGGATGCGCCGGGCATTGTGGATGTCAAATACTACAGCATCAGTGGGGGTGGGAATAGTGCCACGGTTGGTGCTCAGAATCGCGCGGCGAATAGAGTTATGCAGTATGTGTTTAACACTGCTGGCAGGATTCGTGCCGGTTTGACGCTGAGGATGGATACTAATAGCGGACAATTCATCGAGGGCAGCTTCACTCCTTAAAGAGTAATTGGATTATGGGGTGGTTGCCGCTCGTCCAGGACACAACGAGATGGGTAGATGAGTTGTGCAAACTTCGACTGGGAACAGTAGCACTTCTGGTTGGAAATTAATGGGTTTGGGAATGTTAAGAAGGATGCTAGGAGCAATGGGTAATTCATATATATGTAGTATACAACGCAAAAGGCAATTATTTATAACGTGATCCACAAGTCATTTTCGCACACAAGTCACTTTCGCACTTTTCTTGGCACCTTCAAGTAATTCAGTAATATCCTATGCATAACCCGCATTTTATCCTTTAAATTACTCAAAATCTTCTTCATTATCAGTTTCTACTTCTATTGAACAAGTCCTTGCATTATGTCCAGTCCCTCCGCAAATACCACAGCGCCTTATACCGGTCTGCCGGCGCTTTACAGGACGACTGCTTCCGCCTTCTTCCTCCTCCATAACCTTGATATCACCCCTCAAGGCCCGTAAAACTTGTGCATCACCTATACTAAGTGCTCCTCCATATTGGATTTGCTTATTTTTCGTCCTACGACGCTTACTTAGTATATGGTTCGTCTCACGAAGCTCTTCGTTCTCCCGACGTAATAATGCATTCTCATGCATCATTGCATGCGTAGCCTTCGTAGTCGAGTTAATTGAGTTCAAAATATGCGTCGGCGAGCTGTCTTGATGCCTCTGGACGCTACTTTTAATCAAAGTTGACTGCGATTCGGCTTCGAGGGTGTTGGTAGGCGTCTTAGAAACCCAGACGGAGGGAGGCAATTGGGGGTCGGGTGTCGGTGTTCGTACTACTTTTGCGATATCCAACGTAGATATGACCCTATCCGGGTTAAAAGGAACAATTCCAGCTGCTTCGAATCCTGATCTGATGTTTTTTTCGTGAAAAGCACCAATGAAAGCTTCTAAAAACCCAGCTAAGAAATCCTGCTTCTCAATATGGGTTTGATGCCTTCGCATTAAACCCTCCACGAACGCACCATACAGCCGTTTCAACACACTAAAAGGTACCAAATACAAAGGCTGGAGCTTGTGGGATGAATGGGAAGGCATACACAATGTAATTACGCCGTGCGCCGCGAGGTAAGTCTCAAAATCCATCGAGTGGTGGCTCTCGTGACCATCCAATATTAAGAGACTTTTCGCACCCTTCCGACGGCTAATAATATGTTGAAGAAAGTGTTTTGCCCATTCCACACCAATATTATTAGTAGTCCAACCGTCATGGGAAAGGTCGACCTTCCAGTTGGCCGGTAGGTCGTTACCGCGATACCACGAAGCAAGATGAACCTTGCCCGCGAAGATGATGTACGGCGGTACCGCCCAACCTTGCGAATTAATAGCCTGGATCACCGTAACCCATTCCTGACCTCCTTGTGTAGCCTGTCTAGGCCGTCCGTGTCTCTCTGCACTCGTTACAACCATACCGGTTGTGATTATGCCCATTAGGAAGCCCGTCTCGTCAAAGTTGTAGGTATCCTCCGGTAGGATACCGTATTTAGCGATTGTGTCCCTAACAAGCTCAAACCACGCGTAATACGCGATAGGATCTTCGCTAAATACCTCTGGTAATCAATTCGACGGTTTAAACGCGTTCGGAGGTCTTGTCGGCGGTTAACGAAGTTCGTGGTCCAGTTCTTGCCGACGGGGAGCGCGTCGCGTACGCGTCGTAGGATATTCGCCATTTCTTCAACGTATCGAAGCCGAGGAGGAAATGCTCGCGTATCTAGCTCAATTATACGTCGGGCAATCATATCCTCTTCGGTTTGAGTTAGATTTCGTTTTAACATATTAGCTTCGTGTCGCGTTTGGTCGCCGTCGAATCGATTCTTTAGTGTACGGTCGCAAACGTTGTAGATACGGCCAAGCTTACGCCATGAAATTTCAGGGTTGCGCTTTTTAGCTTGGATAGCTAGCTGAAGATCGGCTTCTTTAGATTTACGAGGCATGTTGTGGGAGGGAAGAAAAGTACAAGCTAAGTTAAAGGTTGAAATATTTGAAAAAGTGCGAAAGTGACTTGTGTGCGAAAATGACTTGTGCATCACGTTAGTATTTAATTATAAATCTCGTTCCTCCATGACAGTTTTTACTAGCTGTTTTCATATCATATGTCTATTGCGGAATGGTATACATGGTAACAATTATTTTCAATTAGCTTCATCTCAACCGTTGGCATCCAACAATAGACTACATGACCAAGGTCATATCAAAGTAGGGGTCACATTGAGAAGCGATTGTCACTTTAAGTCAATATGATCTTTTATATTCACGGCCACTTTACCTAGTTGCACTGATTACTATCAACTGATGTGATTCATTTTCCACCAGTACATTGCCCTCCATTCCCTTAAATCCCTTCACCCCTCCCGTTCCTCGTTAACACAAAAACTATTAAATAACGACCTTACCTAGTCCTCCGTATGCCATGGTTGACCCTTTTTAAGTCGGGAGTTGGCCGCCGGCCGTCGCGGAAGGCAGCTTCTGCGCGCCCGCCTCTGGACTAGAGCCCTGGGGGCAAGAGGGAGCGAGTACAATGGTGGCTGGGCGTGTTGGGTTGTTGATGGGGATGAAAGCTCATGCAAGGCTGATGATGTCTTCATTATGGCGGTGGACTATAGTGTAGTTATTTCTGCCAGGAGATGAGCCGATCCATGTAGATGGTAATTGTGGCGGGAGACTGCCGTTGCAGGGTCGGAGAATTCGGTCTGGAGGTTTTTAATGGAGAGATTTATAGCAGGATGTATTGGTAGCGGAGAAAGTCAAAACAGGACTGGAGCTTCAAAGTCTGTTTATTACTCCTATGGCTAGTAGAATAACAAAGGTAAATGTTTTTTTTTCGTAAGGTGTCTATCGCTTAGCCTCAAGTATTTGAATAGCTGATCATACTTGGCGACATCGTAACTATGCTTTGGTTTATTTATGTTGTGTTGTTTATTAAAGCGAGTTGTATAGCATGGAACATGTATATCCGCTTATCGTGTACAAAGGGAAGTTAAAGATCTACGTTTATTAAAAGAGCGACTTAATGTCCTTGGGTATCTAGACCGAAGTGAAGGGCGCAGATAGCTATAATGAAACGGAAACAGCGAGAGGATGCTGTAGCTTTTTCAAGTCCAGCTGTAGTTGAGGCCAAATTGTAAGCAACTAGAGTCTTGAGATAGGTATGACTGCTACGGCTCACTGGAGTGTCAGGTTCACGATAGCACCGCCACAGCTGACGACATATGCCTCAATGCAAAGGCATTCACTGCTATCTTGTTGATGGAGTTCCGCCTCACAAACTATCAATTTTGTTCACCCTGGTATAGAGTGTTATCTACCGATGGAAATTCACATACGAATCAACTTACGACGCAGTTTGGACATAGACTGCTTCATATAACCCGATTAGAACTCGTGGATGTCGCGGAGAAAACTGCCCTAATACGCGTCATTCTATCCAGCAAATATGGGGTAACAATCAAGTCTCATTATAGGAAATCAAAGCGACCACTCGCAAATAATTATGTTAAAGCAAATCAAGCTCAATGAATCGCCAATCTGCTAATATTTAATCACCTCTCGACTTCAGTGATTGCAATCCACACCTTCTCTAATCAACCTAAACCTCTTCTGGCCAGGATCCATTCTTGATATGGTCTAATTCTTCTCCACCTGCTCCGGCCTGATCATCCCCATGTTACCCTATCGCACTCGCCCAACGCGATGGGATGCACCAACCAGCGCCAAGCTACCCCCGTCATATTCAAACCCGTCGCTTTCAACAATCCTACAGTTCTCCTAACTGAATCATGTAGATGTGACTTCTCAACCTTGTACCGCGCCCCCTGTTAGTGAGGTTGTACTCCATCTGTAGCACCGCGGGTTTAGTGTAGCCATTAGATTCACAGGTAGAGAGGTATTCCTTCAGCATCTTGACCGAGAAATTGGAAACACCAGTCTGCCATCATGTCAGCTCACGCTTAACTTCTTGGACTGGACCGTAACTCTAGCAAACCTCCGGGAAGTGCCCCTTATTCATCAACGCGTCCATCGCTTGAGCCTGCTGCTCTAACGACGTCGTTACATGTGCACCATGAAAGTAGTGATAGAAATATGTCTACTCTAAAGTCACTCAAGCTACTCGCCATGCTCTCACGCACCTCTCTATACGCCTGCCACCGATGTTCCCGTATCCAAGGGCGAAGTCGAGGGCATACCTGAGGGGGAGGACCTTGCTGTCATTGACGAACCCAAGGGCAACGGCTTACACCCTTCCGAGTAGCGCATTGTTCCAGACCTGAGTTGATTGCCGGAGGTAAATGGAGCTTCAAAGTCCCGCATGGGAGATGCTCCGATGGTCGGTTAAGACTGTCAGCGACGGTTTTCGTTCTTATTTCGGATTTCTGTTTCGGGCAAAAGCATTCCCGCATTTGCAAACAGGGAACATTCTACGCACTGAGGCCTTTACCCAGTGCTGATTTCCAATATACCCCGCTTCCTCTATCTAGAGAGTTTGATGCACCTTGAAAATGGTCGGCGCCAGGCCCGATTATGGCACTCCTGTGAGCTGTCTCGCTATTCCCTGGAGCCATTCTAATAACCAGGTATATTAGGCTATGTCGTTGTTCCTAAACCTAGAACAGGAGGTTGAGACTTAAACCTAAGTTCTCGTCCAAAGAGCTTGACTGAAATAAACGTTATAAGTTGATGCACTTAACGAGGTTTGAGTGCTGCTCACTATTTCGGAGCAGCCTCAACACTCAAGGAATAAATTTGACTATAAATAAGACGCGAATGGACACAACTTGAATTCTCCGTTGTTTCTAGCTTGTGTGGCGTCACTTTGCAGGCCTTGGTTGAAGTATAATAAATACATTTCCCAGTTGCTGGTATCATCCCATCATTAGGCAGAAGCCCCATAGCTGAAACCTTTCCGCCATTTGCAACTTCTAAAACGAATGGCAAGTATAGCAATCCAAACAAAGTGAGTTTAGAACACCTGATACTTGCATTCGTCATCGGCTTATTTAAAGTTGGCGCGCGACCCAGATTCTCAATCAAACACCGGTGAATCCTCACTCACCATCCCATCATTACCGGCCACGAATATCAACGTCGACGCCGTTTGCTATCTTCTCATCATGTTCCTCAAAGGAAAAACCGCCTTAATAACAGGATCAACATCGGGCATCGGGCTAGCCTATGCCCGCAGCCTCGCTGCTGAAGGTGCTAACATAATGCTCAACGGCTTCGGCGATCCCTCGGCCATCGAAGCTGAGCGTTCGGCCCTCGAGACCATCTCAAGCGGCGGCCGCGCCCTCTATTCGTCCGCCGACATGACCTTGCCGTCCGCCATCACAGCCCTCGTACAGCACTGCCATGCCGAGCTAGGCGGACCGGATATTCTAGTTGCCAACGCGGGCATCAACCACATCGCGCCCGTCACTTCCTTTCCAGTGGAGAAATGGGACCAGATCATCGCCATTAACCTCACCTCCCCCTTTTTGCTCATGCAAGCCTGCATCCCCTTCATGAAACAGAAGAACTGGGGCAGGGTCATCTGCACCGCTTCCGCGCACTCCATGGTTGCGTCACCGTATAAGTCAGCCTACGTAGCTGCGAAGCACGGGCTGGTCGGGCTGGTGAAGACGGTAGCGCTCGAGATGGCAAGGGATGGCATCACGGTGAACGCCATCTCGCCCGGCTATGTCTGGACCCCGCTAGTGGAGAACCAGATCCCGGACACCATGGAGGTGCGGGGCATGACGCGAGAGCAGGTCGTCGACGAGTTGTTGGTTGCGCGGCACCCGACGAGGGAATTGGTCAAGCCCGAGCAGGTTGCTGCCTTGGCACTATTCCTGTGTCGCGAGGAGGCAAGGCAAGTTACGGGATCGAATTATAGCATGGATGGAGGGTGGACGGCTGGCTGAGGAGAAGACCGGAGGTATTACACTTACGGAAAGGTATATGTAAGCACACTTAATCCCGCATTATCATATTTTGCAGCTTCATTTTAAGAAACACATGAGGGATCAATCATTAGATGGCATTTCGCAAACAGGATGCGTGTCACGTCGAACTGAAGAAAGCAACCCGAGCATGGCTCAACGCCATTCCAATGCATCCATATCGTATATCCTCCACCTTGATTTCCACCCCTTTTACAAATTGCGCCAATCATATCTCCGCCGGCCGCTTACTGCTTAGATAAGACAGGCACTTCCATGACGAACATCGGGCCAGCGACTTGTCCATCAACAAGGGGAAAATTGGAATTATCGTAGACAGCCAGGGGCTCTTCGTCCAACGAGCCAGAGGACTGGCAGCGCTTGTACGCCACCAGGCCGTTGGTGCCATTCTGGTTACTACTGAATAGGATGCTCTCGTCGGCACTGAGACTCATCATGCGGGGTTTGGTGCCCATGCTGGAGACCTGGTCGACGAATCGGAGGCTATAATCCTCCAGGGCGAAGTGCGAGATGCTGTCCGTCTCGTTGCCAGTAATTCGGTTCGACACGTAGATGTCTTTCTGGTTGCTTGCAACCACGAGCTCGCCTGCGGCAGCGGACTCGGGGGTCGTGGGCGGGAAGGCATCACCAAAAGTGCTGACATTATCGACTAGAGTCAGAACGGGAATGCCATTATCTGAGCCCACTTTGTACAGCAGGACACGGTTGCCAACCTCACAGACCACAGCGTAGTGGGTTGCCAGGTCACTAGGGCTGCTGCTGTTTCCAGCACCGGCCGACTTGATCCAAGCACCGTGGCGCGGGCCGGTCTGATCGGGAGTGTCGTAACTACTGATGATCTCATATTTGTCGTCCTTGGAGTCAATGATGTAGATCTTGTGGCCACCAAGATCATTGACAACAAAGAACCGGCCGCTGGGATCCAGCAGAGCCTGGTGAGCATTCGAGCCGGGGACTTCAAGCGCGACCGACTTGATCAACTTGAGATGGTGGTCCGACGAGATGTCCCAAACGTCAACTGCGCCTCCGCCGTAAGATGCACCGAGAAGGCGAGTCTTGTCTTGATTGAATGCGAGGGAGACGGTGCCAACGGAACCGTTGGCACTAGCCACGGGCTCCTTGGATACGGCGTGGGCGACCTCGTCAAAATTGAACAGCATGGTAGCGTTGGTATTCTCGTCCACGGCATATAAGAGATTGGGCTCCTTGAGGGCCAACCAGCTAGGAGTGACTTGGGGCAGGGTAGTGTTGGCCTGAGACTGGATGAAGGTGTTGTCTTTGAAGTAGAACGGCAAGATGAGATTATTGGTACTGACGAGGAGTTTGCGCTCCGTCCCGGTGTTGTTCTGGCGTGGAATGAGCGGAAATGCTGAGGCCAGCCCCAGAGCAGCGAGGATGTAAGGGAGTAGTCCTACCATCTTGGAGATATTTGGTGGTTGTTTTTGTTTTTTGTTTTTGGTTCAATCCGGAATGCAATTTGGTTGAGATGTGAAACTAATGATCCGGAAAACGTTGCAGAGATACGTCAGTGGCCGTGGGGGGAGTCATATAGGCCAGAGAGGCTGTGATCAAAGGGGATTTTCAAGGGCGAGCCAACAAAGGTGTGAACGATCGGTCTTTCTCTAACGAAATGATGTCCGAACAAAGAAATGCGCGTGGGATAGCGTGGGATATTGTGGGATATTGCGGGATAGCTCGGTATTACAGTGCAGTAGACCAAGCGTAACCTGATTATTCCACCGTGATGCCGCTTGATGTTGCGCGATGCACCGTTTCGTTGCTTTTGGCAACTGCGCGGGCAGGCTGTCAAAGCCCTAGTGGTTAGAGACTGTGCATCGTGACTACCCGGCTGGGGCTTACTCACAATGAAGTCTAAATGGGGCAGTGGTGGCTTTGATGCGAATCAATCAATTCTTTATCGATAAAAACAACAAAGCCGAATACCACTCCTACTCCTAGAAAGAAGTAAAAGAGAGAAGAAGAATACTGAAACACACTGAAAGAACTTTGGAAAGAAACAACGGCAGGCAGGGAAGCTACATATATGCTTTGCTTAGGAGAAGGATGACACCACCACGGAGTTGATTGAGGGGGCGCAATCACAATCACAGCCTTACAGACTATTTTAGTACGGGTAGGCGATGTTCAGGGGGTCATTCCCTTTGAACACTGAAGGTGCACAGGTGCATTCTTGGCCCATATTGATTGCCCTGTTGGTTGGTTATTGTCCCATGATGGACAAGGGCAGATGGAATTCGACAACAGTTATGGTCGTATTTCGTTGGCTGCAAGAAATCCTTGGCTCGGGGGTCAGGAGCGCATCGAGTCCTTCAATTCGCAGGGTGCATTCCGATGTGGTGTGGGCAAAACAGCCTTGACCAAAAGTTGGGGATCGACAGGCTGAAAATGAGGCCTAAGCTCTCTGCCCCTGAGCCGGCAGGTTGGGAGGTTTGGGTGTTTTGCATGTTTGCCTCAGTTGAAACAAGCCCTGTCCAATCAGTACAAAACTACCTGCATGGTCAGCTCGCCGCGCTTCAAGGAGTGGCACAGTAAAGCTTCGGACCCGAAGCAAGACGTCTCCCTATGATCCATCATGGCTGAGCGTCATACTTTTCATTGGCACTTTGCAACTTTGGGATAATCTGAGGGCCAAGCGTGGAATGAAGGAGAATGTCGCTCCTGAGCGGCATGCTTATCCCAATCCCAAATATGCGCCCGTACGACAATCGCTAATCTCCATGACAAAGTACAATCCTGTCGTTACCAACACATGCCCGCCTCACATCCTCGGATGTCCGCGCCAGATCGACGACCCGACCATTGTGCCTACTTTCCATAATCCCGCTACCAAATTTCGATCCATACGCCGTCTGCCAACACGCTTGGCCATACGATCCTCTCTTTACCTTCGCGGCACTTGCAGCCATCGTACGTATGGCAGAGGAGCAAGATCAAGGTGGGCATTTCGCGACCGGATGAGATGCGTCACCAAGGAAGAGAGGACTCCATTTACGGTGCAGGATACTTAGTATGTCTGGGGCAAAGCAGACACTTGTGCACCGCCTTTGCATCATATATTGTCGTGCGACATTTTCCGAGACCTGCGACGTCCCTCAGCTTGGATCGTGTCCGGCAGAAGGCACCGCAGGTATGGTCCAAACCCGGCGTGGCCTAGGATTTCGGGTTAGCTGATGAAATCATCTCAGTTGACCACTGGGGTGTAGTGTGGCAGTAGAAAAGTGATACTTTTCGTTTGAGGTCGTATGTCACCAGGCGACGTGGAAGGTAGTCATTTCGTCATCAATGCCATCTTGCCGCAAGTGCGCAAATGATAATGGCATACAGGCCGGCGCCGTTGTGTTGGCGCGTTCGACAGCCGGCCGCATCACCGGCTTCACCTTTCGCCTTCGTGGGCTGCCTGTGATACGTGATGTTGAATCTTACTGGCTAAAGACACGGCTCCCTATAACGGCTTCTCATACGCGATGTATATTTTGTTTCGAAATTCACCTAGGCCAACTTCAACTCAGGGATCAGCCTTCCAGCTCCTCCCACCTATCGCCGCTACTTTCGCCAAACTGGCCTCAACGGCTAGAATCCTAACCCCATTTCCAAAACTAGACTACAGAGCTCTAGACAGCAATAGTTCAGAGTCCTAGAGCTCCAAGTTTATGCAACCAAGGTATCGTTCATGTCGTCCGAGTGCATCATGCATCATGCATCAGTAATCCGTGTGTCATCGGTCAAATAAGAAAGAGTAGTCCTCCTAATTTCCAGAAGCTTTTCTTGCAGGGAATTGGCTGCTTGCAATCATGGGCCCGTCTCGCCAGTCGGCTGTTATAATGCTCCCCATGCACCTCGTTATACTTCATATTCGCCATCCTAGTAATTCGTTCATGGAGAGCATGGAATCGTTCAGCCAGTCTCTTCTCTGCCGCCCTACTAGCCCCATTCCCAGATCTTCGAGAACAAAGCACAAAGCCGATGACAACATCACTTTTCTACAATACACATACATCCGGACACAATGCTCAACCTTTCAACTGTTTCCAGATATGTGACGAATTTCTCTCTATCCACTGCAGAGGGGGGCACGACATACTGTATCCTGCAGTCCGCTCAGGTAAGACAAGTTTACTGATCGACCAGATGTTTGCAAGGTTCAAGACCACTTTCATCAGGAAATATGGGCAGCTAAACAGGCACATAGATTACTTTTTCCTTCTCGTGGGCACCTTGAATTTAGTATCCTTGAATTCAGATGAACCTTGACTCGATGCTTCCACACCCATTCTATAGATGCCTTAATGGAACCTCCTCGACACCTACGCATTATGCTATCAATCTTCTGGTCATTGCTCTACGAAGTATATTAGGTGATGATAAGACCCTCGGCTTGTCTTCAGCACCAGTAACGCTGGGAGCTGGCGGGCCAATACTGATGTATTTGGTTCGGGCAATAACATGACAGAGGGCCTTTTCATCCGGCCACCAACCTCACATAACTTGTTGCTTTGGGACACTGTAGATGCTCACCATCACTTGCTTGTCCACCGTAATTCGTACGTAGCCAGCCGAGCTCCCTTCCACACCTTAGCCCGACCCGGACCCGAGTTTCTCAGACAAGCAACCAATCCAGTGCATATATATGCGACAACATTACCATTATCCAGATGTTGATATATATCCCGCCATACTCAATGAATCTGCAAGATAGGTAATCCGGCAGCGTTGAAGAAATCAGATGGACGCATTTCATCCAGTATCTGCAGTTTCATCGGGTAGCTTGATTTGGGCAAGAAACTCTATTACATGCAGAGGCATGCCTAGGAACTTCATAAAATATGCTCAAAGTTGGGATGAATGTTCTCGGCTGTCTTAGCGATGCCAATCTGCGATCCTTGTCGATAATAGCATGGCAAGGCGAAGTCGTCTTAGATCTAGCCTTTCACATTCGACTCAAAGCACCAAGTACCCTGTTTCCCTTGTTCTAGTAATCTGGGAGCTTATGCCATTTGTGTGATGTGGACGAAATTTAAGTTGGGCCTGTAATCATCCTCTTTCTGCATTCTCTCCGGGTTGGTCAGACGGGTCATATAATCGACATATATGTGTTCAATGACTACCGACACCACGATTATCTGCGCTTTCCCCATAAAGATTGCAGGAGCCGCAGCATGGAATTGGGATACGCCAAAAACTATGAAAAGGAAAAACTTAGTGAAATACCTTGGGCCATGTGCCGTTGCCAGTCTGATCTTCGATCTTTGGATTACCCCACATCTTATTGTGTTCGCTAATTGCTTCTTTCAATTCAGGCATTGGACTCATCTGAAGTTTGAAGCAGAGTAGTCAAATAGGACGTGGTTATCTATGCGTAATTGTGCCTTGGCGCTCATCCATGTGTAGATGTCGACTGCCGGGCTAAATATTCACAGGCATCACCTAGCTACCGCAAACTTGTCGAGCTACATTAAGTTTTGCTAACCTTTCTGAACTACAGTCTGGTCTGGCCTTTGACCACCGGATGCAATGAAGTCGACTCTGGCTCCGTCATGTGTCTATAAATATTATCCTCTTGTCACGACTATTACCTGGGCTACAACCCAAGGCTGGATTACCTGAATTTTGCATTTCAATCCTCAGTCGACCAAAATTTCACGCATCATGTACTTTGCCAACATTCTAGCACTAGCTATTCTGGCAATCGCCACTGTCTCTGCCAGACCGGCCAGCTCCTACGATTCCACTCACGAGCTTGCGACTCGTGCTGATCCATCCAAGCCATGCCAAGGAAAATCCTGTGATCAGCAACTTCCAAAATCTCCTGCTATTCCTGCTATTCCTGCAGGCCACACCCGGCCAGAGAACAAACTCAACTGCATCGGATCTACCTGCAAGCCAGTAGCTGCCAAACCTGTTAATGGTCACGCGTTCCATGGCGCGCTCTATCACAACTTTCAGTGCTTCGGATCCAACTGTTTCCCGGCGCTTCGCAACAACATCAAATGCCGTCGCGGCAACTGTCTTTCATCAAATTCCAAGGTGGTTGGCAAGAAAAAATGCTACGGTGCGCGCTGCAAAACGCTCAAGTCAGCGTACCATGCTCCCTTGCTCCCAATGAAGTGTGTTGGCAACAAGTGTGGCAAAAGCAATGTCCTTCGCAAGCATCCTCAGCCTGCACCGCCAATTGGGAACTGCCATGGCGAACAATGTGGGGGCGATAAACTTGTTAACACTGGCCGGCCAGTTCCTCTGAACCAGAAGTGCACCGGTGCTGAGTGTAGCAAGATAAAAACCCCATCTCCTCTGCCGGCTTTGAAGATTTACAACAAGGGAGTGGGTCGAGACAACGTCGTTGACAGTCATCCACCATCCCCACCTGATCAGAAGCACAGTCGGAATGTACGCGATATTCACCTGGATCCTGCCGAAAACCCAAAAGCGTGTGGTCCGGGGAAGGTGTTTTATGGTGGTGCTTGCAAGTATCCAATGGCTTGAAAGGGGGGACAACAACTTTGGGTGGGAGGTGGTGCTGTTACCTATATGTTGGGACCGCAGGATGGCAGAAGTCAAAGCACGAACAGAAGTTTTAGTTGGCTGTACCAAAATTTCAATTTGACACATGTGGTGGATGGGTTTCAAAGATGAAGTTTGGCATGGAAAGTCACTGGAAGGACAAACAACTCATTCGCCAACACACTTGTACATATGCTGAGGAGAAGCTAAATAATAGACAACAAGTCCATTGCACTAAAATTATATACCTCTCTAATAAACTCCGATGGATTTATTGTATTTGCCTGGTGTACCACCCATATAGATGAATTACCAACACGCACGGCGCAAAATGCACAGAACTTCCATCATACCCAGGTGGTCTTGTCAACAGGTCATATATCATGCTTTGTGCATTACTCTTAACTCGGACTTCTAGATCTGCTCACTGTCTGATTCGTTGTCTGGTACCATGCGTAGCAGATAATTCCACACCCGGATGAGAAGAGTTACAAAGTGCAATTTAGTCACGGATTGCAACACAAGCTTGCGTGCTCTGCTCTACTAACTTGAATAAATATCCAACAATAGAAGAATGCGACCCATATATTCTAGCATCTCTTTCAGCCCATATTGCGACGTACACCTGCATGTGCTGACCCATAAGCAAACATGTATCAATACGACATCGTTTTCCCTTCCTTCACCAGGCAAATACGTACATCCCATGAAAACACTCGTCCCATTCCGTCTTCCCACTACTCCAAAAACTCTCTAGCACTGCCTTCCCACAGAGTGGCAACCCCGAGCCAATATCTCGACTCATCACCTCTAGCCACTCTGCTATTTGAGTCTGCACACTGGAGCCATTGTGGACCGCATCAAAGCCCGCCACAATAATTGGCCAAAGCACGTACCTCTTGGTCATGCTGCAAGAAACACATTTTTCAAGTAGCTGTGACAGGCGACGGCTGCAAGATGCTCGTATCCCCTTGGTTTGGGCATCTGGAGTTATGGGCAAAGTGGCGATACAATATAGGGCTACGGCCGACTGGTAGATGCGGCCTATTAGTAGCCACTCCTCCTGGTAAGAGAGGTTGGACTCGGCCCACTTCTCAGGTGAGAAGGAGTTGATATGTTGTAGTAAATCAAGGGCGGCTGCAGTGGGTTCAGCTGGAAGTTCCACGGAACCCCACGATCGGAGGTGATTGATTCGAATTATGTCTAAAAATAGGGAAGGCGGGCAAGGAAATGTTGGGTAGTGCACCTCGCCATATAGCTTGGTGATGAGGTCGATTAGGTGCATGTGTGGGACTTGATTGGACATAGGACTGGTGGTATTCCCGATGACACCGATGCTGCGGTTTAAATAAGAGTTAATAAACTGCTACAAGGGGACGGTTAATTATATGGACGACTTACATGATGAAATAAACCAACACCATCTGCAACTTTGGACCCCCAGGAGAACGTAAAAGCTGCGAGTGGCCTCCACGAAGGGCAACCAGTGTCATAGCGCCGTTGACATGATCCTGCCATTTGGTCGCGTTGGCTTCCATCAGCTGTGGTCAGTGTAAGTCAAGCTTCTCCAACATCACGAATTCTTTTCGACTGTACCTCGGAAGCTAGAAGCATCATGACCCCAGAAATGGTGGCATCCTTCATCCGTCTCTCCTCGTCACCAATGTCCTCGTTTAGTGCCCGAATTGCCAGCCCGCGGTGGTAGTCATGACGCTTCACCAAGGAGCCCACATTGGCTGATATGGGTAGCCGGCGTATGCGGTGACCAAGGAGCAAACAGACGAGAGCGTGGCTCACGGAAGGCGGAAGTCGAGGGATGGCAGCCTCTGGGAACGCGACGAAGAAAGGATTTGGTTTCAGTTGGCTGGCTACATTCTCTGGGTAGATACAGAAGTTGTCTGGGAGTTTTATGGGTTAGTTGGAATAGCCGGTCACACATGATGCCAAGGGGAACAACTTGCAGTAGGACGTAGCTTCGAGAACAGCCTCATATTCTTTCCCGATGAACGAACCAGGGACCACGACACGGTGGGGGTCTTCTGCGATACGATGGACGGTAACTTTCAGGTGATCGGTCGTCTTCCGCATTTCCATCGCTGCGGGACTTTTCTTCCGTCTCGTCCGAGACTTAACCTTTCCAGGGGCAAGCCATCTCAACGGTCTTTTGTCATCATACCCGGGACACACCACCCCAGATGCAGAGCACTTGGTGCAAATGGGGCGCGTCGAGTCGCAGACCAATCTCCGGCGTTGACATTCCCAACATTGCCGTTTCTCGCCTGTCTGTTGCGAGTCGGTCGTTACTGCTAGCATTTGTGGTTTCATGGTGCATGAAAAATCATACAGTTGCTGCATGAGATACTACCAAGATCGTACTGGTCAAGATTATGGCATAGGATGAAGCCAAAGTGGGGGATAACAGTACGTTGCTTTTGTAAATTGCTTGCATACTCAAGACTCACTCTATGTGGCTATGCCAACCATTCCAACCAATGACATATCGTTGGTCTAGAAGCGGCAGGTCTTGGCCAGTCTATTATCCTATTCGGGCCAAGTGCTGTGCCACAGGGATGCTCGTTTCGTACCCCGTCTAATAGATGTCTGCCGGTCTCCGGCAACGCCAAATTACCTCAGCCCTAATTCCAGATTGGGTGTACGGTGAGGGAGATCTCTGACCAAAACCAGCGCTTGGTTGCTTGACTGTTACACTGCCCATAGCATACACATTTATCTCCAAAAACGGTGGCAACCTTTCTGTCCCCGTATTGCCTCCCCTACACATGCCGAAGAGGTCGGTCAAAGTGGCCACAAAGAGCCGCTCATCCTTCACACCGGGTTCCTCCAACTCCGTGACACCGTCTTGGACAGATACTGTCTCGGGTGCCTCCTATTCCGCGACGCAGAGTTAACAGCCATGGAGGTCGCCTCGAAGATGTAAAGCCACCTGTTGTACTTGACAGTGGGGGTTTTGATGGTTTAACACTGTCGAAGACGCCCTAATGATCCACTATACGATAAACGGTGCGTCCCAGGTAGTGTTGGGGGTCGTGTTTAACATAGAAGGGAGACGCCCATGAGAATAGTTCAATGTTGTCAGGGATATAGATTCAAGGTGACGTTTACAGGTCTGCCTTCACGCCACCAGGGCAGTGAAATATTTCCCAACAAACATGAAATTCATGAAATCCTCCAACTTGCCCCATCATCACTGGAATGAATCTATCAGCAACATATCCGTAACGAAACATGGTTTATAATCCCAATGTTGGATATTTACATGCTAGGTCGGCCAAGACCAAGCGGGGAATCCCAGATGCGAATGGCATAGACCTGCAGAGTCTATACCCGAATCATAAAGCGAGCAGACATTTAGTCTTGTGCAGATTGCCTAAGTGGAGGCGCCTGCTGTGGCTCTCTTTTATGGTTGGAAACAGGAGCATAGAGAGGATATGGCAGGTGGAGTGTTTCCCTCGGGCTCCCACCTCAGGGCAGTTACGGAGAAGCGACCGGATGGCGCCAGGGTCGGCATAACGCCAGTTATTTGGGCCGCTGAGAGACCTGGTGTGTGCGTGTAGCAAAGGTGCTTCTGGCACATGGAACAGGACATTTGGCAGGCGACGAGAAAGAGTCGATGCCACAGACTACGGCTCGTTATATTATGAGGTGGATGCGGATTCCAGAGCTTAGAGAAGATACGATTGAACTATTGAGAGCTGCCGAGTCAGGGACGTCTCCTTTAAGAGTCCCACGTATGAGATATATTTGGGTCGACTGGGAGAAGTAACCCCTAGGATATTTCGGGCCAAGATTATTGGCATAAATGAGCTCAAAGGGTTTCCTTCCAAGCGTGCGTGACCAAACATGTAGGCCGAGAGTTGATCATTTGATTCAGTAAGTTTTGCGACTAGTCCCGAGCTGGGAGTTCGGTCAGTTCAGGGCGAAAAAGAGCCTACCATAAAGAGACAAATTGACGAATAAATTCAGGAGGTATTCGTCGTGATCAGTAATATTAGACTAAGGCCAATAGGTGAGACATCGTGAAGGCACGATAGGAACTACTCATGGACGTATGAATCATGTTGAATCACCCCTTCCCAGATGCGCTACCTTGTAGGCTGTCCATTAGCTTCTGATCTCAAGCGTAACCTAAGCTGATTTATAGGCTTCATCGCATATAGCGCACACAATATTGGGCATTCCTGTTCGTAACGCATGAGGTGTGGGCAGAAATAGCACAGTATTCGGCCCATGCACATGACTAGTAGCGTAACTGCCTAACCTAGATAATTAGAGCTGATAACGTACCCCACAAGCAAGTTGGCCACTTTTTCTTGGCACCGTATGAATAACTTCAATAACTTAACTAAACTAAAAAATAATAATTCAAACTAATCGGAATCCTCTTCCTCGTACGTATCTTCATCATTCTCACAAGTACGAGCATTATGTCCGGGCTCTCCGCAGATCCTACACCGCCGTCGGCGTGGTTCGGCCCGTCTCGTACGACGACGACTTACACGTATATCATCCTGTAGCTGCTGTTCAATATCCCGTTGAGACTGTAAGTCCTGAGTGTCAGGGTACGGCTAGGCCGAAGGCAATAGTACAGAGTGATGGGGAGTAACGGGCGTCCCTCCTACGTAGCACCGGGTGGTCACTGGCGGTCTCAGGTAGGGGTGCCCACGGTGATGCATTGATCTCTGCCCTCTCTATCTTCCTCCGTCTCGACTCCTTACTTATAGCCAGCCGAGGTTCTCTCTTGGATTCTGGATGTTTGCTTCCGTATGTCTGTGTTCCTCCGACTTCGGCCAATATCTTGGACAGCGGCTCCTTATCTGCAACCAAGCGATTCCCTATCCGTTGCAAACGGCTTCAACGGCTCTCATTCGCCACAAGCGGCTCTCTAGCCGCCACAAACGGCTTCCTACCTGGTGGAAGCCGGCCCGCCTCGGATGACACTTGTGGCTCTGACAACTCCTTCCCTATCCTACTTCGAGATGGTCCTTATATAGATAGCTAGGCCGCCGCTTGGACCCGGCATAACAGCAGGGTCGGCGATGCCAAGGATCTTGACTCTCGTCATCCCAAAGCTTCACATAGATTGTAATCATGACTCGGGAGTCTTTTGTCCGAAACACCCCTCCGGCGGCCCACCGGTGTCCTGCGTTCAGTGTCCTGACACCCACGGGTGCCTATGGCATTCTGTTCTCTGACAGCTATTCTCGTACCAGGATAAGAGGTGGTTTTGACCCGCGACAATAATATACGGCGGGATAGCCCAGCCGGACGAATTAATACCCTGGATTACTGTAGCCCATTCTCGATTGCCTTGTTGGACTGTACGAGGCCTTCCGCGTCGTTCAGCACTTGTAACTACCATCTCGGATGAGATTAAGCCTATCGCGAACCCTGTCTCGTCGAAGTTATAGATATCCACCTCTTGGATACTATATTTCGCAATTGTATTTCGTACGAGCGTAAACCATGCGCGTTACGCGTCAGGATCTTCGCAATAGGCTCGTTGGTAGTCGATTCTTCGATTAAAACGCGTCCGAAGGTCTGGTTGTCGTCGTACGAAGTTCGAGGCCCAGTTGACGCCGACGCGTCCATGTTACGAACCGTTGGCCCTGAACCAACATTACAGGCCCGTCGGCAGGCTAGGTGGATACAGACGCTAGGATCACGGGACCCCGCATCGGAGGAAGGAAAGGACCGATAGGTCACGTGACCCACAGGGGTGGATATGTTGGATATGTTGGACAACCAACATATCCAAGTGGGGATCCACTGAGATCTGCCCATCGCACTGAACAGGAATGTTAGATGAAGACAGTCCCCTGTAACATAGATTCGACTAGCATAGACCATGCCGGCACTGCGCCCGGCACGTCTCACGTGATGAGACGTTAAATTTCAATCAATCAATCAACCAAGTGGGGATCAGTGAAGGAGAGATGGGCATATAAGGGACAGGACTCCCAGGCATTTCATAGATAGACAGTCTCTACTTCAGTGATCAATCTAAGCATCAATCTAACCCATTGGTGAGGCAAACTGCCTTGACGACTCTATTCCCAGTTACCCTACTCGAATACTTCAGTTACCCAGAGCCCTATACTCCATACGTCAAACCCCGATATTATTGCTAAAGGACCCCGCAGCAGGACTTACTTACTAGCACAAACCCTTACAGACTCTTTAGTGGTTTACGCAGCTAGACTATTAGAGGTTTCGTTACAGTCCAGCGCCACGGTTGTAACGAGGATACCACACGTCTCACAATATAATAGTCAGGTAGTGCAAAGGGTAGCTAGAAGTAGGCCAGTGTATGGGTGCGTATATTGCAAGACTGATTCTTGAAGAATCTATTATTATTATTATTAAATACGCCGTAGGCTCGAAGCCCCCGGTACCTCTACTAGTACTCCCGTATGTCAAACCGTGCCCTAATGGCTGGACTAAATACATACGCTGCGTCGTCGGTTCGCCCTATTGGCGACTGCGTTGCGTTCACTACCATACTACGTTGGTTCTCAACCTACCAACAAAGTCCCCCCTGAGAAGATCGATGCTATCTGGGCCTTGAAGCTGTCCGACCCGTCCCTAGCAGCCATCTTACAATAGTCCCACTGAAGAATCTAAACTAGGTGCGAGCGTCTCGAGTTCTCCTCTTAAGCTGGGCGGTTCCGGGGTTTTACCGGATCGGGGCGAATCCCTCCCGACTCAGCTTGTCAGCTGAGACCGGCCCGCCACAACGGCTCTTTCCTTACAACGGTCACGGAGCAGTCGGTTAGCCATAGCTTCAACACCATGGAGCCGGGGAGGAAATGATCGCGAATCTAGGTCAAGTATGTATTGTACGACCGCTAACTCTTCTGATTCCGTAAGCTTATGACTAGATTGTCGAGTATCGCGTCGAGATAGTAGTCCGCGTTTTCGGTTAGCTAGAGTTGTACGAGGGACATTGTAGAGTTGGGCAGCGCGTCAGATGCTTAATTCGGGTTTCGATTGAAGCGCCTGATACGCTAGAATCATGTCGCTTTCTTTCCAATTCGATCCCATCTTGGTATGCGTAAAGATGTTAATTAAAAGGTTGTTCGTACGGTGCCAAGAAAAAGTGGCCAACTTGCTTGTGGGGTACGTTAGACAACCTACGAAAGCTTCCTAATTAAGGACAACAACGTTGGGCCGTTTTTGCCCACAGGTACAGTCACGTGAAACCAAGTCCATGTCAAAATTTGAATATAGAAGATGAAGAGGTAGAGGCTGTACTCAGTCGAGCTACTACACAGCAAGCGCATAATTCCATGAAGGGTATCTTGGCCAGTAAGTCATGTGAGAACCAATACTCTCAAATGCTGAATCGATGATGGGTCAGGATTGCAGCTGAGCATTAAATGCTTCAGAATCTTATGCCATATCCCCCCAAAGGATGTTGAAACTGGCACTGTGTCGACGAGGTGTTCTGCACTGTTGCCGTGAAAGAAGTAAAAGAAGACGAAGCGATTTTCTCTATGCCTGAGCCCAGATCGAGCTATATGTGCAATTCTAAAACTCGGCTATCCGACAAGCAAGCCAGTCAATCAGCGCATCTCGTGGTGGCCAGGGAACTGCCCAAGAATCCCTAGAATCAGAAGTTGATGCCAATCACCAGGAATCGGGAGATGACTTGGACAGCGACCGATGTAGCAGCACGGACAGCGGCGCGCAGGGTCGAAGTATGGAAGGATTTCCAAGTGCGATATGGATATCCATGTGGCGCAGCTCCTTTTCCATTCACAACTTCATGCAAGTTGCTATGTTTCTGGTTCATCGCTTCATGGCGCCATGCGGAATAACCCACAAAACCTGCTGTCTTCAGCTTCTAGGTGCCTGTTTGGCCGGTAACGCGGACACCAGTCCTGCAATTTTAGTGGTCGAAGGTGGAACTGGACTCTTGTGGAAACTTGGCTATGCAGTGTACCAAACCAAACCGACCCAACCCAAACTAGGCCGAGTTCAGCTCAATTTAGGCAGTGAATGTAGCGACATCTCCTCCGCAATCCCGAGTATCCTGATAGGAGCTTCTGAGGCCCAGTTGAAATGGTCCAGCCGATACTTGTGTGCATCCCTGCTCGTTGTCTGGTTCATATTTACAGAAGTGATTATAGTCGGCGCTCACTCAACCGGCAGCTTCGAGTTTCTTGGTACGATCCAGCGCTATGTCAACCATGGCCGTGATGGCTTCTCTCTCTTCCTCCTTGGCATCCCCTCGGTCGATGCGCCGATGCATATCGTCCATGATGATGGCCCGGTCCCGTCCGTTGACAAAAACCACGTACCGCAGCCCAGGGAACTTGACCTCGTACTCCTCGTTCAAGTAATTCAGTTTCTCGGCTTCTTCCGCGTCGCCGGTGTTGAGCTGAGCCTGTTCAGCCTGCGACTGTGCAGAATCGACTTTCTTGGCGCCGAGTCGGGGGTGGGAGCCCAGAATGCCGTGAAGTTTCTTCCGAGCCTCAGGAGTGGTCGAGTCGCACAGCTGGTAGAGCAGAGCACCGATATGTCTGATGAGCGCCTCGTACGATGACAGCAAGGCGCTCGGCACTGGGTTTGAAACCTTTGCTTTTGATGCGCCAGCAGGCGGAGGGAGGTCGGCAGATATGCCCGGGTTTGCGGGGACAGTGCGACGGGCGGATTGAATAGCGGGAAGGGCGAGCGTATGGAGTTCTGTTGACGGCTCGAATAGGGTGTCGAGGGCGCCGATTATGGTCTTAATGGGTGCAGTTGGAAGAGAGGCGATAGGAGGGAGTTTAGGAGCATGCGCAGTAGAAGACGCCATCGTGGTCGTGGTGGAGTTGGAGCTGCAGGCAGTCGTAGTGGTGGTGGTGGAAGATTGCGATCGAGAAATCCGCGGTTGAAGGGTGACGGGCGTAGGACGCTCGACTTCGACGGGGTGCTTGGACACAAGGTTGAACCCGAGATCGTGGTGGTCTTTTATACGGATTTTCAGTTGGAGGGGTGTGAATTGAGGCATATTCACATGACGTGTTATATGCTGCAGGGTGTGACAGGGTAAGTGTCGCAAGTTGAGGTGGTGTAGCTGTAGATAGATAGATCGAACTTTAGTTACAGGCGCTGTCCGGCCCCCCAATTTTGGTGAATACGGGAGGAAATAGTTCAGGCGATGCCGCGGGGCAAGATGGATAAGGTATGCAGCGGATAAGAAATAAAGAAATGTGTTATCGCTATCGGCATGTGACTAACCTAGCTACTGTTGAGACCCCTGCGCGTTGCTGCAATGTCGAGCTTCAGCCCGGGTCTCGAGGCTGTAAAACTTCAACAGCATTTACAACAAACCAATTCAGATGCGCCTAACGCAATTGGAAAACACCACCATATCTTAAGAGAACATCATCACGATGCTGTGTGCAAGTGAGTACCAATCCATCCAAATTGCCGACTTTCAATCATTCTGACGCGTGTAGTCTCTGGTGAGCCTCCTCAGGAGCCTGTCGTCTCCAAGCTCTCAGGTACGTCTCTCTATTCTGCGACGACGTAGACTACCACGCCAACGACACTCTTGCTTATTATACCTCTTCCTAGGAAATGTCTTCGAGAAGCGTCTCATTGAGCGATACGTCACGGAACACGGCGTAGACCCCGTCTCCAAAGAGGACATGACTATCGAAGATCTGCTGCCGCTCAAGACTAACCGCGTTGTCCGACCCCGCCCGCCGACCCTCACCTCCATTCCCGCCCTTTTGGCCAGCTTCCAGAATGAGTGGGACGCGTTGGCCACCGAGACGTACAACCTGACCGAACAACTGAAGAAGGCACGGGAAGAGCTCTCCACGGCACTGTACCAGAACGATGCGGCCGTCCGGGTCATTGCACGGCTGACGCAAGAGCGTGACGAGGCACGGGATGCTCTGTCCAAGATCAACGTGTCGGTGTCGAACGGTCCCAATGCTGAAGGAGACGCTATGGCCGTCGACTCGGAGTTTTTGCCAGATGAGCTGGTGGCTATAGTAGACGCAACCCAAGCACAAATGTCCAAGAGCCGAAAGAAGCGCCCTATCCCCGAAGGGTGGGTAACACCAGAAGACATCTCAGCTTTCACCGTTGAGGAGGCCAAGGACCTTGAAATACCACAGACCAAGGCACTGGCAATCGACCAGGAACACGCGGCCATCGGAGGGTTCAATGGTCTTGCGTCTTGCTACTCTATCGCTACCGGCGAAGTCGAACGTACTATGGATATTGGCCCAGTGACAGATGCCATTTGGCGAGACAACAAAATCATCTTTGCCACGGCTAAGGGCATGGTCCTCTTATTCGACAAGGCAGCGGAGGTTGCCAACTTTGCGGACCACGTGGGTGCAATCACCGGTATTGCTCTTCATCCCAGCGGAGATCTTCTGGCATCAGTGGGAGTCGACAAGTCGTTTGTCATCTACGACCTAAAGAACTTGAAGCGCGCCATGCGCGTTCAGACCGACTCTAGTATGTTTCCCTCTGCCCGAATTTGATGGAGTTCCACGTTGACCAAGTATTAGCACTTTCAAGCTGCGCATTCCACCCAGATGGCCATCTGTTGGCAGTGGGTACGAATTCGGGTGTCGTCAAGGTTTTCCAGATCAAGACGGGTGAAGAAGCCGCCAAGTTTGAGCTTGGTGCCCGGGTGGAATCCATTGCCTTCTCTGAGAACGGGTATTGGTTCGCTGCTGCATCGAGTCAACAGACCACGGTGACCATATTTGACTTGCGGAAAGAGGGCGATGCCGCTAGGGCCAAGGTACTGGAGATCGGTGCACCGGTGCAGAGTCTGGCTTGGGATTACAGCCAGCAATTCCTGGCCACGGCAGGCCCATCGGGTATTACGGTACAACAATATTCCAAGAGCGCCAAGAAGTGGTCCGAGGCGGTGAGGAAGGATTTCAGCGCGGTTCGCGTGGCATGGGGCACCGAGGCCAAAATGCTGGTGGCTGTCTCAGAGAATGGCAATATTGGGATTCTGAAGCAGTAGGGAGTACTCGGAATCCAGCTCCTCGAAAGGCTAAGAAGGGAAAGGCGGGGAATGGGAAGGCAGGGTCATTCACAGTTTGAGTCAAAAATGGCTGAGTGGTAGACATGCCTCTTTTGGTGCCGGTCCGATGTGGGTGAAGTTTGTACAATAATGTGGTGGACGATGGAAGATCGGTGGATACCTACACTTATTTAAGGACTTGGGTATGCGGTACTGCATATTCCAAATATGCAATTGAGAATACGCAATGCACTTTTGCTATCACTCGCGTGGCACTGATATACGATGTCTAGTTCGATTATCGCTCGTCGAGGTTGGTACTGTTATTCTGATGACCTTTCCGAAGTACTTCGGATAAGTCAGTCGAAGTCGCGTAGTGCCAATACCGCCAGAACCGAAGTAAGCGCGCGGCTGTCAATTGTAACCGAGCGTTAGTGCGGATTGCCAATTTGAATGTTGCACTGTATGAGCAAGAGCGAGCGGTACCCGAGCCGCCGTCATTAAACAACTTGGGAGACGACAATCGAGCCTCTCTCTCTGAGTCTCGCCAACTTTGCTACTACAGTCTTTCTTTCGACAAGAACATAATCATTCTTTCGGATCGCGCAAGCGGTGCTGGCTGACAGAAGCTGGCGACCAGCGATACGCACTTCACTTCAACAATTTTGGAAAACAGCCGCCGGCCAGTCGCTCAAATCCCATTTAACATTACCATATTGTACTGGGAGCCATGGTATCAGACACGGCGGGTGTGACCTAAACTGCCCTCCACCATCCCCACTGAGGCGACCACCGCCAGACCTTCTCGAGTCAGGCAGTGGGGGATGCGGTGATTGACTTTGGGTTTTCTTTGGTACGTCAGCTTCTCTGCGTTTACGAATGGCGAACGCTGCCGCCTTGCCTGCTTCGTGATTTGGGGACGCACAGCAGCGGAGATGACAAAAGGCTGGCTGGAAGTTGAATCGGTCATCCTGAAGTCGAATGTACCGGGACGTTCGGGAATGGTGCATGGTCGGTTCAAGATGCTTGAATTGACAGGAACGTGCTAGGCTAACACTTTTGGGGGTGCAAGTCAATTTATTAGGGGCAAACATACCAAGACCACACCGACGTCTGGAGTAGAATGGCTCATCGCTGGAGCGAGCCGGTCTCACCCACACCTGAGCCCGACTTTGTGCACGAAAACGAGAACGAAAGCGCCGAGCGCGGGCCTTTGTCGTCCTCGCCCCCCTTCATAACCAACGTCTCGGACGACGATTCGGATGCCGAGTCGCTGCATCATGACCACCACTACCACCACCACCATCACCATCATCACCACGACCGCGACGTATCGGATTCAGACGACCCGCTGCGAGATAGCGAGAGCGACAGCGACAGCGAACTGGGGGATTACATTGGAGGAGACATTGAACTGAACGGCAGCCCAGACGCGGCAGTCCGATTGCCGGTATTCCACCTAGACGCCGATAACCTGCAGGCGGAGGGTGATGAATTGTTGAATCCAGACATTCTGCACGAGTTTGACCTGGACGGGTTTCTTCGCGAGGTGGACCCCGATAACGACGTCTTTGCCGAGCAACAGCATCAGCACGAAAATCAGCACATCCCCCACGCATTCCACGCTGCTTACCACGCTCACGCCCCGGCCCCGCATCCATTCGGCCGGCATTCGCATTCAAGATCTCCTGCGGCGTGGCGCGATCGCGAAGGCGCAAATCCTTTTCATATCCACATCGGACAGCATCACCATCAACACCCTTTCCATCCCGGGCAGAACGTCTCACCGTTTGGGGCACCTGCGAACCTGCCTGCGCACGCTGCGGCAAATCAAGAAGCGCGCGAACAACGGGAACAACGCGACAGAATACAAGCACGCCTCCAAGCACGCCAGGACGCCAGAATGAGTCGTGCTGCCAGGGGCAGTCGCCAGCGTGACGAACTGGTTGGGATTGACGTGGAAGGAGGACCTGCCCACGGGCGCCACCGAACTCGAGGACTGGCACCAAGACACAGCCAAAATCCAACCCACAACCAACCACGAGCCCCGCCACCCATCATCGACTTGACCGGTGACGATAACGATGAGAACGATGAACCGGCGATGTCGTCACAAAATGCACGCAGACGGCAGTCAGGCAATCGCGAAAGCGCCCTTCGACTCAACCGAAGCGACAGCAACTACATCGGCAACCAGCCCCAGGCCATCATTGAGCTGAGCTCCGATTCCGACGACGAGGTGCAGCAAATCGGTGGCCCTAGACCTGCCGCCGGCGCCGCGCGTTTCAATCGCTCTCCTGTTCCCATACTGAACAACCCCATGGCCGACGCCGTGCGAGCTCGTGCGAACCGTCGCAATTACCAGCCGACACCGCCGCCGCCGCCTGCACCTGCACCTGCGCCTGCACATCGTCTTGCCCCTCCGCCACAGCGCCACGGCCCCGGCGGTGTCATTCCTGATTTCCTACGCAACCTGCCCATGCCGGGCTTTATTGGCGGTCTTATGGGCATGGCGAACCGGGACCAGGACATGCATGGCGGCGATGTCCTGCTGTTCGCCGAACGGTTTGGCAACCACATACACCAACATCGTCTCAATGTCGACTTGAACTACGCACACAACGCATTTCCCAACCCTCCGGCACAGAATCATGGCCCGCCCAAGCCAGTGCACGAGCCGCCTCCCCAGGCCAAGGAGGGCTTCACTAGAGACACGGGCGAGGATTTCGTACTCATCTGCCCAAGCTGTGACGAAGAGCTTGCCTACGATCCCGACGTCGAGGATGAGAACGGGCCACCTACCAAGAAGGCGCGCACCCGCAAGGACAAAGCTGAGCATCACTTCTGGGCTGTCAAGGCCTGTGGTCATGTGGGTCTTCTATTCATATTTCGTACCGCAATAATGTGTGTGGAAATGTTTTGCTAATCATGTCGACTGTGAGCAGGTCTACTGTAAGCGCTGCTACGACAACCGCAAGCCCAGCGCTAGAAACCCCGTGAAGGTTGGTTTCAAACCCCCTCCAACCGATCAGCGAAAACTCATGTGCGCTGTGGATGGGTGTGAGAGCGAGGTTAGTACTAAGACCGCGTGGGTTGGCATCTTTCTGTGAGAGATGGGGAGGAGGCAATGCCTGCCACAAGAACTGCTATTCCTGCAAGAAGGAGAGAGACAGATGAGCATGGAGAAAATGGTTGCTCCACCGCACATACATGATGACCCCTGGCACAACACATGACACATGGCATCAAACACCTTTGAAATTCACACGACACTGCGTACACAAGACAGCCGCCTCTAGGTGTATGCGCAGTGGGAAGATATTTGGTTGCAAAGCTGACAGCCCTGGGATGGCTTGTGCGAGCTCGATGAGCCATTTGGTCCCAGCAAGCTGGTTGTATTACATGTTGCCTTGCGCTTAGCTGATGAATCAACAAAGTAGACCAATCAGCGTACCAATTGCAGCTTGTCTTGTTCATATTCACGCCATTACAGCACCTATTAAGGCTTGTCTAATTTGGCAGACGGGCAGATGACGCATGGTCTGCTTTGTTCACAAGCAGTAGACAAAGTCATTGGGTACTGGTGAGTGGTAGATGGAATAGAGGTGAAATTCCATACCTACGTCTCTAGGAAGTAAGGATGATACTTGGAGTTGATGTGGCGTGGATAGGTCCCCTTCATGTCGAAACACCAACATTCCGGCACATCGACCTGCTAACTGGGCAACCAAGCGATATTGTATCATCGCACGTGGTTGGAATATTATGTGTCTTGAACCCGCGTCGTTGCCCTTACTTCTCAGGTCACCCATGGCTGCGCAAAATCTCAGTGTCCATCCTCGCTTGGAACTCCCCCTTAGGCAGAACCGAACTGTTCATCTCGTGCATCAAGATAAATATATCTACGGCGTTACTCGAGCAGGCGACGAGACCGCCGCATGGGCATGCGCATTTTCAGAAATATGCTACTGATGGGGTCGTGATTGTATGCACAAGATGAATAGTCCGGTTCTGCTAACGATACCATACATACGTGCGTTGCTGATTTGGGCAATTTACATGAATATAGTTCTGAATTTCACCTTGTTATTAAATTAGTCACTTTGGCAGTACGGCAGTAGCTCGTCAACTATGAATGTAATGTACTATGGGTGATCTCAAGGGCCTGTTCTGGTCTATGATGCATGGATGCTGCAGCTCAGCCGTGTATAGGAAGTCCTGACTGGGATGATCGCAAGTCACAGCCACTATCAGATGTGTTGGTTATAAGGTGGTATGATGGTCAGTCCATAACTGTTGAACACCGGAGGCGTGGTTTCCGCTAGGGAGCAACTTGATATATTCAAGTAGATACATTGCACGGGTGAGATCACACAAGCGCGAGTATAGATTTTCCCCACGTGACGTATGTGAGTAGCTAGTGGCGATAAATGATGAGTACTGACATCAGTCCAGGGAACATGCGAACAAGGTGCATACAAATTACTGAAGAACAGCGAGAAGATGGGCCAAAGTATTGTTGAGCTGGGGATCTACCGACCAGATTTACTTATCCATATATTTCAAAGCAAGGACTAGTACGATAGGCTGACTTCGGCAGGGCATGCAACACCATTACCTAAGGGAGTTCAGCTAGTTCAATAGGTCATGATAGCTTCAATATAACTCAGTTGGGACCCAGCGCCGACTAGGAGACCACCGTTCCATTCGAACTTCAAACGAATCGAACACTTCGCATTTCCCTTTCGAACTATTCGAACCCAAGCTTGCGTTTGACGCGTTCGATCGATTTGACATTCTGGTCCAGCCTTGGTTTGAGAAAAGGACTGGGTATTGATTAAAGCAGAGACCTACCAAGAACACACGTGCCCTCTCGTCGAAGGCTATATTCGATTGTACCAAAATCACGTCATTTCATTAAATTTCACGCAAGGAGGGGCACCTTCACACAACGTGAAGACTATGAGGGAGTGGCTAGACGGATGCGGGATTACAACGATGGAATGGCCTTCTCTCTCCCCAGATTTGAACCCAATCGAAGTTGTTTGGAACTGGATGAAGGATTATATTCAAGATAAACGGTCTAGAGGAAAGAACGAAAACACCTATACTACGCCAATATGTGCTCGAAGCGTGGGACGCTGTATCGGACGAATTACTCCGTGAACTGCTACTTTCGGTGCCAGCTTACTGTCAAGCTGTGATAATATCTGAAGTGCTTCATCATCGATTAACGTACCCCACAAGCAAGTTGGCCACTTTTTCTTGGCACCGTATGAATAACTTCAATAACTTAACTAAACTAAAAAATAATAATTCAAACTAATCGGAATCCTCTTCCTCGTACGTATCTTCATCATTCTCACAAGTACGAGCATTATGTCCGGGCTCTCCGCAGATCCTACACCGCCGTCGGCGTGGTTCGGCCCGTCTCGTACGACGACGACTTACACGTATATCATCCTGTAGCTGCTGTTCAATATCCCGTTGAGACTGTAAGTCCTGAGCGTCTCGTAAACTAAGAGATCCTCCATCTTGTAGCTGTCGATTTTTAGTCCTTCGACGACGGCTTAGCTCTTGATTAGCCTTCCGAAGTGCAGTGACCTCATCCTCAAGTAAAACTAACCGGTGTATAACAGCCGTCGCACCACGTGAAAGTTGGTCAATAGCCGTAAGTATTGTCGTCGGGGAGCTATTCTGATGCTGTAAGATTCTGTTTTTAACGTATTCAGACTGGGATTGCGCCTCGGTTGGGTTATTTGGAGTCTTTGATTCCCAGATTAAGGAGGCGCCAGACGAGCTCCCAGGAGGTGTAGGCGTGTGTAGCTTAATATCCAGCTGTGAAATCACATATTCCGGGTCGTACGGAATAAGTCCTGTCCCCCTGAAACCTGCCTGTATATTCGACTTAGTTATAGTCGTGTCACGACCTGGGTTGCATCGCATTGGTAGAGACCTCGATTAGGTGCTATCGACGAAGATTCTACTCTAAGGAGCGAAGGAAAGAAGATGACAACTTAGGTTTGAGGGAGCGCGACTAAGTCATCCACGCTTGGCGGGGCTCCTACAAGGGTTATGATTGGCTTCCCATCTGACACTGCCACGGCAGGTGTTCCAGCTGTAAGTCACCTGGTTGTAGTGAGTCTGCGAGGGTTGACCTTCACACTCAGTACCTCAATACGCTAATACGGGATACACACTATACTCTCGCAGAGACCTCGCAACGGCAACAGGAGAACCAGTAGTTAGTGGGACTATTGTAAGGTGGCTGCTAGGGACGGGTCGGACAGCTTCAAGGCCCAGATAGCATCGATCTTCTCAGGGGGACTTTGTTGGTAGGTTGAGAACCAACGTAGTATGGTAGTGAACGCAACGCAGTCGCCAATAGGGCGAGCCGACGACGCAGCGTATGTATTTAGTCCAGCCATTAGGGCACGGTTTGACATACGGGAGTACTAGTAGAGGTACCGGGGGCTTCGAGCCTACGGCGTATTTAATAATAATATAATTGTCAGATGTATATAGCTCTGAATAAATTTCAATAAACTTTAGTCTGTTGTGGCTTTTTAATTGAACTTGAAATTATAGTGTGGTAAAAAGTGCGCGACTCGGTGTTAAACCACGTTATATAATTATTACGTAGGGATAGTACTAGGCCTTCCCCTAATATTTCATAGAAATTCAACGTATCAGCGTACTCCTCCTTTTCATAGCGTAAGATTCTATATAGTATCGTTAGCTACCTATAGCTATTAACTTCAAGTCAAAGCTGAAATATCAGACCTGTTGGGGAACCTCGGAGATGGGAAGGTACGGCCAAGCGTAGGGCTACAAAACCCCGCTTCAAACCAGAAGTAACCATCATAAAGAAAGAAAAAAAAAACATCTTTTTTTGGCCTTCATATAAATCTCTCGGAGGCGTTGATTGTTAGACTATATGACATGTCTTGCGAGTCCTTAACTATTTTCCGCCCCTCATTTGATCACTGACACATTTTTCATTTTCCTGCAGCTGATATTGTTCAGGCACGGGAAAGCGATGCCACGTCTCATGGAATATGGTGACTGGACATATGAGCCACCTGCTTCCACAAATACACAAATACAAGCCTCCCAAGCTGCCAAGCCTGGTCTTTGCCGATAGACATTAGCATGCTCGGCCCAGCTTCCCCGCATCCCCAATGTCGACCCCGCCCCGTCTCGGGATCGCGACGCAGGATGACGAGGAACAGGGTTTACAAGAGCATCAGCTTGCGGGTGCTCCCCGTACGATACTACATCATTTCGGGACGACTAGCCCAGGCAAGCGAGCACCGTAAAATCAGAGCATAGCACGAATGGACCGGGCTCGTTACCATTTAACATGGGGGAGTCCCCTGGCTCAGATTTGACTTGATGCCAACCGGCTCATTTCGCCAGACGCTTTTTCCTGCTTGTCCAGTACTTTGGTTCACTTGCATAATGAAGTCGGCAAAGATCTCCCTCGTCGTGACACTACTAGCTACCGGGGACACCACGGCACAGGACGTGCAAATTTCCATCCCCACCAACCTCAGCACACGACCCTTCGTCTCTGATGTCTACGGCTACTCGATCGAGCCCATCTGGGTCGATGCCTACTTGAGCACGCCGTTGGCTGCCAACTTGCTCAATATTATCGCCAATGTCACTGGAAAGCACCCTCCTCTGCGCATTGGTGGAAACTCGGCCGACGCGACATACCAACACGCCATACTTTCCACGGGAAATGACTCAGTTGCCCTCCCATCCCTTCCCGACGCCGTCCAGCTCAACATAACCCCGACCTGGTACCGGACTTGGAGTGACTATTTCCCCCAAGGATCGGACCTCATCTTCACGCTGAACTTTGCCGTTAACGACTCGGCATGGGTTAATGGACTGGCACAGGCTGAAGCTGCACATGAGGCCCTGGGGAGCAAGCTCAAAGCATTCGAGCTAGGCAATGAGATCGACCACTGGATCAACAAGGGTTGGCGGGACGAGACATGGCGCGTCGACACGTACTTGTCCCAGTGGCGAAACCTGACGGGCCAGATTGTGAACTCGCCATGGTACAAGAATGCCACAAACCCGCCCACGATCCAGTCGGGCGTGTTTGCGGACCCACCATGGGTTCCCGACCAGCAGGACGAGATGGATGATTTCGACATCGTCAACCTGACGGCGCAAGAGTTCCAGTCGGACCGCGATCTGATTTCCAGCTACGCCATCCACCTCTATCCACAGTCCACATGTGATACCGAACGATGGTACCGTATGTCCCTGGACTTGCTGTCGAACCATACGACCCTCTGGCTCAATGTTTCACAGTATATCCCGCAAGTCGCGGCCGCTGAAGCCGCCGGGACACCGCTCGTCATGGGCGAGACAAATTCGGTGAGCTGTGGCGGCAGAAGCGGCATCAGCGACACTTTTGGTGCCGCCCTGTGGGGGGTTGACTATGTGCTCATGGCTGCATCGCTCGGAATTCAAAAGGTTTACTTCCACCTTGGTGCGCAAAGCGAGTACAGCAGTTTTACGCCCCAGGGATACGAATACAAAAACGACACGCTGACAGCTGGCATTCGACCGGGATGGTACGGACACTACTTTGTCGCAAAGGCTATGGCTGCGCCCGAGAACGAAACGTTGAGCCTTGCGGCGTTGCCGGGGGCCAACTCGAGTGAATTGAGTGGTTATGCCGTCTATTCTGGAGCCCAGGTGCAGAAACTCGTCTTCCTGGACATGGGAGTTTGGAATGGGACCAAGGGGCTGAGCAATCCGTCAACCTTGAACGCGACGGATGGGACGGTGTTCAGTGAAGGAGAGCGGCCCAACACCACGTTGAGAGTTATGACACCCTGGGAAAAGGGGAGCAGCGTCACTATCACGAGGTTATCAGCGCCTGGCACGAATGCAAAGAGCAATGTGACAGTGGCTGGCCTGAGCTTCGATGGTGAGACGGGAGACAAAGTGGGCGAGGAGACGGTGGAAGCTGTCACGGTGGAGAATGGCGGTCTTGTTGACTTGCGTATTGTGCGAGCTGAGGCGGTGCTGCTTGAGCTTGTCGAGGGCAGCAATGGCAACAGCAATGGCTCCGGCGACAGTCTCGCGGTCTCAGCTGGAGCTGGGAAGAGCATCGATATTGTGTTTGCCATGCTGGCTGCGGTGTCACTGAGTGTAGGCCTTGCTTTGCGATCATTTGAGCCTTAGCCTTCAACCGACAGTGTGTAAGGTAACGGCAAGCCTAGACCATTACGCCACATAGACCAAAAGATCTAGCAGTTCTGACACTCAGTGGTAGGACTGAGGCTTAACTCTGCTTTATAGCTCTTTACTCCCTTACAGTGTTTGAAGAACCCGTTCTTGAGCACTGGAACTTGCCTGCTTGTTGCAAGAACCCCGTAAACTGGTTCTATACAACGATTGTGCGCCCCCAAGGTAAAATATGAAGCACCGCCTCTGCGTCACCGATTCATTGTTTCATTTGGCCTAACAAATTGCACATACAATCCCGTATCCTCTATTTTGTCAAGCACCTCTGCCACAACTTGACTTTTTAGCTCTCCTTCCTCGACATACTCTTTCAGGTCCTCCTTGATACGGTAACATTGATCATCGACCAGGTCATCTATTAAATCCTGCGTCCCGTCTCTGTGCTCATCTAGCTGCTGTTGTACCAATTCCATCTCATCCGCCACACGACTGTCTATACGCTCTGCGATGCGTGGCCACATCTTCTGCTCTATAATGGTCGGCAAGCTCCTCTCCATGTCAGCCAAGATTTCGCTCTTCAACTCGGCTAGCATTTTCCGAATCACTGGCAGCACCAGATTATGGTTTGTGACGCCATGGCTCTGAAATCCGGCTTCGGCGTCGGATTCACCATCGGAACTTATACGCCGCCGCTTCTTTTTAGTATAATCAGAGAAATCACCAGTAGCAACACTGGAACCTATGAGAGCGTGAGTTTCAAGTTCTCATAGGTGGCGCACAATACAAAGTTCGTACTTACCCTCTGCCGCCATGTGCGGTAGGGGCTGCCGTGGCTCCAGCGAATCATAGGAGGGTGGATTCAGGCTCGGATCCAGATTCGTCGCCCGTGTCAAGTGAGCTTCGGTGTCAGGAGCACCAACACCCAACTCTATGTGTTGACCGCCCTCGCCACCGTACAAAGTATCAATGTCGGGCTTGCCCACCATGGGTTGACACGCCGACTCAGATACGGCTTTGCAGAGCAAAAGCCAGCGCGACTTGGATAGCACTTTGGGTGCCAGGTGAACTTGGAAACTACTCTGTCGGGCGAGCAGGCGTAGCGAATCTAATACGTGACCGGCGCCCCTGTTCTTCGGTGTGAGATGGGCTACCTTGGGACCGACGAAGTCGACGACGCCAGCATTGTGTAGGGTGAAATGCAGGCTCCAGCGCGTTCGTTTCGGCTTCTTCTTCCTTGGCATCTCCTTGTTGATTGGCCCGGCGTGGTCTTCGTTTTCGTCCGCGGTGAGCAGCGTAAGCGTGCGAATGCGATTAGGGGGGATGATGAGGTATAGAGTAGTCTTAATGTTTTCTGAAAATGCGCCCTTGAGCTCGATCGATGTACGCATTGTGAAGAAGCCTGTACCAGCTGAGGCATTATAGCCCACCGAGAGTTTCATGACGTGGAGCAAGGTCGACTTCTCCCAAGACACATCAACAGGTGTTGTAGAAACGTCGATAGTCGTTGTATCTGATGTGTCGGAGGCGGTCGATTCGTCATCTTGTTGAGCCATGGCGGATGTATAGATAATAAAGTAAAGCCTGTGACACGTCAGTGATGGGAACCATGTTCATCGATAACAGGCGTAGTGGGAATGAGCTGAGGTCGTTGGCGCGGCAGCATCCCAACTTGTTCCATCTCACAACCATGATGCCAATGACGGCTTCTGGTGGCAGACGGGAAGCGCCGATCTGTTGATTCGACGAATACGCGAGAACCAGGAAGAAAGGAAGGCAGGCATGACGTCCCCGCATGCTTTGGCCGGACAGAGAGACGGCCATCAAGAGAGCGGCATGGCTGACAGGCGACCTTCGCTGTTGCGAAAGGTCCCTTCCCAAGGCCCCGGTTCATTTCATGCAGCAAAAGATGTGGTTAAGCACACTTTGACATGAGCAGAAGTCGGCATTTCCCGGCTTGGGCGCCATGGACCGCATTCCCGACGGCATCTCGAGTAAGGCAAGCATGCGCGGCTACCCGACGGTGCGAGTACCTTTGAACGTTGCTGTTTTTGCTGTTGATATCACTGTTATGGTGGTGATACTGGTGGTGGTGATGTCGGCGTGTCCAGTGTTGCGGTGTTTGTTTCGGTCGTGGATGGTCGATGGGGATATGCAAAGACGGTAGAAATGGATGTTGAGGTGATGTCGATTGAGCTTGCGGAAGTGGTTAAAGTTAGCGTGGGCTGAGTGGGGCTTCAGACTAACGTAATCCACCTAGAAGCAGGCCACACTCCTTAGCGAGTGTTACGAACCGTTGCTTCTGTGGGATCGCGCTGTTACTGAGGGATTCAACCTTCAGATGATGACTCTGTACAGATCCTGTATTGGTTACGATGCTCGATGCGCAGTGTGATGTGTATATTGACTGCTCGGAGTGCTGTGTAACAAGTTACATCTAAGGTAGGTAGGCAGGTGCCGACCTTTTTATCTACACAAGCGATTTCACTGCCTTAGGCACCACCTCAGGCACCACCTCAGGCACACATATGGCGCTCAATCCCACAGTTACTGGCATTCCGGCTGCATATGAAGGTAAAGAAGGGAAGTACAGTCCGAGCCGCACAAGGGCACTAAAGTATCTCGCGTGTGCCCTTAGGCCACCAATTCCACAGGTTCTAACTAAACCCAACAAGCCCGATGTGTCATATATTCACGTATCTTTTGATGTGACCTTAATGTGACGGTAATGTGACCGTTCGGTGTGATGGATTGATTGTTGCGTGTGTTCTCTGTGATCTGCTCTGCAGAGGGATTTCTGGCTAAGTCCCAGTGGCTGGTAATCACGCAACTCTTGATAGGTCACGTGACCCCTTATATTTGACACTTGACGCACACTTATGGATGTTTGAATAAGCAAGGTGGGCATTGCCAAGCTTCCTGCCACCGCTGTACGACCTGACTTCAGCTTTGGTACTACTCCAACAACTAGGCAACAGTACTTTAAACAGTAGCCTTACTACCGTAAAATTATGCAGACCGAGTTCCCTTTCGATACACGTGTACGGAGCATCTTCCACTTAGTTATATGACGTTAGAAGTCACTAGCTGAACACACAGCAGGCCCAACGACAATCTAGATATGACTTCACCGGCGGTATCAGCACTTTCCCTCGAGCCGACAAATATTCATTCAGTCGAGTCACACGAGTTGAAATTGCTAACAAACCCTTCGCCAAATCCCGTTTCGGTGCCCGATGAGAGCGGACCTCTTGGGTCTCAGTCTGAAATTGCCCCTGAGAGAAATCACCAACGCAACCAGATTTTGCGGAGCTGGATACCTGAGATAACGTCATTTCTCGGTTCTCTGCTGCTTTTGGTTGCCATCGTCGTAGTGCTTCGAGCGTACGATGGAATCCCGCAACCGGAGTGGGCTACAGGCATAAACCTCAATTCTCTCATTGCAATCCTCTCAACAATATGCCGAGCAACGATGCTGGTTGTGATAGCCGAAGGTGAATTTACTCCGAGTATGAGAGGGCAGCTAGAAAGCTGACTCATTACGATAGTGATTAGTCAGCTCAAATGGATTTGGTTCGACAAGATTCGACCGTTGGGTGATCTGGAAATGCTAGACCGTGCAAGTCGTGGCTTTTGGGGCTCGCTGCGTTTGCTGTTCTCGCATATTCGACTGTGAGAAGCTTCGGTATCGTCGTAATTGCAGTGCTAACATGGACGTCCAGGCCTTTCGTAATGATTGCAGCCTTCGTCGTCGTCGTGTCCGGAGCCTTCGGCTCCTTTACCCAGCAAGCCATCCGCACATCTCTGTGCAAAGTACCAGTGCTTGGTTACAACGCGACTGTGCCCGTCGCACACTACGTGGATTCAGTTGAAGATGCGTACGTGTTCCAGAGCCATGGACCTGTCTCTTTCCAACTTGGAAATCCCATGAAAAGCGCTCTAGTCAACGCACTTACAACTGCCGATGATGGGACGAGCAGGCTAAATTTTAATTGTCCAACTGGCGACTGCACATTTCCAGACCAGGGAGAAGGGTTGTCATATTCATCCATCGGGATGTGCAATGAGTGTGTCGACATTACGTCGTCTGTACGGCAGTGGCCGGGTCAGAATGCGTCTTACATAGACCAAATGGGCCTCAATCTTACGATTACGGGCATGAATAATAATCAATCGATAGCTGCTGCTTTCACAGGCTACTGGTCGAGTATAACAGCCGAACAGCCGACGTACGAGTCCCTCTGGGGCGAAGATTCAACTAGCCAGAGGGTCACTTATCTGACGTTTACATGGGCACCGTGCACTATCAACGAGACAGACCCGGTTGCCGGAGGCGATCGAAATAGTGGCTTATTTTACAACTGGATCTGCCCGAAGTCGGACTACCCCTATATTCCAGACATGGAAAATTCGCTCGCCGTATTGGCTGTCAATTGCACCTTCTACCCCTGCTTGCGGAACTACAAGGCCAGAGTGACGAACGGGATACTTCAGGAAACAACAGTCTCGCACATCAGAATGAAAGGAAACTCAAGTTTATTCGATAACCCTAGCGCCTTAAAGGAGCCATGCTTTATTGACGGACTGCGCTATGATGCGAAGAACATATCAGAAGTCCCAAATATCAATGAACGAAATTTCACCAGTATCTGGAAGAGTGGAGAAGTGGTAGAAGCACCGACGGAGTGCGTTTATCGCTTGTCCTCTGTGCTCGCTCAAGGGATAACTCAATACATGCGCGACCGTTTCTTCGAAGCACAATGCTGGTGGGATTCTAATAACTACAGCAGCAACCTTAGCCACGTTAGTTGCCCCGATGAGGCCTGGTGGCTGGACGCATTATTTAAAAAAGGATTTGCGACATTTGATACTGTCGATTCACTCATGCGCAACGTCTCCGTTGTGGCAACCAACCGTTTGCGAACGGTGGGCATCGACGGGAACTGGAGAGCTCCAGAGTATGCCCTTGGAACTGTCTGGAACCAAACGGTTTGCACAAATGTCGACTGGCGGTGGATCGTTCTTCCCGTCTCATTAGAGTTCCTGACGTTTTGTGTTCTGGTTGTCGTCGTGGGCCTGAGCTGGCAAGAGAGAGAAACTAGACCTGTCTGGAAATCCTCGGTCCTCCCACTCCTGTTCCATGGTCTCAAGACGGATGAGCAGCGCACAACATTCGCAGACACAACGTCCCGAGGAGAAGAATCAGATGCGCCGACTCAGCTTCGTCCGATGCAAGATCGAGCACAAACCATGGCAGTGCGTCTGATCACAGAACCAGGCAGTTCGGGATTCCTGGTCGAGGGTGCACTGCTAGGTAAAGAAAAACGTCGACTGAATACTTTAAATCGAGGGAAAATTCACCGGTGCAGGGATGCAGACTTAGATTCGCTGTTAGAAGTCTCCTTGCCGCTAAGGGCAAGCGGATCCGCCCTAGGTGAAGATAGTATCACTCACGGGAGATAATAAATGTGAAGTTAAGATAGCCTAGGTCTAGGTAAATATATTAGAATAAAACTAGTGCATATTCGGATTAGTCAATTCTCCCTTTTCCACGACGAGAATATGCATAAATATCTGCATACCAAAGATTATCTCCGCCATATAGCTTGTAGTCTTGACAGACTGAGTTACCGATCCATGTAAACGATGCGGAATCACATAAACTCTGGGTCAACATCTAGCGCTGGCTTAATGAGTTTCAGTGGTGGCCTGGGAGAGCGGTGAAGGCCCATCAACTAGGCAACTGTCAGTGCCCTACGATAAACAACCCAGGCCCGGCGAAGATTACTGGAGTTGACCTGGAATACGCCCTCTAACATAATACAGATTAGACTCTCGACTGTTCCGTGCCTTTCTTCCTTGGTTGTTACCCATGTCGTAGCAGCCGTCGTCAAGCGACGCATAAGTACACTCTGTGGTTCCGAAAGGCCAGGGAAGTTTTCTCCACATGGACTTTGTAGAGTGATTGCAAAGATGAGCATAAGTTTGGCCCAAATGACTGGGTGAGTCTGAGGACCGGAAAGCTCAGCTGGAGAGTACGATGCCGCGAGCTTCTCGTGTGTCAGCTTGCTATGAGGTTGAGTGTTGAGCAAGAGTGTGTAGCGAGACGGTTTTAAGCTCTCTCTGAGCAAAATCTTGGCATCCCCTTCAGCTGGAAAGGCTGAAATTAAGTGATAAAGGACGGTTTTGAGCTCCGCTTGACCTGATACACCTTGCGCGTCCGTTGTAAAGATTGAGCTGGTTGGAGCGAATTCTCCAAGACTCTGAATGATAATTAGGAATCAAATATAAGATTTTCGGGGGTTAATTATATACCTCTGTAGGCGTAAGAGGAGCCCAAATTGACGATGGCTCTGAATTATTGGAGTGAGTGGCCCGGGCACCATAGTTGTCTTGCCATGGTTGTTCTTCAACCTGGCTTGTCGCACCAACATGCTTGCTAGCAAGAAAGTCTTTCATGAAGCCTTCAACTCTTGATATCCGCTGACCGAGGTGTCGGTTTCCCTTTCTTGCCGGAGAAAAGTCTTCTGGCATCTCCTGACTGATACATGGTGCATGGCGACGTTGGCAGCCGGTACAAGTAACATCATCGGGCGATGTAAATATGCACCTGATCTTCTGCCTTTTACATTCCCAGAAAGATCGGGTCCCTTTGCGAACCTTCCTCCGCTTAGCTTGGTTGAGTGAGTCGTCCATGGTGGCGTTCGAGGGTACTGCCGTAGTCGGATCTTCATTTAAGTCGTCAATCATGTCGTCAGTGGATATCTGGACCTGGATGTTGTATTTCCAAAGCGGTGGAGAGATGGCTGGGAGCTTTGCGAAGGATCGTGGTTGGATGCAATGGTACGATTAATAATTCCGCCGTCACGGGCGAAACTGTTGGTACGACCTGTTATTTTGTCCCGACCTATGCGCTTCACTCTATGACAACTACCATTCTCGGCGCTCACCCATTTCGCCGGAAAAGCATTACAAATTCTTGAAATCTTGGAGATTGCATCATGTATGTTGATAGGGTTTTCTTGCTTTCTCCAGCTTACCTTCAACTACCATGCTCCAATGGTGTACAGGTCTTACTTAAGTACCATTTCTGCCAAACGGCGTACCGAACAAGTGTGGCTTTACAGAGCTACACGTGAATACCTAAGGTATGTAAAGTGTTAATTATCTCTACCGACGGGAAACATCATGCTGATTTGCGCAATAGCAACGACAACTAGAAATCCATCGGCACAGCAAGTCAACCCCCTCCGACTAGGCCACTTCGTTGTAAATATGGCTTCCCAAGTCGGCCAAGACGAGCTCAGAGATGAGATACCGCCAATTAATCTGCAGAATTGGACTGCTCACGCAAACGGACTGGATCTCGAGAAGTCGGCAGACCCTCCAGCTCCCACCGGCGGCTCTCCACGTCCTCCCGATGGTAGACTCGTCGCATGGCTCCAGGTCGCCGCGGGCTTCGTGCTCTTCTTCAACACATGGGGCATGATCAGTTCGTTTGGCGTCTTCCAAACCTACTATGAGTCCGGCGAGATCTTTCAGCGCTCTTCCGCCGACATTTGTTGGATTGGCTCTACCCAAAGCTTCCTGCTACAGCTTACTGGGCTCATCGCTGGTCCTGTCTATGACAGAGGTTACCTCCGCACGCTTCTCTTCACCGGCAGCTTCATGATCGTTTTCGGACTCATGATGCTACTCTTCTACATCTCCTTCTACCCGCAGAACCGCGGCTTCACTGACACGTCGCTGGCGTTCTACATTACCACCATATTCAATGCTGCGTCCATCTTAGGCCAGATCCTACCGAACGCGGTTGCTGACCGCATTGGCGTGGTCAATACCATAGTGCCATTGTGGGTTCTTCTTGGCGTCGTGATCTTGTGCTTGCTCGGCGTGCGCAACGAGGCGGGAATGATCGTCGAGGCGATCGTTACCGAGTTGTTCAGCGGCGGCGTCGTCGCGCTGCCACCTGTCGCCTTCCGTTTGCTGATGGAGAACAAGTCCATGATTGGCACACGAATTGGACAGGGTTTCGCGATTGCCGGCCTTGGATTGTTGGCTGCTGGACCAAGTGGTGGTGCCGCTCTCGGGGCCGGCGATCGGTTGAATTGGACTGGCCTTTGGGTTTACGCGGGTGTCACGGCGATTGCAGCTGGAGTGATCGTCCTTGTTGTCCGAGTCATGAGATCTGGATTTGCGCTGAACGTGAAGGCTTAATCGACGAGACTGACTGAATGTACGGAGAAGGGTGGCTTATATGGCATTTGAAGTTTACTCTTCTATGGTCCAACAAACGATGACCGAAAGCAAGATAATAAAATAAGAAGGGTGAACTCCTCAAGAGCAAGGAAAAGCATGGATGCAGGTATTTCTATGTAAAATGTGTATAATAAAACATATTCATACTCTCACCATGGTCCCTATATGGCTGTACTCGAATATCCAATCGTCTCTTCCCCCGTCATTAATAGTCATCATTGTCATGGCGTGACGCGCCTGTTTACTGATATAGAGTAGGAGGTGGGTCGTTAGCGGCCAGTATCTCCTCGAAGGTGACAAAGTTCTCATTTCCTGCTACGTCCTCTTCGACCTCGACACCTCCCTCGTTTTTAAGAGGAGATATTCGGATCGTAAGTCGGACGGTTCGGTTATAACGGGCGAGCTGTCGGGTTTGCTTGCTAATAGGTCGTGTTCTAACCCTTCTCCAGATGTTTGGAGTGTATTGTCTACTTGATTTTGCCTGCCTTTGTCGGAGTTGTGGATCGGACAGGCGGAGTCTGATATCTTCCTCTTCCTGTTCTTTGTGGATGAGGACATTAGGGGGTCCCTAACTTTTCAAAGACGCCATCACTCTTACCGCACCCTGAAGTTGTCTGAAGATTTCCTCTGCTAGGAACTGAGAAATGACAGGAGCCTTGTTGTAGAACGCTCGTGCGATGGTTGGGTACTAAAGTTGGCGATGAGTTTCCTAAGTTGTACGGCATTGTGATCTTTGACTTATATCTAATCGAGGGAATTTCTCGGTGGAGGAGCCCGCAGTGATGAACTCAGCGAAAAGCTGTAATGTATTCTCGGCTATTCATCATGAAAGTTTTATGGCTCCGGGGGAATATGTAGAGAAGGTAGGATTGGCGACGGACTGATTGGTGTCCTCGTGGAGACTGTGAGGAAAGGAAGACAAGCAGATAGTCTTGAACGGAGGGATGGGCACCTCCTTACATACCCAGCCTTCTCCTATTCCTGGAAGTACAGAGAGAGCTTTCCACCACGCTGTCGACCCCCTGCCTCTATTTGTACCTGACACTCATAAAGTGGGATAAGGGCTGGAAGGGAAAGTGCCTCCATCCACCGTTATGGCGCAAAGCACCGGCAGTCAGGAATTTGAGGTCGGGTGCTCCTATTCGACCTCCCGATAATATCAAGGCAATGCCCCCTCAACAGTGTTGGCTCCATCCATAGCCTGCAATGATGGTGGTCTGGGCAAATAACCCCTGTTCTTCTACCCTGACGACAACGCGTTCAACCGCATCAATAGCACGCAGGCCTGACTCATGCCGCTCCGAGGCGGGCTGTGAGAAGTATTTGAATCCTCCAGAGCACCGAAATGACATCCCTGAATATGCCCCTTTTGGCCTGGTCGCTGAGCCCATACCCGAAATTCGCCGGTTCGATGAGGAATGTATCTCCACCTGTCTTCTACCAGCCGCGGCGCCCCAACTCCCTTGAGGCTTTGGAATGAGTGGCTATCGATGAGTACTATTTCGAGGAATGGATAGAGAGCAGACTGGCTGATACTTGGAAGACAATACCGTTGGTGGCCATCCTGACCGATTCCAAAGTAAATGCCGGGACCCGACGGAGCAAACCTGTTTTAAATCTCGACATATGCTGTACTACCATCTTATATGCTCGGCAATTGGTCGAGTATTGACGCATCCGAAGGTATGGCCGGGAATGCAAAACGCCGAATAGTGAGGAGTCTGACTCTTAGAGCTAACGAGGAACAACCTACAAGGGATCCGCTTGACTAAAATGAAGACACATCCTAGGGATCAGATTCTGCTTGGTTATCATGGACACATTCTCAAACAGGCAATCCGAGATACCTCCATCTCTAAAGACGACCGGAAAGACCGTGATGGAATAGCGGGTACGATAATGGAGTTGGTTAGAGCCTTGCTAGGTGATAGACGCCACCAAAATCCGGGCATGTCTCTATCCGTTGGCCCGTAGCTATTGATACGTCTGCTGACCTACTTCTTCCTGATGGCACTGATGCTCATTGAGGCACACACGTCCATGCATGAGAGTATGACGGTGTCGACGCACGCGCAAAAAAAAAGTCCCGCGTACCGCCGGTACACGATCTTTTGGTTGCGGAACTCAACGAAGTTGGACTGCTACTTTTGGTCCCGGGGCGCGACTAGGCGGTGGACCTGTTTGGAACAGAAGTTGGTATATAATAGGAAGAAGAGGGAGGGGGAGGGAATGAGGAAGAGAAGGCGAACGCACCTCGCCCTTGAGCTTGATCTTCTCATTGTCGCTGTACGGGACGTACCATTTCGCCAGTCGCGTCTTACCTCTGTACGCGTCATCAGTACTCTTGTAATTGATGGTGACTGGCTGCTGTAGAAACTCACTGCCTGTTTTGTATCAGAATGAACGACAACATTTTGGCGCTGGCCGGAAATGATGGTGGCGTCGACTCGCAGCGTTGCGATGGTGATTAGAACATGAAGTCAGCATCACGATTCTTCATGTCCTAATCACCATCGCAATTCGGATGTGATGTTCCGTGCATATTGCAACTTGAACATTGTGCGCGCCTTCTTGTACAAGTTAACAAGTCTTTGACCTACAGCTCCAGATTAACCCAGTCTGGTACCCGTACGTAATAATTTAGACGTACAATTGGGCGGGTCATGACATAAAGGATGTAGGACATGGTAGTTACTAAGACGCACCGGGGAGGTTAATAAAATATAACATATTTCACCCCGATTCCGACACCCCTGTAAACCCCAACAATAACCACACCGCTATTTACATTATCCTTTGTCGGCTGGTGTAGTTGGTCACTTCGCTGGTAGATAAGTCCCGATTTCAGCCTCGCCCACTTGGGTCGGTGACGAGTCGCGGGTTCGAATCCTGCAGCTGACACACAAGGGGGTTTAGTCAACCCTTATGGCGCGCTGCCCACCTTGTTGACTTCGCCTACCTAGCGATAATAGGGAGATTGGTGCAGTTTAGGATTACGAGCATCCTAGCCAGTCGACCGTCAAGCACTACGTCGGCGGAATATAACTCGACAGCCGGTCCAGAATTCGAATCGTTAATCCGGCCCCTTATCGGACCTCGCCTATCCGATAACGCTCGTCGGCGAACCCGTCCCCTCACGATAGAAGGCGCGCAGCACGCCCTCTCGCCGCGATTCTTGCGAGCGTCTAGACCACGTTACGGTCTATCCACTTGAGCGTATGGTTGAGATGTATACGCTCGACGAGAACCCCAATTAGCAGATACTACGACTTGTCGCGACAAAAAAAATAGTCGAGCATCTTCTGCACATCAGCAGCATCCCACCCCTGAGGACGAATTTAAGTGCCACATTACCACACTTATCGGTAGTTCAGGCAGGGGTTGTAGCACAGACTTAGGGAGGGACAGGAGGTTTAGTAGTCGTTTGGCTACAAGTTTACCTGTATAACCGCCCGACGCGGCTTAAGGGCCCGCTATATCATCTATAGCCCCTTAAGGGAGTACTTGTAGAGGTACCGAGGGTTAACACCTACGGCGTATTTAATATTATTTTTTCATTATCCTTTTATTTCTCAACCACTTTTGCTTCAATTGACTTTATTCCAAGTATTCGATCTGATCTGCTATCAATGCCTTCATATACGAAAGAAGACCTCGCTGCCGCCGTCCTAGACGTCGCAAGTGGTAAATCTGTGCGACGCGCTGGCCTGGATTGGGGTATACCAAGGACTACACTTATCGACAGACTTCAAGGCGCTGAATCAAGTCGTGAGGCCTCTGCTAGCCAGCAGAGGCTATCTCCAGTGCAAGAAAAACACTTAGCAAACTGGGTTTTGGTCGAGGAAGCCCTTGGACTAGCCCCAACGCACGCGCAAATCAAGGAGCTCGCGTAGCGCGTCCTATCCCTCAAAGGTGACCACCAACCACTCGGCAAGAATTGGCTGGAAGCCTTTCTAAAGGGTCACCCAGCACTAAAGACTAAAAAAGCAACGCCGTATCGACTCTCAGCGTATCAATGGCGCGTCTACCGAGGTAATCCAAGCCTGGTTTGCTTCAAAATTACGTATTCCTGCAATTCAAGCGATTAAGCCGCAATGCAGGTATAATATGGATGAGCATGGCCTTATGGAGGGTCAAGGGGGCTCTGGGCTAGTTGTCGGGAGCGCTACCTTACGCGCAATACACCAGAAACAGCCTGGTTCGAGGGCGTGGACGTCAATTTTGGAATGTGTGGATGCCCTCGGCAATACCTTAACCCCCCTGGTTATTTTCAAGGGCAAGGACGTCCAAGAGCAGTGGTTCCTGATAAAAATCTTCAGGACTTCAAGGACTGGCGTTTCAAGGCATCCCCCAAGGGCTGGACAGACGATACGATAGCTATCAAATGGCTTGAAGACGTTTTTATACCCCTTACGCTTCCTCAGGACCCTTCAGACACTCGTTTACTTATTTTGGATGGTCACGGTAGTCACACAACTGATACCTTTATGTCTCTTTGCTATCAAAACAACATATACTTATTATTTTTACCCCCACACTCATCTCATGTCCTTCAGCCCCTCGATGTTGGGGTGTACTCAGCTATGAAAACGGCATATCGCAAGGAGGTCGGGTTTTTAACCCTATGATACGTTACCCCATGGGGGGTTACCCTATAGCTATAGATAAGATAGATAAGAGCTATAAAAGAGCTCTGCCAGGCCAGAATAGCTGACCTGGCATCCTTTTCCAATACAACAATTCACACCCCATATGCACTCGCATCACCCTATTAACTGATTCAGCACCTATTGGCAAGCGGAATTTTATGCGCTGTTACGCCAGAGCACGCCAGAGCACGCCAGAGGGCCCTAACGGCTCAAAATATCAAGTCTAGTTGGCGTACAAGTGGTCTATGGCCCCTGAATGTCGCTAGGCCCCTTACTAGCCCTCTTCTGCTTGAAAATAGGAACCGCACACGTCACCAAGGTCCAGACATTCTTATTACAACCCAGCAAGTCCAGAAAACGCTCCAGACGTCTTCAGAGGGCAATGTTGTATGGTCAACGCCAGAGAAGAGCGTAGATATAGAGCGCCAGTTTAGGGAGTTCAATCGACTCCAACAAACTAACATGACTACACAACGCCAGCTATTTAGAAAGATGAAAAAGGGTTTGATGAGAAGGATTATCTATTAGTAAGCGCAGAATTACAAATTGAGGGCCTGAAACAGCGATTGGAGCTTATGAAGCCACGGAAAAAAAAGAAGGTGCAAATAAGTCCAAACGCGAAATTCGCAAGGATTGAGGACGTACGGCGGATGAGGGAAGTATCTAATGAAGTTCTTGTTGATGATTCGGGTTCATAAATATCTAATGTATCTACTGTCGAAAGCGATTGTATAGTTGTTCAGAATTGAATTTGTGGTGGTTGTTTGAAATTGCAGTGTTATTCGTGGTGTTTTGTTTTATAGGGTGTCGGAATGGGGGTGAAATATGTTATAATTACACTGGGGTTAGAGAAGGGATATAGCTCAGCGGCTAAAAGAACGCATACGCTAAACAATTATCTTTCATCATCCAATCTTTTTCTTTCATTCTTCCAAAGGAGTAAAATGATGGATAATAGACTGATTGACGTCAGTCAGTTCTGTTGCTATATACTAGGTCTGAGATCTATAAGATACCTGACGTTAGATAATATCCAGATGACCCTGCCCCAAGACATTCTTTATCATATCGACGTCTCCACAAGGACGAAAGTAGAGTCCTGAGTTTTTAGGAGCCACGGTCACATGGGCGGGATCAGCGTAACCGCTGATGGGATCGGCATTGGTGCCTGGGGTCGGGCATATTTCGAACAGGGCGATGACTCGTGCCAACAATATATACAACTCTCGATTCGCAAGAGTGTAGCCCGCACACATATGGTAACCCAAGCCGTAAGTGAATATGGGCAAGTCAGGTTCCTCAAGCCACCTTTCGGGACGAAATTGTTCAGGGTCCTTAAATATCTGAGGGTCTAGAGTGGAATAACAAATAAAAGTCAGCATTGCTTTATTCTAGTCAGTAGGACAGGAAGATTACTTGCCCATGTTACAAGAAAACGTATTGTAACGGGGTAAGGCCAGACATCAGGGAAATAGGTTACGGGGCTAGGAGAAAGTTTATTTTCTCTTCTTTAAGAAGCACAGAGGTAGAGCAGGACATGAATCCTTCGTCATCATTTTTTTATATCATTATCATCTTCACGCATCATCATCCTCATCTTCATATCATCATCTCCTTTTTATCTATATCTTCACCTTCGCTTTTCAGTCAGTTATTTAATTATTTTAGTTATTCAGCTTATCTTTACGTTCGAGATCCTATTATCACGATACGAGTATCAGAGGCACATCCGACCAACTCGCGCACCAGACGTATAATAACTTCGCTCTTATAACCAGTACCACGATCTTCGTCTGATAAGACCAACAGATGGGATCTGTTGGTACTGGAGCCGTCTGTTCAGCGTGTTAGGTGGTAGGTATATCCTACTGACCGCCTGACCCCGTTTCAGTATTTAACACGACTGTGGTGCCCTCAGGAATAATTTTGCCTTCATATTGGAAGGGTTGCACTGTGAGTCGAGGAAGCCCTAATCTTGGCATAAAGACAGTCTGGCTGTCTTCTGGCCTGGATTTTAGCTTCGATCTCTTGGCTCAGTCTAAGAACGTATGCGTCGCGACGTGTGCGTAGTTCTAGCGCTTTACCATAGTACAAGTTGAACGGCCACATACAAAACAAGGAAATTTAGTCCTGAAGATTGTCCGTCATACTTCGCAACTTGAGAATCTGGTCTTCAACCTCGATGATCTCGTGGGTGAAAGGGTCGCTAAGATATATCCGCCGGCCATAACAGATCGAAAGAGAAAGACTGAGTGTCAGCCTTGTGATTGGCTTTGAGACAAGCACCGGATTCCGGCCTTCACTACCATAGTTCAGAAGCTCTTGGAGAAGATGTCGAGACTCAAGTTCAATTTTGCCCAGATTCGCCTTGATGGCGGGTTTGCTTAGCTCCGCTGTTGTGGCTTTTCGGCCTTTTTTGAGAGCATCGCTATATCTAGCTGTGCTAATCGTTGGACCTAGCGTACCTATAGCTTCGGAAGGCGAGCGATAGCGCGGAGTACTATAGTTAGGCTATAAGTATATACGTTAACGTGAATGTACACCGAGCTGGCCACCCTTACATAACCTCGCATAGAAATTTTACGATAGTAAAACCACAACACCGTAAATCAATTGAAACTACTCTGAATCTTCCTCTCCAGAAGATGGCAATGCGATGTTACAAGTTCGCGCATTATGCCCAGTCCCGTTGCAAATACCACAGCGCCTCGGGCGCGTTTTTACGCGTTTGGAGGGTGCTTCGGGGGACTTGGTACGTTGTTGCCGCTTGTCGGAGACTAAGTTTTTGGTCATTTTTGAGAGCTTGAAGGGCTAGCATTAAGTCTGCTTCGTTGTATGACTTTGCCATAATTGGTTGTTGAGAAAATCAAACATTAAGTTGGCCGGTCGCATTGGCGCATGAAAGTGGCCAGCTCGGTGTCATGGCCAGCTCAGTGTACATTCACGTTATAAAATAATAGTAAAATATATGGCAAAAACATACAACACTAGGGATTCGCTGGTGGTCACCCACCCAACTACTAATCTAGCGGTTTGCAGCTTATCTATAGGAGAGCGGACGGGATCCCGAGTTCTCTGTAACCTATGGTCGTATGTGTCAAAGCTTGGTATTAGTGGAACTTATGTAGAACTAAAGCCTCCCTTGAGCTCGGAGAGAAACACTTATAATAAGGGCGATACACATCCCAGCACGACTAAAATTAAGTATACTATAAAACGAAACCTTAGGACTAAGGATAAGGACTAGAGAGACTAAATATAGCTACAGATATTTATAATATCTAGCGAACGACCGAGGAAAAACAAACATATAGCAAAAACATACAACACTAGGGATTCGCTGGTGGTCACCCACCCAACTACTAATCTAGCGGTTTGCAACTTGTCTATGGGAGAGCGGACGGGATCCCGAATTATCTGCAGCCTATGGCCGTATGTGCTAGAATAGCCTGTTACTAGAGCTTATGTAGAGCCAAAACATGCCTTGAGCTTGAATAGAAACACCCAGGACAATGGCGATCGATACCCAAGCACGGTAAAACCCAAATGTACTATAAAACTTGTGGATATATGTATAATATGAACTTGCATGGTTTCTTTTCGGGACTAAATACGTTCATGATGAGTGCCGTAGTAGTCATATGTCGCCCACGCTATTCGGTATGCGCTGGGTTTCAGCGGCGCTCCTGCCACTATAGCATCCTGAAATGTAGCAGACGGTTAAAGTACCCTGAATAACTGCATTGTCATCTTGGCCAGCCTGGAGATCTAGATCCTCCGAGTGAGTAGGGACTGATAAACACACGAGCTTTCTGGAACTTATGATCATCTATTCAAAATACCACAAGGATGGTTGAAGCCACTCACTTAGAATTAAGCGAAGCCGTGGCCATGTCAAGGAAAACTAAGTGCAGAAATGCTATGCGCCTTCCTGTGGATGCAGACCTAAGGTTCAAGATTCATCCCGTCGCGGACCCTGTTCCAGTGAAATCCAACTGTCCCGCCCTCCCCACTTCTTCAAAACCCCGAACAGGCGACTCTCATCACCTATAATTGACAGGCACGGTTTCTGGGGAGGGAGATCATCGATGAATTTTCGGTCTGAATGCCGGCGACGCGGAATATCTAGCACCATATTCACGTTGAATAGCCCGGCCCAGGCAAGCAGTCGCTCGCCCTTGTTGTTGGGGTCCAAGGCAGCTGCGACATGAAAGTTGCAACATCTTGGACATTGACGTGGCATGCTTGTAGAATGTGTAGTCAGTTCTATTGATCTTGGTGCCATCATGAAAGTCAAAATAGACTTACCAGGAGGGTAATGAAACCCAAAAGGAATATCCCCGGGCTCACCGTTGTAGACGTTCCTGTTCTAGCCTGCCGTGGTTTGCAGATAGCGCTTATGCAGTGCTGGCTCTATACCAAGAATGGGTTCACAGACTTAGCGCTAAAGCCAGGGTTTTCGTCCCCGAAAAACTTAAACATGGCCCTCTCGGTCTCTACTTTGCTTGCCGCGTACACGTAGGGAGCTCGCTTCGGCTCATACGGCGGCGGTACCCATGCCTTTTCCAAGGCAGCATCATTCCAGGAGTCTTCCATCACAGTGACTGGAACTCCGCCTTTAGGTGAATACGCAGCGCCAACGGACGAGTTGTAGACGAATCTCTTGACCGAGGGCTCCCGGGCCGCAGCATGGAGGAGGCTTAAGATGCTTTCGACCGCCTGGGGATTCACCTTGTTCGGGTCTGGGCTGAAGTTTAAAGGTGTTGCAAAATGTATATTCTACCATCTTCCGGTTGAACCATCACCTGACTATCCGGAGCAAGTGATCTCAAGCTTTAACATCGGTATTTTTTCCCCAGAAAACACGGAATTTGTTCAAGGTCTAAACCAAGATTTGGCCGAGGTCTGGCTTGTTACGAGGAAGTTCTTGTTACGAACCGTTGGCCCTAGACCAACATTACAGGCCCGTTGGCAGGCCAGGTGGATACAGACGCTATGATCACGGGACCCCGCATCGGATAAAGGAAAAGACCGACAGGTCACGTGACCTACAGGGGTGGATATGTGGATCGCTACATATCCAACATATCCAAGTGTGGATCAGTGAAGGAGAGACGGATATATAAGGGACAGGACTCCCAGGCATTTCGTAGATAGACAGTCTCTACTTCAGTGATCAATCTAAGCATCAATCTAACCCATTGGTGAGGCAAACTGCCTTGACGACTCTATTACCAGTTACCCTACTTGAATACTTCAGTTACCCAGAGCCCTATACTCCATACGTCAGACCCCGATATTATTGCTTGAGGACTCCGCAGCAGGACTTACTTACTAGCACAAACCCTTACAGACTCTTTAGTGGTTTACGCAGCTAGACTATTAGAGGTTTCGTTACATGGGCCTCTAACTTCGTTAAGCGACAACCACAGCTCAAGACGGTATTTAGCCGTAAATATGACTATTCTCGGGCCTTATTCGAAGATCCAGAGGTTATTCAAGGCTGGTTTGACCTTGTGCGCAATACAATTGCGAAATATGGGATCGCCGATGCCGACATCTACAATTTCGACGAGACCGGTTTTATGATAGGTCAGATCACCGCATCGATGGTTGTTACGAGCTCTGAAAGGAAAGGTAAGCCTAAGCTAGCCCAGCCTAGCAATCGGGAATAGGCTACGGTGATCCAGGGCGTCAATTCCCAAGGCTGGACGGTCCCGCCATACATCATTGTCAAGGGCCAATACCACCTCTCTTCCTGGTACGAAAACGACGCGTTGCTGAAGGACTGGAGGATCGCCGTGAGCCCAAATGGTTGGACTACGAACGAATTGACCGCAGATTGGCTAAAACACTTTGACAAATACACCAAAGGCCGGAAATCGGGTGTATATCGCCTTCTTATCCTGGACGGCCACGAAAGCCACCATTCCGACGCCTTTGAGCAATATTGCAAAGAGAACAAGATTACACTTTGTATGCCTGCCCACTCTTCTCATATCCTCCAGCCACTAGATGTGGCATGTTTTGCGTCGTTAAAAAAGGCCTACGGCTCGCAAATTGAGAAGCTCGTCCGAGCCCGGATTTCGCATATCACAAAGTGTAAAGATAGGTGCGGCTGGGTGCCAGGGAAGGTGACTACGGTTGGGCTGACACGGAAGTCAATTCCAAGAAGTGAGGTGTTTTGTTGACTTCTATCTGCCGAGCTAAGTGTTGCGCGTTTGGCCCATTTTGAGGAGCTCAATCTCCGACAATTATCCGATCGCTCGGCGATTTCAGCCACACAGCCACACTGTCCTTGACCTCACACAAAGGAGGACTTTCTTCCGGCATTTTGCGACGCATTCAAGAAGAGCCTGACCGAAAGCAATATTCGTGCAGGCTTTCAAGGGGCTGGGCTTGTGCCTTTAAGCCCAGATATTGTTATTGAGAAGCTGGATGTGAAATTACAGACACCAACGTCCTCCCGGCCCCCTACGCGGGAAACCCTTCCTTGGGCTTCTCGGACGCCAAACAACCCAACCGAGGCTACTTCGCAATCCGAATGTATTAAATCTCGAATTGCCAGGCATCAAAATAGCTCCCCGACGTCAATTTACGATGCTATCGATCAGTTTTCGAAAGGAGCGCGGAGTATTATGCATAAGATGGCTTTACTCCAAGCTGAGGTCGCGGAACTTCGAGAGGCAAATGCTGTAATTAGCAAGCGGCGCAGGGCCAAAAAAACACGAGTACGGCTTGGAGGATCACTTAATTCACAAGACGTACAAGATCTCCAAGATCAAAAGGACGTTGCGCAGCAAGTACAGCAGGAAATGCGTGGAAATAGCGCTGGATCAAATCGTGGCCAGCCACGGCAACGGCGCTGTGGCGTATGCGGGAAGACCGGGCATAATGCGCGAACCTGTCAGGTAGAGATAGAATCATCTGGGCAAGAGTATTCTGAGTAGTTTTAATTGATTTACGGCGTTGTGGTTGCGAAATCGTGTTGAATTCCATGTTTTGCTAGTTGGCGTGACCCGTTCGCTTGGGTGACCCGTTCGCTTGTGGACTACGTTAGTTGTTTCCCTCTGTATTCTTTAAAAATAATAGTATTTAAGAACCATAAAAGGCGAAATGGGTGTCGCGGGTTTAGTTCTATAAAAATGATAATAGATTCTAATTTGGACACCTGTGGCTTTACCATAGTACATGGCGAGTGGCTTGTATCTTTAAGTACCGTTATTAATCTCATTATGACACTAAAGAGTCAAATCTAGCCCTTCTACCCCAGTGCTATACTGTATGCATTAACAATTTACTTGCATATCGACACCTCGCCGTAACCCGGCAATTAAGTTTTTCTTAAATAGTGCAATGTTACCCTACAGCCCGTTTTATATTGGCAACGACAGCTGTATAAAGCAATGATTACTTTAGTGTGCGTAGCATATTCCTAGAGCACAGACAATTCCTTTCTGTCCTTGAGAAGCCGTTGCTACTGTATGAACCAGAAAACCAAAACGCATTTCTCGTTGGAATAGACTGAGGACTTCTTTTTCATATCTGCACCAGCGTAGACTTGGAACAATGAAATAGACAGCTAAAACGGAAAATGATCCGTCACAGCCTCCAGCATTCCCGTCAACCCGAAGGGTTTTGGCCTCATGTCGTCCTCATGCCGTCCTCGGCCCTAACCTTGTGTGAGTTTCCATCTCTTGCGAGGTTATTATTTTGATGGGAAGATGCGAAGTGCTCTTTTAAGTCGATCTCGGCGTCTAGATTTGCCAGATCCTGCTGGCGTTATCGTACCTGTATTCTAGTTTAATACTCGATCTACGGAGGTCAGGTTCGACGGCACCAACTTACCTGACAGTGTGTCATTCAAATTCAACAGAGTATTCCGCAACGATTGGGTATCTTTATGTGAAGGCCCAAGCAGTGCTTGAAGACTGGTATAAGCTCGTTCATACAATCTTTTAGCCTCAGCTGCCTTACCCTGAACAGATAGTAAGGCTCCTAGATTCTGTGCAGTATTGATTGCTCGCCGATATCTAATATCATTCGGTGGACCTGTAGTTTTCTCGTACCCTTGAAGCGCCCGCAGATACATGTCCTCCGCCTCTTGCAGCTTGCCTTGGTCGGCGTAAAGGACCTAGGTTGTTAACCGTGCTAGTGTTGACGTATGATCGGGTCCCCACGCCTTCTCCTTCCCTTGAAGCGCCCGCAGATACATGTCTCCGCCTCTTGCAGCTTGCCTTGGTCGGCGTAAAGGAGACCTAGGTTGTTAACCGTAGAGAGTGTTGACGTATGATCGGGTCCCCACGCCTTCTCGTACCTTGAAGCGCCCGCAGATACATGTCCTCCGCCTCTTGCAGCTTGCCTTGGTCGGTAAAGGACCTAGGTTGTTAACCGTGTCTAGTGTTGACGTATGATCGGGTCCCCACGCCTTCTCGTACCCTTGAAGCGCCCGCAGATACATGTCCTCCGCCTCTTGCAGCTTGCCTTGGTCGGCGTAAAGGTTCCCTAGGTTGTTAACCGTGTTAGTGTTGACGTATGATCGGGTCCCCACGCCTTCTCCTTCCCTTGAAGCGCCCGCAGATACATGTCCTCCGCCTCTTGCAGCTTGCCTTGGTCGGTAAAGGTCCCTAGGTTGTTAACCGTAGAGAGTGTTGACGTATGATCGGGTCCCCACGCCTTCTCCTTCCCTTGAAGCGCCCGCAGATACATGTCCTCCGCCTCTTGCAGCTTGCCTTGGTCGGCGTAAAGGTTCCCTAGGTTGTTAACCGTGTCTAGTGTTGACGTATGATCGGGTCCCCACGCCTTCTCCTTCCCTTGAAGCGCCCGCAGATACATGTCCTCCGCCTCTTGCAGCTTGCCTTGGTCGCGTAAAGGTTCCCTAGGTTGTTAACCGTGTCTAGTGTTGACGTATGATCGGGTCCCCACGCCTTCTCGTACCCTTGAAGCGCCCGCAGATACATGTCCTCCGCCTCTTGCAGCTTGCCTTGGTCGCGTAAAGGTCCTAGGTTGTTAACCGTAGAGAGTGTTGACGTATGATCGGGTCCCCACGCCTTCTCTTCCCTTGAAGCGCCCGCAGATACATGTCCTCCGCCTCTTGCAGCTTGCCTTGGTTTTGTAAAGGTTCCCTAGGTTGTTAACCGTGAGAGTGTTGACGTATGATCGGGTCCCCACGCCTTCTCCTTCCCTTGAAGCGCCCGCAGATACATGTCCTCCGCCTCTTGCAGCTTGCCTTGGTCGGCGTAAAGGTTCCCTAGGTTGTTAACCGTGTCTAGTGTTGACGTATGATCGGGTCCCCACGCCTTCTCCTTCCCTTGAAGCGCCCGCAGATACATGTCCTCCGCCTCTTGCAGCTTGCCTTGGTCGGCGTAAAGGTTCCCTAGGTTGTTAACCGTAGAGAGTGTTGACGTATGATCGGGTCCCCACGCCTTCTCGTCCCTTGAAGCGCCCGCAGATACATGTCCTCCGCCTCTTGCAGCTTGCCTTGGTCGGCGTAAAGGAGACCTAGGTTGTTAACCGTGTCTAGTGTTGACGTATGATCGGGTCCCCACGCCTTCTCCTTCCCTTGAAGCGCCCGCAGATACATGTCCTCCGCCTCTTGCAGCTTGCCTTGGTCGGCGTAAAGGTTCCCTAGGTTGTTAACCGTGTTAGTGTTGACGTATGATCGGGTCCCCACGCCTTCTCGTACCCTTGAAGCGCCCGCAGATACATGTCCTCCGCCTCTTGCAGCTTGCCTTGGTCGGCGTAAAGGTTCCCTAGGTTGTTAACCGTGTCTAGTGTTGACGTATGATCGGGTCCCCACGCCTTCTCGTACCCTTGAAGCGCCCGCAGATACATGTCCTCCGCCTCTTGCAGCTTGCCTTGGTTTTTGTAAAGGTTCCCTAGGTTGTTAACCGTAGGAGTGTTGACGTATGATCGGGTCCCCACGCCTTCTCTTCCCTTGAAGCGCCCGCAGATACATGTCCTCCGCCTCTTGCAGCTTGCCTTGGTTTTGTAAAGGTTCCCTAGGTTGTTAACCGTGTCTAGTGTTGACGTATGATCGGGTCCCCACGCCTTCTCGTACCCTTGAAGCGCCCGCAGATACATGTCCTCCGCCTCTTGCAGCTTGCCTTGGTGTAAAGGTCCTAGGTTGTTAACCGTGTCTAGTGTTGACGTATGATCGGGTCCCCACGCCTTCTCCTTCCCTTGAAGCGCCCGCAGATACATGTCCTCCGCCTCTTGCAGCTTGCCTTGGTCGGCGTAAAGGTCCTAGGTTGTTAACCGTAGAGAGTGTTGACGTATGATCGGGTCCCCACGCCTTCTCTCCCTTGAAGCGCCCGCAGATACATGTCCTCCGCCTCTTGCAGCTTGCCTTGGTTTGTAAAGGTTCCCTAGGTTGTTAACCGTGTCTAGTGTTGACGTATGATCGGGTCCCCACGCCTTCTCTTCCCTTGAAGCGCCCGCAGATACATGTCCTCCGCCTCTTGCAGCTTGCCTTGGTTTTGTAAAGGTTCCCTAGGTTGTTAACCGTGTCTAGTGTTGACGTATGATCGGGTCCCCACGCCTTCTCCTCCCTTGAAGCGCCCGCAGATACATGTCCTCCGCCTCTTGCAGCTTGCCTTGGTCGGCGTAAAGGTTCCCTAGGTTGTTAACCGTGTCTAGTGTTGACGTATGATCGGGTCCCCACGCCTTCTCTCCCTTGAAGCGCCCGCAGATACATGTCCTCCGCCTCTTGCAGCTTGCCTTGGTTTTTGTAAAGGTTCCCTAGGTTGTTAACCGTGTCTAGTGTTGACGTATGATCGGGTCCCCATGCCTTCTCGTACCCTTGAAGCGCCCGCAGATACATGTCCTCCGCCTCTTGCAGCTTGCCTTGGTTTTGTAAAGGTTCCCTAGGTTGTTAACCGTGTTAGTGTTGACGTATGATCGGGTCCCCACGCCTTCTCGTTCCCTTGAAGCGCCCGCAGATACATGTCCTCCGCCTCTTGCAGCTTGCCTTGGTCGGCGTAAAGGAACCTAGATTGTGAAAAGCCCAATATAAGTCTTGATCGCTGTCTTGAATTGTGGCGCAACACTTTGTCGCATGTGATAGAAGTCGCCTTTGAAGCAGCCAGAACTGAGGCTCGTCTTGTGATGGGACGCGTGCAGCTACGCAGTCTAACGCAAGCTTAGCTAAACTGATGTCCCAATATTCATTCAATGCGTGGATGGTCCAAGTGTGTACGCAGGTGTGAATGCTGTATCTCCGTGATCCGAATAGGTCTTGTGTCAACATGTGCATTTCGGCAAGCCCATAGTCATGCAGTGTGCCTATAGCGCAATTAAATTGCAATTCATCAGCCAACTCGTATATCCACGGCGGACCATCTTTATCGTTAGGCTGTAGAAGTTCGAACCATATGTCATCGTTGTCAAAATATGCCCACCATCGGAGTAAATGGGCTGCGAGTGGGTTTTGTTCCTGGACTTGCTCGTATGAGAGCTGCCACGTTGAGCAGAGTGTGCGATCTTGGTAAGAACCCAGGCTTGGGGTACTTGTATGAAGTCTTGCCCATGATTCTCTATAAAGGCGAAGATAGTCACCGAAGCCGATTGTAACGCGCCTTAGGTATGCTCCAGCCGTGGCAAGGGCAAGAGGAAGCCCGTCAAGTTCCTCCACAAGCTTTCTAACATCTATATCTGTGGCAATGATTAGGGGAGCTCTGCTTAGCTGTGAGAATCTTACCATGTTCCAAGCTGGATCGACCTGAAGTCGTCGAGAGGATTTCCAGGCTGTCCTCTATTGACTCAAGCTTTCTCGTTCGAATCGAATGACCTAGACTGATCTGCGACGATCGTGATGTGATGATGATCGAGCCTTGGTACGCTTCGGGAAGATAGCGGTGGATATCAATTGCAGCATTATCCGTGGGGTGGGCTATTTTCGGGTTGTCATAATTGTCGTATACAATAAGCCACCTAGTATTGCCTGGCAGGCTGAGCCAGGTCTTGACAGCATCGGCTACCTCTTCGTGATTCTGCTGTAGGTTTGGAGCACATAAACGGCTAGCATCGGGATGTTGCTGCAAGATTTGCCGCGCAACTTTGCTGAAGCTTTGTTGGATAGAGGCTTCGTCCTTAATGTTTAACCAGAATATAGCGGAATATTCATCTCGGTACCGCTTTGTGTATGCGACGGCGAGCTGTGTCTTACCAATGCCACCAAGACCGTGGAGAACAACGACCCGACGGCTTCCATCCGAGTTTAGTGTTCTGCGCATCTCTGCCAACTCCCTCTCTCTTGCGACGAAATGTTGGACCTCAGGAACTCCGGACAGACTGAAGGTAACGGAGAAGTCGTTCGTGACGATTCCTAACGCTGTTAGTCTCCAAGCGTGCCCTGCTTTTAGACTTTGGAACGGTGTTCACCCTTCACAGCTTTGTGGACCTCTTCTCGCAGCCGCCTTTGTGCTTTCTCTCTCCCTTCGCCGTAAATCAGCGGCATGTGAACGTCGAATAACCCGAGGAGCGAGTATGCCATGTCCTCTTCGTATTTGGTCTGACGATTACGGACCCATGCCTCTCGTTCCAAGACGGGGAAGTCGGACAAAGGATCACCGCGGAGAGCACCCGTAGGGACGTCGGTGATATTGCGTATCTGAGACTCTAATGATCGTTTGTTACCTAGCCAGAATCCTTCCTTCGAATAGAAGTCCACTGACTTCGGGGCGATGAGCTCTTGAAGTGTCCACCCACGAGTGAACCATCTGCTGTTTCGAAAGGCCAGCTCCCAAGCGGTCGGGCTATACTGTTCACCGAACGCTGCAGTGCTGGAGACATCTGATAGATAAACGTAGCATCTCTCCGCATCCCGATACCACCGGAACATGCTATTGATTGCAGTCTGGAGCTCGATAGTGTCGGACTTATCTATACAGCAGGTGTCGACCCAGAAGTATCGCAACCCGTGCTGTCTCGCTTGTTCAGCACAAAACTTGATCTTTTCGTAGCCAGCTTTGTGCTGCCAATGATCTTCTGCCTTCGCTAGGTCAGCGAAGACCACCTCGTCTGGTCCCCACGTGTGGGAAAGGATCGCGTAAGAAGGAATATCGTCGGAAGCGAGGTCCGGGGTAAGGCTGTACCTGCCAGCGTCGTCGCGTTGTAATAACCGCATCGTAAGGCCTAAGATTCATGCAACTCAGCGCTCTGTTAACATATAACAGACGATTTCTGGCTGGAGGACGTTGCTTTCCGGATTGAAGCTAGCATCATTTCCGTCGTCGCAGATCAGTCAGAATTGTAAGGCTGCAAATGCGGGGTATGGGCCAGTCGACTTAGCCGCAAGCCCGTGGACAACATAGGATAAAGATCGAGGCTCGTTTACGCGTCTGATTTTGTACTTGCTGTTACAGAGTGATGCACACTGAGGCCGTTCGTCTTATGCTGTTGTGAGAATTGTAAGGTTGTAAACAACAATAAGTGCAAAGAGAACAGCACAGTTCGCGAGCGCTGGGAGTAGGATGTTACAGCTCCACTTGGCAGCCCACCCGCCCACTACTACAAAGTGTGCGTCGTCCACCCTGATTTCCTCCCGTCCTTTTCTGTCCTTGCCTAACCTACTATCAATCTTTCCCGGCTATGTACACAACCATGGCGCCCTAACTGCATCCTGTGTAGCGTGATTACATCAAGTCGATGATAAAACTAGGTCTTGAAAACAAGGTTATCGCGTCCAAGGCCTTATGTAGCATTCGCGCCGTCCAGAGAATCCGGCTCGAAAAAGAACCACCCGAAATGTCCAGTGAGAACAGAGCCTCCATCGATCCCCATAGCTATATCACACAATCCATGCGGAAAGCTTTATGTGACATACTAACCGAACGTCCGGACATGTATTGAAGCGAACTCGTAAACTTTGGGAATGATGTATTTGGGAAGGTAGTATCCGAAAGATCAGCCAGTCGGGCCTTACAATCAATAGGTTGGACGAGAACGATGATCCGTCGTATCGCCTAGTAAGGTAACGAAGACCTTCGAAATCTCTATCTTCAAACGGTCTCGAAATATAAATCTTACCATCTTTTCTTTGTTGATGAATTTGGTTATGATAGAAGGACTGGATATCGACGCTAGGGTTGGTCACCAAATTTGGTTGTGGAAAAAGATGGCATATGCCGCGCAAGACGGCATCACACTAAGGCGAGTGTATCAAGGGTCTACAGACAGTGAATTGTTCCAAGACTTCGTTACGCAGCTACTTCATCACTGCTGCAGATACCCAGAGCCTATATCTGTGATGGTTATGGACAATGCTTCCTGGCATCATTCGGCGAAGATTCAAGAGATGTGCAAAGAGGCTAGTGTAGTAGTCCTATTTATTTCACTCTACTCGTCAGACTTCAACTCTATAGAGGTGCATTTTAGAGAGCTTAAGAATTTTATGAAGAAAAACTGGTTCGAGAACGAACATTTCATCAAAAGAGAGTTCAAAATGTACTTGGAGTGGTGCGTCGACGTGGTCGGTAACGATGCAAGCATTGCAGAGAATCATTTCCATTATATAGAAATATTAACCACGCAGGCCCCCCAGCTAGAAGCAAAGACCCTAAATCTAGAGTTTTGAATATTACAGTAAAGCAGAATGCCACAGTACGGCAGATAGCACCAGTCAAACATCTCCACTTTCTGTGTTCTGTGACTCTTTCTACCACTTCTCTATGTTAGTCTTGCTCACAAATTGCAACGCAAGTCCAGATTTCACTTCGCTTTTATCAATAAGTCAGTAGCGGCCTTTGGATACTGTAGAATAGAGTTCGGCTTTAGGAAGTCATCCATTACACACTGATTCCCTACTTCCAGCTCCGCGCCCCATCTCATATCCTTTGTTTGCGCCAGTATCCAATTACAATACTCCCTAAAGCTTCTATGCTCTATCCCATCTAATACTTGTAGAAGTATCGGCAGTATAGGCAGGTCCGCAGTGATTAGATACATGGCTCTTAAAAGGGCGGCAACTACTGGGGTCGCTGTTCCCCTTCCGCTTCCGGCTCTTAGCTAAGACATATTTGAGTATCTTGGAAGGGATCTCGATACCGGCATTGAAGTTATATTATTTTTCTTCTTCTTTCATCTTGTTATTAATAATAATATTAAATACGCCGTAGGTGTTAACCCTCGGTACCTCTACAAGTACTCCCTTAAGGGGCTATAGATGATTGTCAGAGAACAGAATGCCATAGGCACCAGTGGGTGTCAGGACACTGAACGCAGGACACCGGTGGGCCGCCGGAGGGGTGTTTCGGACAAAAGACTCCCGAGTCATGATTACAATCTATGTGAAGCTTTGGGATGACGAGAGTCAAGATCCTTGGCATCGCCGACCCTGCTGTTATGCCGGGTCCAAGCGGCGGCCTAGCTATCTATATAAGGACCATCTCGAAGTAGGATAGGGAAGGAGTTGTCAGAGCCACAAGTGTCATCCGAGGCAGGCCGGCTTCCACCAGGTAGGAAGCCGTTTGTGGCGGCTAGAGAGCCGCTTGTGGCGAATGAGAGCCGTTGAAGCCGTTTGCAGCGGATAGGGAATCGCTTGGTTGCAGATAAGGAGCCGCTGTCCAAGATATTGGCCGAAGTCGGAGGAACACAGACATACGGAAGCAAACATCCAGAATCCAAGAGAGAACCTCGGCTGGCTATAAGTAAGGAGTCGAGACGAAGGAAGATAGAGAGGGCAGAGATCAATGCATCACCGTGGGCACCCCTACCTGAGACCGCCAGTGACCACCCGGTATTACGTAGGAGGGACGCCCGTTACTCCCCATCACTCTGTACTATCGCCTTCGGCCTAGCCGTACCCTGACAACGACCATATCGATTCAGAATAGGAAGCTCACGGTTTCCGGTGGCGAGAATCGAAGTGCCAAGCTAGACACCTCGTCTGGGTTTGTCGATCCGTCATTCGACGAGCCGTTTGAAGTGGTGCCTGGCAAACATGCCGTGGAGGTGGAAGGCATCTCAAATCCCAATTCCCCATTCCCTTTAGAGTATGCGGCTTCTCTACGTTCTTCAAATAAGAAGAGATTCCTGCTAGTCAAGTTATTATTATCAAGAGATGCCAATGTTTCTTAGTCGCTAGAGAATAAAACAACCGAACGTACTGCTGCTGGCTATTACGAGTGATAACATCCTCATGCTCTGATTTGACTTCTTCCCCATTAAGACAAGTGGAATCATCAGGAAACTGATACCCTTACCATCGGAAACAAGATATGTCCCAGAACCCTTCTTCTTACTCTCCAGACTCCTCGTCTGTCAGTTATTGCGTATTTTCTTAAGCTTGGCGCAAACACAAACAAGATACAAAGCCATGGTCGTTTCCCACTGCAGTATTTATTCGCTCAAAGACGCGCGGACACTGAAAATATGATGTTCGGGTTTGAGTTAGAAGAATACGAGATCATTGATTTCATAAACTGTTGCTTTCATACGATGGCTGTGCGAACAGACCGGGTGATGCCAAACAGGGACGGGCCACGGCCTCACTGCAGGTGCCAATAAGTCGAAGCTTCGAGCAAGCAGTTCAACTTCTATTGAAGTCCGGCGCCGACATTGATTGCCCGTCCGACGGGCCCGGGAATCTAAGCCATTGGTCTCAGATGTCCAAATTCCAAGATTGCAAAGCTATTACTGCAATACCACCACCCAAGGCTCTCGGGGCACCAATTAGAAGCGACAGTCTGGATTGGCGATGTATAGCTTATTATTATGCTTTTGGACGCTGGCGAGTAGTTAAAAGGTTAGAGGCTGCTCCGCGCTATCAGGCCTAAAACCTCGTTTCATTGATCTGCTGATGGAAAATAGCGTGCAGTTCTTCAAAGGGCATAAGTTACGTTGTAGAGTTGAGCTGAGAGAGACCGGACGTCATTGAAATTATTGAGGAAAGAGGCGCAAGTGACTGGAGGCCGCACTGGTCTCCAAAAACCCTAGACTGATATCCAAAGCACTGAACGAATTTGGTCTACAATTCTGGTACCTATTATGAGACTATTTGCCATGCCTTAGAGACATGCGACTACGTGATTACGTATGTCTGTTCCTACTGAGGAATGAAGCTCCGACGGGGGATTCCAAGCTCACTTCTCTCTCAATTACCGTTTTGTATCCACGCTGATTGGAGTTTGGGGAGGTTGCCCAAGGTTCTTCGATGAATATGTCCACCGGTGTCGAGTGGCAGTCATCGACGAAGAATCTGGAGGGAGGGTTACACAACGTGGAACTTAAGCACATTGTTCTGTCATGTTGTAGATTTACTTTCATACTCTTTCATGCCTCTGGTGGGATCGGGGACAGTTTCGATTTTCATGCAAGCCAGACTGGGACTAGAAAAATAGACTTGAGCAGCCTAAATTAGCGAGGGAGACTTCCAGGAGACCTATCGATCAGTCAGTAACTTGGTTTGCCTATAATACCCGTAGTCAACTATCACACTGCAGAGGCTTCGAGATACGTGTGTCTTACACCACTATGCGATCCGATATAAACCCCTGAACCCACCTATCCTTTAACTTCTCCCAGTCCCTATTAACCCTTGCCCACGGCCGGTCCACCTTTTCAAAGACGCCGTGAAGTTTTAGTTGTAATAGCAGTCGGAATGGGGGGTGAATCCAGGGAGATAAGATACACATTACTTGCATTGGCTACAAGTATCAAGATGGAAACGATCGCTGTCACTATATCAGCTCTTCACCCCACCACCCACCTTACTAGCATCCTCTAAACCCCACAACAGCACCCTCAAAATCTCGTAAGCCACCCCCTCCTAAAACCGACGTCTCGAACCCCCAACTCGGCACAGACCCTCAACGGCGCGCTCAGAATGACTTCGAGCTCATACGGCCTGCACTTCTCAAAGTTGAACAACATGCTCGGCCGGAACGGACTGCTCTCGGGCGTGCCCATCGTCTCCCGCACCACCTCGCTCACAAACTCGCCGTACTCCGCCGCCGCCCTGATAAAAATAACCGAATCAGAAGAAGAGGCTATTCTTAAGTACACGTGACCCCAAGGGGATTTACCCTGTAGCTATAGATAAGATACTGTATCTTTAACAACGAAATTCGACGGCTATTCCCTCAACCTCAACCTTTACATGACACCTCAGTGTGTCGCTCTGTTCGGAAACATGTTTGCTGCAGTAGGAACGTTGGTATTCAGCATTCCTACTTGGGAACGAACCCTTGCATTTTTTCAGCTCTCATTCCCCAGCCACCCGGGCGTGGGTGCTAAAATTGGACAAACCCCAACGTCTTTCACCAGCTAAGACCTATTATGTTCGAAAGCCGGCGCCACGCGATGCGAGTGAGATCTAGGCCACAAATAACTCAAATACCCCACTTCCAACAAGTGGCTGGGCTACTTCAAAAGAGCAGAGCAACAGAGTGACGAGTGACGAAGTTCAGCAGCAACCAAAGATCCATGGACCGACCACCCTTACTATGTCTCCATTAGCACGGACAGCACAACCAGGTGGGATCATCAGAAAATGATACGCTTGACGTTTCAATTGAATTATAAGGACGATCGACCAAAGTGATCATGAACCAATCTGAAACGAAAACACATCAAAAATAAGTCTAAGAGTCGCCCGCCAATAAAAGACAAAAGGAAAAAGCAAGGTAAGGACGGAAGCTCGGGTCTATATAAGCAAGGAAAACTTGGAAGTAGGCAAGCTCAGGCCGTATGGGCTTGCATAAGTACATGAAAGCTCAATGCATCTGTCGGAACTGTTTCCGTCGCTGACGAACTCCCAACTCTGCACAACCAGGAAGCGGCTGCCGTTTTCCTATTTGTATGCAAGTCGAGATCCGACTACAACCCACCGTCACCCACGGAAAGATCAATCGTCGTTTCGAATACATCCACACCCTCTCACGCAGATACGTGCACTGTAGAAGGTTGGTTCAACTGGTCTGGCAAAGCCGACCCTATCGCCATGAAACGATATCATACTGCAGATTTTGGTACGTTAGGGGGCGTCCAGCTTTCCGGAAACAGACCTACCTTATCGGTGGTTGGAATTTGAGCATATAATATGGAAGGTGGACCTTTTTCTAATATTAACGATTATTTAGTGTTACTTGAACCATACTCGTAGCTGCCTCCCGTCGCTAGATTGTTCAGCCTCAACAGCTCCAAGGCCAAAGCCACCGATTATATAACATAACATATTGGACCTGGTCTTCGTCTTGGCCTAAAGGCAGTTCGCGGGTTCAAACGAGGCTTTTTTTCAGCTGGCCCCGAATGATAGTTGACTAATAACGGGTTTAAGGCAGTAGTGGTGGCTAAGGTGCCGTTCCGTCCCCCCTGTTGAGCAATGTCCGCGAAGCCCAGCTACTCTGTAGATGACATAGCGATGTGCTCCGGGACCTCTCAGGGGGAAGGCGCCTGAGCCAATTTGATATTGGTTCCGTTCGACGGCCAATCTTGCCAGACTGAGAATTGCGCATGTTCTTGACGGATTGTCAAAGCTTCAAGGTTTGGCATCGATTATTTTTTTCTCTTGCGTGAAGGCTGGATTTGGAATGCATGTCTGCATCTGGGCAATATATTTCTATGCCTCCTTTGGTTCCCCGAAATAAATGTGTTGATTCACCTTTGCGAAACCCATCTGAATGACAAAACTCCTGGCTGTGGAATAAAGCAGGTCATGATGTAGTGTGTCCCAGTTTAGACCCTGATTTAATGACCAAGATGACATAGCTAATATGTACCCAAGTCCTGACCGGAGTGCGGTGACCAAAAGACCTTAACATGTCAAAATGGCAAACAGCGAACAGCGATGTTTCGAGACCAAGCAGCCCACTGTCTGTAGAACTTGGGTCGAAAAAATAGTTACCCATTCAATCGTATGTGATTCTCATTTCGAGTCCCAGTTCTAGTGGGTCTTCTGTTGAGAGAGGAAAGTTGTATGTCGCGATGGACGCCCTTGCAATAACCCAAGGACCAAGCTGGGCCTGCGCTATCACACGGCAACCTCCGCTGGCGCCTTGCTGCTTCGGGAATACCACCAATTCTTCACCTTCTTTGATTCCTTGGCAACTTTTACTTCGGGGGTTTTGCTGAGTCTCCTCGAGGTCGTCGGAACCATTACAGCGACAGGCTTGGCAGCGGCTGGCTGATGCATCATTGCTGGGTTTAACTCGGGAATTGTGGCAGCAGCGGCGGCGGCGGTATTTGGTTTTATCGTCTCAACGGACCCTTGGACCCCATACTCGTTCGATTCCAGCTCGGCAAACCTGGTCGTTTTTGACAGTCTTCGCTTGGTCTTCTGCCTGGGCTGCTCTTCTTCAACGGTATCTGAAACAAGCAAGTCCTTTGACGTCTTGTGCCGCAGCTGAGCTACGGGTGCGGGCTTGTCTTCATTGAAAGGGAAACCAGTCATGGCGGTAGGGGTAGGGGTTGAGACGATAGAGCTTGGGGTAGTGGACGCTGCGACACCAATGGATGCCATCGAAGAAGCGTACGAGGTAGGTCCAGAAATAGCAGGAGAGACGGTAAATTGCAGAGCGGGTAGGTTCGGAATAGGTGGTGTCAACATGCTGTCACTGCTTATGGTGTGAGGATTTACTGGCTGAGGAGCTGTGAAGTGGGAACTTCGGGATGCTGGAGGATAAGTGCGATCCACGGGGCTGGGTTGAGTACCCGAAGTTCTTCGTTGATGTGCTGGATGTAACCGATGGAAGCTGACGCTGTCCGATGAGTTTTGACGAGAACGACCAGGCCTCTCGCCAGAAGGTTCGGGTTGAAGGCCGTATGTCATCACACTGTGATTATAGGGGCGTATCTCGAGGTCGTCGTCGGAGCCGCTTGAGTTGCCCGGACTCCCAGCACGAGATCCAACTACGTCTCACGTTAGACATGATTCGACGGGAAAATAGCTATGTTATATGCTACCTTTGCTGGACATTGCGCTAGCCCGGCACGAGGACTTCTGCAGGGGAATAGCCACTCCAGTCAGCAGTGTAGGTGCTGACTCGGGCTCCTTTCCTTTCCTGCTGCTGCCCGGTTGGCTAGAGTGGTCTGGCTCCGTGTAGTTGACGCCTAAAGAGGCTGGCATGCTGCTGAAACTGTAGTTCATCGGGAGAGGCACCACGGGGGTCGCATGTGCTGATGGGTAAGAAACGTAGGATAGCGAGCTGCCAACTCGAGGCATGCCATTTAAGTTGGTACCAGATCCACTTGGTACCATGGCACTCCGTCGACGGTTCTGCTCCATAATCTTGGGTCGATCATCATGCCTCCAACTGGAAGGGGCACCTGACAGGGCATCAATGGCAGCATGGGTGGGCACATGCTTGTACGGAATCTTGGCGGCTTCCTCTTTGGTCTTTTTAGCTTTGCTGGCCTGATGTTCCTTGGCTTGCTGCCGTCCCCGTTTGATGATGGAGAACACCGACATGATGACGGCTCGCAAGTGTCTTCAGAAGGGCTGCCAGTCCGATATACTATGGCCGTACGGACGCAACTACTGGAATTGGACCTTGTCGAGGTATGTATGACGCCAGCCCCTGAATAGGCAAGTTGGAGAGGTGTCTTGACCTTCAAGGATATAAATAAAGACAAGCGGCTTGCGCGTGAGTGAAGCTGACTAGCACGCAGGGCGAACGATCACAAGCTCCGGTTGATCTGGTGTGGTTCCAGGAGTATTCGTGCCCCAGGAATTTTGCCACAAAAATGGGAGGGAAGTGAGAGCCTGGGATAGATGAAACGCTAAAAGGCTCAAGCGTGAGTTAGGGTCGTGTAAGTTATATTCGAATTGGCTGCCGAACAAGATGAGCAATTCGAAACCGATTCCAGAGCCTGGCGTTGGTAGCAGATGAGCCGCAAGACACATGGATGACCGAGTGACATTGGTCTAGGTCCGAGCAGTGCCAGTCCGGGACGTTGGCACTCTGATGAAGGTCGGATTGGCGAAGCTAATAAAGGCTTCCCCGGTCCCTGATGGTGTATTCGCACAAAGAGTAAGAGGATGTGGTCGGCTGCATAGTATAAAGAGGCCGCAGCTTCTGTCTGACACGACGTTGGGAAGAACGAGATGTGTCTGGGACGCAGGATGTCAGAGTGTTTTAAGTGAGCAACTGCAAGCGACAGGGTCTGGATCAAGAGAATACGTGCCTTAGTGGCGTTGCGATCCCAGGATGAGCCCTGTACGATTCACAAGTACAGCAACATTGTATCGTGCTTCCCGCATGTATTGGGGATTGTGGTTGCGCCGCAAATAATCCGTGTGGGCGCAGATGCGATACAGAATAACCTTGATCATTGACGAGAGTAGCACAGCTGTATTGGGGGGTTTTGGGGTCTGTTTCTGCAGTTCCCACCAACGTGTCAGCGTAATTTGGTATTGCCTGCGCTCAGCTCGAGCGTCCTTGTATTGCCAACCAGAGGAACTAGCCTGAAATGTAGATGTCGTGGGGACACACACAGACACCCATGGTGTTCGTCGTTCAATCAATTATAGTATCACCAGACCTTATCGAGTCCATATGCATGCAGTCGATGCATGATGGGCATTAATTGGCGAGCGTCGAGTTGTGGCAAGATGCAACGAAGCCATGATGGGAAGTCGCGAAGCCATCGGCGGGGACCGAGGTGGATCATCACTTCGTATCCAGTGTTGGAGTGGACCAAAGTAGAGGTACCAACGCTTCTAGGATCATTAGGTACCTTGGCCGTTGCTTGGGCTGCTATTCAGCCCTGGCAGTTGCCAAGCTTCCCATTCCGCTATCGTTTTTCACAAGGGTTGCCGTGAAATATTGGCTGGAGCTATATGTCAATGCAGTAAGCTGCAGCTGTGTTGTAGCTCCTTCAAGTATCGTTACACCGCTGACGGGCTGTCAAAAGAGCGACCGGACTCATCAGTTGCGTTGATCATCAATAATACTTGCACAACGGCACGTCCCATGTTTGCGGAACGGCTGTAGGTTAGTAATTGTTTTAGCAGTCATGGTTACCCTATCCTTGCCATAGGGCAGGTAACAAGCATTTCAAGAGCTCCAAAATGCTCCATAAGAGAGGGGTAAGTATCCATTCGTATTTACTCTATTTCTCCAACATCTGCCCTCGTTACCACTACTCTGGGCATTCAGCTGAACATACAGTTGCCCGACTCTAGGCACTTATCTACATGCCCGTCTTCTTTACACCTCACTCAAACGTCATGGCAAATTGGAAATTTCCGCATCTAAATGAGCAGAAATAGCGCTTCCGCTGTGGCTTGACGAAAAAGATTCCACATATTCCACGCCACGCCATTGCATCAGTCATTTTGGAGTCCCCCCTCGAGGGTTAACCGGGATTAAAAGCCATTACCTATCATCAAAGTCATCCTCTCGAGCGTCAGTCTTTGGCGCCAATAGCAGCTGAATAGGCAGTGGACACTGGAAACCCCGATGCAAAATCTAGACCCCGGTCCACGATCCTGATGGTGATCAGTGGATCGGGATAAGGGACTGTTACCCTAGCCCGTCAACCCAGCCTAGATGAGTCCTTCCTTGCATGCTATAGACCAGGGTTTCTGTGTTGAAGTCAGGTTGCCAGGTGGCATTTGGTTCGTAACATTTAACAAATTATTGGAAATGTTGCATCCGACCTCGAATCTTTAATTAGCCCGAAAATATCCGGGTCAGAGCCGCAATATCTCGAAGCCTGTCTTTCAAGATCTGGCACGAGTTGGGATGGTGCACCATCAGAGTTATCGATATGTAGCTATTAGGCGCGGCACGCCCCAAGAAGCCCGCCCATAATAAGGTGATAATGTCCCGACATTTGTACGTGGTTTTCTACAATATCAACAATTCTACGAAGCCTCTAGCCAAAAGCAAGTGGACTTGCAGGGACCCCTGACACTGTGCGGACGGACAGAGCTATCGCACTATAGAAACTTAGGATTAATCCGTCATCCAGGTCTTGTTTTATCCTCTAAGCTGCATCTTTCTGGTAGTTGGGTTAGCGAGCTTAAGTATCGACCCCCAAGTAACTACCCTGCGATAACACTGTCCGCCGCACAAGTGGCAGGGGTCCCTCACCGTATCTCAAATCTGTTCAACCTGCATTCGTCCGATCCGAGAATCCATATGTCAACATAGCGTTCATTCAGACCTTTTGGAAATTATACCCCAATCAGTGTCTTACCCGGTCGGTCGGCAGTTTTATGTGATAACCATTCCATATAGGGTGAATTCATTCATGGCCTAGGATTCGTATCGCATACCCCTGTTTGCTCTACTGGTTAAAATATAACAGAGGACTAGTGGCACACAGTCCACTGGCGGAGCCCTAGTTACTCCGTAACAATGTACACTAGTTAGATAGGTAACATTCTACCGTGACACCTGACGGAGGTTAACTTAGCTCAATCAAGATCACAATCCTCCATGAAAATATCTAAAGCTGACCACCCTTGGATATGGAAACCTGTTGGCGCGCCACGATTACGCCGAGTCTAGCAATTTTGCTTTTGGATGGTTTCTGCAGCTATAAACTTTGAAGCGGCAACAAGAGAGCGCTCCCTGGATCTGGCAGCCGCTTATCGGTGTAGGTAGTGTGAAATATCGGATGGAGCCAAATCCTGAGAAGATAAACATCAACGTAACTATCGCTGGTAGAAATATTCTGATTCGGCCGCTGCATATAGCTTACCTTCGAACTAAAAATGGAAGGTCAGAATCACGAAGAAGTGTCATCCCGTCGCGTATTCAACTGCAATCTCATTCTGAACCGATGCTCTTGATGGCCATCTACTACCTAGGCCGAACATACAACTGCCATTAACTCGGGCTGTGAGCCTAAACTGATTGGTTGCAAAACTGCTCAAGAAACAGTAACTCTAGACGTAGCCAATCATGGAAAGCCCTTGCTGTCGTCAACTAAATTAAGCGATGGCTCTGGTCTTCTCCTTTAACGTCTCTTCACCTCGGTGCTGGATGCAAAGACGAATGGTGCCTGCGATCGATATAACAGGGCTGGGAGGCTGTGGTATGAATAAATCATAGAGCAATCAATAACCCCCTCGACCAGTCATGATGAGGGAGTGGATGGGTCGTGTGTTGGGCTGCGCCATGTTGAGTCAAAGTCTACAGAAAACAATGAACCCATTCAGAGCTAGATGTTCAGTTGGCTCTGACATTGCAAGGCTGTGAAGACCCTGGGAGGTATTAGGTAGGATCTTGAGTGAAAAGCTGGCGGAAACTGGTCACCTCTTAACTACTGACATATTCAAGGGCGGACTTCACGGATATTATGCCGCATGGCCGCTAGAGCCCATCCGTGAGGACCTGAATTTAAGGCAAGGGCATAGACGAACACGACGCATCTTGATGCAGTCAGTTTCAAGTTTCGGGCAAGAGTGTAAGGCGGGCTACTGCTCGACGGCTTCTGCAGATGCCATGAATCAAGCTCTCCGTCAATGTTGAGATGCATGTTATGGCAATACCAGCGTTCTTCCGGTTGAGAACCACCCTGTATGGTTCGTGTACGTTCTTCCGCAGTAGAACAATATTGTTACCAATCGTTATTGGTAAAAAGATTGAAGAGGATATCGAACTTCTGGCGCTCTTTTAAAGTTCCGTTTAACGTTCGAAGGTCTGAGACAACGACATAAACGATCAATGGAGTAGCTAGATTTAGTAGCTCGGAGAAAAAATAACAATAAAAAGGGATAAGAAACATTTGGTGATCAGTTGGGCTGCCAGCATCATGCTCGGGAAGAGCACGTGTTGCCGGGCCGCAGATCACATCATGGTCGCGTCTTTGCTGTTTAATAAAGACAGCAGGAGCGATTGGCTCGTGCAGCGTCGGCCAAGTGAGCGGCTAACGGGCGAACCAGATTTGAAAGCTCCGTTAAGGGATAAGATGCTGACGAATCATTCGCAGGCAAACAGGAGAAGAAGCGCGCGACTGGGAGTGCCTTGCGAATGACAAGAACACGGACCACCTCTCTCCTTTGGACCACCAGCAGCGAGTCACGCGCTCTTGAAGTCTCGCCAATCCTCCCCCAGTCGCCCGCTTCTTCGCCCCTTCCACAATACACGGACCACTTGCGGACCCGTTCTTGCACAGTGCGCTCAGCGTCAGGCCTGTCAACTTGAGGCCAACGGGTCGGACTTTTCACCTCTGACGGCGCAAGAGCGTCGTCTCTTTTCTCAGATTTGTCGCCATATTCAATTCGTCCCAAGGCAACATCACCGTGCCAGAGCCCCGATACCGACTCTCCATATCGTCGCATCGGCCTCTGCTGGTTGCGCAACACCATCAGCTTTTTGTGTTCGCTACCCAGTAGACTTTCCAGGGACATCTTATCGGAGGCTGTGGTGGTCATTGTGATGCTGGATTCATCCCCTCTTTCCCTTCGTGTACAACGTTTTTCCTGACCGATTTGCCTCCGCCAATCAGAACTCTCTATGTCACACTTAGTCGCATAGTAGGAAGAGAGCATCTGGCATTTACCCTGACAGTTTGGCTTCGTTATTGTCGCTCGGCTCATAATCACCTCAAGACTCAACACGAGCCACGGGCAGCCACGAGCTCGGTCAATCCACATCCACAGTATTATCGTACAACCAGCAGCACGTTAGCCGCGCCACCCTGTCTCTGCAGACCCGCACCGCACTGCACACTCATTCACACTCTGCACGACCTTGATATCATCACCTGCTCTCCCCACCCAAAGCCACTCTGTCGTCGCGTGCGCGCCCGTGAACCAGCGCGCCAACATTGGGAAAGCTGGCTGCGCTCACACTCCTCAGTCAGGCCGACACAGAACTATCCCTCCAACAGCATCTGGATCTCGCGCCGGATCTCCTGCATTACAACCGCCTGGCCACCGAGGTGGAGTTGGAAGAACCGTTGACGATGGCGGCACAGCCGGTGCCTCATCCGTCGACGGATAAGAAGCGTGTTAAGGTCTACGAGCTCCGAAATAATGACTGGTTTGATCGGGGCACCGGGTTTTGCACCGCTGCTTTCCACCTGGTAAGCCTTGGGTTGCGACGCGTGACGCATGGGATGCGCGATACCCGCGCGGCGCTTCCATTCTATATCATGTCGTATGCGCAAACTCCTGTTTTATGTGACTAACATTTGCATTCGCAGATTGAAGAGGGCCAAAGAGAACCACGCGTTGTCGTCGAATCCGAAGATCAACCCGATCGCGTGCTCCTAGAGACGAAGATCTGTAAGGAGGATGGCTTCCATAAGCAGCAGGGTATGTCATGGCGACCCACATCGACGAAATATGTGAAGGCGCATTTTATTGTAGATGCTGACTGTGGCCCATCCAGAGACCCTCATCGTCTGGACAGAACCATCCAATGGCGTTGACATGGCCCTCAGCTTCCAAGAGGCTGACGGCTGCACGATGATATGGTACGGTTGTCTTCCTCGGCGCGCCCAGTTGCCGCCCGTCGGGATATGGCTTGCTAAACAAAGATGTAGGAGATTCATCAACAATATTCAACAACAGTTCCAGTCGGTAATGGCCCCCGGAGACGATAGTCTGTCCGACGATCTTGCCATGGACATGCCGAACCCGGTTTCCCTGCCGGCAGCTACAATGGGGAACCTCGACGAAATCGAATCGCAAATGCGCATGATGAGCGGCACCGCCAATGGTCGTGAGGCGCTGACGAAATACGTCTTGAGCGAAGACTACATTGGCAGGCTCATCCCACTGGTTGGAGATGCGGAAGACCTCGAGAGTTTGAACGAATTGCATCGCCTCTGCAACATCATGAAGATAATCATACTTCTAAACGATACCAGCATTATCGAACATGCTGTATCCGACGAATGCGTCATCGGCGTTGTTGGCGCATTGGAGTACGATCCGGATTTCCCAAGCCACAAAGCCAACCATCGTCAATGGTTAGAGGACTCTGGCAGATACAAAGAAGTTGTGCGGATCGAGGACAGCCAGATTCTCAAGAAGGTCCACCAAACCTACCGCCTCCAGTATTTGAAGGACGTCGTACTTGCACGCATCCTTGACGATAACACCTTCTCGGTGCTCAATTCCCTGATATTCTTCAACCAAGTAGACATCGTGCAGCACTTGCAAGCAAATGGCAACTTCCTTAGTGAGCTCTTCGACATATTCAAGTCTCCAGGCGAGGACTTGAAGCGGAAGAAGGATGCCGTCTTGTTCATACAGCAGTGCTGCGCAATCGCTAAGAACCTGCAGCCTCCGGCGCGACAGACGCTCTACAACAACTTCATTGCCCACGGCCTTTTGCAAGTTATCAATTTTGGCCTGCGCCATAATGATGTTGCTGTGCGGGTTGGCGCAACGGACGTCTTGGTTTCCATGATCGACCATGATCCCCAGATGATTCGGCAAACGATATACCGTCAAATTCACGAGAAGCAACCTCCATTGACGGACTCTCTCATCGAGTTGCTTCTGGTTGAGGTTGACTTGGGGGTCAAGTCTCACATCTCGGACGCACTAAAAGTGCTGCTAGACCAAGGTCCGCCAATGCAACCCGAGGTTTTCGCTAAAGCCAATGGCGAATATGCTGCTCGGACTCAGAACAGGATGCCCACAGCGGACCCCCAGCAAGAGCGGTTCCTAGAGCTCTTCTATGAGCACTCGGCTGCCAAGTTGTTCAAGCCCTTGTTAGACTTGAAAGATCGGGTGGCTATGGACTTTACCGTCCAGCAAGCATCCATGTTCACTTACCTCATCGAGATCCTTTGCTTCTTCATTCGACAGCACCAGCATCGCAGTAAATTCTTCGTCTTGAATCACGACATCGTCAAGCGTGTCGGCCAGCTGCTTGCTTGTCCCGAGAAGTTCCTCAAGCTCGGTGAGTTCTTTTGATAGATTGAGTTTCCTCGCACGCTAACAACTTACAGTAACCATTCGCTTTTTACGTCAACTGATAGGACTCAATGACGAGTTCTACATCAAACACCTGTCAGAAAAGAGGGTGATTGGTCCGATCTTAGACGTCTTGATGGAAACAATGCCTCGCGACAACTTGCTCAGTTCGGCGTGTCTTGAATTCTTCGAGTTCATTAGGAAGGAAATGATCAAGGATCTCATCAAACACACCGTCGAGAACTATCGTGACAAGCTACAGAGCCTCTCATACGTGGAGCTCTTCCGCTTCCTCCTACAACGCTACGACCAGACCCGGGGGTTTACCGTAAACCTGGACTATTTCTTGGAGTCATCCGATGATGATGTGGCGCGGAGAAGGACCAACGTCAATCCTCGAGCCAATGTTCATCTCATGGAGCACATCAGCATCGATCAGGCCGAGGAGGAGTACTGGAACACGTCTGATGACGAGGATGACTTGCAAGCAAAGATTGGCAATCGCGCACCGCTCGTCAACGGGGGTTCGCCAAATACCAAACTGGTCGATTATGCGTCGGACGAGGAAACTGACGAGGCCGTGGTTGCTGGAAGTAGTACCCTTGCATCAAGCAATACTGGGGAGGCCACGCCGGAGAAGACGGACAATCAGGCACCAAAATCCGATGGTGTCACTTCTGCCATTCCTCCGCCGGAACGGTTATCGGAAAAGCGACGCCGAGAAGAAGACGGAGAGGATGAGATGAGCAAATTGATTCAGCACAAGCGTCGTAATAGCACATCGCCCAATTCCAACGCGTCGAGTACGTCGGGCGTAATCAAGAAGAAGAAGAGTGCCACAAGCGCTCGAGATGCGGGTGGTGGCGGACCCAAAATTGCCATCAGTATCTCTTCATCGATCAAGGCCGGGAGTGGACAGCCGGGAGTGGACAGCCTGGCAGCAGACAAGACCACGAGGCGTGAAGTATAAGACCGTAAACTCACGGCCCCAGCATGAGGAGAGCGTTATTTCGGCAAATTCCAACGACTAAGGGAAAGGATGGACGGCGTTCTCCGGAGGAACTTTGGCATTTCGTCAGGAATAGACCCTAGACACTGGGGGTTTTGAACCGGGAGTGAGGGGCCTTAGGACGGAGATTCAGGAGTGTTGCAAGATGATTTTGAGACTGATATTGGCGACAATGGGTCCTTGTGCACGTACGCGCCAACGCACTTCAAATATCCAGCCAAATGCAGGATGTCATGTACCACTACTACTATCATGGAGTAATTTCCCCCGTTCGGACAGGGAGCTGGAGCGGCCTCGAGCGGTGACCAAGGTTGTTCTTGTAAATCGAACATGGAACTATGCACTCTTTGTAGTGGCCACATACTCTCAAAATGGACACCAGGCAGTACTTTATCCCTTTCATCATACTGGTTGGTTGTGTGCTTGCACGGACGAGCGTGTTGTCTCAGCATCTCTGACTTGTTTTTCCTTTTATAGTTTTGAGCTTGGCTCATTATCGGAAGATATCTCGATGACCAACTTGCCAAACTGCTTGCCATCTCTCATATCCTCATACAGCCCATCGATAGCTTCCAGGTTGTCTAATCCCTTGACCGTACGACTAACGATAGGCTTGATCTTCTTCTTCCCTACAAAGTCAACCATGTCCTTGAACTCGGTTCGCGACCCCATAGTGCTCCCCCTCAACTCGATGTTCTTCAGCACGGCCTGCATCATCCAGTCCATCTTAGGGGCGACCGTCATCCCATAGCATGAAATCACCCCGCCTGGCTTTAATATGCGCGTCGCCTTGCCAACAATGTCGCCACCGGCCCCGTCAATGACGGCATCGAGGTACGGCCGGTCCTCTGGCAGCAGCGTCTGCAGCTCCTTCTCCCAATCCTTTTTCTTGTATATCACACCCCCCTTCGCCCCCATACGCCGAGCCTTTTCGACCTTCGCCTCGTCGCCGGAGGTCACATACACATGACAACCCAACGCCACGCCGAACTGTAACACCTGTAGCGCTACACCGCCTCCGATACCAGTTACTAGGATATTCCGCCCCGGTAACGCATTTCCGCTTTTGGTAACCAGGGCCCGCCATCCCGTCAATCCGACCAGCGGCAGCGCCGCGCCTTCGGCGGGTGATAGATGCTCTGGCGCGGGCTCGACTTCCGACTCGTGAACGACGATGTAGTCCTGCGCTGTGCCGAGGGGGTGCTGAACCGTGCCGCCATTGATACTGAACTTGGCGTAGTCCTCGGGGCCATTCGGGTCGGCGTCCCAGCCGCGGCAGGGGGTGAGGAGGACGGGTTTGTGCAGGAGCTCAGTGGTGCACTGAGGGCCGGTGGAGATGACGGTCCCGTAGCCGTCGGCGAGGAGGGGGTTACCGAAGGATATACCTGGGTACAGGGATTGGCGGATGAAGAAGTCGCGGTGGTTAAGGGCGGCGGCGTGGAGCTTGATGAGGAGCTCTCGGGGGCCCGGCGTGGGGAGCGGGACGGTGTTGAGCTGGAGTGGGTAGTAGATTTGGCCCGGTTTACCTTCGGTTCTCTTTATGGTTAGGGATAGAGGCATGATTTCTTGATCTGAGTTTCTACGTTGGGGAAAAAGTAGCGATTGCTGTTGTTGAGGTTTGGAACATGCCTTATTCATACCTAGGTGAAATTCCCCCGCAGATATCTGGGGTGCAGCATCATGGAGCTGGCAAGAGCCGTCACCCCGCACCCCAAGGTGATCGTCAGGATCAAGCCGAGGTCTTTGTGCCGGCCATCAGCTGAGGCAGCCGAGACAGCTGACCTTGCATTCGGAACCGTTACCTACATTTGTAGCTGGGAGAACTCCGCTATCCCGAAATGCATGCTCAATGCTTAAAATCCGAGATATCGGGGAGGGGCAATGTCGAGCTGCATTCCCTGCCACCACGGCCTTGGGAAGCGCGTCGCGCGTCCGAGGTACTTCATAGGGCATCCTCGGCGCCTCAGGAACCTGTAGACGTGGAGATCCATATCAGCAGCTACTTTGCAATTGCATCATTTCTCGGTGTCTTCGCGCTGCCTCGCGTGGTTCTTCCGCATCAGTTTCTCCTGACTCTCCAAGGGGGTCCACGCAGTGAAAAGAGCCAAGTGGACCACCCGCGTATGGCATTTGGCCTCGGAAAACCAAGCTGCAGAGAAAGAAGTGAAGAACGGAATTACCGCCCGTTGGGAGGACGTAGCCCCACCGCCAAAGCTGACGAGGCTGTCCACCTCAGGCTATTGAATCCTCGAAGTTGCCGGCCTGGGGGCTCGGCCCGACCCTGCATTTGGGCGGCTCCTGTCCTATCCGAGATCGACGTCGATGGCACGACATCCGACGTCCCTCCAAGAATGTACGAATCTGTAGACGATGCGCTACCAACTCGCAGTACATATCATTGTATCAATGTTTCAATATCCACCATGTTTCCCGAGACATGGTCTGTCACCCGCCCCAGTGCTGGTTAGACGACGTAGCATGGATGGTCGGGGTCAAGCTAGAGCGAGGCCCAAGCGGCTTGCTTTAATGGACTCGACTATCGGGCAGGGAACCCAAATGCGGTTTTGCCACCGTTCAGGCTCGAGAGTTTTCTCGAAGCTGTGCGCCGATCTATCATCTCGAGCTTCCAGCAAGTCAGACGTTCGGACGACACCACTTATTTTCAATATAGTTCGATGATGTCTAACGCCGGCCGGCGGCTTAGTTCAGGAGGCTGACGGCCAATCTTCAGTGGCGCCATAGATTTGGTGGATGGTATTGTGTTAGCGACGGCATCTGCCGCCCTCAACAACAGAAAACGTACGAAAGTCTCGCGCCCATGCCCACTTTTGCACCAAAAACATCCCTCTGTCACTCCGTAATAACTATAGGATTAGACATCGTGTAGCTGTGGGATTGGGTGCCGCCGTTATGCCCTAGACCGAAAGCGGTACAGTTGGTATTAGGTTAGACCCTGTCTTCTTTCCTTCTTGAAGGAGAGAGTAGGAGTACCTTACAGAGCCTCTTAAGTAGCAGAGGGCCGCTTCCCTTGATATCTTCAAGTAAATATTTATTTAATATGAATTAATTTATATAACATATTGCTTGTTATAACTAGAAATCAAATAACATACCGTTTTACGGTAATTTCGTTACACACTATGTACTCACAATGCAGCGTAAAAATACTCTTCTCACATTGTGGAAGAAAAAAAAGAAAGAAAAAAATCCTACTAACGAGCGATTGGTTTTCTTTGTTATCAAGATTACGATAGCTTTACCTTTATGTGGTCGAGGAAGTGTGGTGTTCTACTGACATGGGGTGCTGTTTAGTTCGCCGATGTCAATTCAAGAGAAGTTGGCTTGTGGAACCCCGAGGTCGCCGTTCAACTTCCACGTACCCTCCTTGCCCGCATACCCGTTATGGTTTGAGTTCTGACGAGTTCTGCGTCGTTACACAAGATGGCAAGGATGGCGAAATACGGGGTGCATTACGCCAAATCTTGGCGATTAAAATATTCCGCGACTTGAGCGCCTCCCTTGCCTGCAGGCTGCGGGTTGCACTGGTCTCGTAGCCGTGGCTACGTTGGTGCTAGTCAACTATGACGACGGCTAAAACAGAGGAAACTCGACCGCAAAGTCAGAATTACAAAGACGGGTCCGCCTATGTTACTAGTCACTTGCTTGGGAATGTGGTTCCCGAGCCCGCCCAGCCCGAGCAGGCCGGGGATTGGTGGATTCCTTTTCTTTATTCCTTGCGTATCATTTGTAATCGTGACAAGATCGCGAATACTTGAAGTCTTCTTCATTGTCTTTCTAGAGACGAAAAAACTGCTTCCACCGTGACGAGGGACACATTCGTTGAGGAAAAGAGCCAGTACCATCGACGATTCGACCCTGACGGCTCTCCTTCGCCAGCTGCTAACCTACGGATTCGTACTTCTTCGTTACGATTAGAATTTGCCAAAATACCCCTTCCATAATCATGGACACACTTATTTGTGGTGCTGCCTTTGGCTCAGCTTTGACGGCGGCTGGAGTTCACCAGCCTTATGTGATTATTTCGCAGCTTACTCTGGATAACTTCCATATGGTGGAATCTTTCCTGGTGAGTGCTCAGTAGTCCCTCCCCTTTGTCTACTTTCCTCTGCGGTATACCGCTACGAAGGCGTGCTTATTCCCAAACGGCTTTAGGTTAGTTAATACTTTGTCATCCCACCCCCAACGATCAAGAAACCTTGAAAGAGTACAGCACTAACAACCAGTGACTCGTAGGCAGCAGGTGCTACCAGTCGTAAGTTCTCTCTCGATCCATTGCCCGAACTCACAAGGACGCCTACTCACGAGAACCAGTAATCGCCGTCACGGCTCTACAGCGCCTAGGCTACGTCAAACTCAAGCCAAGATGTTACTCGACCATAGGACTATTCGGCAGCATGGACGGGAACGTCATAGGCGGCCTGACCCTCGGCGCGGGAATGGCCCTGTCGGCATCTTGCCCCGGTTCCGTCTTCGCCCAAGTAGGAGCTGGCGTCCGTTCCGGTGTCTTCACCCTCACCGGTGCTTTGATAGGAGGTATATTCTGGACAGGCATCCTGCGACCGATATGCCAACGTGGAAGGCCGCCTGTCACGAACAAGGTAAACGTCAAGGATTTGACTATTCACAAACAACTCCAATGGTCCGAAAACGGCACGATACTAGCGCTCGAGGCTATGTTCGCTGCTATTATCGGCGTCGCGGTCCTTGCTTCGTCGCCCAAGTCCCATGGCTTGGTTCATCCCGTCATTGGCGGTTTGTTGATTGGAGGGGCGCAGTTGCTTTCTGCGGTTACTAGGAAGACGCTTCTGGGCACGTCGACGGCTTTTGAGGAAGTTGGGGAACACTTTTGGTGGTTGACGAGAGGTGGAAATCTTGCCCAAAGGCCGCAGACGACGAATATGGTGTTTACCTCCGGCATGGTACTCGGCGCTCTGGCACTCACTTTGACAGTACCGTCTGCAAAGGGCATTTCTGACCTGCCGGTGAATCCGTTGAGGGCGACTTTAGGGGGGTTCTTGCTGGCGTTGGGGAGTAGGATGGCTGGGGGGTGTACATCGGGGCACGGGATTAGTGGACTGTCGCTTCTCTCCCTTTCTAGCTTTGTGTCGGTTGGGGCTATGTTTACGGGGGCTATAGGGGTTGCTATGGTGCTGGCATGATTGAGATTGGTCACGCCTTCGCATTTACAGGGGTTACATACTACGATAGGCGTAATGAGATGTGGTGTTTGCGATATGGCTTGCCTCTCAAGGATGGAGAGAATGCCAATAGCATGGCAAATGCTTCCTACAATAATACTGAAATAGAACAAGACGATGTTCTGGTGTAACGAAGAGTCGTAAACACTAGAAACTGGCAATTCTAGCGGTTACGCCTCTTTGTTACACTGGAAGACCAGCCGTCTCAGACGATTATATTCTCCGAGTATTTTGAAAGTCATAAGGATGATGGCTATATTTAAATTTGACAGAACCGCAGCAAATGTCACAGCTATATTTACCGAGTGGCCAATTTCAAAGGGGTAAACCCTGGTCAGGACACCGAAAAGTGATTCGAAAATACTCTGCCCAGGTCTGGCTTGACGGGCTTCGTGGGACGCGAGTGATCGAGTGGGCATGTTTTCGACGTTTCAGCCGCGCAGCTCGGCGACCTACTATGCTATGCAACCCGCCGAACTTCGCCGAATGGTAAATAAGTTTGAAAAAGTTCCCCTGAGGATTGGCCCATGCTGGCTTGGGTCCCCGAAGGATCATATCCTTGTTTGCGAGTATCAAGCAGAGTTTCCCGATCCATTGATCTACGTGGGGATTTATGTTAAGTAGCATCGGAAGATGTTGGCCAACCACGTCTAACCTAGCGATCGCGTTATTATTCTGAACTCGATTCGCAACCCCTATTACGAGTAGCTGTACGCTGAACCTGTGTACGGATTGGAAATAGAGAACAGAACCATCCCAACCTGTCGCGATTGGCTAGTAACCATCCTCCTGTTCACGACATTGCTCTTGCTTTCAAAGCGTGGAGAATATACTTCAACCATTATTTCAATATCAACCTTCATAACGTCCTCCAAAAGCCCAGCAGCCCTCATCGTCGCCGCAGGTCGCGTATTCGCCCACCACTTCCGCAGAAACGGCCGATTTCTGCGGAAATTCGTCGCAATCGGACATCAGGTAGCGCTGGAGTAACCTGGCTGATGAGTGTTCGGGACATCTTGGTAGACAGGGGTCATGCGAGATATTCCGGTTACGGCTGCGTCTAGAAACTTTGGCAAGATGTAGATGGCAGGGATGACTCCGTAGAATTAAAGCGATGAATGAAATACAGAGCGAAGCCCATCTTCGAATGCCTTTCGATTAGATGTGGCGCTTGTCTTTTAGTAGTCTCAGTATCGTCCTATACTCGAGGCAATGAAGGAAAGAGCAAACACGTTAGGCAGAACGCAGCCATTGCCTCAACAGTGTAAAACCAGTCCAGATTACAAGGTAGATAGTTTGACGTGCCCCAATTCCTTTCATCTTCACCATTCCCACTCAACATTCGGGCCCCTATTTCTACCAGTGCTTGGCACATATACAATGAAGCGCACATTCATTTCATCCGATTCCCATCACAAAGCTACTAGAATCCAAAGGGTTCTAGAGTTCGGTCTTTGAGGTGGCGTCCGATTCAGAGCACGACGATGCCTCCCAAGCAAGAATCAGGAGTAGCTTCTCGAGCGTCCTCCTGGTATTCCTCGACTTCTCCGAAAGGAGATATCCATGTACGATATCAACATCGGTCCTCTCCCCGATGATACCGACCGGTCTTCGTCTTCGATAAGCTACGCTGTCCTGTAGAATGAGACAACCATGCGAGAGTCTATCTCCGGAGGCGGAGATGTCCTCATCCACGCTCTTATCAGCTACAAGAGGCCCGCACTGTGGCCCCTGCCCTCCTTTCCCTTCCCCCCATCCGATTATATGCATGACGTTGGCAGAAAAGGCAAATGCTCTGCCGGCGAGAAGCGCCGGAAGATTTGGCAAGTGGCGTAAGTCATGCTTCCTTCCTCCCTAGAAGGTCTCCTCCAATCCTGGACCCCTATTAGAGGTCTCGTGCTACAACCGCACCCACCGACAACTGACGGCTTAAGAAGGTGGAAGATGAGGCCGTCCACCTCATGGGACTGTGGGATGCCAACAACGCCGTCAAATTTGGTGGAGCGGGCCACCGACTTGATTGTGGCATCACAGACCATGCGCACTTACGCGATCAGGATTGCAGAGCTGCCCGCCTGTGACTTTTATTCCAAGGTTTGTAGAATATATATTACGACTGTGACATGTCGAACAATGACTGAAGAGATATCAGGCTGACGCCACCTGCAAGCACATTATATATGCTCGTTCGAATCCTGAATATGCCTGAACCTCCCCAATGGCAAGAAAAACACTAATACTCTGGCTGTCATTGTACACGAGGCTCATTAATAAGCCAGGCAAGATGCTTTGCTTAGCGAGGAGCTCGAGGCTTTCTTCGCGCTAATCTTGGACGATCCCCCAGATCGAAGTGATATCACTTATAACTTCGGCATTCTGGCCACAGTCAAATATCCGATCCGATTGCGAGCGGTCAATGACAAAGCAAGCCTACGTGCTGTGACCAAGGCGACAGAGAGACTTGCCAAAGAAGCTGCAAATAAAGCTGCCAAAGCCGAGATAGAACGCATCTGAGCTGAAAAGGAAGCAGCGAAGCGAACTGCCAAAGCCGCAAAACAGCCCTCCAATGGGAGAACAGCGAGCGTACAACGACCGCGAGACCGGCGATGACCGCGCAGGTGGCAGGATGATGCCCCGAGGATGACATGGGATGCGAACATTATAACTTGCTGAAATAACTGGGAACCATCAGACGAAGGATTGCAATTCAGTGTAGAACTTGAGGGAAATGAGACGAAGTACCCATAGTAGTTCTGAGAAGAGTGGGTGGATACTGGACGCAATATTGCTCAATTAGGGTAGCTCAACGTAGCGAGATTGTTGTCGACTCATGCTAACCTTTGCATTATCAAAAACCTAGCTCCGCTACTCTCTCTTCTCAGTGGTAGCTTGTTCTTGCTTACAAGCAGGCAGGCAAGCCAAGAGCCGACAAAGCACGGTTCCCTCTTTCGGCCTCATCACACGGGTAAAAGCCTGTCTTGAGGTGAGTTGCTAAGGGAAAAATTGAGCTATGATGAAGGCGTGCCGCAGCCATTCCTCACTCTGCTCGGCCCTACCTTCTAGTCCTTTTCGCTACACGCGTCCAACGCCGAATTAGGCAAGCGAGGGCTCTGCAATCGCAAAGACTTTGGCTAGCGTTGGGTACGCATATACGAGTATACGACTCAATAAAGATGTGATGTTACTCTGTTGTACGCAGAGCCACATTAGAGATGTACTCAGAACTGAAGACCTACGAGACCTCAACAGAATATATCACTCGTCGCAACACCACACCGATCAACCATGCATGTCAGGCGGTAAGGGAAAATGAACAAACATCAAACAAGGCTCAACGCACAACGAACAGGACTTTACGGTCCCCGTATTGATTGACCCACCAAGGCAAACTACCGAAGCAGCATACACGCGTATCTGCCTTGCTTACTTATAGTTACTCAGGGACAGAATGCCAGTGTCCCCAACCCCGGCCGTGTCTGTGTCCGGGCCCGGCCCAGTGGTTGGCGTCTATCAATCAAAATCAAGCCAATCCGTGTGACCATGATTATTCCGTGTTTCCCCTTTAATGTCTCTTGCTTACTACTCCGACAACACGACAACGACAACGACAACAACGAAACGCCGCTGTTTGTGCTGCATATCCCATGCAGACAAGTCTCGATTCCCTTTTGGCTTCATCACGCAGCAGCTCCTTGGTTGAGCGTTTCCAGATCTGCATAGTGCAATATCATTTGCCGCTGGGGGCTTGTTAGTCGACTCATCAAGTTGGTCCCAGTTATGTCTCAAAGACAACTTACACGATCCTTCCGCCAGTTGTTGGTATCCCAGATGATGTAGTAGCCTTCTTCGTGGGTATGGCTGAGGGGGCGCGGCGTCATCAGGTCATCCTTCGTAAGCCAGACCTGAATCTTCTTGTGCCACCTCCAGTTGCGGTTGTTCCTATCAACGTCAGTATAAACTTGCCGGACGTGTGGTCAGTGGATCCTCACAGTTCCATCGCTGCCATGTGCTGCTTCATGTCGCCTGGGCAGCTGTAGAACATCCACATCAAAGTCTCCTCATTGAAACTCGATATTTTGTTCTCTAAAGGCTGCACGTTGGTCACGTTATAGCACTCGGGAAGACGGAAGTTAGGGATGGCAGGTCGTGGAGGTGCATCATTGACCACAGAGTAAACCTGGGTCGATATCGGTCTGGGTGCTACATTAGCAAAGAACATCAAACTAAGACAGCAAAACGTACTCAGGAGACTGCATATTCAGTCCGAATTGCGTCGGATCCACACCCGTCACCGCGGCATTGTAATCCGGGTAATTATTCATAAGCGTTCTCAGTCCCTTCAGGCCCCACTTGTCGATGGGTGCCATGCCGGCCAAGGGATCATGAACTGTTGTCGGCTGACCTTCCTTTTCCTCCGTGCCAGGGTTCGCTTTGCTGACAGGCGCGTCGTTGCCAACAGCACCCAGAGGATTCCGCCCGTCGGTAGATTGCACGGGACTATCTTGTGCAGACGATTGTGCAGTCAGATTCTCGAAGCCGGGCGGCTTCTGCCGGGGCTCTTCTCCAATTGCGCTTCTCACATCCAGGGGTCGCGAAGATCCTAAAGCTGAATTGGTAAACAGAAAATAAGTAGAGAGGTATGGACTAACCAGGTGTCGCAGATTCAGGTGACCGCACCTCGGTTGTTCGAGTGTTTGCCGACAAAGCATTAAGCAAACCGTTGCCGGTTCGGCCTTGCAGAGACGTCGGGGCGGGGCTTCCTTGGGCATTGAAGACGGACATTAAAGCCGATGCGCGTTCCTGTCCAATGTCACCGGTGCCATTTCGAAAGTCATTGTTATTTAGCGGTGGGAAGTCGTCAATGCTCCCCGGCTGCGGTTGCGATGCCTGACCCACGCTTCCTTGGCCAAATCGAAATGAGCCCTGATTCGAGGTGAGACGCGAAGCGGATGAGAAATCATCCTGTTGGCCCTGTTGGGAGGATGGAGTGGGCTGGTTTCTCTGTATGGGCGCCATGCCTCTGCTTCCTGTTATCGACCACAAGGATGATTGGCCTGCTGAGGAGAGTTGAGCGTTGTTTGACAGTGATGGGAACTCGCTAGAAAGACGTTAGCTGGTGACCGAAGACAGGTTGGTATGAAAGTGCGACGAATGTTGTTGGCACAAAGTTGAGATGATGAAGGGTGCCGCCACATGGGCAGTGGCTACGTGCAAATTAAAGTGCAGGTGCTAATGGAACAAGAAGACCCCAGGGTTATCAGGGAAGGTACCGCTTCAGAATATGCGCATAGGGCAGGCCATCGGAGGGATCATGAGAGGCCTGCTCGGAATCAGAGGATCGTTGATCCTTCATCTTTTGACGGTTGACAAGTCGAATTTTCTTCTTCAACATTGGTCGCGCGTTCCCTCCGTCCTTATCGGGCGCCATGATGAATGGCAGTGGAGGTGGTGATCCAGGCCAAGACCCGCTTTGGGTCGACGAGGATCAAAGGGAATTGGGGTGGGGGGAAGAACTGCGCTCATCCGTCCAAGTGTGTGTATTTGAAGCGAGGGGTGCTGAGGGAGGTGACGGAAATGTTGGGAACCTACGATAAATCGAGAGGTGTTGCTGGTTGCGAACCACTCAGGCTTTGAGCGAAACTGAGGTTTCCTCCGCCTCCTCCGCCTCCTCCTCCTCCTCCTACTCCTAGTTGTCTTGCTGGATTTTGAAGTCCTCCACCGCTCATGGGGACACCACCTCCAAACACCCACCCACTTCCATTATTCGCTGTATTCACCACGTACTACATCAGTCTTTGCTCAAGCTGCGGCAACAGGGGACCTTCCATTTTCCCGTACCTAATTTGCCGTTGGGTAATCGACTTGTCACTGATCTACCTGGCTGTGGAGGTTGTTGTTGCTGTTGTTGAGCTCCGAATGGAGTCGGCATCCCTCGAAGGGTTTGTGGTACGGCACCTGGGATCATCGCAACGATTAGCGCTGGCCGAACACAATCTAGACGTATCCGTTCAAGCAAATATTTATTTCATAGCGATTACGACTGCACGACTCCCTCGACATCCTCATCTATATGCCCAGATCACGCAAGAGAGACAGTCCAGTTGGGGGCCAGGGTGCCGGGGTTGAGGCGAGACGAGGCCAGCCAAGCCGGTCCCATGTCTCCCCCAGTCCCAATGGCCGCAGCCGGCAGTCGCATAGCCTTGAGCTGCACATAGACAGCATCGAGAAGAAGGGAGCGGACGTCGAGGGATATGCGCGAGGAGACACAGCCGTCGGGTTGGTGGAAGGCACACAGCGGGGCACGCGAGGCCTCGAGAAGAAGGTGAGCACTACCTGGTCGATTCATGACGGATTTTGGGGTTTTTCACAGCTGGTTTCGATGGCTCGCCGTGAGCTCATGGGTCCGATGTGGGAGGACTGCGCCGGGCGGTGATGATGTCTCGAATTTATTCCTAGAGCGAGTTGGGATTGTATGTAGTGAAGCTTCGCGGTCGCAGGCAAGTTTTAGACTACAGGCCAGGGTCGTATGCGCTAGTGCTTTCAATAAGGCGAACCTCGCGTTTGCCTGGTCCGTGCCAGCTTCTAACAAAGATCTCTCCACATTCAATAAATTTCAGTGGAGTGAGCGAGTACTTCGAGGTATCGCCGACGTTGTATCCATCCAGTGGCCTCGAACTGTTTCTACGAACGGTGCTTCTTCGTACAACGCTGCGTTTGCCGGTTTCTTGCATTCATTTGGATTTGCGAGAAGCTACAGCATCTTTGCGCAGGTCTCATGCTTCCAGGTTGCTATTGTCCAATTGCACACAGGAAGCTGCGCTCAAGGTCAACTCCCTGGACCTCTCTGCCAATGAGGACAATCTTTCCCGATACCGAAGTCCCATCCTCAGCAGAAGACTTCGGACTGTCGAAAATCTCAAATATCTCCCGAACGCCTTGGACCATCTTTATATCTCCATTTTTGAAGACCAGGCGTGCCTTCAGACGATGGATTTCAACCTCTTTCGTCTCATTCGTCCCCACGCCCGGCACCAGACTCTCCCACAAAATCGATCGCAACCAACCATCAACCTTTGCGAGCTGATCTGAATCGAGCGGCGGCACGTTGATTGCGAAGGTGGAAATGGTCTACACCAAATGTCAGCATTTTCTTCCCCATGGCTCTTGATGAGGCTTCACGCACAGAGTCGAGATGACTGTGACCCTTGTCCGCCGTGTCCAAGGTATCAACCTGATCATAGGCGTGGAGGTCCAGAAGGAGTCCTTCCAGCTGGGGCACTTCACTTTGGCTTGTTACGTGAATTTTGGCCAATCCGTTGATGGCTTGTATGCGCGACTTGACTTGGTCGAGTTCTGCAGCATCGACAAGATCGCACTTGTTGATGACTATCACGTCGGCGTGTGAAATCTGAACATGAGCAGTTGTCACGAGCGGACCATGGCTATGATCAACATGCCCTTCAACCTTGCCCGAGGGATCATCTAGATTCCGCAGAATATTCTTGGCATCGACCAGGGCAACGATACCGTCGAGGTAGATGGTGCTTCCAAGGCCATCGTCAACCCAGAATAGGGGAGCCAAGTTGCCCGGATCTGCGAGGCCTGTCGTCTCGAGGAGAATGTAATCAAACGCCCCCTTCTTCTCCATCAGACTCTCTATAGCGTTTACCCCGGCATCTCTATGAGCATGTTAGAAAATGCGTCCAGGATTCGGCTGGGTGTGTGGTACTTGACTGAGCAGCAGATACAACCGTTGCCGACCTCAAGCCATTCCTCGACCTTTTCGTCGCCCTTATTCACCGTGAGGGACTTCTCAATATCAAGAGCTGCATTTTTCGATGTGAGAAAGGAAAGACGAACAGATACGTGGAGATTTCGACATACAATCGCCAAATTCATTCATAATGACCGCAATTTTCTTGCCATGCTGGGCAGTTAAGATGTAATTCAGCAACGTGGTCTTGCCAGCACCAAGGTAGCCTAGCCCTCAATTCAGTCCTCGCATCCATCCATGGATTACCCTGTCTGTGCGGCTTCGAGCAATACATACCCGTAACAATGGTGATGGGCACTTTCATTGCTGGGTTCTCCTCATCTGCAACGGCTGGCGTTGTTTCCACCAGGTCAGGCGGTGCTTCGTCGTCGATGTCCATTTCTTGAACAGAGATCAAATTTTCAGTGACTTGGTTACCTAAATACTGTACACCTGACCTTGGCGATCGATTAGAGGTGAATGTATTTGATGAGACTATGTTAAAAAGCTCGTCTTGCTCATTACGCCCTGGATAACTGTTAGTGCATCCCCAGATTTTATGTGGGGTCAGCTAAACGGCCTGTGCGCTACAGCGCAGTTGCTGCTGCTGACGGAGTCCGAGGTTATCTTGTCAATCCGAACTAGCTCAAGTCTTCTCCTTCTAGCCGCCTCGCTCCTGAAAGTTAATAACACGACGCCCCCGCCGCCGCCGCCGCCGAAAACCGACGACTCCTCGCAGTCGGCATCTCGAATCGACTTGAGGCTCGGGCCTCACGCACCCGTCGCAAACATGTCGATGCCATCAAGCTCGCCGCGACTTCCCAGTCCACCACCACCAGCCGAGATCCAGATAGGGCCCAAGTCGCCAGGACTGGGTGCGACAGCTAACCGCCAAGCACAGCAGATGGAGCAGAATATGGCCGACGCGAATGCCAAACGGCGCATCCACCCAGGCACCAAAGCCGAGCACATGGCTGCTGGACCGCCGCTGGTGCCTCTCAACGAGCTCGACTCGGCCTTCCAGCTACAGGAACATCTTGCCGCTCTCCACTATCACCTCAGCGCCCAAAACACCCTGCCCATCTCGCGCCAGACGGCCGTCCAGCTCGCCACCCCTCCCCCCGGCATCGACCGTACCCTCTGGCTCTACGAGCTCTGCCGCTTCCTCATCGCCCAGTGCAATAGCCTGATCGTCGGCTTCCTCTTCGACACGCCCGCCTGCTCCCAGGCCACATGCCCCGAGATGCGCGCCTCTGAGTGGCAGTTCCTGTGCGCCGTCCACGACCAGCCCAAGAGCTGCTGTGCCATCGACTACTGCTGCCACACGCTCGACTGGGCTGCCGGCGTCGTGACTAACCCCAAGATCTTCCCGAGCCGCTTCGTCGTCCTGCACGAGGGCCACGACAAGAACGCCGTCCAGAAGAACCTCGTCAACGTCTTCCGCCGCCTGCACCGCATATTCGCCCACGCCTGGTTCCAGCACCGCGGCGTCTTCTGGTCCGTCGAGGCCCAAACGGGGCTCTACGTCTTCTTCAAGACCGTGTGTGACCTGTACGACCTTTTGCCCCAGGAGAACTATAAGCTCCCACCTGAAGCCGAAGGCCTCGAGCCCGCAACGTCGGAGAAGGACGACAGCCAGCCCAAAGTGACGCAGATTGCGAAACCTCCCGCGCGGGAGAGCGAAGGCGCGGGACACGAAGAGGATCACCATAGCATGATGGCCAGACGGTCCAACACAGCGCGACACTCCAGTCGTCCGTCCGTGGGGAGCGCTGTGACGACCGTCATTGAAGAACGGGAAGATGATTCTTCCGAGATGGCCAAGAAACTCAAAGGCATTCACATCACTGCGCCCGAGACGGTCGAGGAGGAATCCGAGGTCGAGGTCTCCGTCCTCGTGGAAGGCGAATACAAGGATGAGAAGCCCAGCAATGCTCCGACAGAGGTGCCGCCACCTCCTGAACACGGCGAGGATCCTTGGACAACGCGGAGTGTGGTAGTCGACGTGCAAGATGTACCTGTGGAAGATGACGCACCTGTCGATGGACAGGGCGAGAAACTTACGAAGGAGAACTCGCTGGATGGCGGAGAAGTCCCTGCACTCGAGCACGAAACGTATACTGAACCAGAGAAAGGGGAGAACCCGACGGAGAGCGCCGATATACTTGCCCCAGCAACGGCGAACCAGGAAGAACCCTCATCCGCAAGCGGTGCAGAAGCCACAGGAGACAGCACGGCCGACGAGGTAAAGAGTAGCAAAGCACCCACCACCGAGGATAATCAGAAGGCGAAGGAGCAGCAGAAAGAGAAAGAAACAAACAAGGAAACCCCGTCTGGCACCGATCCGTAGAGCGAAGCGATGTCTAGGCTAGATAAGTTGCTATCCATGGAGGAGGATCAAGAAGATGGCGATGCAGACGTGGGGCCGAGCGTTAGGCCCACGCGCCGAAGATACGGGAGACGGCCAACCGAGATCTCGTATTCGGATACTTGGGGACGAGAACGGCGAGCCCACTTTTGAGCGAGGCGTAAATAAGGCCATCACCAGACTCTGTAGAGGACGAGGGGTTTGAGATCGGGTAATGAGGGATTGGTTCCAGGAATCAGGGGCTGATTGGGCATAGAAAAGGGATGGATGGATACCCTCATGCCACGGGAAAAGAGAAGAGCGAAAGAGGGGAGAGAGAGGAGAGGGGAGTCGTATACTGTAATAACATATTCCCGAGGGGCAGGCAGACAGACAGAGCAGGAGCTTTGATACGTCATTATAAAGTCTATAATAGTGTCTAGGGCTATGATATAAGCAAAGTGAAGGGAACTAACTACACGATGTGGAGAGTTGGGTATGTGTTGAGAAATGTTCACGTTGATATAATGACTATATAAATGGGTATGTACGTATATATGTGTGAGATTTTGTGCCGTGACAATGCAAACAGATACTTCAGTATCTTTCTTGTTTGTTGAGTCAACCAACCCCCCTTTGAATTTTCTGTATTCCAATTTCCAAGTGCCATTGAATGGATGAATGGATGCCTTTCCCATGATGTATTTGTGTATGTAAATCCTGAACCAACGCCTGTTTTTCCGGAACGAAGAGGGGAGGAGGGGGGAAGGGGGAGAATGTGTATTATGCGTTTATATATATTTATAGATATCGTGGTGAGTATTAGTGTACTCATTCAACGACATCTTTCCCGAGTGCTTCATTGAGATGTGCGCTTTTGATTGGAAGAGGGTGGGCCGCAGTGAGGTGGATGCTCGAAGCAGGAAGATTAGAGCTCGGGTGCGTCTGATGAGTCCTTTGGTGCTGGCAGCTGAAAAGGTGTCGACGACGCCGGTAAGGTCCTTCTGGGTCCAAGCAGGTCTTGAAGCGCCATCATGAAGAAAGCTACAGGGGATTTGCAGGACTGGTCGAAATCGTCGACGAAACCAAGCCATGATGAGGAGGAGCTTCTTGGGGTCATTAATCCATCCGAGCGAGGCTGCAGAGTTATGCGGCCCGTGGGTTATGAGACCGAAGCGAGGTAGGCGAGGTGGTACCCGAACCCGACTCTGGAAGCTGCTTGTGAACGTACACAATACGCAACTTGTACGTAGACTTGTTACACCTACACCCGCACGCACGCAGGAAAAGCCTTGGCCTCCCCTCGCGTTACCCAGGGGCAGATCTTGCAGTTGAGGTTGTCGCATGAATGATCTGCCCTCCATGATTACCTAACCTACCCCAGGCTGCCTGAGCCCCCCGCGCGTCCCCTTTTTTTCTTGCCTTTGTCTGGGACCTGGGTGCCGCAATCCCCCAGTTCGTCCGATGTCAGAACGTGGCGGTGCCCCCCTGATGTAGTTCTTCCCGTGCCGAGCCGGGAACACAAGAGTTTTTGGAACTTGACGCGCACGCGCACGCGCTGGGCCCCCAGGTCGGGGTCCACCTGTTCGCAGCCAGCAGACCTTGCAGGTTGCAGCATCTCGGCTAGTATTCCGTCCGGGCGGCTTTTGCCGCGTCGCCTGATGTCGTCCAAGTCCCAACCCCCTGGTCGTTCAAGACGGATATGCTCGCAACCCCGAATGTGGAAATCAAGTGCGTCGCCAGTGTCATGTGCTGAGACGAACGACGTGTTCTGCCACGCTGTGTTAATCTCAATGTGCCCGTGGCACAGCCTTGCCGGCAGTCGATCGGGACATCTGCCATCCAGCTCCTATGCCTAGCCATTGCTACGCCTTCAGCGGTTCGCCAGGGATTGTCTCGTCTCGTAGATCATGATATGCTATGCTTTCCCTCGCAATGGGCCACCGCTGGGCGGTTCGATCGGTGAGGGTGTGTCATCGTTGTGGAAGCGCATTTTGGCGAAGATTGCACTCATTTCCCGCAGGCTCTCCGTTTGATCGGAAACAGGGTTGGCCGAACGCTCATCGGCAAAGGCACGTGTGCTTTGGAGAACATGGCTGAGTCCCTCTTCATTTGGAAGCCACCAGTGCACACAGCTCGGGTCCTGGAATAACTCGGCCATGCGTCGCCGCATTGGTAGTGGGAAGAGATACCTACAGAAGCAAATCACACATTGTTAGCTGTATCCTTAAAGTACAAACTTCTGCAAAGGCGCGTCACGCCCGACCTGGAGTGACTTTACGGCACCAGGGCTCGGGAGGATTAAATGGTGATGGGTAGGGGTTTGAACTCGAAGGACTTACCCCAACCTTTCGATCAAGGCAAACTTCCGCCTCATCCACATGTGATGCTTCGTGTCTCGGGGAACGAATAATGCGGCAATGGCCAAGGGCGCGTGCAGTATGACTATGGTGCCTTTGGGAGTCAATGGCCACTTTTGGACCATCTCGAAGATCTGGCAAATTGTGAATGCGAGATTCCTCAGCTCGGCCGACGGTTCCTGCTGCAATGCCAGGGCCTCCTGACTCTTGTGCATCATGGTGATGGAATGCCATTCGGCAAGCAGCAGCGTCGTCGAGAATAACGGATGCCCGTACAGGTAGCCTGCAGCGTACGGGTCGACGATGTCGTCCTCACCCAGCCGTCTTGCATGCGCGAATTCGTTTATGCGGTAAGCCGGATCGACCAGCGCAGGGTCTAGATCGTCTCGCCACTCGTAGAGCCGTGCGGTTAGATGGTCGTGCTCGGTAGCAAACTCTTCGCTAGACAGCTCGCCTCGACCTCCCCTTGCGTAGAGGATCGACATGTCGACAGAGATCAGACGCAGTGTGGCAGACGCCGCCTCCGTCTTCCAGCTTACGTGATCGCCGTCGGTGGTGACTTGGTTCTCGTAGTATTCTACTGCTGCAGAGAACCAACCTCGGGGCAGTCTTGTCTCGAAGCCGCCCATCATTCCAACAAACACGTCGAACCGAACATACCAAGTCAACAACATGCGAATCACAGGCGACTGCAGGGCCGCCTGGGGCGTGAGGAGCTGCAGCATAATCTGCAGCGCAGCTTTCTGATGGCCCATGAGATTCACCCAGTCGCCCAGGTATTCCTAGTTCCAAATCAGTAAAAGCTTAGGCCGTAGTTTGACAGCAGTGCTGCTAGCAGGCTTACCTCGATGGTTGCGAGCTGCAAGATAGCAAGCAGCGTCGCCGTATGTTGCTTTTCACGTTTCTTGAACGAGTTCAATAGACATGTAACACTTTTATTATGGTATTGCAGGAATGCCTGGACGTCACCATGCGGATCCTGGATTGCGTGGTGGTAGGCCGAGAAACCGACGAGGGCGTAGAGCAAAGCCTCGTTGCCGGGTTTAACGGCGGCGCTCGGCAGAAAGACTCGGAAGAAATCATCTGGGTCGTTGATGACGCAGTAATGATGGTACGTCATGTTGGTGTAGAAATAGTCGAGGTAGAAGCGTAGGTCTGGCGGCAGATGTGACCAGTCGGACGGTGCGGACGGGATGGATGGATCCGAGGCGTGGAAAGGCATGGCGAAGCTCACACTTGTCCCTGTAGATACTGATGGCGATGAGCTCTTGTAACTCTTGTCTAGCGAAGGCGTCTCTGAGCTGTGCCGCGTGCTTGTCCTGGGCAGGTTTAAAGCGGAAGTTGTGCTCGCCCTTCTGAGTGAGTCGAGAGATCGCAGCATTCGAGGCGAACTGTCTTCGGGCTCCTCTTCATCCGCGATCGGCTCCAATTTGGTCTCTCTCTCGCTGTCCTCGTCGTATACCTCAGGCGAAGAAGCCGGGCTTGCTTGGGTGCCGCCAGCAGCTTCATTGGACGACGCCGTCGCCTCCGAGCCTTTCGTTGCCTGCGGTTCCGGATATAAGCAGTCTCTTTTGCCTTTGCGACATCCTGTAGGCTTTCATCAGGGATTTGTTCCAAAGTTTCAAGGGGTTCAATTTCCTTACTCTCACAAACCGGATGGGCTTCGTCACACTAGAGCGGCAGCAGCTTAGCAAGTTACACAACTAGAGGCACTGCATCATATTCTCACCTTTACCCGTCTACTTCGACAGGTGTAGCAGCCAGACCGGGTCCGCCGATGCTTGACGTGGTCCAGCCCCGGTGCAGACTTTCTTCGACTTCGGCCGTTCTGGGATTTGGGAGGTTGGAACATGATGGGGTCTGGGAAGCCGGCAAAATACCCTAGGTTCTGGTACGGCGTGGTCACGGCCCCGCCGCCACCGCCGCCGCCTCCCAATTGCATCGCGACATGATGAGGATGCATGTGGGTATCTTGTTGGTTGGGTGAAGGGTGCTCCCCGCCCGCCGCCACCGATGACAGGTACTGTTGTTGATAGTAGTCACTCATCCTTGGGGATCTGACTACGGGAATGCCCAACAAATAGACGCGTTGGCGCCGATGGGGTTCGAAAACTGCGTCAGGCTAGAAAGAGAAGAGGATGCGGGGGATCCATTGGCTCCTGTCCAAATCTGAACAGCTCGTCGCAAGGCTTGTTTGTGGTCTTCGGTTTGATGTTTTGAATGGCCGTCGGACGCGGCAGCACAAGTTCGAGGATGTTGCTTCTGCCGATAAGAGAATCCGACTGAATGGACTTTGCTCCAACAAGAAGAGGGCAGAGGCGGAGGTTGTCGGACTGGGTAACCAGACGAGTGGGTATTATATTCAAAGCCGCTCCTGAAAGATCGACCCTGGGTTAAGAGAGATTCCAGTAAAAGAGCCGGTTCGACTCAAGTCAAGCATCCAGTCAGAAATTTCCTTCGGACCAATAAGCGCTCTGGGTAAAAGATCTGGTATCATGTAGGGAAACCAGTGAGGCAACTACCCAGGGTACTAGCGGCGGTTGGTGACTTGTCTAGCCCTCTTTTCCACAACAAGGCTTAGAGCGACAGAGTGATAGACGGGGCCGCTATTCCAAACAGCCAAGGGGTGCGGCAACCACGTTTATTTACGTTGTATGGACCCTCAGTACTTGGTACGAATACCTCGGATCCGTAGTGCTCGGGTGAGCTAAGCTGCGACGGAAGCAATGTCAAGGCCACACGCAAGTTCTGCTACGTGTGGCTACTTGGACGGGGATTGTTCACGGGATCTGAACTGGATGTGGGGTTGGTGGGTTGATGCTGGCGGCGCCCCCCCCCTTTCCGAAGTATCTGGCTGTATGTCCGCTGTCAAGTGTCGACAGGGTCGAAGCAGCGGATGGCGAGGAAAAGTCGGAGACCTGCTGACGGGACGTTATAGCGGGGGCTTTGTTGCGTAAATGTGTAGCCTGTCCCGGGAGCAGATAAAGACCAAGGGTTCCTTGGGAGGCTGATATTGGGTGCTATGCGTGTCAGAAGGCGGGTGATCGTCTCCGACCGCACTGGATATTAGGGACGCCGTACTTAAAGAAGGTGCAGGTGCAGGTGATCAACCGGAATCCGAGATCCCCTGTCCGGTGTGGAACTAGAGCACCTTGGTTGCTTGTTGTCACGGGGGTATGACGAATGGCGATCCTCGACTTCCGCAACTAGGCTTTGACGCTCGCTGAAGACTGGAGTATATCCCGGGAGCAATGCTGCAATCAGGGCACCGGCCGAGATGACCTAAGTCTTCTAAGTGTTCAATCTTAAAGTGATCGTCAGCAGCCCAGGTTTTCGGCCGCGGCCACGGAGTAGACTGGGCCGTATGGAGTACCACAAGGTAGAGATATACACAGTAAAGATGGCGCGGGACAATTACTGTAAACACTCGAGCCTGCTGTCGATGATACGTAGACCAGAGTGAGTGACAGCCCGGGAACCGTCCGTTAGTACCAGGATAGAGCCCCGTATGCTATACCAAGCTTGGACCGCAAATTGCACAAAGGTTACCTACTCTTGGCTTTGGGGCTAGGCCTATTGGTTGGTCCAATATGTTTGGCTCTGGTTTTTTGATATCCAGTATTGAGATTGGTTGAGATGATAAATTATGGAACAATATGAGCACCGCGGTGTTGAGGAACCGGATTGCGTCTTTGGCGGGTTTTGACCTCTTCACAAAGCCGATCTCCAGTGTCCCAGGAAGACGGTGAAAACGCAATAAGAGCTGATCCGTCGGAAGCTACTGTAGGGAGGGAAACCGTACAGGAATAGACCGAATGTCAGAGAGAAGAGACGAATGCATTGGCTGCCCACTAACGCACCCATCCATGTGGGAATGATGTGTTCGTCCTGCCTAGCCATTAGCACTAGCAACCACGGTGGCCAAATCCTTGGCTCTTAGGCCAGGATACCGAAGTAGGTAACTCACCGTACCGAAGTTCGAATAGGCGCCTTTGGGTAGCCGTTACAGCAGGGGAAGACTGTGAGATAAGGCCACGGCAAGTAGATACCAGGGTCATCATCTACAGCCATGGGGGTGCCCAGAACGCCTTCGAGGAGTGGGGAGCCAGGGCCCAGGGGGGGGTGGGAGGGAGGGGCAAGGGGGGGAAATTCGTTCACCGCAGGGATCGGGACAAGTTGCGAATTTCTGTCATGCGGTTTGATTATCAGCGGTTAGCAGCGATTTCTGGTGAATACTGAAAGCCAGTTGCGCCCGAGACGACTTGAGGTCCAGAGAAAGGACTTTATGTTCGATAGGTGGTTGCTCGTGCTGGGCGATACAACGGGGAAATCTTTGCAACTTTTGTCACGGAAGCCTTTAATAAGGCTGCTATAGTTGGTTCAAGCAGGGCCGTTGAGCGGTTCGCACGACTCGCAGGCCCTCCTTCAGCATGTACAGCCCACGAACCGTCCCATGCAATGCGGCGAAGATGAAGTGCAACATGGGTACGGTCCCATCGAGGACAGGGATGCAGAAGAAACTGGAGCTTCAACAAGTGGCCAGAACCCGGATAATATTATTAGGCACGGGTTTTCGACAGCTAGCATAAGGCTTGCCCGATGCCGCCATCGTGAGGATACCACCTCGAATGGAATAGTGAACGACAGCCCGAAACCAAGCAGCCAAGGAAGGCCTTGCAGATTGACCCTAGGTCCAGATGAAGGCCAAGCGCATGGAAGCACAGACCAGAGTAAGTACAAGCACACTAGGAGAAGTAAAGAAAAATGCGACGGCAACTACACGTATGTACATGTTAATTACCGTCGCTTGGCTCCAAACCCGAGGTGGTGGGATGAGGAAGGAGGGCCACAGATCGATCCTTGCAAGGTTCAACGACATGCCATGCAATGCCACCAGAAGCTATGGGCAAGCAAGCGCCGCAGGTTGCAACCACTTGGAATAGGTGGACGGCCTGGGCCGTACAGCACAAAAGCACCATCTCTCTACGCTGCAAACTGCAAATGCGATCATGCCAGCGATGGGTTCTTCGGACGGACGTAGATCGGCCCATGCGTGGTAGATGCACCAGGAACAGAGACGGCCATCAGTCGTCCCAGCCGACCCCAGCCAGACCAAGCCGGCGAGTTGGCAACCACTGTCGTCCTGCAGTGGTTCGTCTCTTGTTGATGCCGTCTCGAGTCGCACGAAGACCGATCGAGGGCGACACACACGGACTGGACATCCGGCACAGCGGATGAGGAAATCTTGACGGCGCCGGCGTCGCAACTTGCTTTGACGTGGATGGACAGACGTCCCCGATTCACCCGTTGCGTGCATGGGAAATGATGATCCCAGTACGGCCACAAGCCCATGTCCGCCAATTTGCCTCCCCTTCCACCAACCACCACGTCGTTGCAGCCGCCATCTCCCTCTACGCCGGCATGCGAGCCGAAGGAAAAAGAGGACCAAGCTGCGCGTGCGGCGCGTGGCAGCACAGTACAGGTACAAAGGTTACGGCCCAAATTCGCAGCAGCAGCTCGAAGTGGAGCCCGACGGTAAGAAAGCGGGATTGTGTACTAGACAGTGCCGCGCCCTGCAGCCTCGCGAGCTGCAGTGGACACATCCACTAATTGCTAGGGCACGCCCTCTGAAGTATAGGAGTCGAGCCGCTAGAATGCACTTGATCACAGGGAGCTTCGAGACAGCAGGTGTAAACCGGGCGCGATGTGACCGCACGGACCAAAGGTCTACTGAGGTGCTATAGCACGTGGCCGCAACCTTTCGTACGGGTACAGAGTCGCGGAGAAGGTGCAGATGGGTAGAAAACGAGGACGATGCAGAAATCAGCATCGGCCCTTGTTGCTGCAGTTCTGGCGTGCCTCGGCGGGCGGGACAATAAGGGAACGTTGACCTGAGACTTGACCCCGAAAGAAAAGAGATGGGACGGAAAAAATTAATTAGGTGACGCCCCAGGCCCCCGTCTTACACGTGGGTTTGGTGGAAGTTGTTGTCTCTCCATGCATTTAACCTTAACTTCCTGATCCAATGATATATACTGCCGGCGCTTGTGCTTTCCCGTGCAATGCTCAAGTGTGCGAGGCGGATTGCATTTTCCAGCCGGCCTGCTGGTGGCCACGACTTCTTGCTGCTTCGCGTTTTATAGTCAACCTAGGCATGGGAACGGCCGCCATTGCCACCTACCATGGTAGATGCAGGCCGGATTGACCCAATGCAGGCGACCCCATTCGCAATAGGCAATGCACCTACGCGACACGCCAGGCCCGGTGCCACGGCAGTGCCCGGATTAAGAAGAGCCTACGTACTTTAGGTACCCATCCGTGGATGCATGGATACAGGCAGTTAAGATTAGCGCCATGGCACTGTTCTAGAATGAGGACGTCGGTTCAGTAGAAGTCGCAGAATGAAGGGGAGACACGTGGACCTGCGGTGGTTTGGAACTCGTCTGCCGAGCCAAGCTCCTATAATTGAAGTGGATAGATAACTCCGTAAATCCGCAGCTTTCCAGCGCGTTTGGCACGTCCCAAGGCCACTCAAGGATGACATGTTTCCGCTTTCTTGGAACACAGCCTTTTTAAGTGGCCTCTCGACTCGAACACCACGGTCATTGTTGTCATTTGACCTTGGGAGCAGGATTTTACCTCGAGACGCAATTTTAACCACAGGACTCCAAGTCTGGTTCTCGCCGGCAGACTGACCTCGACCTTCCCCACAACCGGCGTCGGAAACTTGAAAGTTTCCATACGACGTCGCAGGCACGAGTGGACCGACCCTATTTTCCGGCTCATAATAGCAACAACATTCAAAAGGCCAGTTTTGACGTCGGCCCATGGGTCCCGATACTAGCTTAGGTGTGACTACTTCGTACGCTTTCCGTACGCTTTGGTAACTCGGCCGTCGTCACTGGTCTTTTGCCCGGTTATACCCAAAGTAACTGGTTGTTGAGACGCCATCAAGTGGTGATTGCCAGCCAAGCTCTTTTGTGTTACCGAGAGACATGGTACAGCAAGCTCACGTCGTACAATCCGATTCGGCGGTTCCATGGTGGTGGGGGCTACACCGCACCGATGGGTTACCGCAGAATCGGACAAAGAATTTTGGCCGTGCTTGTGTAACGCGTCATGTGTTTAATCTGCTACGATACAAAGTCTGATGAGGCTCGGCCATAGATAGTAACGGGGTAGGGAGAGCAGCGGTAGCGAACACATGTCAATAGGTACGTAGATAGATACCTGCGCCGTAGGTACGAAGGCAATCGATCGGGGCCTAAAAGGCGACAGATTCTCCAATCCTTGCGCTTGTGACGGGCTGCCCCAAGCCGGCGGATCTGCATTGCCCTTCTCTCGCCCGGGTCATCCCGGTGATGATATGGGCTAGGCGCCTTCTTAAGAAGGTAGTTCCATAGCTGCAGCCCTCGAAGCTACGGATTGCTGCGTGTAACCTACGTCTATGCTTCGACATTTGAAATACTGCTCTGGCTCGGTTCGGGACAGTTCAGCCAGACAATAATCCTTCACACCCACACCCATCCTTAAATCGACCAGATGTCCGTTTGATGTATTAATTTTATCTTGAGCTTGAACAAGAGTCGAATCTCCGCATGACTGTTCGAACGAACCTACGCTCCCCCCTGTCAATAACGCACTACCGCTTGAGGTTTGATATGACACGTTTTATTACAGCGGATGTACTGCCAATACTGGCCCGCTGTATGATTACACTCACGTCTGCCATCGGACGAATTGCCATTTTCCAGGATGAATAATGACTGATAGGAACGGGTAATATACGTCTAATGATCGTCATAAGAACTGATTTATCCAGAAGTGGAATACCTACGCTACATCAACAAATCAGCCGCATGGGAACGTTAGCTCTTATCAGTGAGGATCACGAGTATTGCTTCTACACTGTTCTACTTCACCACGTGTGCATCGCTTTGGCTTGGCTCGTCACCGTCTCCCCCAGGCCGGCCAGAACTATACAACAATCGACTCGCCGTGGCCCCTGGTCCTTTCGGGGCATCAAACTCCCATTCTGCCTCATCAACTTCATCGATATCATCAGAGTTTGGGTGGAGTCGCCGGGGGCCTGCAGCTCGATGACGAGTCAACCAGCAAAAACCCATCGCGTAGAACTCATGCGGCGTTAGATTGTGACACCTGAAACATACCCTCCCATGCGAAAAATAAAAAAATAAAAAAATAAGGACTTCTGAACGTGGAACGTTCGATAGTTCATCACATAATACCAAGACTTGTAGCTGACTAGCTCGGTGGTGGCCGGCGGAGAAGGAGTCCGGGGTAGCAGTCTGGCGCGAAATTGCTTTTCAAGTTGGCCCGGCCGAGTCAGGATTTTGGGGCGATTTCTTAGCGGATCCGCTTCTGGAGTATCCTCTTCGGCCTCTCTCTCCATGTCAGCTAATTTGCTTAGATTGGGAAAACCCCAGCCTGCCTTGCCTGCCAGCCCTCCCAGTCTAGTCATATCCTGGCTCGATGACTGCCAAAATTATAATTAATTGGCAACCTCACAATGCCAGAGATTGGGTGGTGCTGGAGGAGGAGGAGGAGGACGGATGATTTTGTCCACGGCGGCAAGGTTCGAAACCGGCCAGGCCACTTTTTTCTCGTCGTCATGTAGACTGGCATCTGTGACACGTGTGGATGGAAGACGAGAGAGAATAAGATGGATGGCAACGAGGCTGATGCCTCCCGCGGTGGATCCTTGTTCCGTCTGGTCTTTTTACAAACCCAGGTCACATTGGCAACGCAGGGCACGTCCCATCGTACAGGAGCCCTTGTCGATGATCATGACGATGGGGTCGAAGGGCCACTAGACCATGGCTCTCCAAAACCCTTCTGACTTCAGATGGTCTTAGACCGGCCCCAAAAGTCGGTCACCATTATCCATTGCAATCTCGCAGCAATTCAACACCGAGCCCCCTCCCCTCCTCAACGGCGAGCCGCTGTTCCGACGTACCAGTGACAGCGACGCTCTGCCGCTGATCTTTTTCTTCGACGTTCCAGCCCAGAAGGAAGAAGGGACCCAGGGACCACAGGACGATCGCAAGGAACTGTGTATGTGTGAACCTGTCTGGGCTGCCCGTCCCTACACGTCTTGCTGTTCATCCGACCTATCTAATGCAGCTATGCATGCATTCTTTGCCGCCGGCCTCTGGCGCCAGCACTTCCGAACACTACAGTTTGCTACCGTTGCATTGTCTGGCAGATTCTTGTGTTGAGAATTGGCGTTTCCGTGCCAGCACCTGCATATCCGCACCTACCCATCCGCTGCCGACCTGCTGTATCTCGGTGGAGGCCAGAGCTCCGGTACCTGGCATTAGCTGGCTGACTATCGCCCCGATAACTCCGACAGGGAGACGATCCAGTTCGCAACAAAAACATCCCGTCACGTACGGTGACGTATTTCGGATGTCCCTCCGAAGGATCATGCCGTCAAACTGCCATTGTCACACAGCATGCTTGACAACGGCCGGTGTCGTCAGCCCAAATGCCAAATAGCAATGCACAACGACAGGCAGTCTCCGTCAATCAATTGGAACATCGGCGTCCCCCAGCGACACACCACCATTACTTGGCTGCGCACCGGGGCTAACAGCTTTTCCGGAGACGGCGATTGGTAGACTGGCAAGCCAGCCATTCACCGCCCAACCTTACCTACCTCTACCTGCGGGCCTGTCGTCAGCACTTCGAATAGGTAGGGTGTCAGCGATGTCACGTCGACGACGTCCTGGCAGAAGCGTGCGGGCTTCGTACATAGCCGCTGTCTCTTCAGGCTCAAGGCAGAAAGATCTCGGGATGCCCTTGAAAATCTGTCGGCTACGATTGGAGCCTAGGACCTGGAGGACCACAAGGGCGAAACTGCCGGTCAACCAAATGGTCGATCGCCATACATCCGGATCAACTTGACGGCTTTACGGGACCCCAGATTCTGGGGCGAACTCTTCAGCTCATCTATTTTCGGAGGACAAGCCGAAGTCCACGCCGTCCAAGAATGCGATTCGTGCGCATTCTGGGCCGATCGGGCTGCTTCTGGGCCATCACGCCAAGTCGTCCAATCAATGCAAGACGCCGGCGCGCTTTTGACTTGGGAAGAAAGATGGCGTATTTTGCTGACGATGAACGAGGAACGCTCCCGACATTCCCGTTTGTAACGAGGCCAAAGGCGCAGAGGCAAAATCGCTGGGTTCTCTGGATCGACATGGGGAATACGCAGTTATTTTCTGAAGCCACCGCGATCCCATTCGTCGGGTCCAGTGGTGGCAGTTGAGCCCGACATGGTTGCGAATGCTCGGTTTCGGTTTGCTAGGTACCACTGCCGATTCCGCTTGGGGGATGGCGGCATTGGATTTTGGTGAGAATTCACGAAAGCACAAGGGCAGAAGCGACAAGTACGCGTTCTACCCACCCGGCCCGTGAGATCCATCGTCACTGGGTCGAATTACAGCTTCCAGAAAGAGGTAAGCATGCACATCTGGTGATTTCAAATTCCAAACATTATCAATGTGCTCGTGGGTAGCTTCGCTCTGTTCGGACACGTGGAATGACCCGGTCGTAACTCCCCAAAATGGGTTCAAGATCTCCATTCTAGCTACGTATCGAAGAGTGGCCTACAACAAGAGCAACGAGTAGACACGCTTGCTCCGCATAGATCACTCCATCCTTACATAGGACCAGTAGTCGTAACGTACATCGTCGCTTGCGAAGGTGCAATGGAAGAAACCGTCTCCACTTTGGCAACTAAGCTCGGATTACGCACGTGATTTCCCCTGGACGTCCCGTCTCAAGTTGGCGTGGCACCGACAGTAACGTTTGACAATCGTGTGTTGGTAAGCTCCTGAACCCAATTGTGGGATCCAACCGTTTCATGTTTCCACTTACTTGATATTCCCATGTATATACACACGTGTCTCCCGCGGATATGAGTACAGCAATCCTAGCGAATCATCGAATCACATCAAAATGGGGGATATGACGCTGGATGTCGACATGAGCGGCTTTTTCCTTCTCTTCGCCACAATATGCGCCTTCTTAGTACCCATCGTGCTCATCCTTCCGCCGGTGCCGCTGCAGAAGAGCGATGCGCTGCTGCAGACGCACTCCAAAGCCGGCCTCGCGCCGTCTAAGAGCAACCTCAAGAGCCAGCTCTCACCCGAGCACAAACCCCGGGATGGCCAAGCCCCCAAGATCCAGAGCCTGATGATCTACCCGGTCAAGTCGTGCAAGGGCATCGAGGTCGCCAAAGCCAAGGTCGTCCCCCAGGGTCTCGAGTTCGACCGGCTATTCACCTTTGCCCAGCTCAAGAGCCCTTTCCCCGTCGACGTGGACTCGGCCGACGAGGAGGGCGCCCAGCATAAGTGGGAGTTCATCACGCTGCGCCAGTTTGCGCGCCTGGCTAACGTCACGGTGGAACTGTGGCTGCCTGACGAGATGAAGCTGCGCAAGCAGTCGCTCAAATCCCAGGAGACCTTCCTAATTATACGTTTCCCCTGGAAGGAGCTCGGGTGGCGCGGGTTCTTCGCCACGGTCGCGGCCAAGCTGACCAAGGGCTGGAGGGCCGAGGCCGAGATCGAGGTCCTACTGCCAGCGGATTTCCCGACCAACGGGGAGATCAAGGATAGGGGGTACACGTACGAAGACGTGAAGATCTGGAAGGATACTACGCGTGCACTTAACATGGAAAAGGAGATACCGGAGGAGCTCCGCTTGTACTTAGGGGTGAGCAACAAGATGACCCTGTTTAGGATCGACCCGACGCAGCTGCGAGAGGTATATAGGTGTGCCCCTCGCAAGGATGTTGCGGGTTATCAACCTGTCATGGGATTTCAAGACGCTGTAAGTTGTGCTTCTATGCGAGAACCCACCACGAAAGGCAGGAAAGCTAATGAAAACCGCAGTATCCTCTTCACCTGATGAACCTGAACAGTTTCCAGCAATTCAACTCCGAAGTGCCAAAGGACGCAGATCTAAAGCAATTGGACGTGCGCAGGTTCCGACCAAACATCCTTAGTCAGTTACCGAACCTCTATTCGGCGTTATGAAATCCTCAAACATTCTGACAGAAAATACAGTCTCCTGCTCTGAAACGTATGACGAGGAAACTTGGAAGCGAATCCGGTGCAAGTCGGGCACTTCCGGCCTCTACAATGACGCCGTCTTTCAAATCTCGTGTCGCACTGTTCGGTGCAAACTGCCCAATGTCGACCCGGTCACCGGAATCCGCCACCCAATCGAGCCCGACAAGTCCTTGCGAAAGCTGCGCAGTGTGGACGAGGGCGCGCCCTTCAAGGGCTGTTTGGGCATGCAGGCCACGCCGCTCTTCGAGGAGGGAGCGAGCGAGGAAGAGATGGAGGGATGGATAGGAGTTGGCATGACGATAGAAGTGGAGCAGAGGGGCGAGCACGTCTACGTGACATGATCGCCGGAAACACGGGCCAGGAGTGGTGTTTACATCTGATTTTGGTCATGTACACCTGGTATTTACGGACCTGGGGGACCAGACTAATAGACCAAAGTCGCATGTTAGAAGGGATGATGGCGATTGAACGTCGCGCAACTAGGTTACATCGTGTAGGTGCAAAACGCAAATCCCTACTTCCGAGCTTTGTATAAGACCAAAAAATATTGCTCCCGGACAGGGATGACAGGGGGCGTAGATCAAAATCAAAACCTACACGCAACGCTATTTAGACGATATTTTGAGAACAGAAAAATGGAATTTCTTCGTATAGCGTTATCCATCCCTTGAACAGAGACACATGCATACGAACAGCCAGCCTCTCTCAGTAACCACGTGCTTGCGATGCTTGGTATATCCCGTAAACCACACACACAAAGTCATCATCACTCATCACACATGTTATCAAACAAAACACAAGCAAGCCATATCCAAATCCAGCCTAGCTAGCCCAGCCCGACCCTACCAGACGACCGACCGAACAACTGACCCTATATACGCACAGGCGCGAGCAACGCGCAGCCATTTTGCCAATTTACTTGAAGTCCGCCGCGGTCAGGGCCTGCACCATACTAGTACCCTCGCTGAAGCGGGTGCGGAAGATGCGGTTAGCATTCTGGAACATGCCGTCCTTGAGACTGACGACGATGAACTGGGAGCCCTTGAAGCGCGTCTTGATGAGGCGGCCGATATTCTGCGTGTGTGACAGGTCGAGCGCCGCATCTACCTCGTCCAGGATGTACATGGGCGCTGGCTTGAACTGGAGGAGGGCCATGATGAGGGAGAGGGCTACTAGCGATCTAGTCGATTGGTTAGTTGGTTAGTTTGGGGTTTATGCAAAATGTAATGCTGGTAAGAATTTGAAGTAATATGGAGACACGTACCTTTGTCCACCGCTCAACTCGGTCAAACTCTGCTTCCACACCTTACCCAGACACACCTTGACCTCGAGGCCTTCGTTGATGGTCTTGCCCTCGGGCGGGTCTAGCTTGGCAAAGCTGCCACCGGGCAGCAGCTCGGAGAAGATGTTGCCGAAGTCGCCGTTAACCTTTTGCCAAGTCTGCAGCAGGGCCTTCTTCTTGTAGTCGTCAAGGCTGATGATGGTCTCTTCGATCTTCCGCTTGTCGCGGATGACCGTCTTCATCATATGCTTGAGGGACACCTCCTTCTTCTCGACGCTGTCGATCATGTTCATGACCTTAGGATTGATCTTCTTCTTCATGCCTTGGAAGCGGTCCGTGAGCGTCTTGAGCATCGCCTTGCACTCCGAGATGTTCTGGCCCTTGAAGTCGTAGGGTGTGCCGGTGCGACCAAAATTGTCCTTCTCGTCGGCGATCCACTCATGTTCTTCTTCCATGTGCGCCACGAATTGCACGGCGTTCTGCTGCTCCTTGTGGAACTTTTCCACCGTGTGGCCAAGCTTCTGCATCTCGAGACCTTCCTCGGCAATGCGCGAGTTCTTGGATCGCGTCGCTTCTTCCAAAGCGTGCAGTTCCTCGTCGAAGAGTGTCAATTTGGCCCGCTCCTCGTCGAGCTGTGCTTGCACATCGTCGTGCGTCTCTTGAAGAACAGACTGCTTCTTGACAAGTTCTTCGATCTCTTCTTGTTGGGACTTGATGGCTAACTCGACCTCCTGTAGCTGCTCTCTTGCTGCTGCAAGGTCGCCCGAGACCTGTTCCGAGTCTAGCTGCGCACTCTGCAGCTCTTTTTGCAGACTCTTCACAGCGGTCGAGTTCTTCGCCAGAGTTGCTCGTAGCGTGTCCAGGGAGGCTTGAAGCTCAACAAGCTTAGAATCCTTGTTGTTCTCGAAGTCCTTCATGTCCTTCTCAATCCGCTTGGCATCCGCACTGGCCTCGGCTTGCCGCTTCTTGGCCTCTGCGCTGCTCATTTTGAGTTGCGCAATGGTCTCCTTCATGTTTTCCACCTCCTGGATGATAGAAGAAGAAGAGTTGCCACTGATCTGTTCTTCGGCAAGCTTGATCTCGTGGGTCTTGAGGTCGAGGTCTTGTTTGATCTTGCGCGCCGAGTCAAGCCTCGACTTCTCCTGTGCTATTTTCTGCTGAAGGCCTGCCAGACTGGACTGGGCATCCCGGAGCTGGCGGTTGATTTCGTTCAGCTTCTGCAGCGTCACCAGGACACCGCTGGAGTTGGGAGCGCTACCGCCAGACAGGGTACCAGAGGGATCATATGAATCACCTTCAAGGGTGATACTTCTCATCCGTACGTTTGGGTCAAACGTCACTCTCTTGGCCGTCTCCGCGTCCTGACATATCAAGGTATTGCCAAATACGTATTCCATCGCCGCTGACACTTCATCGTCGTATCCAACGAGAGACAGCGCCAGATCCACCTTCCCAGGAGCGATCTTCTGTGCCGTAGCAATAGTTTGCGCCGACGCCTTGAAGGCTGAGATCTTGTTCAAGGGAATGATGGTGACGCGTTTACGCAGCTTACCGCCCTGGAGTAGCTGAGTACCCGTGACCTCGTTGTCCACAACGACATTGTACAGCCGGCCGCCAGCGCATATCTCCAAAGCAGTGCCCGCGCGTGTATGGTCCTTGTCGAGGGTGAAGAGCTGTGCCACCAATCCCTTCACCTTGGAGCGGTCAAAATTGGGTGTGGGATCCGCATAGTTGAAGTCGATGTTGGCCACTTTACGCTTGAGCCCGTCAGCTTCTTGCCGCAGAGCCCGGATTGTTTGCTGCAGCACCGACTCCTGCTTGTACATTTCTCCTTCCTGGCCGGGTTCGAAACCAAGCTTGGCTAGTTGACTTTGCAGCTTCTGCGACTGTATCTTCAAGCCCTCGATGTCCTTGAGAAGGCCTGCATTTTGCTCCTTGGCCTTCTTCGCTCGGGGTTCCTCTTCTTTGACACGCTTCTCGAGATGTGTGATCTTAAGCTTCGCTTGTTCCTGTTCAGTGGCGGCAGCCGCGGCCCGATTCCTGGCGTCCTGGAGTTGGCCTTGGTAGCCACTTTCTTGACCTTCCTTGGAAGCAACACCGGTTTGTAGAGTCTGCAACAATTCTTCCTTGGACTCGGCTTCCTCGCTTTGCTTCTCGTTCTCCTCCTTTGCTGCGTCATATCGCGCCTTGGTCCTTTCGTATGCCTTGGTCTTCTCCTTCAGCATCGCCTCGAGCTCGGCAACGCTCTTCTGCACAGAAGTCTTCCGCTCTTCCTCCTCAGCTTTGCTGGACTTCTTCAAGTCCATGACTGTGGCGAGTCGGACCAAATCGTTGGAGTGCTTCTTGACCTCATCTTCGAGGGCTTGGGCCTTACCGCCCTTCTTCAGCTCCTTGTCCCGTTGTGCCTTCACCCTCTTCACGTCCTCTTCAAGATGGGAGATCTCGCCTTTCAATCGTGCTGCCGAGTCCTCGAGATCCTTTTGCCGTTGTTTCTTATGCTCGAGATCAGTCGCTGACTGCTGCAGCTTCTCTTGGTATTTCACGTAGTCGTGTGCAACTACTACCCTGGTTAACCGCTCGAGGTCGTTTTGGGTTTGTTGGAAGTCCAGGAAGGCTCTCTTTTCTGTCCGCAGCTTTTCAAGTTTGGGCTCGATCTCATCGCGCAACAGCTCGGTAATCTCTTGCAACTTCATCTCCTTCTTCCCCATAGTTTTGAGTGCTTTGTCCCTCCTGTCCTCAAACATTCGTGTACCGGCCGCCTCCTCAATCATGGCAAGGATCTCCACCGCCTTCATGTTCAGGACCTTTGTGATTCGACCCTGCATGATGAGAAAGTTGGGGTTGTTGATATTCAGCTGCACCGATTGAAAGAGATTTTGCACCGTCTGCTGCTGTGCCCGGTGGCCATTGATCAGGTACTTGGACGTGCCCCCGAGGACAATCTGTCGGGTGACACTAATTGTCGCATATTCTTCGAAGCCAATAGGTGACTTCTTCTTGTCTCGATTGTCGAAAACGATGGTGACGCTCGCCTTCGTGACTCCTGCCTGTCCTCGCTTGTAGATCAGATCCTAAGGGCAGTCAGCAGCCGTCGGCATTTCCTCTCCCTCACCAAGCGCCGGATCTCCCTACCTGTAAGTTTTGCGCACGCACTGTCGTCATGTTTGTGATACCGAGGACGAAGCAGATGGCATCGAGAATATTTGACTTGCCACTACCGTTCAGGCCCGTAATCGAGTTGAAGCTCTCATCCCTGCGCATTATCAACATTTGCACGTTGCGTCTGTCATCCAAGGCAGAGGCAGAGATAATGGGAAGGGAATGCGCACCATCCTGAGATGACCGTCCGTACGGCATACGACTTGAAGCCGTCTATTATCACCTCTGTCACCCTCATTTTGGCGGCTGCGCTGGAATCGCAGGGGAACTCGTTGTCGTAATTGCGCTCTGGAAATGGACATGTCAAAACGCCTTTGGATCCCTCTCGCGCAAACTTAAGCGTGTATGTTAGTAAATAACATGTAGCCAACCAGAAGCGTTTATCATAGGTGGCGTGCACAGGCCAACAGCAACAGCCGACTCCACCGACTTCAGTGCCCCGCACTTTGACAGTTTCAATGCTCCCTCATTAACATAGTATAAGATCTCGTCGCTCTCACATGAGCTACGGCATCCAGGGAACAATTGAGAAGAGCGAAAAGGATAACAGGCTCGAGTTGGACGCTGCAAACATTGTGGGTCACAAATCAAACCAGCTTTTGATATAACCCCAACACCACATGAATATACAAAAAGATGTGGAGTAGCTGGGAATCGAACCCAGAACCTTTTCCATGCGATGACGCATGCTAAGGAAACGTCATACCACTCTGTAATTAGTTAGTGCACGAACTTTACTAACCGAGCCAGGGAATATACATACAGACCACAACCCCGTGTGTAATTGGATGACAACATTGGTTTGTAAACGACATTATAATGTAAATCCTGATATAGCGAATCGGCACAAAGCGATTCCTGAGTATAGCGGGTTGAAAACGGTGTCCACTAACAAATGCCATACAAAATCCGCATTACCCAGGACCTTATACTACCGAAATGCCTCGACAACGATCCATAACGTATCAGCAGAAGCTAGCTCTTCGAGAGCAACGCCAGCTACAGCCAAGGGCTTCAAATCTTGACCTCAAGCAATGGTTTGAGAAGAAATACGACCAACCAGTCTCTAACCTTATCCGTCTCCGACATTTAGCATGGCTGGCTATCTGACTTCCATCACCGCCGATCGATCAAGTCTCGCGTACACCATGGAGAGTGCGGAAGGATCCGTCAAGAAGCCGAGCAAGAGACGGTTACAATAGGTCAAGTCCTCGGCCATTATTCAGAGAAAGATATCTACAACTGTGACGAATCTGGGCTCTACTGGAAGCTAATTCCTGACCGAAGCCTTTCGACGAGCTCAGTCCCTGGGAGAAAACGAAATGAAGCACGAATAACAGCTTACTTCTGTTGTAATGCCGACGGCTCTGATCGATTACCGCTCTGGTTTATCGGTACAGCAAAAACTCCTAGAGCCGTCCAAGCGGCAGGAGTTCATATTCAATTCCTGAATATCGTATGGAGATCGAACCGTACTGCATGGATGACAGGCCCTATCTATGAAGAGTACCTTTATTGGTTCGATAAACGAACGAGAGGCCGCAAAGTTGTCTTACTAATGGATAACTTCTCTGCACATGAACATGCTGTTTGGAATATCAACGGAAGCCAGCTTCGGCTCCAGAATACTTTATCATATGGCTTCCGAAATTTAACCAGCAAGTTCCAGCCTCTGAATCAAGGGGTTATCCGTACGTGGAGGGCTTACTGGAAGCGTCAATGGCTTATGTTTATGCTTGAACAATATGAGGCTGGGAGAGACCCTACTCTAACGATGAATGTCCTTCGTGCTATTCAATTGGGTATTCAATTCCGAAAGTTGGATGTATTACCAACAACACTCCAGAGTTGCTTTCAACAGGCTCTAACCAGTAATGAGAAGCCGGATCCAACATAACTTGCTTTTATTGTAGAAGCCGATGTTCATCGTCACCTACAGTATCTAGAGCAGGCCCAATTTGTTCGGGAGGTAATGGATATTTCGAACGTTCTTAACCCTGAAGGAGAGACTGTTCGGGATAGCCTCGAAGAACTCGACGAGCTTATTCTAGCCCAATTTACCTCCCCTCAAAGAGAAGAACAGGATGAAGAGTTGGTCGTTGAGCCATTTGTATCAGTTCAAGAAGCACTTGAGGCTTTAGCTAAGTTACGCCTATATCAGGAGCAATCTGGAGGGGATACAGGCTTGATTTTACAGCTTAATCGACAAGAACGACAGCTTAGGGTAGTGAGGGAAGAGTCTTTGCAACAGAGCGATGGTCGCTCTTTCTAAGGTGAAAATCGACGGCTTGGCGTCTCTGGATGTAGCGGATTTAAAAGGTTGGTTGTCGGAATTGATTCGCTATATGCAGGGTTTACTGGATTTGTTTAGCTGGTCCGATTCCGAAAGTGAAAATGTTGGAACGATTCATATCAGTTTCTGGTGATGTATGTTTTTTTTAGGCTGAAGTCAAGTTCTAATCCCGGTCGGTATGTGAGAAACCGCCTAGGTACAGTACTGATCGTTCTTGGTCAATAAAACGTGATGCTGATCTACTGTCCGAATGGAGAAACATCGCGTTCTGAATGAGTGAACCACAGCATATTGTCGAGACCGTTCAGTCAGAACATGTTACAGCGGGATTGGCAATGGTCACAAACCTTAGCAGAATGTCGCAGGTGTTAATCACCAAGTAGTCGTGCTTTGGCCTGGCAGAAATCCTGGAGCCGGAAAAGGAGCGGACTTTCTTAAATGTCGTTGCGAACGCTCTGGACCTTCTCTAGGATTCCTCCAAGTTTCCAGGCTGCACATGACGGATGTCTTCTCTCTATTGTGTTATTACTACTGTGCGGTTCTCCAGCTTCGCTTCAGTTACTCAGCAGCCAACCCAGTTTCCGTGTCCCCAGGTTCCTTGCCGGCTGAGTTCAACAGTCAATTTACAGAAGGATTCACAAGAGCTACTGATTGACCGACGCCATGGTACATATGTCAACAAACCACCAACATGTCCTAGAATGTGTATGAATTTTCGTCCTGACGGGAAATCGTTCTACCTAGCAAAACGCCGTGTCGCCGCGCAGAACAGTTGCTACCCATGTGATGACTCTATACAGACACCTCATATGCGGTAAATCCGCGTGGGGCAGCTGGGGAGAGTGTATTGCAAGCCTGTCATGAAGCTCCACAGCCTCTGGTCGATTGCATTTGCAGATGCATTCTCGCTCCGTCTTGTTGTGTCCATCTAAGCTCGCAAGTGCCGAGATGGGGACCAGGCCATGATTACGCCAGCACATCAAATGCATAAGTCTAGTTCGTGGGGGTTTCCATATTCGCCTGTCTTTGGGCGATCCAGCCAGCCAACCAAGAAACCCTGGACGACACCCCTATACCTGCTCTGGGGCGATGATGCTCAACTTGGAGAGTAAATCAAGAAATGGACAATGTTCGTACAGTTCATCCGAAGGGCGCAACGTTTATGCAAGGTATCCGAGTTCGTCATCCTCCAAGCGCTCGAGATACTCCTTGTCGAGCAGGATCTCGATGCATTTCTTGATGTCAGACACCTTGGGCACAAAACGAGACTTGATCTGGTTGATGGTCTCGCTGACGAGCTGGTTGTGCTTCATATTTTTGCGAGCCTTCATGATACGCACAATTGCAGACTGTGAATCATTATTAGCAGAGTCACAAATCAACATCTTGGGTTCTCTTACTTGTAACAAAAGCTTGCGGTCCTCCTCGATAGTCTTATTAGTCTCGACCTCCTCCTGCTTCTGCTCAGACTTGGTAGCGACGTTGAGGTTCACGCGAATCTTCTTGCTCTTGAAATCGTAGTTGAGGTGGAAAGTTTTTCCAGGACCAGGCTTGCCCTCGGGCTTCATGATTAGAACCTTGGCCTTGCACAGAATGGCGATCGCCGCGTCCATCGTCTCACTGGTCAACTGGGTCACAGAGGCGATGTCTTCATACGTTTGTGCGTCCTTCTCGTTGAACAGGAGAAGTATAGCCATCTGGTAAACGCTGACCTGGAAGGTGTATGGAGTTTTGGAGTTCTTGCAATAACTCGTCTTCACCTCACCCTTGCAGAGTTGCCACAGCCATGTCAACTTGCGACCTTCGTGCTTGTTCTTGTAGAAGCGGGAGAATCTGTCGAGGTCAGCCTGAACGTCGGCGGGCGGGTTGAATGTCGTGTTCGGTGGTGTGAGGGGCCAAAAACTCGTCCCCAGTATCGAGTACGAGGAGTCAAGGGGCTGCCTCTCGAGGTTGAGGCCCTTGGTGTGCTCCTTGAATCCGGTGTTCAGGTCCTTGGAGATCTGCATATCCTGGAACATGCGCTGCAACTTGTTCGTGTACTCGAAACCGCATGCTTCCTTGAGTTTGCTGATCATGCTAGTCTCAGCGTCGTCAGACGAGGAATTGCTGTGGACGAGACGTCTTGCCAGCATTCTCGAGTAGAACTTCTGGAACACATCCTTGTCCTCGATGTACTTGAAGACCGTCATTATTTGCGTCAAAGTGGCGTCGAGTTCTGCTTCTTCGACCCCGGTACCGCTCTTCCGCAGCAGCACATCTGTGTACTTGGCTAGAAGCTCTGGTGACTTGTTGGAGCCGACTTTGCAGATTTCATTGCGGTTGACAAACTCCCTGCAGGCATTGTCCAGGGACCTGGTAAACTCGGGCTCGTCTTGGAAGGCGTTCTTGACCAGAGTCTGGTACTGCGTGTGGATTTCGAGGAGAGCGTCGACATAGATCTTGGGCTCCAGCTTCTCGGCGTCCGACGCGACCTTTGTCACAGCTGTTAGGCCGGCGTTTCGAACATGGGCTTCGAACTTCTGCCTCAAAGGTGCTAAGCCATCGTTGATACGGTTCAGCAGGTTGTACATGCGTTGCATGTCAGCCTCTCGGCTGTTGTCCAGAAGAACCTGGAATTCATCTCGCAGGATGTTGGCATGATCCCCAATAAGGGCGGTATTGCAACACTTCCTGAGAGGTCCCGTGATATCCATGTGCAGGAACAATGTAACCCTCTCCTCTTCCTCAGACAGTCGGGTCTCGGCCTTCTTCATGTACTCGACCACACTGTTCTCGGCAATGAACTGCTTCGATTCGGCCTCATAAAAACTCTTCGTGGCCTCGAGATACGGTCGCTCGAAGTGATATCTGTATACGTCCAGCGTCGACTTGGTGGAATCATGCTCGTCCAGACCCAAAGATACAAATGAGTCAACGACTTGCTTGATTTGGTTGTGCTCGATCGTCTCGCCGTTTCTTTGCTTCTCCACCATCTTTAAAACGGCAGCCATGACCTTCTCCGACACCTTGAGGAAGAAGAATTCCCGCCATTGAACTAGGTGAAGCGTGTACACATCGTAAGTGTGCTTCTTGCCCTCGTCCATCTCGCGCTTCACCCAATGTCGATTCAGATATCGGAAAAGGTGGTGGATGTACTTGGCGGCGACGGTGTATCGGTCCCATTCGCGGATGTAAAAGGCGAGCAGCGCCTCGTCCGTGTGTGCTTTGGACTGCTCGTATAGACCCTCGAGGTGGTTGTTCAGGTACTCGATCAGCTTCTTGTAGAGATCTTCGCCGAGCAGATGGGCTGTTGAGGGCTTAGTCTTATTACTCTCAGCGGTGGGGTGGGTTTCGGCGTTGGTATACCTCCTCGATGAGCCTGGCCAACAGCATTGCTATTGCCCAGACCTACGGCCTTCTGTGAGGTGCAAAAGTTGTGAACAGCGGTATAGATACCCATGTACTAGTGGTGGCAGATAAGTAAGGCCGCTCGAGGTGGTGTCCATGGAGGCCGAATACATACTGTGCCCATGTCCATACCATCCTGCAGGTTGATCATGATCTTTGTAATGCCCACCTGAAGATACTCCCATCTACGTAGTGTTAGTTACACAGCCAGTCGACAAGGGGCGCCTGGCACGCCTGACTTACGTCGCGGCGATGTCCTCGCGGTTCGGAGTCGGAGGCATCGCGCCCTGGACGCTCCGGGTCGTGGCGACGGCCGACATATTGAAGGTGTCTGGATGGAGAAATGCTCCCGGGCGGATAGTGAGATGGTCGCCGGCGGGCAAAATCGCGGCGCCTCGAAGTGATGTCAGATGAGACTGGAAGGCGCAGCTGTGTCCGTCAGAGTCAGAATGGCGCAAAGGTGGCTGTGGGAATAGCTCGCGTGGGGGAAGCGCAAGATCGTCGAGGCAGTCACAGAGTAGATGATATCTGTATGGAGTGGTAGGTGCTGACGCGCTTTTGATGGTTTGATGGAGGGGGATTGGAGATGGCAAGTGGGACCTGCCGCTCCTCAAAGGCTGAGCCCTCTGTTGGTGGTGAAAACAACCAGAAACGTCGGCGAAAGTAGGATTTTTGAAGGCAAATATAAGCAGGGACAAAGGAAGAAACCTTAGGACTCTCGTTTACTCGGGAAAAAAAGCCCTGTCTGTTGTCTTCATCAGCTTCGGTTGGTTTGATTTCGTGGCAGCGAGCGAGGCAGGCAAGCAAGCATCTGTATCTGTGCTCTCAAGGTCTGAGGCAGTCACGCTGCCTAGCCTCAATTATGGGAGACTCACGCTAAGCCAATATCGAGCTAGCGTCAGGTTCTGTTACGAACCACGTACTTAGGTACCGGGCCCACCTTCAATTGTTACCATAGTAAAGCATTCGAAGAGTTCCAGGGATGATAGTCAACAACACCACCCAGATGAAACGATTTGATCGACTTTACTTATCAATACGTAGACTACGACTGCTGCACCGAAATATCGGGTTATCCCATGTTATTTCTGGTTCTTCGTTCATATTACTTTTTGTGACCCAACATTACCTGATACTCAAGTTCCATTTTGGTTAACCCCTTTAAACGTTTGTCCGTTTTAGAATACAGCTTGGCGCCTATCTACTTATCCTACCGCAGCTTGTGGTCATGAACACTTCATCTAGGGAGAACGTGAATAAAGCCCATCTTGGCCTCCCTCTAATGCATTCCGTCCTGCAAAAAGTTACTGACCAGTTTTGCATTTTGCAATTCATTGTAAGATTTCAGCAACTCTCTAGAAGCACTTGTTTATGTCGGCAGCCAAGAACAACCGTTAACGTTGCAGCATGTCTTGAATGATGCGTTAGTTAGTGTCGCCAACAATATCATGTCCGTCCACCCTCTCATCAGTCATTAGATGGCTTGACGCAAATTGAAGCCATTACTTGCTACTATCCATCTCAATAATCATCATCTAAGGGATTAGAGATATTAGCCAACAGGTGATTTGCGCCAAAGTGGCAAGACAGATAAGTACGACGGGAACGACAAGGTATTCAGTAGTATTACGGTATGTTCAATTTCGGGGAATTATAGTCATCCCAGAACAAATACATGGCTCAGAGATTTGCAGATCAATCAACCCGGCATCCCATTGCTCCATTGTCCCGATATTCGTTCCATCATTAGGGTATCTTATTGTTGTCACGCCCGACCTAGTTCTTATCAAGGCGCTCGACCAGTCTAAAAAGACTAATTATGAAGTTGGCAATCCACGAGACCAAGCCCACCAACATGAGGGACGCCATGGATCTAGCTAGGCTTCTCTTGAGAGCAGCGTCCTCGTAAGTCCTGTATATGAGCGCCTCAAAAGCCAAAGCCGTGCCGATTGCTTTAAACGTGATGAAGAACGTGTCCAATAGAATGAGCGTCATCTTCGCAAAAGGCGAACGTAAGCCGATTGGGGCGCCCCTTACTTCGTCGTACATCATGTAGGCGATGTACGGGATGGCAATGGCATCGACCGAAATGGCGACAATGGCCTGAGATACCTCTTGCTGCGACTTGCTCGGGCTGTGGAACTCATCTTCGTAGATCTGAATGGCCATACCAAGCGCCCCAATAGATGTTGCCATGACAACCAACCGGAACAAAAGTGGTGTCAAGAAATGATGGAGGACGAATTTTCTTAGTCGTGACGCGACGGGGTGTGTCTCTGGAGGGTTTTGAGACTCCAATTCTGGGAGTTGACGTGTCGATTTCCCATCACCAAGGTGCAGCATCTCGTCCAGCCGCTCATTGCTGATAATGACGCTCTGGTCATCTCGGCTGCGGGGTAATGCTGTGGATGCGATATAGTCCCGATATCGAGCTCTTTGGTCGACATGTGGAGGCCGATAACCTGTGCCTATGATGGGCGGCTCATTGGTCCGGAGATGGTCCCATCGCCGGCCTGGGCGATCAGCCCGCTTCTTCATCCAGTTTGGCTTATTAGACGTGGATCTCAGCTGCTTAGGCTCAACCCATGTCTCGAATCCGTCTCTCGAGACACGTCGCACCAAGCCGGGCGGGGGAGCGGCATCAACGACGGCATTCTCGCGCTGCTGACAACGGAACTTAGCCGCGTGAGGGTGGGCAACCGCAACCTGGGGAGGGATGGTGTGGTTGGTAGATAACATGATGGGGGCACTCAAATGATGAATCTCCAATGACTCGGTGTGGAGAGTCTCGAAACCCAACAAAGGGTGATGCGAGCAGTTGTCCGTTGCTTTGAGGGACTTGATGTGACGTATCTTCAAAGCTTGATCTTAACAAAGTGTACCGAAAAAAAGGATGCTTATTGGATGGTTCGATACTCTGGCCTCCAAAGGCGTACCAGTCAAGGGGTGACTGATGCCTCAATACTCGAATCTCAATAGGCCTGCCAGAGAGAGGAGGATAGGGGGGGGGCGTTCTCGAGTCTGAGCTCAGCAGACGTGCTAAAGAGGGGCTGCGGAATGCTTCGAGACTCTCAACCTGTTGTTGGTGTGTCAAAGAGAGGCTGCGGGATGCTTCGAAAGTCTAATTAATAAGGAGACGTGCCAAAAAAAGAAATTGCGTATGTGATGCCTCGAAAGTCTAATCTCGAGAAACGTAGATGTGCCCAAATGTGTAAAGCTGGAGAGCGGGAAATGGATATGGTGGATGCGAAAACCCTGAGGGATGAGGGCCCACGAGTTCATTTCGAGGCAACTTCCACGGATGGAAGTTGCGGCTTCCACTCATCGTTGCGACTGCATCCTGAGTACCTGGAGGTAGAATTCGGCGCAAAGATGGCCATCGCCTGCGCAGCGCGTGGGTTGAAGTAAAGGAAGTTGAAGAGGGCGCCTGGCTGCGCTGTGGGTTTTGAGGAGCCGACATGAAAGCGCTTGGATCATCATAGGGCCCAGCTTTCAGCTCATCTCCAAAGGCTGGTTGTTAGCGCAACGAAATACGTCACACCCTGGTCCTTGCTGGAGCCGGGATATTGCAATCCATCAAATGCGACCGCGTTCTCAAAACCTCGATGACGACCTCGGGACTTTAGCGTTTCGGCCCCATATCAACAACTCTTCACCATGATTGCGGCCACGTGAGCTTCCACCATCTTTTTCAACCTCGAGACTTCGAAATGCGGCTCTATCTCCTTCCCATCTCGACGCGGCGCACGCTTCTGTACTGCGAAAAGTTCAACCAACCGACGACCTCGAAGAAGAACCTGACAGACAAGGTAACGTCCCGGGCGACCAAGCTGTGGGCAGACTGGGAAAAGAAGGAGAACGGATGGCAGAAGTCGGTCGTCCGATACGGCAACAGCGCCTTGCGCAGGATTCCGTATGAGGAGTGGGGGCTGAAGTCGGTGCCTCCTCTTTCCAAGAAGAGGAGGGATGAAGAGAGCAGCGGTCTAGAGAAGGTTAAGCTGGTGTACCCGGAAACGGCAATACCTACGACGAAAGCCGCCGCCATGCTGCAAACACTCGCAACCGAGCGGCAAGTGTTGCACAAATCCAGGTTACTTTGGTGCTTTGTTGGCATGCCCATCAGCGCACCTTTCGCCCGTAAGTAACAAAATCCTTTTCTCAGACTCTTCCGCCCCACCGGCTGCCTCAGCGGCAAGAGTCGCCTAATCAAGCTCGGTTGGGAGGCTTTATTGGGCCGTGGCTGAGATCCCCCCATTGTCTCATGGCCTGTATCAAGAAATGTTGATGCTAACTTGAATTCACATAGTTGTACCAGTGTAAGCATGAAATGTAGGGGTGCGTTGCTGTGAATGGCATGGCTGACCCGAGATCGATAGAATCCCTAACCTTCCCTTCTTCTACCTCGTTTACAGAGCGTGGTCACACTGGCGCGCATGGGCAGGCGGCAAGCATATCCAATTCCTCATATCGAACAACCTGCTGGCCCTAGCCCCGTCCCCCGTTTTGGATACGATATACCCGCCCCCGCTGCCTTCATCTGCACCCCTGCAAAGTCCCAATGCGGTGGCAAGGGGCCCAAACGAACAAGACAAAACGGCACCCAGCGATGACAAGACAACTGAAAAAGAAGAAGAAGAACAGCTGCTGCTATCGCAGGCGACTGGGAAAGAACTGGTGAAAGCCTTGGATCTCCCTGACCTCGAGGTAGAGATAGAACGAGCCATCTGGCAAGTCGAGAAATCTATCCGCGAGGACAAGGAAAAAGCCGTCACAAAAGGCGGTCAGCCAGTGTCACCTGCGGAGAAGCTCGCAAATAAAAATAAAAAGGAGTAGTCGGGAACTGGCGCGGTGGCATTGGTGATGATATATGATGATGATGATGATGATGTTGTGTACTAGTTATGAAAGCATACGGATCACAGAGGAGCGGTATAGTAGGAAAAAGGAAATGAGGTCGATCGACTCGTCTCATTCGACATTGTATAATCAATCAATTTGCGCTGCCACACCGGCACAGAGCCAACTCCACCTCACCCCAATACCCGGTTGGTTTATAGTGAAGTACCACGAGAACGCATTGCTGATAATAGACCTACAACACACAGAATCCCCGCGGCCACCAGAACCCGTTCCTTGGTCAATATTCTCGAGCGCCTCGGGGGTCTGTACGCGTGCTCGGAGTCATATATAGGAACCGTTCCAAATTCTTCGCAGCTGCCGACCAAGGCCTGTTTCTCCATGTCCATCATCACGATCCCAAGCCCCATCTCGTGACAATTTTCGTCCACTATGCCCAACCGTGAGCAGCCGTGCTGGCCGTCGTCCACAATATCGGCCTCCTCAATATTACCCTCACGGCTCGCGATGTCGGGCTGGTTTCCGAGCGGTGGGGATAATGATGCGGGAAAGGGAGGATAAGGGCCGTCCAAGACGGCGTTTCGCTGTGTAACATATGCCGCCGCCGCTTTCTGACGCATGAGCCGTTGTGTAGGACTGATGGGCCCGCCGGGTTTCCGCACCGCGCGGGGGCGACTACTCGCGCAGCGTCCGTGTCGTCTGGGAGCAGGAGTCTCGAGGCTGAAGGGGTTCAGAGGCGATGGAATGGCGGGCGTGTAGGCCTCTTGGGATGGTGATACGGGTGAAGACATGAAGACTTGGTCTGCTAACGAGCAAGGCTCAAATACACAATGTCTGTTATTGCAGTAGTAGAGGGTGCTTGTTTTTGGGGCGATGGATCTTTACAAAGGAGAAAGACGGTCTTTGAGCTCGGGTTAGCTGCTGTCCAAGCGGCAGTTAGCTAGGTATCTTGGCTGTTTTGAGCCAGAATCTAGAGTAAGGGTTCTGGACCATGAACATTGATGGTAATTAGAAGAGTGGCGAGATCAATTGCCTAGTGAAACAGAGTGCCGCGCGTGGGAACTTGAATTGTTTCTGACAGCTCCATGTCTTACATGCCCTTACATCGCGTTGGACGAGATCCAAGGGTTGTCGTCCGTTGGTCCAACAATTGCGAGCTTTCACGAGATAAAGCCCCCTTGCTTGAGTACTCCGTACCTCGTAAATGACAACATGTCAAATTCGGTTAGGTCCCACAGCGAAATTACATGTTTGCAATGATCTGCTTCTTGTGAACCCTTTCAAGGGTTGTGTAAAGGAGATGTCGGACTGGATGGGATGAGTTGCTCTCGGCCTCCGAGCTACAGGTAAATTGGTACTACATACCAGCAGTGGGGCCGCATTCTAGAGCGCGAAATTGTGGGGGGTTTCCGAACCTCTGGCTCCCTTTCTGCTCGTACCGTGGTAGATCTCCATGATCTCCCACGCAGGAAAGGAAGGTTCCAAGGGTTGACGGGAGAGTGGAGTTGGTTCATCCAAACTGTTGCAACGGCTCTTCTTGGACCGAATGACTGACACCTTGGATATATTCCGGCTTATTGCTTGATTTATGAAAGTAGGGAAGGAATATCTCGGTGTTTCTCTACGAACCAAGTCTCAACCAAGAGTTTTTGTCTGGTGCTGGACAGTCTGAGTGGGCAGTGGCTGCCGAAATCTATGCCGAGACGATAGGCGATCCGCAGTCAAGCATGCTGCATCTACACTTTGTTGCACCAAGTCGATCAACCGGGGTTCGGGAAATCTGTAGTTGTTACGCGTCGGCGCTAGCATCGTCGAGATAGGTCGATATTCGTGAGTTTGAGGCTTTGGCTAGAGCTTGGCGTGCTGGCTAGCTCCAGCGGGAAGTGTTGTCGGAAACTTGCTTCCGGCCGAGCTTCTTCGTGAGGTTCGGGCCTGTCTCATGCATTTCGCATGGGTCTGGTTCAGAGACTATGGCGTACAGGCACTATTCAGCAACTCGTACTCAAGACTTCTTAAGCGTGTAGCTTAATAACTGCCAAGCCAATCCAGCTCTTTTTTCTTCCTTTTTTTCTTCTGTTTTTTAGAGAAGAGATATACTGTGCTGCAGCTTATCTTTTCAAGCGTCAAAGAAGACAAGCAGGTCGACCATTCTTACTTGTCGCAATGTCTGAATATCTGAATGCTTGCCTGTGTTTGTTAACGAGTCAGTCGTGTCCGCTTCCGGATTTAGTTGCCGGCTATCGCTGGAAGTGCATATTCAGAACGACCTTTTACTTCTCATCATCTACGTACACGGTTTCAATGCCATGCCAACCGACACTCGTACGACACCAATTTACTGGTGCTGCTACAGCAGGGTTTACCCTGGCATGACAGAAACAATTTTCTACTATGTAAGTGGCCATCATGATCAACAACTGGGCTGACAACAAAAGAGCCTCGCACAATGTCACCACGACCGAAGAGCATCAACGGTTCAAACAACGGACTAGCCTGTCCAGAACCCAACAATGGCACCAAGTCCTCTGGTCTTGACTCTGACCGGTCAGACACCATTCGCAGCATTGGATTTCTGAAACTTCGCGGGAAGCAAGATGACTTGCCTCAGTAAGAAACCTACACCTAGGTTCTTGACGGACACTGCAGACTGAGAAAATGCATAGACGTTGGTGGTTCGCCTCCACAGCCGTTCCTCTGTTAGCTGCAACCCAGGGGCCCCTTTCCAATGTATTATCGATTGCTGCCTTGGTCACTCCGTGGAGAGTTGCCTTGCCCAATGGCGGTGAGCTACCTGAGGGTGTTGACGACGCAGGCATTGGTATCGAGGACCCCAGATGGTGCGTGCTTCTGTCAATTCGAGGACTTAGAGGAGCTTTGTACCAACAACTTGCAGGGAAATCACACTCAATGGCGTGTCGTTGGCTTGCGGGTTCGCTGGAAATCTTCTCCTGCTCCTTCACTTCGTGGGCAGGGTTCGTTACATCGTTGCTCTCCCACTTTCCATCATCTTTTGGCTGTTAGCCTCTGGCATTGTGAGTTGTGGGCTTCCAAGCCGTCTTTGTCAAAACTTACCCTCGTAGCTTATAACCATCACCTCGTGTCTCAGCATCTATGATGCGGCCGTACCGCCTGGTGAGATTTATTCGCAGGGATATTGGCATGCCGTCCTGGCATCGATTACCTATATGCTCGGCGCTGTTATGCTCATTGTCAATATGGTCGGATACCTTCGAGGACACTATCCCCAGAATTTTGTTCTTGACGACGATCAACGCACTCTGATCTTACAAACGATGCAGTTCATGATTTGGCTGGCCGGAGGCGCTGCCATATTTTCACGACTTGAGGATTGGAGCTATGCCAATGCGTTGTATTATTGTGACGTGGTGAGTTGATCTTGTCATCCTGGAAATCCAAGTGCTATTAACACTGGCTTCTCGACTATACTTACTATTGGGTTCGGGGAATTCGCACCGACGACTAACGCAGCCCGGGGCTTCCTCTTCGTGTATGAGCCAATCGGCATCGTCTTCCTCGGTCTTGTAATCGGTAGCATTACCCGCTTCGTGTCGAACATATCAGCAGACAACGTGATCAAGAAACACCAAGCGCAAAAGAGAGCGAGCACAATCGGTCGCAGTGTCACTACCGAGAACGAGCTTAGAGAACGACTTGGCTTACCTCCCCAGGAGTCACCCGTCGGGCTCTGCCGCAACTCTCTAGCTACGTACGGCAACATCAAAGTGGTCGGCCGCACAGTCACGTTTCGAGAGCACAGGACCGCCGTCGGGGCCGAAGGGCGAGGTGGTGCTGCTCACAGTGTGCGCCCCCTGAGCCGGGACGTTAAGCCGAGAGCCAGATCACAAGGGCAGAGCGCATATCATAAGCGGCATGAACGCAGGCGGAAGCTTTTGCTTTTGCCGCATGAGAAGGACCGGTTCTATGCGATGCGGGAGATCCAGGATGAGACTCGCAGGTTCAAGCAGTACTGGTCGCTTGCTATTGCCATATTCGCCTTTGCTCTAATTTGGTTTCTCGGAGCTCTTATCTTTATGCTTGCCGAGGCACGACTTCAGGGAATGACTTATTTCGACAGTTTGTACTTCTGTTTTGTGGCGCTTCTGACGATTGGGTAAGTTGGTGTCACTTCGACCTAGAAAATGGTCCTATCTTGAAGATATCTACACTCCATAAGACCTCCGCAGCTCGTCTTGTGGCGTGGTTCCATGGGATCAATCATGCATACAACCAGTCATGTACTAACCATTAGTCAAATCAATCCAGATACGGCGACATTAGCCCACGGTCCAACATCGGCAAACCCTTCTTCATCGTTTGGTCTCTCATCGCCGTCCCCTCCCTCACCGTCCTCATCCAAGAGATGTCCTCAACCGTGGCCGCATCCATAAACCGCGGTACATTAACCCTAGCCGACTGGACCATCCTGCCTAAGAAAGGGGTAGTCAAAGCATTCCTGGACTCGCACCCCCGCCTCCGAGGCTGGCTTACCCGCCTAGCCGAGAGGAGAAAGCCAAAGAAACGTATCGAGGCCGGCTTTCAGGTCCAAGATCCGGATGAGGAGACCGTTGCCGGCACACCACCCAACGAAGCGCAAGATAAGCATTGTGAGGGAACAGAACGAATCGAGCCCCTTAAGGAATCTCATGCCGAACCTGAAGACTATATCCACAATCACGAGGGTCCCCATGACCTAGCCCGCCAGCTCGCCACCACCATAAAGCGCGTGGCGAAGGACCTGCGTGTTGAGCCGCCCAAGCGGTACAGCTTCGAGGAATGGGTCCACTTCACCAAGCTGATTCGGTTCAGCTCTCCGCGACACAAACAAATGACGAGGACCGTCCCGGCGGTCGAGGATATTGACGACGGCGAGACGGAGTTGGTAGAGTGGGACTGGATAGGGGAGGAAAGTCCCATGTTAGCGGACGTCAGCGAGAGCGAATGGGTTTTGGACCGGCTGTGCGAGAGTCTGCATCGTTATATGAGGCATGTTGGACGGGTGAGTACTCTTAGTTCTGCTCTGAGCTGTCCCTTTGGGGATCAACGAAGGAATGAATAACATGCTGATTTGGCTTTGGGACGGGGCAGGTCAGTAAGGCTCGACAGCAGAAAGGAAATATAAGGGAGTCGGAGGAACACGAACAGGGACCATCTTCTGAGACTGATGTCAAACGACGCACTAGAAAGGAGAGTGAACCGTTCCCAAGAGATGGGAAAGGCACTACAAGCGGGGCTAGTGCATGATGGCCAACCAGGGAATTAACTGTCCTGAAATTCTGCACAATCCGAGACTCAAGGACATGGTTAATGCCAAACCGATTTCAAGCCCTTGCCCGTGTGTGGATAGTTAACCGCATGGTGAAGAGTCGGTTTTGCACAATGCTATGCACAAGAGCCAACGCCGTTGAGGCGTCAAATATGTGCGATTCGTACAGAAACACCTCATTGTCCGAGCTGTCGAAGATGATTTTGCTCACGTCCTACCAGCAACGGATTTCAGGCTTATTGTAATACACAAATAGCATGCCTCGTTATTGGCACATCTGATATGAGTAATGCTAGTACATGGCAACCCTACGATGATAGTTATGACAAGAAGCGTAGCAGAGGTACTTCAGGGATGCCATTTTTTATCATCAATCATTAGACTATTATCAAGACATTGCAGTTGAGGAAACTCAAATCAACTTTTATTAACCGTCAACCTCGGTGTCCGGCAACGCCTGCCTATTCTCTCAACTCCCGTCATCGATGAGTACCCGCCGCTCGTCAATTCGGAGGCGTTAGACGGATCCTTGCCTTGCTCAAGTCGGGACTATGGGTATTTCGTGCGAAGCCGACGCCTTCCTCAGGGCTTGGAGTCATGATCAGCTGCTCCCAGCCTGCCAGAAATCGTGGAATAAAACAACCGTTGTGTCAAAGTAGGATACGTATATATGGATTAGGTCATAATCATGACTAAATCGCAATGCCGTGATTCTGCAAGTTCCGAGTTCAACAAGGCAGCTGGTGGGTCGGACATGTAAGAAATTCGTGACATGGTGATAGTACAAGACAGGTATCCCAGCAGGTCAGCACTGACCTTTGTCAGTCAATATGGTCAGTTCGCAAAGGGTTGAATGAGTACCGCTGAAGCACGTGTTCATGAAATAGGCAGGGATGTGGACACAGCATCGGACCTCTCTAGCTTCTCTTCGAGACGTGGCTTCTTGGACGGAGGCTCATCATCAGCGTCCACGGTCTCCGTTGTCTCTAAGGTCACCGTGGTCTCTGATGCCTCTATGTTCTCCATAGGCTCTATAGGCTCCATAGGCTCTATAGGCTCCATGTGCTCCATATGCTCCGCGGGCTCGACGTGCACGACGTTCTCCACGGGCCCCATGGCCTCGAGCCGGCCATCGATATTTTCATTGGCGTTCTTGAGATCCTTAAGGTCCTTGAGCTCCTGGAGCTCTTGTTCCATTTCGTCAAGCCGTCGCTTCAGGATGTTCTCTCTCCTGTGACTGTCCTCAAGGTCTCTCTGCGTATCCTGCAACTTGCGCTGGGCTTCTTCCACGTCTCGGGCCGCCATCTCTGCCTGATGACGGTAGTTATCCGAGTTCTGTTGGTCTTGCTCTAGCTGCGTCAAGCGGCCACGGTACAGCTCGTTGATCAGATCAAGTTCGCTGACACGGGTTTTCAGACTCGAGTTGGCAGCGATAAGTTGTTCGTGGGTTTGCGGGATGTCGAGATGATGCTCGCCGTTGAGGGGCGAAGCCGGACGGCCAGGGGAACCACCTGGCATGGAATACTGGGGCACCGCAGGGGACTGGAAATGGTGCGCCTCCATACCCTGGAAGACTTGTAGATGTCCGTCGTACATGGAAGGCGTTCCCGTGCGCGACACAGGAGAATTCGAGTCGTCACCATGGCCATTAGACTTGTGCTGCGAAGCACGCCGTACCGCAGCCAGAGCTGCAGCCTGTGTCGCATTATCATGCGCTGATATGTTCATGCCATTGTGATCAACGTGGTTGGTAGGAATGCTTTGCTGTTAAAGGCAGCCATTGTTAGATTGCCACGTGTCGCAACATGAGATAGGAATTTGCACCAACCTTCTTCTTCATCTGCATGTCCGGGCGCATCGTCTTCACGCGATTTCGACTCTTGATCACGTCCGTCTTGAGAGAGATGGGTCGCGGGCGACCGTGGAGTTTGAGGAAGAGGCCGCAGGCGTTGCAGAGCACAGAGCCCATCTCGTCGCGACGCCAGAGGGGCGTTGTTGAGGTGCTGCAATTCTGACATGTCGGCTGCGTGGGTTGAGACTCATGGTTAGCCATGGCTGCGTTGGTGGATGGGTGTGAGGCCATCTCGTCAACAACTGTCGGGACTATTGATGGGCAGAATGATAAAGGGCTCCTAGCTGATAAGGTAGGAGGAAGGAGATAACGATCTGTCGGCGGACGTGAAATGGAAACTATCAGTTCCCCATCGGCAACTGTCAAAAAAATCGGGTGGCCAGTGCTTATGAAAAAATTTGTTGCCAAACAGGGGGAGCTGGGAGGAACGGTGGTGGGTGGAGACGGTGTTATCTCATCCGATAGTGATTTGACAGGAAAGTGCGACGCTTGTGTCCACAGATAGTATGTTGCGGAGTACCAAGTAGCCATAAGACAAAAACAAATGAAGTGCTGGACTTACCAGGTTGCCTGACGTGGTTGTGACTGTCGCCGCTGGAGAGGAGTACATCATGGCAGGCGGCGCTGCTGGGGTTGAGGCCGGCGCGTTGGCTCTGGATGAGAGGACGATGTCAGCTCGTGGTCCTTTTTCTGTTTGTTCCATGATGAAGTGGCCGGAAAGAGGTCCGGATGTGTTTTCCCAAGCTCGGCGCTGCCGGTCTTTGAAATGTTATGGGTGGGGAAATTTCAAAGTTCTCGGGCTGTCTTTGGTTGTCTTGGGTTCTTGCAAATATGGCATTTATTTGCTCCGGTTGCGAGCACCAAGACTTTTGGTGATTTTGGAAACGACAACAATTGAATACTTTACAACTCTCGAATTCCAGCCCATACAGAGGCATATCCCGTTTATGCAATTGCCTACTGCGGCTCCCGAAATTTTTCAAGACAACCGCTCTTGGCCAGGTACTTCCAGGCTCACCCCAGGGCTGGTAAATCTCTCCTCAATGTGTACGCACCTTAGTTGTGGTGAACTAGTTGCGGATCCCCCAGCTGCCAGAGCAGAGATGCCGGGCAACGAAGCTATGGCTTCGCTTGTAGTCGTAGACGTCGAGTTCGGTCGGGAGATGGGTTCAAGAGTTAATAAAGGCAATGAAGAAGGTCCGTCCTCCATGACTGATCGAATCGGCGGCAGAACCGGTGATGCAACGTGTGCACTTATAGGTATCGGAGCAACAATCGGTGGCAGACTGTTCCCCAGCGCGTATGTCAATGCGGAAGCCGTGACTGCGAATGTCGGAAGCCTCGAGTAAACTCGAGACCTCGGCAGGACTTAAGTTATTCGGTCGACTGAAAGGGGCAGACGCGAGTTTCGATCTCGGACAGGGAGTTGTCGAGTGACGGTTCAAGATTTGAGGCTCAGGACGAGGGCTAGAGAAAGCACCTTGATAATACCAACAATGCTACAAGTGAGTGTACAGAAAATGCCCAATGGGAGAAGATGCAACACCTTTATCGAAGCAAGCGCGCGGTGATAACCCAAAAGTCAACGAGCGGAAATGGAGGAGAAGAAGTCGAAACCCCCTTATTGAAGTCGGACAACATTACCACAACGCAACCAGGTATGCAGCTTATTTATCCTTGGCAAGGCTTGCGCTAAACATTATATCGAGATCCTAATGGGTAATTATCATTGGTTCAGGGCGCGAGATGCGCACCGTTGCAGCTATGCACAGCCTTATCCGTTACTAAAAGTATTTCCCACCCTGGTCTTGCAGCTAAGATTGTTCAGCTACTCGGAGTGCTCCCGTGTCATTTAACCCAGGCATGACCCACAGGGCTCTGAGTTCTTCATCTCAGCTCAAGTTCAGATTGAGTACCTCGGTTGACCACTTCTATTTTGACTGCTAGACATCGATTATATTGGGGAATAGATCAAGGACGAACTATACCCTTCTTCAAACTCCTTCGATGCCAAAAAGCAGCCGAATACTCGGTCAAAGTCTCTAGACATCTAGATCGAGGGAGCAAGGGTGACCACAATCCTCCACTTTCATCACATGACGCCTCGTGCTATCATTATTAGACTCCTGTGCCATTCATGTTAATGCTTAGATAGCTGTTCGGTCTTGCGTCAATTCGTGGTGTTACCGTGATTTCCTAGTTCTAAAGAAGTCGTAGCTGGGCTTATATCATGGTGTTATCAGGATGTGCTCTCCCGGCATCAGGTGTATCTACATCTTCGAGCAGGAGACTGGATTAAGGTGGTAAGTTCCTCCTATCTTAAGTTGCAGTACAAACACATAGGCCCCCTTGTTCCAGAATCCCAGCAAGGGTTCTGGCGGGGTTAGTTTGTGGAGACACTAGGTAGCTCCGACCCCCGACATCAATCCTGAGCCTGCCAAACAAATTTTTTGATCATCAACGCCAGCGGACTTGAAGACCTGAACCACCTGCTCACAGAGCTCACCTGCCAGCAGCCAAACTTTGCAGCAATGCCGTCTATTCATAACAAGGTACTTGAACTGGTATAATAATCTGCATCAGTCCAAGCTGATCTTTAGCAGGACAAACCGTGGGACACGGACGACATTGACAAGTGGAAGATCGAGCCCTTCAAGCCAACTGACAATGCCGCTGGACACTTCGTCGAAGAATCGTCCTTCGCAACCCTTTTCGTGGGTCTGCTCCGAGCGAAAACAGATTTCGAACCGATGCTAACAAGCAGTAGCCCAAATACCGCGAGTTCTACCTGCGCGAAAGCTGGCCGATGATCACGAAGGCTCTGGAGCGACATGGCATTGCATGCACGCTGGATTTGGTGGAAGGAAGCATGTCTGTGAAGACTACCCGAAAGACATGGGATCCTGCTGCTATTCTCAACGGTATGTGGCTCTTCGACAGGCAAAGCCTCCGGCGCATGTTTCAAGAAGGCCGGCATATCTAACACGTTAGCAGCACGAGACCTGATCAAGCTCCTCGCGCGAAGCGTACCGGCACCCCAAGCGGTCAGAATCCTGGAGGACGGAGTGGCATGCGACGTAATCAAGATCCGAAATCTGTGCCGCAATAAGGAAAAATACGTGAGCATCGAATCCTCGCGGTGACGGATCCTTCTGGGCTTGTTATTGACTGGCAACAGGTCAAAAGACGCCAGCGTATACTGGGACCTGACGGGAAAACGTTGAAAGCACTTGAATTGGTATGATGCCCTCGGATTGGTTGCAGACCTTCCATGTGGAAATCTTAGCTGACGATTTCTCTCCCAGCTGACTAGCACCTACATTCTAGTCCAGGGCTCAACCGTGAGCTGTATGGGTGGATTCAAGGGCCTCAAGGGTAAGCTACTCTCCATGAAGACTCTTGTGTGACCGTTAACCCCCTTTTAGAAGTGCGCCGCGTTGTGGAAGATTGCATGGCAAATGTTCATCCCATTTATTCGATAAAGGAGCTTATGGTTAAGGTAAGATCCCTTAGTCTGCAGCGATCAATTCTGAAGGCTGAACTAACGATACAAAGCACGAATTGATGAAGGATCCTACCTTGGTTAACGAAAGCTGGGACCGTTTCCTGCCAAACTACAAGAAGCGGAACCTAAGCAAGCGCCGTGTACCGTTCAAGGTTACGGACAAGGCCAAGAAGAACTATACGCCATTCCCCCCGCCGCAGGAGAAGTCCAAGGTTGACATGCAGATCGAGGCCGGTGAATATCACATTGGCCGCGAGGCCAAGAAGAGAATCGCAGAGGAGGAGCGCGTAGCGAAGCAGAAGGCCAAGAAGGAGGAGAAGAAGAGGGAACGAGAGCAAGAATTCGTTGCACCGGACGAGGGCGTCGAGCGAAAGAAGAAGAAGAGAAAGACCAAGACGGACGATGAGTAAGTGAATTGTAGGCGAAGGTCGTCTGTAAAGGTGGCTTCTATTGCTCCCTGACACTCTTGATACCCATGAAATAATGTAAAACACCATGAATACGCCATAACATTGTGCTCGTGATGTAAAACCAAGCACTCTCGACAGAAAGATGCTACTCTCTCGCCGTCATTCATGCCGCGCCGGATTGACGTTGCACATATATCGTTGGTATAACTTCCTTGGCCCTCCAGGCCGCTTGACACGACCTCACCCATCTATAAGCATAGTGTCATCTCCATCAAATGCGGGTCCCTCAGGCTCCGCCACCACACCTCGTCCACGTCCGGCTAGTAGTTCCCTCCTCACCTCGGGCCCAATCGTGTGATGCCCATGTGTCAACAACAGGTCCAACAAGCTCTCTCGTTGGTCCTCCGTTATCTCGGACTTGTACCTTTGCGCGAAGGCCAAGAGACATTGGTGCCATATCACGGGCAACTTCGCTTTTGTCGCTGCCTTTTCGTTGGTGAAGTCCATTATCTCACCCTCCTTGACGGAGGCAGGATCCACGCTACGGAATCTAAGGAAGTGAAATACGAGGGAGTCTACCACTTGGAATGGAAGAGCGTACTTCTTCTCGAGTAGAGTCTTGATAAAGAAATTGGTGGCGCCGCCGGCTTCGGTTCCATGTGCTGATACTTGCTCGGCGGCTATATCGCAGAGCCCCTTGATAGCGGCTATGCACTGGTGTTAGTATGTCTTGACCGGAGGGAAGATGATGGGAAACGTTTGGAGTCCAAGTACTGACCTGCCGAGTGTAATACCGGGATATGGGTCCGACTCAGGGGTCGCGATACGATCTTGGCCTCGCGTAGGGTGCAGGTTCCACTGGCGACCAGGGGAAACAGGAATCCCTTGAAGAACGAGGCGGGCTTGTAGAGAGCCTTCTTGAGTGCTTCCATCAGATGTACATTTAGTTGCTTCGTCTCGTGGATGTCATCTCTCACTCTCTCCAAGAGGATCCTTTCTATGAAACGTTGGACAACAACCGGTCGGTGGGAAACCCAGATCTTGGTGGCAGCGAGACAAGCGTTCGGCGTCCACTCATCTGGTTTCGTCAACTCGATAATATCTTCCCAATGCGGCAATGTCGGTAACATCTTGAACTGCAGAAAGGTGTCAGTCTATGCTTTAAGCCTTATTCGAGCGTAGGGAGCTATGCAGGCCATATTTCAAGATCAAGTGCTCCTCGGTCTTGACGTAGGCTAAGAGGGGCAAACGACTCTATGAGCTGCTTACAGGTTTGGGCAATTTTCCGCTGCGCCATCTCGACAGAATGATCCCGATCCTAGGCTTCGTTAGCGTGTAGGACTCTCGGACGAGGTCTCCATATATCATACTTGGTGAACACTTCCACGACCTTCGGTGGTAGCTCGTAGTCCTCGTCAACAGGTCCGACCTCTTGCGCTCCATCATCTCCCGCTTCATGAGCTGCAATCTTGGCTAGGATTAGATCTGCAAGATTTGTGTTTTCCCTTGCCGCCTCTGGTTCAGCACTCGATGGTCCGTCCCAGCCGTGCTCTAGCAGAGGGTCGTCGTTCGTTGGGAGAAACCTGTTGAAGGTGGCCAGTTCCTCAGGCTCAAGCTCTATCTCCTCAACTATATCGTCCACATCTGCCCAGGCGGCATCGTCGCCAAAAGCTTCGTTGTTGTCATCATCTTCCTGATCAAAACGTGTATCGAAGGTGAAGGCGTCCGTGTCGGTGGGTGGTCGTGGCGGCTTCATTTCGCTCTCTTCCATGAGCTCCCGCCCAATTGCCAGGATCTTCTTAGATGACTTTGCGTCCACGAAATTATCCTCGTCTTCGTGGCCATCACCCTTGGATTTCCGCTTCGGTGCCTTCATGCGCAATGGGCCAGTCGCCACCAAGTCATCCTCCAGTGGGTTGTGCCGCCGCGCACCACGCCCAGAGGTAGGTGTTGTTGCTTTCGGCATTGTGACTTATGCGCGCTTGCAATGTCAGGTTGGATATGTTCCTAAGCTGGCCGGCAAGGCTCGAATTGTCGCGAACTTGAACTTGCGACGACTTTCAGAATAATTTGACCGCTTTCCCTGCTGGCATACTTTTCTTTTTTTGGTGGGGCAGCCAAAACTTGGAGGGGCAGACTTTACTATGGTATCAGGGGATAATAAAACGAGTGGGTCAAGTCTCAAGCCACAGCCGCCAAGGCGCGATGTCCTGTTATGGAATAGCTTATTCTTAGGTACAACACAAACCAAACATCATAGTACTACCCGTGCCACGCCCCACTTATTTCGGATTCGCTTGAGCTCACCAACTTGGCCAGTTTTTCGACGCTTTCAACTTCAACCTATCCTATCTTCATCAATTTATCAGCTTTTTCCAATCGCAATGGATTCACAGCTACAGGAAGCCGTCCTCTACATGCAAGAGCATCCTCAAGCCAAAATTGCCAAGGTTGCGCGAGAAAGCGGCGTAAAACGCGAGACCCTCCGATACCGCGTTAAGCAAGCTGGGAAGACTAAAACCCACGGAGGACTCAACAAACTACTATCTGAAGCCGAAGAAAGGGCCCTCTGCAATTACATCGACCGCCTTGATAGGATTAATCTTGCGGTTCGCGTAGAATTTGTTACCGACGCTGCAAATACGATATTACGTGAGAGAGTCAAGGTTCTATCAGATCAGCCACCACCAACAGTCGGATCAAAGTGGACTACACGTTTCCTCAAGCGTCATGGCCACTTCTACGCTTCCCAGCGGAAGCTCCATTCAAACCGCCAGACTTCTGAAAACCTCGACACTACACGAGAGTATTTTACACGGCTTGAGAGAGTCCTCCGGGAAGAAGGAATCGATCCCTCTGATCTCTGGAATATGGACGAAACTGGCTTCCGGATTGGTATTGGTAAGGATCAACTTATCATCACTAAGCGCAAGAGGTCCCATTACTTCGGCCTACCAGAAAATAGAGAGACGGCGACAGCTATTGAAGCTATCTCTGCTGCTGGCGACGTAATACCAGCCTTCCTCATACTCGCGGGGACTATCCACTCGGCTCAGTGGTATGCGCAGGACCTTCATCCAGATACGAAGCTACGGCCGGTCGACACAGGCTATTCGAATAACGAGATCTCTCTCGAGTGGCTTACGCACTTCGAACAACACTCTAAGAAAACGCAGAAAGGTCGAAAACGACTATTGATCTTAGACGGCCACGGTAGCCACCATACGAAGCAGTTTATTCAGTACTGCAACGACCACGATATTATACCCTTCGGCTTGCCCCCCTATCTTACTCATCTCTTACAGCCACTAGATATGGTTGTTTTTCAGCCATATAAGTACTGGCATGCGAAGTCCCTCGATCAGCTAGTACGGGATGGATGTACCAATATAACCAAGCTAGAGTTCCTCTCAATTATCGAAGATGTACGCAAAAAGACCTTCAAATCGAGTACTATCCAGACAGCCTTCAAGAAAACCGGTATACATCCATTTTACCCTCATCCAATACTACAAGAGGTTGAAGAACGTGTACCAAAGACACTGTGAAGGTCAACCCTGGCAGACTCACTACAACCAGGTGACTTACAGCTGGAACACCTGCCATGGTAGTGTCAGATGGGAAGCCAATCATAACCCTTGTAGAAGCCCCGCCAAGCGTGGATGACTTAGTCGCGCTCCCTCAAACCTAAGTTGTCATCTTCTTTCCTTCGCTCCTTAGAGTAGAATCTTCGTCGATAGCACCTAATCGAGGTCTCTACCATCGACTTAGTCGCTTTGTTAAAGAGTCCCTCGTCAATGCGACCGAACTTGTACAGACTAAGCGCGATCTTAGCCGTACTAAGTACGCCAAACGTATATCAAAACAACGGCGCACTACGAAGAACTATTACCTTCAATCTGGTAGAGTTTTATCCGTTACAGAAGGTAGAGAGATGTTCAAAACGAAGATTGGAGATGAGGTAGCTAAAGCACAGAGAGTTCTCACCAAGTATCACCAAGGACTACGTAGAGTAGCTAAAAAGAGTTTTTTTGATGCCGCAAACGAAGCTAGAAGACGTCGATTAACAGGTCAATTAAAGCCTACAGATGTCTTCGAGACAGGCCTTGGTTGGCGGTTACTACGTAGGTTCTAATTGAAAGTTGAAATCCATCGAAAAACTGGCCAAGTTGGTGGTGAGCTCAAGCGAATCCGAAATAAGTGGGGCGTGGCGCGGGTACATAGTGTGGGATTGAGCGCGCCACAGTTATGCCCTAGGCTAAAGGCGGTGTAGCGGCAATTGTAGTCTAGTGGGGTCAGAACCTTCCCCAGAGTACAGAAAGCAATGGGTGTATAGACGGATAGATCAATCAAGACAGGATCTACGCAGAGTCATCAATAGAGGATTGAATCCCTCACATAGTACGTAAGTACTACTTTGTATGCCTACCCTCTGCAGTAATAACGTCTTGACAGCGCTTTAGCATAGAAGCTAAAAGCTCTTACAAGAAGTCATTAGGTAGTTCCTCCCAAGCCTCCTTGACTTGCCGATGAAGCTCGTCGTATGAAACAACCTCGACGTCGCCCCATTTATCCTCGATATAATCCTTCATCCAATCCCAACAGGCCTCAATAGGGTCCATAACTGGGGATTAGGGAGGCTATTTAACGAGCTAAATACCTCATTCCCGGACGTCTCGTTTGGTCGAAGCAGAATTATACCTAGGTGCACCATGTTGCATCAGAATAAGGTCTTCCCCTAGCTGCTGCTTGCAAAGCTGCGTCCATATACCGATAACTGGGACTGTATGTTGTTAATATGTTTCGGCATTTATTTTGCCCCAGTTCTTTTCCCAGAATATCCCAGAGCCCATGCTGAGTCCAGAGAACCAGCCCCAGGACATCCAAACCCCGTTCCGTTCATATTTTTCAACTATACAAGTTTCGTCCCAGGCCTCGTCGATGCGTCGAATAACGTGTTGCTTTCGACGGTGGCCCTTATGGATCCAAGTCTCGTCAGTCTATAGGACCTTTGCCTATGCTAATCGGCAAAAGGTCGATTAGTTTCGCTAATTGGATGTTTGCGCTGCCGCAACATAACGTTTGAATCCGAGGCGGCGGAGTTTCTCACGGATAGCGTATTCCCTATCTAAGTAGTTGAAGAGGACAAGAGCTAAGTCTAAGAATGTCATTCGCCGATTTTTCTTAGATGGCGTAATGAATTCAATGAGTTCTAGTTGCTGCTGTTCGCTTATTTAGGGGGGGTGACGAGCTCGAACGCCTCCATCAGCCGAATCGGCCTTAACTGCATTACGAATTTGGTCTTTGGTAAGCTAGTAGCCTTCTGGATTTGCCTATAGCTCATCAAGGCATCAGAGCGGAGGGTCCGAACTCGTTGACTTTCTTCAGCAGTTAATTGCTTAGTGCGGCAATCCTTTAGTCGAGCCATCGTATAGAGGTGTCAGAGTGCCAAGTGCAAGACGCCGGTGGGGTGCCGGTGGAGCACCGGTATAGGGACCTGCGAGTTATGGCCTTATGTGGAAGTCTTGGTATATTGAGGAATCGGAGGAACTGGTGCTCTTCTGCTCCGATATACGGGCTCTGGTTATCTATGTAAGTAAATATATTTAAATTATACTTACTTTTCATATATATTTATTATCTAAACATTATTATGGATAATAAATAATATTTTTATTTTATTTTTAGGTATCTTGGAGGAAGATAGGAAGAAGGTTAGAGATCAATTAACTACTCTGGGCACCCCTACCTGAGACCACCAGTGACCACCCGGTGATAACTAGTAGGGACGCCTGCTACTGCGGCCTAGCCGTACCCTGACAAGAGTGCAAAGAGTGCAGAGAATGAATGCGAAGTGTGGACAGCGTCAAGCGGGGTACAAAATTCTGGTTTGTACCTTTCTGATACGCTTGTGGCGTTATACCTGATCTGGTATGGTGTGCCACTAGGGCTGCCAAGGAGTACCTGACAGTGTGGTTTTACTTTGGCCTGATACCACGGTAGATCTACTGGACTCCCACATCCAGTCGCTCAACAATACTTAGACTCCAGAAATTTTGTGGCGACCCGCGCGACAACGCACAACAATCAGCAAGATGCCTACCGAACTGGAAGAGGTATTCTAAAACCAGTCCGCATATTTGTCGTGTTAATGGCCTAATCGTAGAACAGTTGGTTGGCTTCATAGCTAGTCCCAATCCACAAATAAGATTGCTTGCCACAGAGAACCTAGTCCCGTATTCGACGGCACAACCAGAAATATTTAAGACCGAGAGTCTCCAACCCATCAAGAATTTGACATTCTTGGTGAAAGACCACCCAGTATGGGATTCATGCCCTGGGACTTTGGAATCTTAGGCGTACTCACTCAGATTGCCAGAAAATTGCCGAACATGCTGTCACCATGCTCATCAACCTCTCGGCGGATCGCGACGTGCTCGAGAAATTGGCAACCGACGACAAGTTTCTAGACGTCGCTTTCAGATATGTGACTGTAAGTCTTCAACTTTGCGCCTGGAACAAGCTCGTTTTACTTGACGTGACAAGGCACCGAACTAATGCGTCAACGCCATGCAGAACGCAGCTGAGCCAAACGCGAACCTGCTGTCCATGCTCCTAGCGAATTTGGCCAAATGGGATGCATTCAAGTCTATTTTAAACAGAAAGCAACCTTCACCTAAGGAGCTCAGTTCGGATGATCTGGTTATGAATCAATTGCTCGATATCTTTGTCAAAGGTGCAGAGGGGATGTACAACAAGGCAGCTGACTATGATCATTTGTCATATCTATTTGCTGATCTCACGAAACATGCCGAGTTCCGTCACTACTTCTTAAGAAGTCAAGAATACGACGGAGTGATTCCCTTGACGAAGCTCAAGGTCTTCACCGAGCACAAGTCAGATGTCCGACGGAAAGGGGTTGCTTCTACCATCAAGAATGTCGCCTTTGACATTCCTTCACACCCGTCCTTCCTGGCTGAGGATGAGATTAACATCCTACCGTATATCCTCTTGCCTATTACCGGAAACGAAGAGTATAGCGAAGAAGAGACAATGGAAATGCATCCCGATCTGCAGTTGTTAGCCCCGGACAAAAGCCGCGACCCGGATCCCAACATCATCCAGACACACGTGGAGACATTGTTGCTTTTGGCGACCACCAGGGAAGGGCGGGAGCTGATGCGGGATATCCAGGTGTACCCAATCATTCGGGAAACCCATTTACGAGTCGATCACGAAGGTGTGCGGGAAGCTTGCGACCGGTTGGTGCAGCTTCTCAAGGCCGACGAGGAAGACTCTACTGAGAAAACACGTGTCGAGGAATTCGGTCAAGGAACTGCCCTGGAGGCGGAGGAGGAAGAAGATGAGGATGCCAGGATCGTGGAGGTTTGATGGCGCAAGGCAAAAAGCAAACCTTGCCAGACTATTGGCTCCGAGGCGGCGAAGAACGGCAACCCCGGATCGAAAGCAGCCAGCCAGACCCTGATGCCAGTGGTATGCTCAGCTGCCAAAAAGAGCAAAACTATCTTCATTATTGATGGCAGGGGTGACGGTAGAATCTTCAAACAGCGACAAGGGCCAAACCGCAGATGTGCCTTCGGGTCACGTTAGTATCCAGCCTGGAACCCTGGAGTAATATACAATTCAGCAGATGCCATCCTAGTCCTGCCTCCAATAGTGTCATTTAGTGCAGGACTAAACGCTCCCTAGGATGAGAAGAGTAATGCAGCTTGGTCGCCAACAGCGTTGGTTGGTCTTGGGTTAGAATTTTCTCAGCTCGCCTTCTGAACTTCCGACAACCAGGGCCATTGGAACCGCCTCTGTGGGCTCGGCCTGCCAACTTCAAATCCACGTAACTATTTGGAACCTCAAATGGGCCGTGGCCAGATCGGACCGTTGGGAATGGGTCACAGAACGCGTGATGCAATCCGGGCCTGTAATTGGCTGGGGATCGACACTCCAGCTTATTGTCGCACTCAAAGAGACACCGAGTTGTCCCCGTCATACCTCCTGTGATGAGGCGTCTTCGCAATCATTCATGGCATTGTATGTATTGGGCCAAGAGTAACACGAAGTATGCAGAAAGCTTGACACATGCTAAGCTTTGTGGTCGGCCTTAACGAGCGGCCTTAGCGTTGGGGTACACACCGTCTGAACAACCCTGAGTATGCAGACGATTCAGGCAAACTTACAACCATCGATAGTTTGTGAGAAATCAGAGCCTTCCATTTTACTTTCATGATTGATACTATTTTACACTTGCAGCCATGTGGTATAGCTTTGAGGTGATCCTCCGTGTAGACAATATAACCGCGTGTTTCTGTCTCCGGTTGCACTGAATAGATTTGGTCGATATGCCTTTTGCAAGCACCGAGGACATAGTTACGAAACACGCCCGACGTTGTGCCCCAGTCACCGCGGAGCCAGGGTCAACTAGCTTTTCCTCACTAGTCTTGACATCCCCTACTCGATCTCGAAAAACGGACGAATTACATTATCAAGTCGCGACACGTTCCGCCATGTCAAGCTTTAAGCGGTTTCCGGTGCATCGTATTTCTACAGCGGCGCATAAGATAGTTGGCCGCCAAGGCGATGCCAGTTACCAGCAACGTTCTCTGCGACTTCCAATCGTCGACAGTGACGAATCCGAGGTTGCATTATACCGACTGGATGGAAATTCTTCGTTGCTTCGAACTAGACAAGTCTGATGCCGAGTTACGTCGTCAGGTCTGGAGTCAGAGTTGGCGTCTGAGTACAATCTTGTCCATCCCTTCCTTGTGTTGGTAATCTTCAATGAGTTTCTCGGACCTCGCGACCATCAATATAGACACAGCAGCCAACCGATATTCCCAACTTTTGAAGTCATCCTGAAGTGACCAGTTCTATGGGCGCAAACCTGTTTCCAATCCCAATGGAGCCTGTTCCCTGATGAGCACAACGCCCCTCGCCAAATGCGTCCACCAAGAGAGGTCGGGCCTAAAGCGCAAATACACAAAATCATCCTATGTCTACCCAAATCTAGGCTCGCTAATAAGTCCCCAAACCAAAAACCCAAGTTCCACACGCGGTTTCGGTGTTAAGTAAGGTGCGAGCAGCTCACTTATAGCTAGCTTATGAGCTCTCCTCCCGTTCCCATTGGCAGGCGACCTGCTGCGACCTTACCCCACGGCCTGATTTAGAGACAAAATTATTTATAGTCCAGGTCACATCCTGTCCACATCGGTATTGCCTGTCGTCGACCCTTTGCTTCTTGGTGGTCTTATATATCGCCGGGTTTCCTCTCCTTCCGCCTCTACACCATTGGTGCCGATCCATCCGCCATCTTTCATACCCAAACAACAGACACACAACAAATAAGAAGGACGCAATGTCGGAAGCCTTTGGTACTTCTACAGGCGTGCCAGTCGTCGCGACGACGCACGGCGGCAACGCAGCCTGTAAGTCTCATGCCATCTACTCCTACGGTCCTACTGTTACTCATCATATCGCCAACGAACAGACCACAATTTCCACAACGATTTCGTCCACATACAAGACCCCAATGAACGCCGCCGTCTTGCTCTTGCCGAAATCGACAAGGCCCCCTTCGGCTGGTATCACGTAAGGTCAGCACTCCCTCTTCATCTCTCAAGATAACCAGACCAGACCTAACGAGCCTGTAGAGCCTGTCTTGTAGCCGGGATCGGTTTCTTCACCGACTCATACGACATCTTCGCCGTCAGTTTGTTGACTGCTATGCTTGGCATCGTCTACTATGGCGGCACGATGCCAACTGCTTCGGATAGCGCCATCAAACTCTCCACCTCGGCCGGCACTGTTGTTGGACAGCTTCTCTTCGGTTACCTTGCCGACCGATATGGTCGAAAGAAGATGTACGGAATCGAGCTGTTGATTATTATTTTTGCCACTGTTGGTCAAGCTCTTGCATCCGAATCCCCTTCGGTCAACATCGTCGGCCTTATCATCTTCTGGCGTGTGCTGATGGGGGTGGGCATCGGTGGTGACTACCCCCTATCGAGTATCATCACATCCGAGTTCGCGACGACCAAGTGGCGAGGTGCCATGATGGGTGCCGTTTTCGCCATGCAAGGTATTGGTCAAGCTGTCGCTGCCCTGGTCATGATCTTCGTCACACTCGGCTTCAAGGAGTCCCTCTCCCAGTCTCGAGGAATTAGCGAATGCACGGGATATTGCGCCGTCTCCGTCGACAAGATGTGGAGGACCCTGATTGGCGTTGGTGCTGTCCCGGCTTGCATTGCTCTCTACTACCGATTGACCATCCCGGAAACTCCTGTAGGTGGCCCCGTACCCCCCTCCTATGACAGCTACCAATTACGTCTCAGCGATACACCTTCGACGTCGGTCGCGACGTTGAGAAGGCTGCCAATGATGTCCAGGCGTACATGGCTGGCAAGCACGGAGGCAACCCCGAGGAAGTGGCCCGAATCCAAGCACAAAATGCGGCTCATGAAACGCTGAAGGTCCCCAGGGCCAGCTGGGGCGACTTCGCACGTCACTATGCCATTCCCAAGAACGGCCTGCTTCTCTTCGGGACCGCTGCCTCCTGGTTTGTGCTCGACGTCGCCTACTACGGTCTTTCCCTCAACACGGCCACAATTTTGAGCGTCATTGGGTACTCGAGCAGTTCTGCGAACACCACGTACGAATTCCTCTACAAGACGGCCGTGGGAAACTTGATCGTGGTCTTGGCGGGTGCCGTTCCCGGCTACTGGGTCTCTGTCGCAACTATCGATACGCTTGGCCGGAAAACCATTCAATTGGGTGGTTTCATCATTCTCACTATCCTTTTCGCCGTCATGGGTTTTGCATACTACCACATAAGCACCACCGGACTACTTGTCATCTACGTTCTTGCACAGTTCTTCTTCAACTTCGGGCCTAATATGACGACTTTTATCGTGCCCGGAGAAGTGTTCCCCACCCGCTACCGATCTACGTCGCACGGCATCTCCGCCGCGTCGGGCAAAATCGGCTCCATTATCGGCCAGGGCGCCATTGCCACTCTGCGCACGAAGGGGTACGTGGCCGGCTCTAAGAACAAGAACCCGTGGATAGACCACGTGCTCGAGATTTATGCTTTGTTCATGCTTCTCGGCTGCTTCACCACTCTCTGCATTCCCGAGACAAAACGAAAGACCCTTGAGGAGCTTTGTGGAGAGGAACAGCCTGTTACTGCCATGTCATCTTCGAGCGCTGGCAGCAACAGGGTCATTAGCCACGACAAGTCTCATAATAAAGCGTCCGGATGATGGAACCTGGTTCTGGAGAAAGAAAACACACCACCGTCTGCTTCGGTAATTTCATGGGAGACGCCTTGCTCAGCGATTTGACCTCGATCAAGAAGAACAGCAAGGCACTGGGATATATAGCTAGAACGAAGACAAACGTACCGCCCACTTTGATGGTGTAGTAGCTCGCATCCCCCTTCCACGGGCAGTGCGTGTGCTGGTCCGTCTTGGTAAAGTACTCAGACTTGACGGAGCTGGGAGGAAAGTAGACGTTGCCTTCAACGAACTCGTAGGCGTCGGTCTCGGCGACGACCGTGCTGTTTACTACGGCTTTGGCGTGGCCGGACGGCATATCAAGAAACTGCAGAGGTTGCGATGGATGGCTTTCGGGTAGGGTTGCTAGATTGTTGGTTTAGAACATATGATCTCGACAACTGAGGCTGAGCGGGAACTTGCGGACATGAAGCGCGGCTTCGTTGGCGTGGGGAATCGAAGAATAAAAACGTCTCGGTTACTTCTAGATGCCTGAGATGTAATGCGGGGTTATCATCACGTCAGAGCGGCTTGGATGACTAATGATCTGATGTGGAAATCCGATATATCGACTTTCGAGCCGGTCATCCATTGTCGACTAGCTGGAACTCTAATAATGATGCTGTGTAATGTGTCCAAATACACTGGCGGCGCAGTTCGAGGCGTAGCTCAGGTGGGAATGCAGCGGAGCTACCCGGAACCACGCACCTTGCTGACCTCCCCTTACTCCACACTCCGCGCCCCGCCGCCCCCAACCATTGCATCATTGTTGCTTGTCGTCCTCAGAGCTGTAGCATCACCGGCCGAACTAGACGGACCTGACGACTACGAAGTAAATTACGAAGTAGGTGCGCGTCAAGTCGCACTGCCGTAAATACAGGCGTTGGCTGAGGCAAACAATCGGCACCTGTCTTGATTGGTAAAGCAGATTGTAGAATCGAACACCCAGTTAGATACCGCCGATTTGTCCTTCCTCGGGAGTGGTGAATCATACAACAATGATTAGCAAGCCCGCACCACTTTCCCCCGACCGCCCGAGAGTTGCCCCATTGCTGGATCTTGGTGGATAGCTCCACACACCGGCAGCTTCTCCACACTCTGCAAGGGTGCGGTTCAACCGTCGGCCTTGTCACTCGGCATTCAGCCCGGTTGACTGGTGCAAAGACTGCATCTCGCGCTGTTCGGCATCTGGTGCTTTCTTTATCTTTCGTTGCATCTCTCTCGTCTATCGTTTCATTCATCCTTCCGTATTTAGCACGCGGATACCCCATGCGCAGCACTGAACCGCTTGGTTGACATTGTTTCGATTTACTACCGAGGTCTCGAGAGCAAATAGCTGCATTCAATATGGCGCTTTCCGGTGCCGAGGTTGCGAGGCATGATAGCAAGGAAAGCTGCTGGGTGGTGATACATGTAAGCAGTTCTAGCTGCTACTGCTATGGCTATAGGGCGTACTGACGAGGCTCTAGGGAAAAGCATACGATGTGACGGAATTCCTACCAGGTGAGGCTACTCGTGCTGGAGTCATGGGAGTCGCTAAACCACGGCACAGAGCATCCCGGCGGGACGAAAATCATCCTCAAATACGCGGTACTTGACACCGAGTTCTTGATTCGTTCCGTAGCCTGACGAAACTATGCAGGGCAAAGACGCGACTGACGAGTTCGACCCCATTCACCCTCCGGACACTCTGGACAAGTACCTCGACCAGTCCAAACACAAGGGCGCCGTGGACATGAGCACCGTTGCGACGGTCGAGAAGGAATTCGACCCGGAAGAGGAAGAGCGGCAGCAGCGCATCGCAGACAAGCCCATGCTGGAACAATGTTATAACATGTTGGATTTCGAGGCCGTTGCGAAGAAGACCATGAAGAAAGGAGCATGGGGCTACTATTCGAGTGCGGCCGATGACGAGATTGTGCGTTGCTCCGGCTAGAAATCCTTCGAACGTTGACTAACAAGCCTGTAGACACTTCGCGAGAACCACGAGGCCTTTCACAGGATCTGGTTCCGACCTAGGATCCTTGTCGACGTCGAGGAAGTTGACTTTTCCACCACCATGCTGGGCACCAAAGTCGACGTACCGTTCTACGTAACCGCGACGGCACTAGGTAAACTGGGCCATCCCGAGGGCGAGGTGTGCCTCACGCGAGCTGCCAAGAAGCACAACGTGGTCCAAATGATCCCAACACTGGCATCATGTTCTTTCGACGAGATTATGGACGCCGCAGAGGGAGATCAAGTCCAGTGGATGCAGCTCTACGTTAACCGAGATCGAGCCATCACAAAACGCATCATCGAGCACGCCGAGAAGCGGTGCTGCAAGGCCCTGTTCATCACGGTCGACGCACCGCAGTTGGGCCGGAGAGAAAAGGACATGCGATCCAAATTCACCGACCCAGGGACGAACGTGCAGTCGGGCCAGCAGACGGACAACTCCCAGGGCGCCGCCCGCGCCATCTCGTCCTTCATCGACCCAGCCCTTTCCTGGAAGGACATCCCCTGGTTCCAATCTGTCACCAAGATGCCCATACTCCTCAAGGGCGTGCAGCGCGTCGAGGACGTGCTCAAAGCCATTGAAGTCGGCGTCCAAGGCGTCGTGCTCAGCAACCACGGAGGCCGCCAGCTCGAGTTCGCCCGTTCGGGTATTGAGATCCTCGCCGAGACGATGCCGGTGCTCCGGGAACTGGGGCTCGAGAACAAGATCGAGATTTACATCGACGGCGGCGTGCGCCGCGGGACGGATATCCTGAAAGCACTGTGTTTGGGTGCTAAGGGTGTCGGTATCGGACGGCCTTTCCTGTACGCTATGAGCGCGTATGGGTTTGAGGGGGTGGACCGCGCTATGGCACTGCTTAAGGATGAGATGGAGATGAACATGCGGCTGATTGGGTGTACGAGTGTGGATCAGTTGAATCCGTCGTTGGTGGATGTGAGGAATTTGGGGAGCCATATTACGCCTGTTCCGAAGGATAGTCTGGGGCATACGGTTTATGATGCGCTGGTCACGCCTTCGTGGAAGCCGCCCAAGGCCAAGATATGAGGAGTGTGTTGGCTGTTGGGTTGTGGAGAGCATGGGTGTGAACACACACACACACACATGAGTGCGATTTTTTTTGCGGTACCAAAAGTTGTGTACATGAGTTTTACGAAAGTCGTGTATGTTGTTCTCGGCACTTGAAACGAGTATGTTGTGGTAGAAACAGTATACTAGAGACAGTGTGCGCACACATCCTCAACGATATCAAACACCAAACGTCCTAGTTCCCCTATCTCAAATAGTAATTTATTTTAGTTAATTTGTACGTATTACAGCTTGCTCATCCCAACAATCACGACCATATTAGTCTCCGTCTCGCCAATATCGGACTGGGTGGTAGGAGTAATAGTAGGTAACGTCACGGTCATCAAAACACATCATGATTGAGATTACACAGTTTGAGAGCGCTGCGAGGTATGCTTTGGATTTCGACGCTCATTAGCCTGGGTATGACTACGTTTCCTTAATCCGCCGCAAAAGATCCGTCCAGACACCCGTATCCACCAAGACATTCACTGCTACAGTTAGGATTTGGCCCTAAACGTCAGTCATAGAGTATATACAAAGGAAGTGCTAGTGAACTACTCCACCTATACGAGCAGCATATAGTCCTTCTACTGATAAGCCAAGACCCGCTGAACCATAAATTAAAATGATTTTATTCATGCTCGTGTCCCCTTCTACGTACTTCATGTCCCGAAAGCCTTATTGTAATCCGTCAACGCAAACCGATAATGTACCTTATTGTTCTTCACCCTCTCCACGGCCTCCGCACACGCCTCCGCAGAAATGGGCAGCGTCTCGACCATAGGAAAAAGCTTCTTCTCGGCCGCCAACTTCAACATCGCCAAGCACTCAGGGCGGTTCCCGATATGGCTAGCCCCAATGCTCGACCCATTCGCCATGAACTGCTGCGGCTTCAAATTCGGAATCGACTGATCCGGCAGCCCGACCTGGTGGAACCGTGCGTTCACCTTGAGGATCGACAGATACTGGCTGATGTCAAACGTGTGCGTCATATCCGCCGTGTTGAGCACGAAGTCGAACGCGAACGCCAATGGCTTCGCCCAATCCTTGTCGCCGTTGTTGATGAAGTGCTTCGCGCCAAGTTTCAAAGCATCGTCTTTCTTGGAGGGCGAGTGCGAGATGACGGTTACGTTGGCTCCGAGAGCCGTCGCCCACATGACGGCGAAATGGCCTAGTCCGCCGAGGCCGACCACGGCGATGTGTTGCCCGGGACCGACGTTGGCGCGCACGAGGGGAGACCAGACGGTTAGACCCGCGCAAAGCATCGGGGCGGCGAGGTGGGAGGGGATGGCGTCGGGGATGAGAAAGACGAAGTATTCGTGAGCTCGAATATGAGAGGCGTAACCACCCTGTGAGATCGTTTCGTCGGGGTCGACGTCTTTAGGGTAAGGGGTTCCGTAGGTGTCTATGTTTTGTATCAGCACCTCATCCCCTAACCCTGAAATCTGAAGAGGGGATATTGAATATTGTTCCTTACCACCCATGTGCGGACAGTAATTCTCATTATCACTCTCACACTGCGGGCACTTCAAGCACGCCCACACCTGCGCGCCCACGCCAACGCGATCACCTACTTTGACGTCCTTGACCTGAGCGCCCACTTTGATCGCCTTGCCCACCACTTCGTGCCCGACGCAGATGGGCGTTGGGGCTTCGCCCCAGCCGCCGGTAATGGTGTGGACATCTGACCCGCAGACGCCACAGCACTCGATCTTGATGTCTACGTCGTGTTCGCCGAAGGCTTTGGGCGTGAACTGTAGACAGGGGAGGATATTAGAAGAAAACTGGATATAGTGGACGATGAGGTGCCGAGAGAGGGTTTACTTGCGGGTTGCTTCTTGAACTCCTTGTATTTGCCCAACTCGTTGATCATGAATCCTTCGAACTTCTCGGGATAAGACATGTTTCACGGCAGGTTTTGTTTGTGGCGTCCTGAGTGACAGCTGTGTAAGTGGGATGATGAGTTGCTGCTTATTTTGTTCAGTCAAGTAGCCGTATATTTTGAAATACGGCAATGATACGTGGTAAAGTGTACATTATTAAAGAGCTCGAGTTTCAGTCCTGTAAGTCGTTATACCTTCACGGACCATACATGTCTGTAATAATGATGACATGAAGCTCCCGGAACTCAGGGTCCTCGGCCTTCTGAGTGGTGACGTTGGTGGTGCAGTTAGCGCCGACTCCCAGTTTGGATCGGTTAGGTCCGATCGGATCTTTCGAATATATTCGGGCATCTCCAGGATCGTCAATAATGTGCAAAGCCGAACTAATTTTAGCAATTCGGAAGGAATGCTGAGAACGACGGCAGTCGCATGTTGAGAAAACTAGAGAATTGTATAGGGATGAGTTGACCATTAAAGCATCAAGCCGGCATGTGCTTGCTGCGAGTAGGTGTGGTAAATGCCTTCCCCGCAGACATACCTCCAGTAAGCAGGGTATGAAGTAGTCTAGGCTAGACTGCTCCGGTAGAGCTGTCTAATGCATACAAGGGTAGCCATTGTTGCGATATCAATTAATACTAGATAACCGTCGCAGTACGTCATTTGCGCTCGAGATTTACGAGAAGGATACGCAACACAACCGAAGTCCTCTTGGCTTCCGTCTCTTCCGTTACAATTTCAAACCAGCAGCAATTACAGACAGTGTCGTCCGAAAAGAGCCTCATACATGGACCACGCAAGGTTAGACTGCACCCAAGGCGAAAAGACATCCCATTAGAAGAGAGTAAACCCAACCCTGCATCGCTGGATGGGTTAACCTTCACATTCCCGGCGTTCCTCTGGTGGCTTGGCTAGTATTCTTGCGAGCTTAGGATTGAGCGGATATCCAATCGCAGTTCGGGAAGCACCACAGCCGCATAGACCGGATGGAGCGGCCCAATGTCGTACAAGAGCTACTCAAAAGATGCCTCGTCGGCTCGCTGCCGCCGGAGGTTGTCCAGCCATGGCGTGATAGTTGCAACCTGCCGCCCAATCTATTAAGTCAAGAATTCACGCTTGTCCAGACTCCAAAAAGCCCGGTAGGTAGTGTATGTTGGCGACGTGGGAGGTTCCAGTCGCGGTACAGACGAAGAAGCTGCGTAAACCTCATGACGGCCGGCATGGAGACAAAGAATAACCCAGAACGAAAAAGCTGGCGAGCCGCGGTATTCACCGTCTGAATAAGAACGTAAAGACAGCTGCAGCTGTGTGATACAACCCTAGTTCGAGGGCCTTCGGGAAGCGAGACGAGGCGACAGAGCAGTAGGCAGCACACACATTGCCGTGGAAAACCAGAGCTCAAGAGACATGCGAGTGATGTGGGACTTGAGTTGACTTGACTTACATTACGTAGTCTCTTGCATTGGGTGACGTTCCAGCAGGGCCGCAAACGACAAGTAGAAAATGTCCATCGATTGTGACAATAGAAACGGGGACAGCACGGATCCCTCCGTACCTGCGGAATGGAGAGGTCAATGGCTTCCAGTCGAAGCGAACATGGAAACATCGATGGTAACTCCCAACTGGGAAGCCACCAGTCGGTTCCGACATGCAAAGTCACAGAAACACTTCGGTATTCGTTATACCGTACGAGTTCCCAAAGTCGTCCGGGTCAGACCAGCAGGACGTGATTGGCGTAGCACCCTTGCCAGTTGCCGCTTCCAGGACATGATGCTCAGCCTGTGCTGGGGGAAGGAGGGCGATGCTGCCATTGCGGATCCCATCAGCTTCTGTATCATTTCCCCCCATCAAGCCCATCTCGGTTCTGTAGCGAAAGCGGGATTCGGAATGGGAATGGAGACACAGACGCTCGAAACACGCCAAATGCGGCATGCGAACGGCGCAGCTGGCAGGTTCCTTCCTTTAAGGTTCCTTCCTTTCTTCCCTTGGCATTTGCCGTGTTCAGTGTCCGCCTGCGGATTGCCCTTTGCTTTTCCTTCTTTCCGATGTTCCTTGACTAGTGAATACGTCAGCACGCAGTGGTCCCGGGCGCATGAGCTAGGCCCTTGCTGCACTGTCCAACGTTATGCGCATCAGCAGACTTCCATCTGATCAACCGCCATTGCCCATTTCGCATCGCCCCGAGCCGCAGCTGCGTTCGAGTTTCGACGAGGCAAGCGTAGCATGACGGCCGCGAACCGTCTTCGCCTAAACCCTTATCGGTGAAGCATTCACCTTGGCACTCGGTTGACCCGCGAGTGAGTGTCGAGTCGACTTTTCTACAAGCCGCAGTCTGCCCAAGTTGACCGACCGCCTTTTGCCCTCTTCCTCCCTCTTCTCGTACCGAGCAAGTCGAGTACCTAATCCACCCAACCGTCCGCCACCCCGCACCGCCAGCCGGCATGTCGTCCCTCGAGGCCAAGATTGTCGTGCTCGGCTCGCAAGGCGTCGGTAAGACGTCGCTGGTGATGCGCTACTGCAAAGGCGCCTTCAATCCGTCTCAGACGACATCCACGGTCGGCGCGAGCTTCATGACGAAGCGCGTCGTCGACAGCGACACCGATACCGTCGTGCGCCTACAGATATGGGACACAGGTTCGATGCACCCGTTTCCAATGGCTACTGTAATGCTCAGGAAGGCTAAAATGTACATCTGCAAACCCCTACAGCCGGGCAAGAACGCTTCCGCTCGATATCGCGCCTCTACTACCGCGGCGCCAACGCCTGCATCCTCTGCTACAGCATAACGGACGCGCAATCCTTCGCCGAGATGGGCGTCTGGCTGACGGAGCTGCGCCGCAACCTGCCCTCGGACGTCGTCCTCCACGTCGTCGGCACCAAAGCCGATATCGTCGCGCGTGAGCCGATCCGCCGCGAGGTCCCCTTTGAACGCTGCATCGCATACGTGGCCGAGAACCTGGCACCGGGCCTCGGGTCCACGCCCCCGCCCACGGCGACGCCAGGAATGTCGGGTCTGCCCCCGGGACCAGGCGTGAGCCAGGGAAGCATCTTCGGCGGGGGGACGAGCAGTGCAGGTGGAGGGCCCGGCGAGCCGCGCAGCCCGAGTAGTAAACGGAGTAGCGGGTTTTGGGGCCAGGAGGTCGGTTGGGACGCGTGTCATGAGATTAGCGCCGAGAGCGGCGAGGGGGTGGAGGAGGTGTTCCGGGTGGTGACAAGGAAGCTCGTCGAGCAGAACCGCAAGATGCAGCAGGCGTTGCTTGCCGCCACGGCGACTCCGGGAACCCCGGGTTTCGAACACGGCATGGATGGAGGGTACTTCGATGGTGTGAACCCGAGGGGCAGCTTTAGGGTCGGTAGGGATCGACGAAGCTGGCTGTTTTCGCCTGGGTTCTCGCCCGCCGTCACTATCGAGAACGCGGGACAGAACAGCGCCGAGGAGAATGGACGAGAGGAGGGGACCAAACAGAAGGGGAGGTGCTGTTGAGAAACTCGATAGCTCAACCAACAAGAAAGCAGCACCCACGCGAGACGGAAAGGCCTACGGGGGCACGAGGACGAGGATGAGAGACTACTGAACGTACACGAACAGCCGAACCATCATTTTTTTTTCCTTTTGTGTTCTTCTTTTTTTTCTTCCTTTTGGAGGGTTTATTATTTCCTGTTTCGAGCATGGCATCAACGGCATAGCGCGCATCGCATCGCATCGCATCGACACCTCTCTGCTATGGTCCATGGAGTCTCCTGCAGGCCCAGGTGGCTTTGGCTTGACTTTCTTGTCCGCCAACCTCCTTCCATCTTTTCCATTTTTGATCGCACGCATAGGATCATCGGTTTGTGCGCGAGTATCCAGGTTTTCTCGATTTTCTCATACAGTTTAGGAGGGGACGGAGAAGGGCACGGAGAAGGGCACGATCACGGCGTTTGGGACATGCATTACGGGAACTATTAAAGGGGCTGCATATCCGCATCTTGTTTTCTGTCTCCTTTCGGGGCGCATCTCAGTTTCTGGTCTGTGTTGGCTTGCCGCGTTAATGTAATGCATTTAGTATAGGGCTGCTTCTCTCACGAGATATGATATTGGCTTTTTTGCCGTTTCTCCAGGGATGAACATATAATCTTGCAATTGGGACATCCGGGACGCTGATCCAATGTGTAAAACTTGTCCTGGTTTCCTCACTCAAAGGTACTTGGGTTCTCCTGCCAGTTTGGCTTGGAGCCGTCCTTGGAGTATCTAGGCTGAACACTATCTCTGGGCACATGCCCCATCCCCTGCCGTCTAACTCCTTGAGGCCACGGTGTGTTGACCGGATATACGTAAACCGCGGATGACCTGGGTTATTGATTTCTGCCTTCAAAACTACACCGGGACATGTAAAACTGGAGCTGATCTTGCATGCTGTCGGGGACGCTTGCTCGAGGCCTCCTAGCTTGCTGGCAATGTCCCTCCATAAGTGCGTAATCACGTAAGGGGCAAACCCCTGCTGCATCGTTGATCGTGTCTTTTGTATTGACCACCTCGGTGGTAGCAAAGCCTTGTCTCTTGTAGGGGGACTTCGACTTGACGTTGGCGACTTAATTTCGTCGAGTTTGCCGTGGCCATTCCCTCCTAGGTTTAGGCTACGAAGCACCGGTGGCGCCTGATAACCATCTGTTTCCGTCGATTGAACTATATATAATGAGGACCTAGTCTAACGTCTCATATAAGTACTTGACTACGGTAGCTAGGTGAAATGCCCTGAAGACGAGTCCAAAGCTGGAACATAATATGCACACCACAGTTGCATTCTCGAACGCGAGGCCAAGATCTCACAATCATGGATTCCGTCAGTGTCAAGAGTTTATGATTCAAAGTTGGTCAATCACGACGCTTGTAGAAAGAAGTCCCAGCATCAAGATGACTTTTGTTCCTCCGCCGACGTACTTCCTCGCCATGGTGGGCCGGCTGAATCGGACTTTCAAAATGGACTGATGCCTTTTGAAGAGCGGTCAGCGAGGGTTCGTCGCGCGTTGATACTAAGCTACAGGGTTGATCCTTCACTCCACTTGATACATCAATCATACTGTCGTCTGCTTGTCGGCAATAGCAAGCTGCCACTCAAAGCAGTCTTCTGCTCATTTGTCGTGACAGGCCTCCGGGAAAACATAGAGACATCTCGTGGTAACGCAATCGAACAGCCAGGCAGACACACACCCAACTACTTTCAGTCTCCAATTACGACCATCGTCCGACCCGACCAGACATCAGTCTTGCTTCCCAGAGATGCCTGGATCGTCTCGCCTCGTCGCTGGAAATCACCTGATCATAGCCGGTTCCCGCGTTGTTTCTTAGTCGCTTGATACCCGAGATTAGTAGCCACTAGCTCGTTTGGCGTGGTAGAAGGTTGAAGCTTGAGGACATCTCATCAGGGTCAACAGCGAAGGTCAATCCCGCGTGAGTGCGCATAGGCCGTGCCATTTTCTATTCTCGCGATATATTCCGGTGCTTTAAGTTTCTACGTGTCCCGCTTTAAGCAGATACCCTAGCTTGAAATATTTCGGCGCCGGAAATGATCGGATGCTCGGAATCAGTACGGACGGATTCCGGGCTGTAGTTCTCTAGTAACAAGGGTTCTCCATAGCTAAGACTGTAATAGGAGGTTGTGTGATTCGTTTCCGAGTCCAATTTAGTTTATCAATGAGGGCAACCCTGGCCGGGAAGGGGTCGATCTGCGTAGGTAACCGGAAGGTACGCAAGGAGAAGTTGTCAAATCAACCTGGGGAGGCTCTGAAGCAGGCTTGACGTAATGCGCCAGGCGAGCTCGTCCAGCTCTCTCTCTCCACGGGCAAAACACCAGCGGATGCCAGTCACCAGCGACCTTTTACCTTCATTGGTATAAACACCCCTACTCGTGGGCAAGTGCAGTCCTAAGTGTATAGCGCACCAAGGTGGGAATAACAGTTGAGGTCCCCAGTATCCAAATTTTCAATTCCACCGTAAACTGCATTCCCTTCTTCTCCCACATATTCAACCCTTCGCTTGCAAGCAACAGAACCAAAAATTATGTTTGCCTATTCCGGTGAGTATCAAGTACATAATTGACAACCAGAAAGAATTTAAGGCTAATGAATGATTTCGATCTATTGGCGGAGAGTTATGCCGACGTCAACCTCCAAGCCCCCGAAATGTCTTACTCCGCGAACCAATCTGCACCCATTTTTCTTCCTGTGGAGCCCTCGGTCTTTTCACAGCCCCATGTAGGTATGTGAAGTTACACTGCATAGCCATTGATCGTTAACGAAGCAGCCAATGGACACTGCGGAGCGGGTGTCCAACTGGTTCGCTGGTTAGACTATAGAGCCCCAAGTGGAGCTCAACCCAGGCCTCCCATACTACTATTCGCCCCAGGTCGCGGCGAATATCCAACCGGATTGATCAAAACCGGTAGGACACTCACTCAAAGCACTTGTCCCAATGCCCGCCGTCCCTGGCAAAGCTGAGGCTATCCACAAAGTTGCCAAGCTCGCAACGGCCCAGCTCGTCAACACCGCAGTTCTGCAACGGTATGACCCGATCATTGATCAATACCCTCACCATCTCCTCGTCGGAATCCCCGCAGCTTAGCTTCTCGACGTACATCCTTGCCGCAAATGGCACGGTCCAACTGGCCGAAAACCCCTTGGTCCCCTTAGGTGAGACTTTCGTAGTATTCGATAGGGGCTCGGTCTCGTTGTACAGCCCCATGGCTGCAAATATGTTGCTCATGTCGTTGTCGTGGCTGAAGTCGGCGTAGAGCGCCCTGTCCAGGGGGAATGTCTCGGGCGAGCTATCCAGCGTGCTGTTTGTGTTGGTGTGATCTACCACAGCCTCGCCAGTAAGCCGGGCAATGAGCTCGTTGACGTAGCCAACTCCTTTGGTAGGTCCAAGGGGGTTTCCGTTACCGAACCCATACCACTTGCCCAACGACTGATAGTAGTCGTACGCATGCCAGTCATCGCTATCGAAGAGCTTGCAGAAGTGAGACAGCTTGCCATCTGCATTGGCCACAGTGTTGAATGGACAAAGATCCATGAACGCGATAGTATCAGAGTTCGTGAGATTTGCGCCGGGGAGGTTCGCGTTAAGCCTTTCGGTTAGACGGGGTGCAAACACATCCAGCCAGACGGCCTGTGCACTTGAACCTTTCGCTGAGCTAGAGGCTGAGCAGAGGTCATGGCTGAGAGTGTTGTTGAAGGCTGATCCCTCCGGTATGAGCACCATGCCATAGGGGTATGTATCTGGCAAGTCGGTGTGCTTGTCGGCCAGTCGAGCCTGATGGAAACCTTGAGTCCAATTCTGGGCAGATTCGACAACACGGTATTGCCCAGCGGATCGCACGAACGGCGATGAATTCCTCGTCAAGTCCTTGTAACGATTGTAGAAGTGGATGCCCGAATTGACCATCTCTTGTTGACCGAAATGGGTCAGCTGATCAGCCCCGAGGCTATAGTTGTACTCACTGAGAAAGGTAAAATCCTTCCCATAATGAGTAACGGTGCTTTGGACCCGAGCAAGAAGGGCACCGTAGATGACGGTTTTTGATAGCGTAGGATCTCTGGCACCATGGCGAGAGAGCACCTGCGCAAAGGTGACATTGCATCCCTTGGGAGTGGAAGGACTGATGTCGGACTTCACAGAGTAGAATGGGGAGTACTGTCCCCAGAAGTGAGATATGTCGGGTCGGCAATGGAAGCCATGCCCCGAATCGTCGCAAGAATCGCTTTGGGGTGGATCAGATTTCCTGAGATGGTCAGCACTCATATGCCCTTACGGCGTCACGAGAGGTTCTGGTTTACATATAGCCAACGACAAAATACAGGGCGACCACAATCACCAAGCCCGCCGCTGCGAGCTTGATAATGGCTCGATTGCCGTCCGCTTGCTCCTTATCCCTCCTGGTCCGTACCGCATCCCGGCTACCGCGCTCGGGGAGGGCAGTGTACTTGTATGAGGCAGGGGCTGCCCACGCCCTCAGCCCGTCCATCACGTCCGTGATCGCCATTGATGTGTTTTAGGCGATGGACAAGCGCGCCATCACAGCCCACGTCGTCACCGCGAAGTATTTTTTCGTCGCAGACCAGGAGTCTGATTTGCAAAAAAAAAATTCAGATTCTCTCGGTAATGCGGAAGACCGATTGCTGTTCCACGTTCTTTGACGTTGGGTTGAGGTTGCGAAAGGCAGCCACGTTCTGCCTGAAGCGAGACACGCGATGCTTGGTTTTGGGACACATTTAGTATTTTCGGACACCACACCGCAGTGCCAATTGCCTCCAGGTAAATGAATGAACGCCTGACCTGGTGGACATCTTAAGCTACAACATTTCTCATCACCTATACAGCCTACATCGGTTGCATTAATGCACAAGACCCTTTAAATCTCATCGAGCGACGTGAAGCTAATAAATATTGCAGCTTTCTTTTCTTGTTCTTGTACGAGGCAGGCCAGAGTCATCGCATGCCTGAGCCGGTTATCCAGGCCCTTACCGACGCTCGGATCCAGGTGGGCCTCCATGAAGTCGGATGATGTGGCTTGTTGGATTTGATCAACGCTGTAAAGGCCTTCAAAGTTGACATCGTTGCATTGAAGTCCGACGCGCTCTTGAGGTTCCGGCGCGGTAAGTGCAATCTGCAAAGCGCCCGCCATCATTTCACGACATAATGGCTTAGCGGTGTTGATTATATGGCGGAAGAAGTCTCCTAGATACGACGGGAAACTATTCAAACGTTTACATAGATCGGCATAACTGTTGTTGTTTGTCAAGCCGTCACGGAATAGTCTGGTCACCAGCAAGGCCCAAAGGAATACACCTGCGACTGCGTCAAAAGGCAGCTGCGGGTATATCTTATAATACCACCCCTATTCAGCTCGTGCATGAGTATTTGCCTCGTTGGATCCTGACCGAAGGCATCTTCCCCCCCTTCCGCCCCCCCGAAAAATGGGGGTCACGGGAATATTATTTTGGTGCATCAGACGTTTAAGGACCTGGCAAAGCATCGGTAGATTCCACGTCAGATATTGAACATCGTCCTTGTTCGGTAAGCCTGGCCATTGCTTGTCGTATTTATCCGCTATGAGCTGTGGGCACCGTCGAAAGATGTCGAATAGCAAAGTCCGAAGCAGTCCTTGCTGTGATTTCTTCATTGCGGCCCCGCTGCCAGTCTCAACCAGCTGAGAAGTCGGTTACTGTTGCTCTCTCCGTTTCCTTGCCCGCTCAAAGCCCACCATGGGGTTTGCTGATGAGCGTCCGCAATGCCTTCGTGCCTTGCTTGCCGGTCACTGAAGCTGAGACTAGCGTTCGCTTGTTGCTGAAAACCGTTGTCCCCCATGAAATGAAAAATGTCACGGCACTCGGCTGCTTTTCGAGAGTCAATGTTTGGAGCATGGGGTAGGTTGCGGGCACGTCGGTCCTCTGCTGAAGCCTTGCAATCTTGCAACCGCTCATTCACGGACTGCAAGTCTTTTACCTTAGCCGAAGATCTAGTCATGGAGTCGCATATCTCCGAAGTCTAGGGGATAAGTTTACAGGAAAAGTCGACGAAGAACACCATCGTCCTCGCGAGGCTGGCAGCGCTTAGAGAATTCATGATGAGGTGCACATGTGTTCAGTTGGCAAGTGTGCAGCGCTCGACACGAAGGTTACATTCAAGTCAGCGCAATTCTCGGATTAAATCATGCTTGAAGTTGCTGGAATGTTTGAACGAGAATTCCCAGGGTCACGGATGATTTTGCTTGTGCAGGAGATGGCCAGGCTTTCTGCAAGGCATATCCCTAGAGCTGCAGACTGCTGTTCTCGTCCAATAACATCGGCATAAGTTTTGGTGTCTGCATCGGCAACGTGATTTGGTAGGCACTAGGTTCACATCTCTTGCCGCGTGGGAGATATCTAGGGTACATACATGATTTATCCTTGATGCATGGCATATACGAGTTGATGGCGGCTTCACAAAATGATCAATGGTTCCGCAGGATGAATAGCAATAAGACTCCGCAATTGCTCAGCAATGTCCCACTGGTCACTGATATACACAAATGTAACAATGCCTGTTGTGGGGGGTAAAGTAAATGCTTCCCCCCTCCCCACAGTCCAGAACAGCCGCCGGCCATTTTCCTACAAGTCCACCATCCAAGAGCCCCCCAAAAGGCCCCCGTAAAGTCATCCGCCCAGAACCCCAAAATCGAAGGCATCAGTCGCTCAATTCCCTGGTATCATGCAAGTATTAGACAAAAACAAAAGGCAATCGGAACTAGAAGGCTACGCCAACACTCTCTCGTCGAGGCGCCTGGCCAAACATGACAGCCCTTGGCGGATCGGCAGCCCTGACCGTCGTGCTACTACTCGGGCTCCAACTTGTTGGTACCGTCTGCTGTTCTAAGTCCTCGCTGGAGGACCAGTCGCTCACAGACTCTTCGGACTCGAAGCTCAACCTGCGCGCCGGTTCATCAGGTTGACTGGGTGTCGCAATCTGATAGAAGCCGTCGTTGGGCTGAATAGGCTTGGGTTTGTTCGTGATGGAGTCCAGGCTGATATCACGGGCGGGTTGTTGATAGCCTGAGAAGCCTAGCCAGTTTGACACATGCGAGAAGGATTTCTTCTTACGTAAAGGCGGACGTAGACGTAGTGGTAGCGGCGGTGGTGGAGGGCGTCCCTCGATGCAACGACTTGATGACGACAAGGCAAAAGCAGAGGCGAAAGCAGGGGATTCTTCGGAAAGTGGCTTCTCCCGGTAAGGAATGTAAACAGAGCCCTTGGGCGGCGCGGTTCTGGGGCGATCAGAGGTGACACGCTCGCTGAACGAAGGCGCATTTGGCGGCAAAGCTGGGATTTCCGGCATTGGCTCCATGTCGACGATTGAACGGGTGGTGGAAGGCCGCATTTCATTAGCAGTAGATGGTCGACTACTGACATAGATGCTCTGCCTCTCGATGACGTCGTCGAGCTGCTTTTGGATCCGATCCCTCTCTAACATTGCAGTTGCGACCTTTTCGATCAGGTCGTCCATGGCTGACTCATTTGCCTTAATCGACTGCGCTCTCTTCCGAGCCGGCGAAGGCTGCGTAATTGTATCCGAGCCTGACCGGGGCGAGTCGAAGACGGATCCGGTGTTGGTGGCCTTACGTGGAATGTGGAATGACAAGGAGGAAGAGTAGCTACGCGCGTGCGCGACGGTGTAGCTACCATCGCTGTGCGGGGAATGTGTGACAACGCGCTGTGGAGGTGTGACAGGCGGGCTAGGGTAGTCGACAGGAGATAGGATAGGTGACAAGTGATTATCGTGCTGGTAGATGCTAAGTTCAAGTGGACGAAAAGAAAGTGGCCTCGGCCTCGCACGAGGCAGCCCATAGTCCGGAAACCGAAAGGATTCCGAGTAGATATGACGGAAGTTTGAGGGAGCGGATATCTGCGGCCGGCGCGATGATGTCGGTTTTGATAAGAGTCCCCTTCTCACAGAGAAGCTACTCCGTCCAGACCCACGCCTCCTCCTCGACGTGCGCTCCATGGGTAGCTCATGACCTCTGTTCTGCCAAGCCTGCTCAACGGATGGCGGTGGGACAGACGAAGGTTGGTTCTTCAAGACCACGAATGACTCCTTCTCTGAAACTGCACACATCAGAACGACATTCGACTGGGTGGGAGGCAGGGACTATATTAGACTTGTGATTGGTGACAAGCTTACCATATTGACGAGGCCGATCATCGACGCATGCGCAGCAAGAAAGGGAACTCGAAAGCGACGAAAATGCTCCCACGAACATCCCACTAATGCCTTTCATGACGGTGACTTCATGTCGGGGGCTGGCTTACAGGATGGGAAACTGCCAGCGGACTCGTGGGGTTGAAGTATGGAAGGAAACAAATGAACCATGCAGAAGGCATGGCAGACGGCATCGATAATGCCTTTATGAAAAGACGGAGGAAGGAATTACCTTCTGACCTTGCCTTTAGGCTCACCCAGATGAGCGGGCGCTGACTTTTTGGGCATGACATTGGGATAAGAACAGTTGATGGTTTGGACGCAAATGTAGTCACTTGATAGGCTCTCCAGTCTTGGTCTCTTCAACACTCGGGCCAGTCGGCGCTTAGAAGCTGGGGTGTCAAGAGAATGCGGATGGCTGCACTCGCAACACACCATTGGCGGACCCACCATATGTGTAAGATGACCGGCGCAGTACAGCGAGTCGATGTCTTGAATTTCCTTGGTCTGGTTTCCTTTGGCAGGTCGGATAGCCCACCTATGCGACCACTTTGCAAGCAGCTTGCCACAAGGTGCTGAGAGGGGTGTCTCGTGTGCTTCACAGATTGGTCGTGGTGTGTGGCAGTTGGATTTATTTTGTTATGAATCACAAATGATGGTGTTTTCTCGTCTTCGCCGAAGGAAGAACTCCACTGGACGCAGTGGGATGGGCATCGCCCCTGCTGAAGAAGCTCGTGTCACTAGAGAAGACACCAGCCCTCCCTTAGTAGCTTGCGCCTGTCGCATATTCCCACTGCGTAACATGTTCGAGAACGCCCTGCAGGGAGGGGGATGAAGGAGATGACCTCGACATGGCGCGATGAGAGGGTACGGGTCACTCAGGAACGGATATCCGGTGATTGGGTTTTCGGCAGGCTGCCGTAAAAGCGCAACGCATCGGAGCACGCGTGCAATAGCCAGGCCTTTTAGGGTAGTCCGACAGAAATCTTTTCGCCGCCGTCCCACGCACTCGCGCACCTTGAAACCGGTTTCTTTGAGTGGATTGGTTGCTCCAGAAAAGTTACTGTTCTCCAGCCTTCGAGAAATTTTCTATTAATACTTGCATCCACTTCCACTTCGTGTGGGCGGCCTTGATTCAGAGTTGAACCGGAAGGCTGACTATGGTCATGTCATCATTTTGTCTCAAAGCTGACGTGCGAAAGAGGAGTTCCTTCGCTGAAGGGCTCCAGAATGGCAAATTTTCCGTTTCTGTAGGTCGCCAGAAGCGGCACGAGATTTCTGCAATGAGGCGAGTTGGAAGATGGGAGTTCCACTGCCGAGTCGTTGGTGATAGCTTCTGTCTTTCCAAATGATATTTTGATAAGATGGAAGGGAGCTATCAAACCACCTCCCTTGTATTCGCGGGGGAGGAGTGGCCCTGAAACCCAGTTAGCACGGTAAAGCTGGCCAGTGCTCTCGAGTCCATAGCATTATCTCCAAACACAATGTTGGCTACTTCAGTACCCTTAGTGCACACGGGTGGTTCGTGCCCCACGCAGTGGGCAATTGGACGGACAGCGGAGAAAGCTAGTGCCGATAAGGCCAAAAATTCCCATGCTGACTGACGGAGAGTACAATGTGGTCCACGAGTGAATTGGACAGGTTGCGTCAAGCCTGAACTGCAATAGGTGCAGTCAGATGTCTGTCCGCAGAGCTTTCTCCTTAAGTTCTCATAAATCACAACCTGACACGGTTCTGTGATAATCTCCAACAAAAAATATTGCAACTTCAATAGGCATTTCATCTTTTAGTCTCTGAATAAGTCCAGCAATCCCATCACAAACGCATTCACGATGGCGCAACCACAGCAGGGCATGCCGCAGCCATCACCTCAACAGATCGCCGCAATGCAGCAGCAATTCGCCGCTGAAGCCCAGAAGCGTGGTTTGACTGTCCAGCAATTTGTCGAGGTAATCAAGAAGGAGAGAATGGAACAGATGGCGCGGGCGCAGGCAGAGGCACAGGCACGGCAGCAGCATGGTGGAGGGCCAGGGCAACCGCCACAACTGCAAAGGCTGCAACAGGGGCAACAAGGCCCGCCGGGACAAGGAAAACAAGTTGCTCAAAACCAGCATCAGCATGCCCAGGCCCGTGGACAGGCGCAACCCATCAAGCCTGGCCCTCCCAACCCAGTGGCGATCGCATTGGCTAATTTCCTGCGCAACCAACCGCTGAAGCCGCGAACTTGCATCTTCAATGGCGAGCGCAAGGACATGTTCAGAGTCAAGCGAGCACTCCGAGCTCTACAGTCCCCAGCTTACGCCAAAGCTCGTGCGAAGAACCCCGCCCTCCCTGAGATTACCGACCGCGCCACTCTAGAGAACACGTTCAAACTCCTCCCCATGTCGATGCTCGCCTTGCGCGTAAGCAAGTCGGATCCACACGAGGGTCACGACCATGCGACCAAGAAGGCGAAGCGAATCAAGGGTCTGTGGACCGTCAAGATCGAGCAGCAGCAGGAAGCCCAAGATGACATGTACTACATCTGGTTTTACGAGGGCTCTCAGTTCAAGCGCAAGGTCTACGCAGTTCTGGCACTCATTGTCATCTTCGCCGTGGTGCTCTACCCCCTATGGCCTCTGGTCCTCCGACAAGGTGTCTACTACCTCAGCTGGGGCTTCCTGTTCTTGCTTGGATTGTTCTTTGCTATGGCCATCTTCCGCGTCATTCTATTCTCCATCACATATTTCATTACGCCGCCTGGACTGTGGTTGTTCCCCAACCTGTGGGAAGATGTGTCCTTCATGGACAGCTTCCGACCTCTGTGGGGCTGGCATGAGGTACGTTTCGCTAGTTTCCTTGAATCTTGCTCGAGGAAAATCGGCATGTTGACCAATTTGAACAGACTGTCAAGCCCAAGAAGAAGAAGAAGTCGTCATCTAAGAGTGGAATCAACGCCGATGCGGCAGCTAGCTTCGCAGGTACCACTGGCACGCCGGCGCCGGCTACCGCAAGCACCACCGGCACCGACACGCAGATCCAAACGGCGACTCTCCAGCAGAGAACCTACACGGCTCCTAAGGTGGAGGAGCTGGACGATGACGAGTAGAGATGGATTCAGTATGCATGCACGGCACGGCGTTCTGGCATTTTCGCGAAAAGGAATCTGTACTTTAACTTACTTGACATTGCTCGAGCATAATAACGAAATGTGGATTTGCAAATACTCTTAGATCCATGGCATAACGGCACGGCTTTCATTCTTGACTTATCTGAGTGTTTACACGAACTGGACCATTCCGGACTAACAAGCCCCCCCCAACACACACCTATAACTTGTCATCTTTATGCTTCCGAGCCTGGGGTCCTCTCATAGTACTTCAAAGCCCCTGGCGTGTTTGCGCAGTTGGACACGCTGCCTCCAGTACTATTCGCATCGACCGTGACCCCCTGGCCCCGCTGCGGCTTCCCCAAGACGTGGTAATAATACCAGACTTCAGTCAACACTGTATATCCATCATCACTGCTCCCAGCCCCAGCCTCGGTAGCATTGTACCTGGGCCCGGCGCATGCTATATACGGAATCTTGCCGAACCCCTTGATCAGCGCGTCCTGCACCTGGCTCAAGCTCAGCGAAGAAGAATTTGAGTTTTTGTAGCTCTTCGTCTTCGAGGAGGTCGAATTAATCGGCTCAATGCCCGCGGCCGAAAGCCATTTCCACGTCGGCAGCTCGTTGTAGAACAGCAGCGCCGTCTCGAAGAAATCCACCACCTCCTCGTGCTCGACGTACTGCGGGCCGTAACACTCGACGTCGAAGGTGCTGTAGCACGTGGCGTGCTTGCTGAACTCGTGGGCCCAGAAATCTTGGTTCGGCTGGTTTTGCGCTACCCAGTACTTGTTCATGTACGCCAGTAAATCCCACTTGGCGAAGGGCTCCAGGAACGTGCCGATCCCGGGCCCGGTATAGGGAAGAACGGGCTCGCCGGCCGGGGTGCCCGTCGTGGTGTTGGGTGAGGGGAGTGGGTCGTATTGCCGTGAGAGATCACAGTATTGCGTGTACGAGCCGTTGCAGAAGTCGGGCCAGAGGCCGTGCAGAGTCCAGGTGTCCTTGGGTAGGACTTGGCCCGAGGTCTCGAGGCCCGTGTAGGTGTCCCAGATTTGGGTGGATATGAGGAGTCCGCCGTAGGTTTCGGTGCAGCAGGTGTCGACAAGGCCTGGCACGGCGCCCGAGGAGCAGGACAGCACTGGGGGTGACAAGGCGCAGGTGTGGTTTACGGTGCTCTCGTTGTACAGGCCGGCGAGGACCTGCTGGGAGAGCAGGACCAGGGATAGCGCGGCGCGGCGCGCAGTAGACATCTTGTCGGGTTGGGATTGAGGTTGCGACGGGAGTGACACGAGGTGTAACTCAACACCCGCGCGTGCGGGAGGACATTTAATGGCTATATACGTACGTGCGCACTCCTCATCGTGACCCAACTCCCAGCTCGGCTTCACCGCCGACGGAAGACCAGGGTTAGAAGAGCTACCGACGACATCATCATCGTGGAAGACTAGCTCATGGAGCCGACGATGCGAAGTTTTGGTTATGGCCAAGTTGAGCTATTTCACACCTGGTCGAACGGCGGCATCTAAGAGGTCAATTGGAGATGCAGGGCCCCCGGCATGGTTGCAGTAGCGGCAAAGGCGTTGTAACTCTGATAGGAAGCTGGCTGGGAAGAGATTCTCCAGCTCCTCTGGGCCGACGGTCGCCGGGACGGACACGCTTGCTGACGTGGGAAAGCAGTGATTAGATTGCCCTCGTTCAGAGTAGCTCAACAAGCTTTCGTTGGGTGATGCGCGAGACACGAGCGGTGATTTGTTAATTCAGAATGATCCGGGGTAATGAGGATGAGGATGACTGGGATTGGGAGACGGGCGGGTCCGGTCGATAGCTGCGATGTGGAGTTTTCTCTCAAAATCAACGAACTTCATGGGTTTGTCGTGTTCTCCCAAGGGTACGTAGAAATTATCAACAACAACCTATCATATCCTACAAATGCACCACATGCCATTAAGGGAAGTCCCTGCAGATAGCTTCCAGTACCGCGGCGCGGCATCGCCACACGAGATTAAGTATGAGACTCATCCGCGGCCAGAGCCGCCTCTCGAAGGTCAAACCAGCCGCTTGCCGTAGCAACAGACCCAAGGTCTGTTAATCAACGAAACGTCCATGATTGCATTCAGGGAATACCTGGACAGAATATGCAAAAGAATATGGCCAGCGGCTGCGTAGACTTCGACCAGATAGCTTGTATGATATCAGGGTCGTAAGTCGACTCTACGCCCATAATCAGTACATCCCTCTAAACTTGTTTGACCAGTTCTAGAAATCGTTCCTGTAGCTGCAAAAGACCGTTCGGTACAAAGTCCCCAAATTTGGGAACTATCGCCCCGATTTGCCATGCCAGCATGTTCTCAGCATACGTTGACGACGTGCGCGTGAGTTCTAACTCAACCGTCTTGGCTCCCTCAACGTGCAGTGTAACACCGGTGGGCACCTGGTCCGCCACCAATGCCTACCTAACTGTCCTCACGTACCGGACGATGTCTTCGAAGTCCCTGGCACACATCTCGTCGGTCTGGCCCAAGCCACTCTACACCAACTCGAAAGCAAGCAGCATGTCATACTGATGGCACAAGCACCGTTGTACTGCCCAAAGTGATCTCTCAGGGACGACTCAGATACCACCCTCGGCCAGGATCGGATCCATGATGAAAGCAGGAAAAACCCGCATGCGGTTCTGAAAAGCTTCGTCTGCGCAGTAATGTCGCCGAAAAGGAGCTTTCAGAGTCCTCCAAGCGATGCCCAGGAGTCCGCCTGGCATGTCGTGTTCCCCCAAGTTGCCACCAAAGGCCCCAGATACTTAGCATGGAATCCAGAGTCTGCAAGGCTGTTGACAGTGAACCCGGATACCCAGTGGTAGAACGAGGCAGCTTGATGTGCTACGACTACTCTACTTCGGGCCACCTGGATTAGGGACGATTCTGACCAATGAGAGAGCTGGGTCAAGTCAAGGCCTTATATGTCTCGAAAGGTTGTGTGTATTTCAATGATCGAGATCCCTTCCTCAGTAAGAACATGCCGGTGTGGTTTCTGTGGTGTTTTACTTATCCAAATGTATGTGTCATAACCTTTTCGCAGGTGGACGTCAGCCAAAACCATATGGCGGTGGTTTCCTCTTCTCAGGAGAATCGCATCATGTACTTGAGTGGTTGGTTCAAATCTTGGGCTGAACTTTCATTATGTTCTTTCTTTGCGTGCATCTTTTTCGACTCTCCTTTGGGCAAACGCTTTATTTCCTAATGAACAGCAATTTGTTTTGACAATAACTCACGCTTTACGAACCAAGAAATTATCCTAGTCCAACTAAGACTGCTCTCTCCCACACCCCTTATTCTCCTCCACCCAAGCCTGAAAATCTTGCGTCGCCGAGCTGGCATGAAGTCGCACCGTCTTTGACGATACGTAACTTGGAGCCGTACTTCACAAATTTTGACTTATCTTTGTTTCGTTTATGAGCAGACCTGTTAGTATGTTTGCATAGTAGAATCGCTATGTAGTTAAAATCCGGCTTGATCTTAAGATATGTTAAAGTGCAAAGTATGGGAGAGCCTTTTCTACTATGATGAAATAGAGAGGTCCATACTGATAATTCTACCTCAGGATCAGAGTCGAGAACCAACAAATAACGACCTGTTAGCATCGTGGGATGGCATTGTGGATTTAATCAATAGAGTAGGCGCATGTCTATGCCGTATGCACCAACTCATGTGACCGATCACGTTCCCCCAATATAAGAAAACATACTTGAAGTCTGCTGGAAATAGAAAGAGATCTATCTCATGCAGCTCTACTATATTAGCCATGCCTCTTATGCCGATGAGTCCTCGTCATGCCGAACCCCCAACCATCTGCAAAAACTCGTTAGCCATATTTGATCAGATAGGGGAACAACGGAACCAAAGAGAGGAAGACAATTACACTGGCTCGCCACGTGAATATCCACATCCAACTCATCCGCCCAACTCCACACCAAGGACGGATTCTTCAAAAATGCCCTCCCCACCAATACCGCATCCGCCTTCTCCTCCTCCAAAATCCCCTGCGCTTGCGTTCCGGACGTAATCTCGCCCACGGTGCCAACCAAACACCCGGTCCCCTGAACCGCCTTCCGAATCGCTTCGGCAAGGGGCGTTTGATACCCGGGCGCAGACTTGATCTTTTGCCTTGCATCTAGCCCACCGCCTGAGACGTCGATGAAATGGACCCCGTGCTCTTCGGCCAGGAGTTTGCAAAGTCTGACCGCGTCGTCGAGCGTGAATTGAGGGAGCGAAGGGTCCCATTCGAGGTAGTCGGTCGCCGAGATGCGGACCATGATGGGGAAGCCACTGGGGACTTCGGCGCGGAGCAGGTCGATGGTTTCGATGAGGAGGCGAACGCGGTTGGTGAAGGAGCCGCCGTAGGCGTCGGTGCGGTGGTTGGAGGAGGGTGAGTAGAATTCATGGAGGAGATAGCCGTGCGCCGCGTGGACTTCGATTACCTGGTTTTTAGGGGTTCAGTCAGGGTCGGGGGTAAGTGGATGGTGAGGAGAGTTCCAAAAAGGAAAACTGACATCAACTCCTGCTTTTAGAGCTCGGCGGACGGCAGAGACCCAGTCTTGCTTGAACTTTTCGATGTCCTGCAAGGTGGCCTCGCGAGGGGTGATTGTGGCCGCGCTGTAGAGCTCGGGGGATGGGCCGATAACATTGCTTGGCCAGCCTTCTGACTAAAGATTGGTCAGTCACATCTATCGCATCTATCATCTAGCAATATAACTGTAGGTCGTACATAATCGCGGGCCGCGGCTTTGCGGTCAACCCACGGAGCCACAGTGCTGGCTTTGCGGATAGCTGCCCTGCAGCCAATAGGGCGAGCGAGTTCCAGCCAACAACATACAAGCCAAGGTTGCTGATTGGTATGGCGTAGTAAGCAACTGCAGAAAGAGACGACGTGACATACAGATTGCCTATCTGATCGCGCCACGTTCATATGGGATTATATATGCGAAATGTGAGAAATCACTGTTCAGTCGATTATTGCTCTCCTTTTTCACGCTCTGGGTTTTTTTTCAAGCAATGGCCTATTGAGAAATAGACAGGATCGTTGAAGGCTGCGAACACTTGATGAATGCCTTGCGTGGAATGGGCATGTGCCGTATAGCTCTGCAGGAGCTATGGAATGCTAAACACTCCTAGTGGTGAACAGGTTATACAGTCCAAGAGTGCTTCAAGAAAGGAGACAACTCTGTTCACATACGTCCGAATACTGTTTGTCAAGGACATAATCTCATTGAGTAAACTTCACATCAAACGATCGAAACTCGACATCTTCATCGAATGCTGCACTTTAACGCATCATGGCTATCAAGCCATCTTACTCATACGCCTTCAAGTGGTGTATTCCCGATATAAGAGGGATTGCCTCCGAACCCATTTACTTTTTCTCGTCTCTCTTGTCGTTGCCTGACGTCAGAAGCATCATCAGACTCATTCTCTTCTTCGGCGGCGCTGCCTTCTTCTTTTTCTGTTTTGCAGCTCCCCAGGAATTTCCCTTGTTGTGTCGTACCCAGAGGACCCTCTTCTTGGTCAACTTGGACTGCGGAGACTTAGTTACTTCCACAGCGGGTGGCGGACTAGTTGTCTTCTGGGGACCAACCTTCGTTCTTCCGCCCACCTTCCTCAGCCATTTCCTGATCTTGAACTTGTGTATGCGTCGGGCAAGCGTACGTGATGACTCATCCAAACGACTTTGACCGGGAAGCCCATCGGCATTGAGACCATGACTCGGGCTAGCACCGGGACCCGACTTTGAGGGCAGGTCTTCCAGCCATTCATCTGTTCCCCCGGATGCGGGACCGAAGCCGGCTTCAAAAATCGAACCTCGCTGGGGTAGTTGCATAAGGCACAAAGAGGAGTTTGGACTATCCTCGACTGTGGCGAAGGTGTCGGCTTGACTGCGTCTTCTCACGATGGTGGTCTCTGAAGCTGTAGCGTCTGTACTGGGTCTGAGAAGCGCCCTAGTCGACCACGCGGCCGAGGCTCTGGTATCCGTGCTGGGTCTCAACGCCTTTGTTGAGTAGTTATCGGTGTATTCCGTCATAGGCGTAGCTGATCGTTCACGCTCTACCCCGGACCGTGCCTTGGTGACGCAGGTGCCATCAAGTTCGGCCACGTTCATAGCCGAATCTTGATGGTCCGCACTGGGCTTTTGTGCGTTGACGGCATGGGTACCCCGAAGCTGGGCCATATGAGCCATCATGCCTCGACTGCCCATCCGGCGTTCTGGTGTTCTGGTCGAGCTAGCATCGCTGGGGTTAGTCATAATGGTAGTTGATGTTCTAGTTTCAGTAACAGGGCTTGTTTCCTTGATCGAGAGGTTACTCCGTGTTCCGGTGCCAACCCCATATACACTCGAAGATATATGCTCCAAAAGGTTGTTCAACTGGGTAGTAGTTGGCTCACAGGTCGAAGGTTGGGTGCATTCAGGTCCCATAACGTAGGCTATTCCGCAATCTTGGTCTTCAGCTTGAGAGTTGTTGGGGTTGCATCCTCCAGAGCTAGAGGCCTCCAATGGTCCGATGGAGTCGTGCGTGTTGCTCCCACTTGCAGTCCTCGAATTCGCCTCTGGTTTCTCGCCGATAGCGAAGAGTTCTTCGGCCAGACTGGGCCCGGCACCAGGCTCCGGGGCGGAACTGTCGCCTTCTGACGTGATGGAAAAGAGCCACGAGAAACGTGAATGCCGAATACAGTACTCTTTGATGTCGGAAGCTGAGTTGACACGCCGCCGCCGGCTTGTCGGTTCGGGAGAACGGCAGTTGTCTGGCGATGGCAAGCCTTCCGAAGGGTAGAAAGAGGAAGAGCTTCGTACAGGGTGTAGGCCTGCTACGACGACAGCGACATCGCAGGGAGACTCTTCTGAAGCAATTGCCACCTTGGTGACGGCGGCGTCACATGAACTCTCTCCGGAGGAAGAGCTGGGATGGGATGATGACTCTTGAGACGTCAATGTAGCACGTGTACAATTGTCACCTGGCAATCCGACGTGTTCTGGTTCCTCGTCCGAAAGCTGAGAGAATCCCCCGAGGCCGGGAAATAATAGAGCATCAACTCGAAGTGAGCCACGATCAATGGATGGCAGACGCGGGGCTGACGGCTCGACTGCTTTGGGGGTAGTCTCCTGATACTCGGATATATGGTGGTTTTTCAAAGGCGTGAATGGCTTCACATTCTCCAAGTGGGTTGCGAATGGCTTCGAGGCACTGTCCTGAGATGATATAGCACCGCCACTGTTTTCGTCTTTCTCCCAAAGCCCGGAGAAGGCAGCCGAGAGGTTCGTGCGTCGACGGGTGATTTCTTTGCCTAGGTTGACGGTGGAAAATTTTGGCGATTTGTTCGATCCTTCTCCCTGTAGCTTGTCCCGTGCAGACGTTCTGCTGGGCAATGATAGTCCGTAGAAAGCCATCTAGAGCATGGACTCGACGGCTAGATATTAATGAAGACTAGTCGTGCTATGTGAACAATCAAGAAGTTCTACTTGATGCACCAAGTATATTAACCTCACAAACCGTGTAGATAACAAGATGAAGTGCGGTCGTTTCATCATTGCCAACGGGATTGCCCATGACTTGGAAACTCACATGCGAACTGCGATTAGAAGCCATCGTTGCGGAAGCGGCTTCCAGGGCCAACAGTGTCTCCTCTCCCTGCCGAGAAGGAGGGTTTGGAGCTTCAAGCAATAGCTTCCGAGTCGAAGGCTCGCGTTCTTACTCAGTTTGAACGAAAATACCAAGTAAATGGTAGCCTAACGAAACATTACACCTTGTAATGTTGCCTTCATTTGCCATAAACAGAGAGGCAGGGACGCCTCAAATCCACTTGATCAAAACTGCGACGGGAAGTCGCGAACTAGTCTGCGCTGCCTTCCCGGCAAGTCGGTACAACCAGAGCAAACGTTTAGGCGCCCTTCACATTAATCCCAGGAGGGACCAAATGCAAGGAGGAACATCGACTTGCTCACAGCGGGTAGAGCGACAATGTCCCCCGTGTCCCCTACAGATTCAACATCAATGAAGGTTTGACAAGTTATGGGACACACTCGAGTCCCAAAGGATATGCCCAACACTGATTTTGTCTTCCCTAACGACTACGTATCGCTCGCTGAATTGCAAGCGAGGGATTGCGTCAGCCGGGAGCTCCAAGCTCTGCAGTGCAGGTTTCGTGTTGTCAGCATGATCATCAGGACACATTGGCGTAGCACAAAATCCCGGTCGTACAGCCTACCCCGATTTCTCGGAACCAGGGATTCGGAAGTCGTCTTGCTTGGTCGAGTCGGGAGGATGTGTGACCGATAAGATCATGCTTGCCACTCCGCTGCCGGGAATGCCACCATAACTAATGACTTCAGTGGAGAATGATTTGTCATTACCTCCCTTGCGGAAAGAACATTCGGCAGACAAGAGCATTTCCCTTAGAACGAGGACGGACGGGTCACGAGTGACAAAATGATCCTCCGTTGCCGAAACCTGATAACCTACCTTCGATCTTACGAGGCTGTGCAAACCTCGAAGACATGGAGCGGGATAACGGTCTCATCTTCGGATTTGCTTGGCGGATACTTTGGGAAACGGAAGGACTCAAGATCTACCGTTGGTCCTACGCTACGCTGTACGTTGTGCAAGCGAGCATCACGTCCACTCGTGTTCCGGTGTTGCTGGACTATATTCCATCTTGATCAACCACTTCCACCGAGCCTCCTGGTGAAAACAACAATGATCCAACTTACGCGCCTTGACAGATCCACATAAACCCCAACGATAGACCTGTCAAGGCACGAGGTGACATGGAAGTTCACGGAAGCAGCCGAACTGAAACTTGACGTTGCCAAGTGACGTTGAGACAACTCCAAAATACGCGGAGATAATCCCTAAACGCAGCAGTGCGCAGTGGCCCCAGCGCTGGCTACGCAATCCATCATGGAAGCATTAGAAGCGGTCAACCCCAACCATTCTGTTCCGTGACCCACTCACTAATCTGGCTCGAGTTAGCAACATACTACTGTCAACCCTGATTGGCAACAACTGAGAAAGCGATTGCCACGTACTATGAGATCACCTTCGCAGTTGCGATCTCAGATCCCCCCCATGCGCGGGATCACCCAATGATGGCATTGCTGGTTTCCTGCAGAGCTTCTCCAACGACGGCAAGCCAATTAGCCGCAGGCTCGTCAAAAGCTTCTTTAAGGGACCATGCAGAGGACTGATCCTTGCATCCTGCAGCAGCAGCAGCAGCAGCAGCACCTGATGGCGATACGTTGTGAGTGGCCATTATATGAATAAGACCCCAAACCCACCGCAGTACCACATGTGCTACACTTCGTATACAAATAACCCATCGAGACACATCTTCATCAGATTATTACATGTATTCATTGCTGATATTGTAACAAAACCAGAAACAGTACTATACATCTCTCCTTTCAAACCACATAACTATATTGAACCGCTGAGACAACATAACTCATGAGAAAATGGTTAAATTGACACCACCAGATCCTCGCAACGTCCTGCCTTCGAGGGCCGATCCTCACCACCGAGCTATACGCAAGGACTTGGAGAAGAAGCACGGCTATGGCTATACAGAACCGTTGGTACTAGCCATGCTGGGTGTCGGTTTGATATGGAACATTGGTCAGTATAGCTATTAGAGGTCGCAGTAACCGTCTTTTTGACGGAAAGCCGGTCTATCCACAAGGAAGAAACTAAATTATGTACTATCGCAGAAAATCAAGTGTCCAAACGCGAAGAACGCAAGGAAGAAGAGAACAAAAAGGAAGAAGAGCGCGAAGAGCGATGGCGTCGCAGAAGAGAAAATCGGATCCGCAGCGGGACTTGGGACCCCCGGCGCGAACACGATAGCCATGACCGTCGGAGCGAGCTCAGCGATCGCAGTGATCGAAGCGGCGGCCATCGTGATTCGAGTCGTCACAACCATAGAGACAATGGACGCACTGCCAGACGCTACAGGAGCGACGACGAAAGGGAGCATCGCGACGATCCCCGGCGTCTGGACTGCAGGGTTGAAGAGTATCCACGTCGCGACGATTATAAGGATCAGTGGAATGACTACCGATATGAAGAGCGAATGGATGGGAGTGTGAGACGCGGCAGTAGGCGGGACTCGTTCTAGCCACTACGGACAGTGGGATAGCATCATGGCTGAGAGAGATGGAAGCCACTTACTTGCAAAACTGAAGCAGATAACAAGTACATAACTGCATCATTGCATCTGCTGTTTGGAGGCGATGATCATGACACACGGTTGATCAAATGCTCATACCAAGCATCATGAGAAGGATCGGTATATTTCAGTTGGCCGGTGCATTGTGGGACTTAGCATCATGAATTATTACGACGATGATGCGAGACGATCTCATATTGACGTTACGAAAATGAAACTGGGTTTGGTTTGGGAAGGGGTTGGGTCAAGGTAAATTTAACGATGCATCACAACTTGAGAATGTTGGCCGACTAGGTCACATGCATTGTCTATTACGCTGCTGTTTATTTTAATAAAACCACCCCGTACAACATGTATCCCGTCATCTCGCTCGCCATGTTATATCTTTGTATTATTTGTTCGACTCAGCACTTTTTCAGCTGCCTCAACCAACACCTGAAAATGATGCTTCACATGCTCCGCCTCCACAAATGGCGTACTGGGACAATGCCGAATAGCAAACACCCCACCGACCACCGTACTCGAGAGGAAGATCTTCCCCTCAGCATTCACAACATCGTGCAATGTCTTGGTGACGGCATTCTGGTCCTCAAGGGTGGCACCCTCGATCTCCTTTCCCTGAAGTTTGAAGACCGTCAGCGCAAACCTAGGACCCGTAACAATCTCAAACAAATCCTGCCTCGTTTTCACGAGCCCAGCAAACATCTCCCCAAACCCGATGTGCTTCCGAATATGAGCCTGCAACCCCTTGATGCCGTAAGTCCGAACCACAAACCAGATCTTCAGACTCCTGAACCGGCGCCCAAAGGGAATCTGCCAGTCGCGGTAATCGGTGACGAGTCCAGAATCAGTGTAGTCGTTACGCAGAATAGCGAGCGATACGCCGAGGGCCTCGATGAGCCAGCGGCGGCAGCGCACCCACAACACGCTGCAGTCGAAGTTGGTGAGCATCCACTTGTGCATATTGGTGTTGAAGCTGTGGAACTTGTCGAGGTTTTGGGACAGGTGCTGGTACTCGGGACAGATAAGCGCTACGCCCGCGTATGCCGCGTCGACGTGCACCCATAGCTCACCTGGGCCGGGGGGAGCAAGCTCGGCTAGCACGGCGGTGATGGAGTCGAAGTCGTCAATGGAACATGTGTCGGTCGTGCCTAAAGTGACGGTAAGGTAAAAGGGCTCTAGCCCCTTGGCGCGGATCTCGGTGATGGCCTTCCGGAGCCCTTCGCCCGTCAGCTTGTACCCGTCCTCGGCGCGAACGGGTACGGCGCGGAAGCGCACGCCAGCGATCATGGCAGCCTTCTGAGTGGCGCTGTGGGTAGCGGTGCTGCCGAGGGCGACGAGCTTGCTGCGTTTCAGCGCGATGGCATCTTCGAGCTCCTCCGAGCCAGGGGCTAAGTGGGAGGTAGCTTCGCGGAGATATTTATCCCTCGCGGCGACCATGACCGTGGCGATGGCTTCGGAGGCGGTGCCGTGGATGACGCCACCGCCGTGTGTGGAACCGTTGGATAGGTAGCACTCAGGTAGGGCGAAAGCCCTGGCTAGCCAGTCGAGAACGATAGTCTCCAGCTCGGTGACGGCCGGAGAGCAAATCCAGTTGAATCCCGCGCCGTTGAAGGCAGCGGACCACATCTCGCCCAGCATGCCCGGGAAGCTCGACGAGCAGGGGAACCAAGCTAGGAAATTGGGTGACTGCCTGGTGACGGGAGTGAGTTACCAAACCTTTGGGAAGTGCTGAAAGTGAAATTCACGCACCAGTGAGTGAGACCAGGCACGATCTTGACCTCAATGTCTTTCTGAATGTCAGCCCATGCCTCGCCATCTTCGGGCGCTGCATCTGGGAGCAGCTTTCGAAGGTATCCCGGCTCGACCTTAGATACGACATGGCGCTCGCCTATGGTGTCGTAGTACTTGGCAACTTGGGCAGGTTAGTCGGTGAACTCAACGCATGAAAGTGTGGGCGAATGGTCTTGGTATATAACTCACTCTCGTCGATGGAAGCAACGGCTGCTTCTCTGAACTGGTTTGAATCCATCACGGCTCATCCACCGATTTCTAGGACAGATGGGATAACTGGATGATAACTGAATCAATAAATTAAAAAAAAAAGGGATGCTGCATATAGAAGACAATCTCAACAGCGCCATCCTCAACATGCTGTATCGGCGCGGGCTTAATGCAACCCGGTGGGTCTTTCTGGTTAGAATCGGACGTGGGCGCAATTGCCGTGCAAATCTTCAGCTTGTCACGGCCGGAAACATTTGGCCACAGTGCTCACTGGAACAAGTTCTACGAGATGACTTAATTAGGACCACGCAGCTAAAACCGCCCCGGTTTCCGAAACGCAACATGTCGATGCAAATGTCTGTTTCTAGAAGTTGTGATGCAGTGAATGATAAAAGTGGGCCTAGACATGTACTGCAGTACCGCAGTACCAACGACAATGTGTCGAATTTTCGTATAATCATACCAACATGCAAACAGCACATGTAGTCTCTGCCGATAAATCTGGGGATAGATGAAGGCGTCTTTAGATAGGCTATACGATTGATATCGACAACCGGGGGTATAAACAGTATAAGTTCAACAAGAGAAAAGTTGTATTCAATCTCGAGTTCCCTGTATAAGCGGAAACGGCTACCCAAAAGGTTCTCTGCTAAGCATAGCACCCAGTTTCTCAGAGCTGAAATAATACAGTTTCTATGATCCGTTCTCGAGTAGCTGGCCTTTTCTCCGTGGTACGGCCTGTCTTCAAACTAAGTGCCACCTACTTAAGTAACCAAGGTACGAAACTTGATCCTTAGCAAAGCGCTTGATTGGGCGATAGTCGATACATCGAGGTCTTGGAGTGGGGTCTAGTTGAACCTTAGGGCAAGCGGCGCACTAACTCCTGATAGTCGGTATATATGCCAATCAAATGGAACCCGATACCATCTGGTCGGATGGTGTAGTTGGTTATCACGTCAGTCTAACATCTCTATCGAGGAGTTCACTGAAGGTCGGGAGATCGAGCCTCCCTCTGATCATGAATCATTTTTATCAATCCCCCAAAATGTTTGGTGGATCATGTGAAGGTCAACCCTCGCAGACTCACTACAACCAGGTGACTTACAGCTGGAACACCTGCCATGGCAGTGCCAGATGGGAAGCCAATCATAACCCCTGCAGGAGCCCCGCCAAGCGTGGACGACTTAGTCGCGCTCCCTCAAACCTAAGTTGTCATCTTCTTTCCTTCGCTCCTTAGAGTAGAATCTTCGTCGATAGCACCTAATCGAGGTCTCTACCAATGCGATGCAACCCAGGTCGTGACAGATCATACTCTAATTTATCCCCCCGCCACATACGCTCAATGTTCTGTAGTCGGTCATATGAAATATTGTTGGAGGACTGTATGTCCAATCTGAGATCTGAATATTGCTCACTTCCAGGAACCATTTCACAAGTTGTACCCGGTGCTATCATTACTTGATAATTGATAATAGAGTATTAACGTACAACCCCACCACCCACCTTTCTGGCCACACATTGCAACCCAATTGAAGGTATTCGAAACAGTGTATTCAACGTACTATTATAGCTATTCAGGTACAACCAGGGTATATTCCAGTTGCAGAGAAGCCTAATTGTATATTACTGATCGTGAACGACTTCGTATATGCCTCGATGTATAGCGAGAGGAACGTCGACTTTTTAAATGGAATAGAACAGTACTCGATCGAAAGAGAGGTCGCTAACGAGCGATAGTACCGCTTTAATGGAGCAAATACGGCGACGTCGAGAGGTTGGAGCCCGTGAGAACAGTGTGCTGGCAAAAATAGTAACGAGATCTTGTTACAATAGGCTAACCACATAAACTCGACGTTGTCGTGAGCGATATGACCATCTAATATCAAGAGCCGCTGCTCGTCGGGATCAACTGGTTGTGTACGAGGTATAAAGATATCACGAAGCCATCGAACGGCGATATCTGTACTGATCCAACCGTTAGACGAATAAGCATATTGCCAATCAGGTATATCGTCGCAATCGTTAAACCATTTCCCTAGATAGCTTCATCGACGCGATTGACGCGTCAGAATGGCTGAGGCCATCGCCGAGTCGTAATTGGAGAGTAGAGCGTGGAACGCCCCATCGGAGGGGAGCCTGGCGGTGGGATATCCCTTGATTGATATGTTGAGAGCGCCTTGAATCGAATTTTCTGAATATCGAGGCATTGTATAATAATAGCCAATACCGACGATAATCTGTTGTGCCGAAGGTTGTTGTAGTTGGCAGATTAGGTGTGACAGGCTGTGCCTGATATGGGATCCGGAGCTGCAAGGACCGTGCGTCCGGATCCACCAAAGGAACCATCGAGGGCATACAAAACATAGTCCGTGTTCCCGGGACAACTCGCATATTTTACTTTCCTCCTCAGTTAGATAATTAACAGTATTTGGCCATGTTGAGCTGTATAGTTTCGCAGTGAGCCCGTCACATTAGGTGGCCATAAAGGTGGGGTTGTACGTTACAGTAGGTGGTGATAAAATTGCTGCTCGCTGCTTTTTAACTAAATGTGCCACCACACCCCACTTATTTCGGACTCGCTCGAGCTCACCAACTTGGCCGGTTTTTTGACGGGTTTTAATCTTCAAATAGGATCTCCGTAATAACCGCTAACCAAGGCCTGTCCCGAAGACATCTGTAGGCTTTAATCGGCCTGTTAATCGACGTCTTCTAGCTTCCTTCGTGGTATCAAAAAGGGTATTTTTAGCTGCTCTGTGTCGTGATGCTTGTTAACAACTCTCTGTACTTTAGCTACCTTATCTTTAACCTTCTTTTTTACTATCTCCCTACCTTTTGTAGCAGATAAAACCCCACAAGATTGTAGATAGTAGTTTTTAGTAGCCTATCGTTATTTTAACATACGTTTATACTTAGTTCGGCTTAGATTACGCTTCGTCTAAATAAGCTCAATCGTATTATAAGTCAGGGTGCGGCTGGGCCGCAGGCAACAGTACAGAGGAAGGAGAGCATTAATGATACGAAAAGATAGGGGGACCCACTGATTAGATGAATCCCATTCAATTAGGTACGAGGTCCCTGGGTATCTCATAGATAGACAGTCTCTACTGTAGTATTAATCTAAGTATTAATCTAACCTATTAGTAAGGTATACTACCTTAACGACTCTATTCCTAGATACTCTTTAGTACTGTAGTGGGGCCAGGCCGGACATCAGGGAAAATGGGTGGCAGGGGGCAGGGAGGATCCCTTTTCTTCGCTTCAAGAAGTACGCAGGGACTGATCACAACCTTCCTTCATCATCTCTTCCATCATCTTCTTCTCAACCTTTGTTGTAGTTAGTCAGTCAATCTTGAGTTTATTCATTTTCACACATGCATGCATTCAGTAGCTTTCAAGAACTCATTATTTTGCCCTCACTTTAGCCTTGGCAACTATAGGAGGCTTCATCTTGTCCTGATCAGACCAATCCAGTGCCAGTGACAGCCTCAATTCGACTCCCAGAGGCAGGCGTCCTATTCTGAGAATTGTCCCGTCACTAATTACAGAGACACGTCCGACCAACTTGCTTTTTTTTTCTTCAAGAGGCGCGCAGAGACAGTTCATCATCATCTTTTCTTAGTCAATTACTTAGTCTTCGATTCATTCGTTTCACATATAAATTCAGACATAGCTTTTCAAGAATCAGTTCTTTCGCCTTCACCTTAGCCTTGACAACTACAGAAGGTTTCATTTCGTCCTGATCAGACCAACCTAGTGCCAGTGACAGCTTCGTTTCAACGCCCGGAGACAAGCATCCTGCTCTGATATTCATCCCATCGCGAATACAGGGCACACATCCGACCAACTTGCGTACCCAGAGTCACAAGGCTTGTAGGAGCTTCGTCTGATCAGACCTCAGATGGAATTTGTTAGTGCTGGAGCCGTCTTACCAGTGGTTTAGGTGGTGGGTATATCCTACTGACCGTCTGACCCCGTTTCAGTACCTGAATACCCGTGACAGTGTACTACTGAGCCGAGTGGATAGTCCCCGTGAGTAATAACGAAAGCTGGTACTACGCTACTAGTAGTAGAGATAGCTCTAATAGCTGTTACCGTCACTCTATTTTCTAGCAGGCCGAAGTAATGAGCCCTCTTGTGCTTAGTGATAATAAGTTAATCCTTGCTAGCACTAATCCATAAGGCGGTCGATATAATTACAGAGGGTCTTTTCTTCGGCTTTAGATAGTAGTTTGTTAAGTCCTCCTTGGTTTTTAGGCTTTCCGCTTGCTTAACGCGGTACCGGAGGGTCTCGTGTTATACGCCGCTTTCACGCGCAATCTTAGCAATTTTTGCTTGAGGATGCTCTTGTATATAGAGGACGGCTTCCTGTAGCTGTGAGTCTTTTGCGATTGGAACAAGCTGGTGAATTCATGAAGATATGATAGGTTGAAGTTGAAAGTAGTGAAAAACTGGCCAAGTGGGTGAGCTCAAACGAGTCTGAAATAAATGGGGTGTGACACGGGTATCTATTCGTATACTAACCCTCTGCTTTGATAATATATTCAACGCGCTGGGGCATGGAATCAGACAGATTCCGTAGTATTTGTTGCGGTACCGCGCGCCACGCTTGTTTGGAAGCTCCAACAAGTGCGTGAAGTGTTTCTTCCGTATCCGCTGCGTGTTCGAGCTACGGATAAAGCCTATAGATCTCCCTTTTCTAGCAGCGAAACTATTGTGGGCTTGATAAAACAGGCAGGAAACAGAAGAGGCGGTGAGAGTATGGTGTCGGTATAGTCGCGCATCAACCTGACCTCTATGACTCAACCAGGCTGCGCAATGTTCGACCACCTCAACTACCCGACGTAGACGCCGAGCGGTTGCATTGGATCTTCCAGGAATACTTGGGTAACTTATCGTTCCAAGTCGATCGCTGCTCTCACTACCTCGACAAAAATGCACCTAGTTCCGTTATCGAACTCGAAGCCAGGTTCGCCAAATAAAGTGACGGCTTTCTTCCGTGGAAGCTGACTTGTCTCTGCGATCTACTATGCAACGTAGGAATCAGCACACTAGTTGAAGATAATCACATGTGTAAGAACACTCATCAAGCGGCGCGTGGACTGGGATAGTCGGGGATCTGGGTCACTGCTAGACGGTAAACACTTTGAGCAATTATCGAACAGGACACCAAGATCACCCTCTCTACAGAGTCTTAGTTATGTTCCTTTACCGCTCGTGTGTCTATCGTCATATTTTACATACACACTTCCTACAAGCCAAAGCCTTGGACAAGGCCAATTTGCCGCCAAGCAGCCAAGCTACTTCGTGCTCGGCCATCGAACATATAGCGACAGCAGGATTGACGGGGTTCCAACCGGGGACACCGGGGACATTCGGGGTCCGTGTAGAGTCCGTGACGAGATCAGGGTTGGCCTGCAAGCTGGGCATATCCCTGTAACCTTTCAAAACGGTCTACTACGTAGTCCACGCTGTGAAAGCACCCCCTTTTTCGAGTCCTGACGGCGTTTGTTTAGTCTGTCTGATCAATACATACCAGTATCGCGAGAACTACAAATTAGACCAGAACCACTCTACGGCGTGTGAAGACACAAAACAAATAACGTCGCCAGCTTGGTTCCTACAGAGAAGAAAGCCAACTTCCATTGCTGCAAGTGGATCTGCGGCACTTGTAGCCAGTGGATACGTGCGATGAAACACAACCTGAACCAATAAGAGTTGTCTTCATTACAACCCTCCATAGACATTATCCCCATGACGTGAACACACGAAACTAGCGATAGCGGGATCTACGTGAACAGAGTGGCGCACAAGGTTATAGCTTTGAACACCCCGCAATACTATGATTGCAGCTTTTGATCCGGTACCCCTCTCCGACGTTGTAATGGTCGTTGATTCGCCTGATCCCTCCTATCTAGAGCTGGGGAGGACTAGTTCATTTCGTTGGCCCGCAGTAGCATTGCTGGTAGGTGGGGATGGATCACGAATTGCCTGAGATTGATGGGCTCAAGCCAAAAGAACGTTGTATTTGCTTTGGTTTTCTCGGCTCCCATCTGCTCAATCTAGTCAGGTGCGGCGGGGCTTCGGCTCTCTCAGTTGCTTGGACTGACCTCGAAGGCCGGCCGATGGCTTCCCGAGATGTGCAGTTGTGCATCTCGTCCCAACTTGGGTTCGTCTTAAAACGGCTGGTGTGAACCCGTCAATATGGATCTGTCAAGTCATCGTAAACTCTGTTGTCGTTGTTGAAGAAGACCCCCGGCATAGAGTTTATATATCTATTATCAAAATGCCGACGCTCACCAACCTTGAGCTCACGAGCCTGTTGCCCGAGGAGCTGCCGGTCTCTGTGGTTGGGATTATCGCGACCGTCGTCATCGGTATCATATACTCGGTTCTCATGAAGGAAAGGCCCCTGGCTGGGTTTCCTCTCGTCGTAGTCGAAGGACAGACGCCGCGGAACAGTTGGCTGTACCATGCCCGACGACTTATCATCGAAGCACAGAAAAAAGTATTAACCATCCCAAGACAAATCGGCTCCCGACTTCGTCACTAACTCCAAATCTAGCACTCCGGCGCTTTCCAAGTCATGACCGGCACCGGACCCAAAATCATCCTCCCTAACCGCTACGCCGACGAGCTCCGCAACAACCCTTTCGTTAACTTCAACAAAGCCTTCATGAAAGACTTCTTCATTGACTACCCTGGCTTCGAGCCGTACAAGCAGGGCCTTGCGGACGCAACCCTGGTCCCGGAAACGGTTCGCGTCAAGCTGACCCAGTCGCTAAACCTCATCACCGATGACCTCGTCGACGAGACTACCGCCTCGGTCCACGACATCTACGGCGAGGACCCTGAATGGAAGGCCATCAGCTTGCGCAACTCGGTGGCGGACATCGTGGCCCGTCTCTCGTCGCGCGTGTTTCTGGGGAAGACGCTCTGTCGTGATAAGCGGTGGCTGGAGATCACGAAGACGTATACGATAGAGTCTTTCATCGGCTCGTATCTTCTGCGTCTCATCCCCGTGCTTTTGAGGCCTCTTGTGCACTGGTTTATTCCGCAATGCAAAGCCTGCCGGACAGCTATCCGTGACGCCCACAAGCTAATCGACCCGGAGGTGGAACGGCGTAAGGCGGCCGTCGACGATGCGTTAAGAAGGGGTGTTAAGCCGCCTAAGACGGCCGACACGATTGGCTGGATGTACGAGGTAGCTAGGGGGAGGCACGTGGACTACGTAGCCGGACAGTTGTCTCTGACGCTGGCGGCTATCCACACGACCACCGAGGCGCTGTCGACCGCGATGCTAGATATCTGCGAGTTCCCCGAGACGCTGCCGGAGCTGAGGAAGGAGATTGTCGAGGTTATCAGCGAGCATGGGTGGGCCAAGACGTCGCTGTATAAGCTCAAGCTCATGGATAGTTTCTTGAAGGAGTCGCAGCGGTTAAGCCCTACCGATATGAGTATGTGCATCCCTCGCTCCCTCCCTTCCCCCCGTTACCTTTCCCTTTCCCTCTTATCCCCCTTTTGACGACAAGGTTCATTTCCACTGACATTCAAAGCCTCGATGAACCGCTGGGTCGAAAAGGAAATTACCCTTTCCGACGGCACCGCGCTCCCCAAAAACAGCCGTATTTCGGTCTTGACCAACTACGACGACCCATCCATCTACCCAGAACCCGAGAAATTCGACGCCGCCCGCTTTCTGAAGATGCGCCAGCAGCCGGGCAACGAAAACGCATGGCAGGTAGTTAGCACGAGCGCGGACCATATGGCCTTCGGTCACGGCCAGCACGCTTGCCCGGGTAGGTTCTTTGCCACTAACGAGATCAAAATTGCGCTATGTCACTTGCTGCTTAAGTATGATTGGCAGTTTTTGCCTGGGGAGGGAAGGCCCGAGGCTAGTTCGATGGAGTCGACGACCTCGGTTAGTCCCACGGGACGGGTGCAGTACCGGAGGAGGGTGGCGGAGATTGATTTAGATAACGTGAATTTGGGATAGAGAGGTTATGGTCGCGTTACCTGTAAATAGTACGAGGATATCATCAAGATCTAATATCACTCACGAGTGGGCAGTATGCGCTTTTCGATTTCGTTAGCTCGGGATCCGCAGGTAATAGTCATCGTTCACGTGAAAATCAATAGTGCTATCCGCTACTTAAATACTGTTAAAAATGGAGGGGTGAATGACTGCTCAACTGATTCTCAGCCGGGGACTATGTATGGTTAAATAGACTGCGGTCAGCAATATTTGGTATCTGTGGGATTGAGCGCCATATGTGTGCCTGAGGTGGTGCCTAAGGCAGTGAAATCGTTTGTGTAGATAAAAAGGTCGGCACCTGCCTACCTACCTTAGATGTAACTTCTTACAGAGGACTCCGAGCAGTCAATACACACATCACACTGCGCATCGAGCATCGTAACCAATACAGGATCTGTACAGAGTCATCATCTGAGGGTTGAATCCCTCAGTATCTAGTACTGCAGATTTACAGGTGTCCGAATTGCGCCTGAATAGCACTAAAGGCGGGGTAAACTCTACTTACATATATAGTTCAGATTGTCCAGACAAACATTACGTAGAGAATTAACCTCTCTTTCTAGCTGAAATTCTATAACTGCCAATATGATAAAACGGGCTGTCTAAAAGGCAGGCTAATCAACGCGCCTAACTTGTGTAAGGCCATGTAAGGCCGATTGCGAGGGTGTGGCCCATAACCATAACCTAACCGCCTTGCATACCCACACCACCTGCAATTCAGCGGCGCAGGGGTCTGTCTGTCCCTAGCTTCTAGTAACATCTCGCTATAACCGGTTTCGCATGATCAAACCTGGTAACAAGTGGATGGCGGTCGACGCCTCCGCTCGCTATGAACCGAGTGCCTATTCTCAGAATTCACTAGACGCCAATGCGCAATACCGTCTGCTCGTTTATCACCTGTAGGGATGATGAACACTGCTACACATTACCTATCCCGTATGTACCCGGATTGGTAAGAATCATACCGAGACTCGGATTATAGCTGTCTTCCGCGCGCTGGGGAAGAAGGAATCAGATGCGTCCATAAATTTCTGCAACGGCTCGAAGACGCGAAGTGCAGCATAAGCGGTAGTCGCGCCGGGTGGTTTCTGCTTTCATAATAGCCCATCGATTTTCGAGAGGACTCAAGTTCGGGGATACGGTAGCCACTTCATTACTTTGATCCTCCTATCCCGAAGCAAAGCTCGACCGATTTTAGCTGGATGGACTCTCGCGTTATCGTACATAAAGATACCGTCCCGTCCAACGAATTCTAGTAAGAACGCATCGTATAGAGCTCAGACATTACGCGCTGTAACTCCGTTTCTTCGTGATTCTTCATCGCCGTCGAGGGGCACCAGCCCAGTCCGATTCGCTTAGCAAAAACATGCCCATGATGTCGTCTTTACGCCTTTCCCGTACGGACTTCCTGGACGTCGCCTAGGCGAGCTTATCCTACGGTCGCGCAAAAGTCCAAACGGGCTGGACACCGATACCGCGTTTAATGCTACACTCTTCGCTCTGACGAACGTGTTGCCGCTACGTCGCGAACTATCGTCGATGTCGCCGAGCCCACTGAAGGCGTTGACAGGCATGTTACTTAGTAAGCAAAGGTCATCGTTTTTGTAGCTATTTCTATTTACCCATCTCCCGAAGCAGCATCCGGAGGGCCCGGTCTTTAATCTTATTGTCGACAGTAGCTAGTAGGTCCCGGTGCTTTATGTGGGGGTTCTCGTGGTTAACAATATCGTAGATTCGGTCGCGATCTTCTTCTGTTAATTTTCGCGGTGCGCCGCGCGGTTTCGTAGGCGTCGGATCGTTGAGTCGTCGAGCTTCTCGTATACAATGGGACTTGATCGTACCCAGCTTGATCTTGGGGTGCTTCGCGTGGATTCGATTCGGTGACCAGCCGAGGGACCGAAGCTCTGAAATCCGCATCTTCATCTCCTTCGAAAGCCCCGGTCCACGCGCCATTTCGTTGACTGTGAATAGCTTCAACACGTTGTTGCTGTTGTTACGGTCATAGTAGTAGGTAAAGCAGCAGGCAGCCTCTTACCCCTTTTCAGACTTAGTGGCTTGGCGGTTCCCGACAGGGTAGCAGATTTATTGCCACCTACTGTATCTAAGACAATTGTGTCCATCTAGGTGCTAAGTACTAATCTAAAGATGATGTGTTAAGTCGGAATCCAGGTAGTAGGGGCTGCATCCCGAGCTGGCCGTGAGGGGTCTCTAAGTACTACAACGCGTGCGTGCCTGCTTCGAACCCCTCCACACCTGAGACGACTTCCTATTTTAACCCATGTGATTTGCCGCAAAGGAACGAACGGCACTCTAGAGGTATCGGGACACCATCGCCATTTCGATGCTGCGCCAGTGCGCGTCTATCACGCGATAACTGGAGGACGGAGAGCAAATCAAGTCAAGTTAGTGGTATCTTGGTAGATATCCTCTCACGGATGATCCTCGAGAGACTAAAGCACGGAACTTCTGAAGACAGCTTATGACGAATATACGTCTCGTTCCGCGGACTACATACACAGACAGTCTTGTATATATATGCCTGTACCAGAAGGAAATCTGCCGACAGGAGACAGTTTCTAGACATGTTTCCTAAGCTACCATCTCATGCAGCACTCGAACTTCCAGCCTGCGCTGCACTCCCTCCAAGATTTCCCTTCCTCGACTTGTCCAAATCATCATCCACCATCGGCAAACCCGGGATCTCCACGCCCATAACCCTACACTCAAATCCGATATACGCATCACTCACAACTAGTACATCGACCTTGCTACCCCTACTAGACTCGGGAAGCTTAAGCAAGACCTTTGCAGATGGTCTCGATCCCACACCAACAGACTGGCCCGGACCCTGACTCCACCCCATGCGTTTGACTGCAATAACCTCATCCTTTGCCACATCGCAGATGATGGCGAACCAGCCTTCGCTCTGCGGCTTTGGGTACTTGGGTGCGTATATGCGTGCCTCGCGCTCTACGATGGGATTGCGGCGCTTGAGGGACACGGTGAGTGAAAACCCCGTCACGTCTTCGGTGCGCACGTTAACGTTGGGGATGATCGAGGCGGCGCGAGCAAAACGGCCTTGCTGAGAGGCGAGAACGTTGAGTTTCTTGGCTAGCTGTTCCACTTGGGGCCGTTGGAGGGTGCTCAGTTTCTGCAGCGGTGTCGTATCCTCAAGGGTTTCTAGGTGGACACCAGGCAGGATTGACAAAGGAGGGTCTTGAGGCCATCGGCCAGACTTGACGCACTGGAGAAGCTTAATCATCTGCAGGCAGCTGGAAAGGTAGCCAAGCTCCGTCAGGACGTCGATCGAGGCTTGGATGATACGAATTGCTTGGTCAAGCACGCTCGTCTGGTCACCGACGTAATCCGCGATGGGGAGATCGATGCGAGCCATGTGTGCTTGCAGTAGTAGGAAGGCCTTCACATGTGGATCCCACATGGGTAGGCCAAACGAGTTGCCTGAGAAGGGCAGGTTGCGGGACAGTTCCTCGTTAATGAGGTCTTCGTTGTGGCGAACCGGAAGCTCGTCATATTCGGCCGCGCTAGACATCCAAGCCAGAACGTCGGAAAAGGCGGCTTTGGGCTTGGCATGCTTGACGAGATGGCGAATGGTCTTGTGCGAAAGGTAGTAGTAACTCATGATCTTTCCTAGTGGTGTGGGATCCACGTCGCCATTTGGATACACATCCACACACTTTGAAGCCGCAAGCTCATCAAGTGACTTGTTCACCATGTCGACCATATAAGTATTGGCCGTCTGCTGGGCCGCGATCGTGTTGTGCTCCTTGGCAGATATCTCCAGACCGTAGTACGAAGGGTTCTTTTGAAGTCGGCGGAAGAAGAACGTCCAGGTCAAGTAGTCCAGAGCGTCTTGCTTGGTGACGATGGTCTCGGCTGAAACTTCGGCACACAAGTGGTTATCCAGGACAGTGTGCAACGAGGACTCGACAGGGAAGCCAGTGTGGAGGAAGTGCTTGTAGAAATCCTTCTTCGCATCCTGAGTGAAGATTCGAGCCACCCCCGAGTTATCGAACTGAGGACGACCAGCCCGACCCAGCATTTGCAGTACATCCGTCAGATCCATGTCTTTATAGCCTTCGATCTTGGCATCATAGTACTGCGTGCCTTTGACAACAACAAGATGTGCTGGCAGGTTGACACCCCAAGCGAGGGTACTCGTAGCAACGAGGATTTGGATCTTGTTGTTCAAGAAGAGTTCTTCGGACAGCTGCCGATCAGACTCAACGAGACCGGCATGATGCAGTCCAATACCGAGGCTGATGGCCTCCTTCAATGCTTCATCTTTAATCCTAGTAAGGTTGAGTTGGAGGTCTTCTTCGTCCATGCTGAGGAACCGACGAGGGTTGTCCTCCATTCCACAAAGGTTGATTAAGTCCTTGGCTGTCAGTCGAGTCTGTCGTCGCGATGGAACGAATACGATGACTGGCTTGTCTGGACTGTGCGTCTTGACTGCCATGAAAGTCGGCCGATTCATTGACTGCATCAACGGGCAGAAGCCACGAACCTCTGGAAATCCGTCTATGTACAGCTCTAACGGAACCGGCCGTACAGAGTGTCGGAAGTTAAATAGTCCTTCCTTGACTCCAAGCCAATTGCCAAGATCCGTGGCATTGGCGCAGGCAGTGGACATGCCCAAGAGCCGGATGGTACTTTTGGTCATTTCAGCGATGTAGTTCATACGTGACACGATGATTTCGAGAATCGGACCTCTATCTCCAGCGAGCAGATGGATTTCATCAATGATCACAAGAGCGACCTGGCGAACGTATCCTCTCGTTTGCCAACTACGAGAGATACCGTCCCATTTCTCCGGAGTTGTAATGATGATGTCCGCATCTTTGATCGTCCTTGTGTCTGGGGTGTTGTCACCTGTCAACTCGACGAGCTTCAACCCCAATGGCCGCGCAAGTCGAACTCCCCAGTCCTTGACTCGTTCCCGCACAAGCGCTTTCATCGGCGCGATGTACACGACCTTCGAGCCTGGTTTCTCTCGGAACGCCCACCACATGGCGAGTTCTGCAGCAACCGTTTTCCCACTGCCGGTCGGAGATCCAAGAAGAACATTTGCTGGGGTGTGGTAAAGCGTGTGGAAGATTTGCGTCTGCATGGGGTTGAAGAATTGGAATCGTTGGGCATAGATATCCTCCAAAGCAGTATTCTTGAGGGCCGAAATGGGCAATGGCTGTAAATTGAGCAGATCTGTGTATACGCTCTCCGTATCAGGACGGATGAGATGCTGGAAAGAGACAGGCGTAACGGTTTCGGCCCCTAGCCATTTGTCTGAGATTGCTCGCACATAGATCTGAGTGGGCAATGGATCTGAGAGGGGTATGGTGAAGTTGAGTTCATGATCATCATAGAGCTTTCTCCTGTTAAGCATGAAATACTCGTGATGATAAATCTCGGAAGTTTCTGAGTTCTCAACCCAAATATAGAATGACTCGGATGTTCCATGAATGTGGTCGTTCCATTTGAAGTCGGGGGTGATGAACAGCTTGATGCGCAAGACATCACGATTGAGTGGTGCAATCTCCGCATCCACCGTGACCGTGGGAAAGTTGTTTAAGATACCGGCTATTTTCTTGCCGGCGTTCTGGTTATGCACCAGTCCCCCTATTTCCGCCGGTTCCATGTCGCGCATCGTCTCGATGCTGAGATTATCTTTGGCATCGAGTTGGTTCATGACAGATTTGGGAAGATCAAACTGGTAAAGCGGGTGTTGAAACGGCCAGATGCGTTTCTCGATTGACTTGGCCATTGTCAGAAGAACCAGACACTGGTGGCCCCAGCGGCGGTTAAGAGCCATCATGAACATCGCTCGGCAAATCCTCCCCGACTGTTGTGCGACATAGTTGAGATCATTGGACAGAGCAAAGTCTTCGGGCTGCGCGCGGGAGATGAAAGACTGTAGCAGAATGTTAGTTTTGGCTTGAGGGGTATCGATGCCTCCAGCCACGTTGCAAGGGGCAACTGTATCTTTCAACCGTAGGAGTTCGTCGGCTTCACTGTCCCTGGAGTGGACGTTGTCGAATTCTCCACTCATGCTTATCATCTTCAGGATATCAGCTTCGGTAGCCTGAGGCGCCATCATGGAGTTGAAAATCTGAACGCTTGTTTGCAGGATATAATATTGGCTTGCGATACGACCAATGTCCTTGCTTCGTAGATCCTCTGTAGTCTCATTGAAGATGATCATCTGGCTCTGTTGTAGAGTTCTAGCTGCCTGAATGGCTAGTTGCCGACGTCTCTGGACGAGAGTTGGATCGTCTCTGATCTCGGCCCATTCAATGCCGTACGTCATGGGGCTTCGCTGCATTCGGACGAACAAGAAGGAATATCCAATCCACTGCACCGCCTCAGGTATAGAGGTGACGGTTCCTAGTGCGATTTCGGCGTTGAGGTTGTCTACCAGTTTGGAAGAGAACTTGGACTCAATAGGTTGTTGTTCCGTGACCGCCGTAAGGTAGTGTGGCAGCTTGTCCGCGGTCGTGCAGATCATGCCAATACCTACATCCTCAAACTGAGGGCGACCAGCGCGACCAAAAATCTGCAGCACGTCCAGAATACCAAGATCGATAAATTTGCCATCCTGGGCGCTGTAGACTTGAGTGCCTTTGATAACGACCGCAGCTGCGGGCAAGTTTACACCCCAAGCGAGGGTTGCAGTACAGCAGAGCACCTTAATGACGCCTTCGCCAAAGAGTCTCTCCATAATGTTTCTGTCAGACCGTGTCATACCGGCATGGTGAATACCTAAGCCCTTGGGCAAGAGATCTCTGAGTTCACGAGCTCGACAGGACTTCATGTCTCTGACAGCTTGGTCGTACTTGGGATGGCTCTGGGGGTCAAAGAGATCCACGCAGACTTGGTCGACGGCTTTCTCATACAGCATCTTGGCTGTCTGCATCGTGTCTCGCCTGGAGTGAACGAAGACCATGATCTGGTGATCCTGCTCCAACATTTCGCGAACTTTGTCAAATGCGACTTGATCGAGATTCTCTCTGGATTGCTTAGATCCAGCTTTCCCTTTCACGCCGATGAAGTGTTGCTCTAGGGGAACTGGACGGAATGAAGCATCGAAGTAGAAGAGTCCAGCATTTCGATTGACTTTGAGAAAATCGGCAACGTCGATGAAGTTGGGGAGCGTAGCGCTCAATCCAACAATACGGATAAGCGACTGAGTGCTCTCCACTTGCCTTTCCGTTCTGGCCACCAGTGACTCGAGAACAGCACCTCGTTCGTCATGAAGCATATGCACCTCGTCGATGATGAGCAGCCGAACTTTCTGCACCAGCTCGGTATCACCCGTGCCTTTCCTCGTAACAACGTCCCACTTTTCAGGGGTTGTCACGATAATCTGTGTCTGGACAATTTCGGACTTCGTGAGATGCATATCTCCGGTATACTCTCGAACACGTATACCGAGCCATGCGAGGCGCTTCCCAAGCTTGTCAGTAATTTCCGCGGCGAGCGCCTTCATAGGCGCAACGTAGACAATCTTGAAATCGTCAGCATCGACAGCAAAATCCGACGCTTCTATGTTCTCAACCGGGTTTGGCGTGATGTACTGGCCGATGGTTTGTAGGATTGTCAACATGGCAGCATCTGTTTTTCCGGCACCAGTTGGCGCGCAGATGAGCATGTTCTCGCTCGTCTTGTATGCTACCGGGTATACCAAGCTTTGCATTCGATTCAGGGCCTTGTAACCCTTGAACGTTCTGCGGCACAGTCCGTCCATCTCAGCTACCGGCAAAAGCCTTCTGCCAGCCCCTAGTGTTCCGGTCTTCCCGGCAGGGATGGTATACTCCTCATATTTCTCAAGGAGCTTTCTTTCGCTTTCAGCAGGAAGGGTGTACCTTTTGCCCGAGTGGCTCAAGGTATTGCCAGCAGTATGTGCTCTGTAAACGTGGGGATACTGTACTTCTTTGTGCATGGTTGGAGCCAAAGCCGCGTTCTTGTGTTCCAGGTCCTTTCGGCGTAATGCCTCCTCTCTCTCGGCCTTCGTAAGAAGGCGGTTGCCTGATGGTTGAGGATCACTTTGAGCGGCAAAGCTCGACGTAATCTCAGTCTTGTGAGATAGGATCTCGCTGACAAAGTCGAGTTCATAATACCCAACGAGGTCAACGAGCAGGGACTGTACCTCGTTCTCGGGCTTTGCTGAACCCAGAATCTCCAAAATTTGGGACTGGAAGGCATCTGAAGAGAGCCCATCCTTTCGGGAGGAAATGTCAGAGCAACGCTGGAGAAACCATGTAACACCATGCCCAGGATCCCCGTCTTGACCGTTGGTGTCTTCAAGGAAGTCGCTGCTGTAAAGATCCTCTTCGGCATCAGAGATGAAATCCCAGAGATCATCACCGCTGTTGCCAGAAGTGAATGCCTCATCTTCCAGGTCAAAGTCAGCATCGTAGTTTGATCCGTTTGAATCAGCGGCTGGCAGTTTAAGCTCTGCAAGAGCCGATTTCATGGCAGCAAACTGGGCGCGCCATTGCGCCTCTGCCGCACTCGTCGATGGTGATGACATTCTGCAAATTGAACGAATCTCGAGGTCGTCAGGTTGCTCAGATTGTGTGAGCTGGTGCTGGGAGTTTGGTTGGTTAGACTCTGGTGCTCGTCAAGCAGCACAGGCGTTTGGATATTTCCCAAGAACAACGCGTATGGTTTGCCACCGAGCCAACGCCGAGATATCTCGAAATTCGTACCAAACACAATGGACGATGACTGTGCTACTCGTGAAAATTCAACCGTAATCCCAGGTTGGAAGGATCAAGTGGATGACTACCTAAAATGCGATTCGAGTGAATTGCCACGCCACATTCCGCTAAGTCCGCAATTTGGAGCCTAGACTAACCTGGTCGGTACATGTGACAAAGGGCCGTCGCCGCCCCAGGCTTCTGAGTTTCCCCATTAAAAGGTACCTGGTCATTCAGTGACTTCACACCTCCGGGAACCACCAATTGCCCCCTCCTGTCAATCCATCCCATTATCTCCTAGGGACCTGCTTTGTTTCAAGCGCTCCACACGATTCATGCATCCTCCTCCGAAGCGAACCTGACATTCGATCACGATCCTCTCCGTTCTATCCATTTATCCTGTCTAGACAACTTCAGAACCCACAATCGCCGCAAAAAGCGTACCGCCCTTTAATATACCACAATCGCCGACCATGAAGCTGCACTACATCGGGGTACGCATTGCCCAACTCTCCGATGGGGAGCTGTCAGTGTGGAACGCCCTTGCTGACGATATGTTGGCATAGATCATCCAGAACGAAAGCAAGCCGGGCGTCGAGCTCTGCGCCGAGAAGGAGCTGAGTGCGTACTCGCGCTTCACACGGAACAAGTGTGCCCCCTCTCCATGTCGCATAGCACCGACTGCATGGGGAAACAAGCAAGGCTGACTGGGAGACTCATCGCAGCTATGGCGAGTTCATGACCGTGTTCGCAAAGACGGTGGCAGAGCGGACGAGACCAGGCCAGAGACAGGATGTCGAAGAGCAAGGTATGACGTGGCGACATCACAGTTCTCCATATCGCAAGCCGCGATGCTGACACTGTAGTCACGGACTGAACAGATTACACATTCCACGCCTACGGCCGCACAGAAGGCGTGTGTGGTATCATCATCTCGGACCACCAGTACCCTGCCCTCGTCGCCCACCAGCTGCTCTCGAAAGTGATGGACGAGTTCCTGTCGGCGCACCCGCGGTCGTCGTGGGCGAGCGGCCAGACGGTTACCATGCCCGAGCTCAAGGAGTATCTTGAGAAGTACCAAGACCCGCACCAGGCCGACAGCATCATGAAGATCCAACGCGAGCTCGATGAGACCAAGATTGTGCTGCACAAGACTATCGAGAGCGTGCTGCAACGCGGCGAAAAGATTGACGACCTCGTCGCCAAAAGTGACGGGCTGAGCAACCAGAGCAAGATGTTCTACCGTGAGTGTGATGCGAATTCTTGGTCTGCCATGGAAGAAGCTATGCTGACAACGATCGAATACGTAGAACAAGCAAAGAAGCAAAACTCGTGTTGTCTGGTCATGTAAACACCGTACCGACTCCTCCTTGGTCGCCACTGGCGTTGGTCTGTTTTCGGGGGTTCCCCAAGTTTCTTTCAGCATAGCAGGCGAAGTTTGAAGTTGGCTATCTTGACGGCCCTCTTATTTCCCACGTATAGTAATATTCAACGTGCTGCAGTATAGGTAGATGGAGTCATTCGTTTTAAGCATGAGAGGTGACTCGAAGATTCCATCATGTATGAACACACATAACTGAACCTTGAAAGGCAATACAGTCGACGTAACGAGGGTTACCGGAGTAATGTATGTGTGTGACATTAAGGTCGTATATGAATTCATATAAACACAAGAGCCACCTTGCCCAAAGAGACCAAGATGAAGTGGTGTACACCTCGTTCACAAGTAACCCCATGGCCACATCCAACCTAAATGCCAGTGGATCGTATCAATCGATTACCACGGACGCGCAATGTGCCCCAACCATCGAGGCCATATCTAGGGACAAAAGGAAATTTGTATGACACAGGACGCTGAAAGTCTCAGACTCTGCGCTTGATTGCACTCCTGGTATAATCCGATCACAAGCGCCCCCCCCTCCCACTGCTTTGGAACCGCTCCGCTTACCGCAGTCTATGCATATCCCGTCCCGGCCCTGCCAACGCCCAACCTTATGTGTGAAGAAGTTTGAATGGTAGGTTATTGTACTGTTCCCAAGTGTGAATTTATGTGGCTGGTAAAGAGGTCAAGAAAGAATATATGAAGAAATAGGAAATAAGTGAGTAATTAGCCCTCAAGAATAATCAACTCACTCTTCCGGTTCTGTGCAAGTTGCAAATTGAGATGTTCGCGCGGTGTCACAAGTGTGGGTGTGGCGCTCTTGGTCGCGGCCAATCTCTCATTCTTGCCCATGGCTATTATAGGCACTGGACTTGCCCCTGCCGGGCTCTGCCGTCTCCTGGTGGAGTTGAAGCTCGTTTGCAATGGTTTGAGCATCTGTCTCTGTTGTCTGGATATAGAGATTTGCCGAGCAATCGATATTTCCACGGGATTCATATGCGCACCTTCAAGGTCGTCCATATCCAATGATGGCTTGGTGAGGTGGGTTTGTGCCGAAGATGCGGAAGAGGGAGACCGCTTGCTCGACGAAGATGTTGATGAGGGCGTGGGTTGTGCCGGATTTATCATCTCCCATTGCGGCTCCCGGATCTTATGCCGTATGGATTGGCTTCTAATCACTTCTAGTTCCTCGACGTCGTCCGCATCGATTGGCGACTCCACTATAGTTCCGGACTGTTCCAGTGCGAAATCGAAACTTGACGGCTGATGTTGAGGCCTGGTCTTGGTTCTGGTTGAGATTGTGAATTTGCCGTGTGGATCAAGTGTCGACGCCTGGTCCCTGAGATGAGAATTTGGGGGCCCATCAAATGTGGCTCTCGGTGGAGAAGGAATCGGGGCAGGCGACGTAAAGGACCTCGACAATCGTGGTTGATGATGTGATTGTCTGTCCGACGGCGTTGGAGGGAACAAGGCGAAAGCTGGCGACTTGGTAGTAGGCTGTGGTGACGTTGCCCTCCGGGATCTCGCCACATGCGTCATCTCCTGAATCATTGTGTAAGGGAGCGCTGTACAAATCACACGACAGGATAAATGGTACTGACCTCTTCTTTGACTCTCGCGTCACTTATGCTCCTTAGCCTGTCCAGCGTGGCTTGCCGTCGAGCCAACAATGACGAAGCTGGTTGCTTCTGCAAAACACTTCCAAACATTACACTGTATCTCTCCATCGTAGTCTCGGGAATCTCGACATTCAATAGACCTGGGCCAGAAGAATATGGTGTTGAACTCGCATTGGGGTCGAGTACAATTGGAATACTGCCAAAGTTGCTTGTACTACCGTTTCCAAACGTGTCCGTACTCCCGTTCACCTTTTCCCGATCTTTCGTCGATTTTGAGGCAGACAAGGTGTCGGCGTAGGGCATGGTGTTTGATCGAACAGCCAAGGGTTTGTACTTCGGCGTTTTCCGAGTCGACGTAGTATTGCTTCGGGCTGGCTGCGCCTGCGCCTGCGCCTGCGGCTGCGGTTGGGGCGAGAATTGCTCCGGTCGATAAGTACCCTTCAGCGCATTGGGTTCCGAGATGGAAACGGCCGGCTGAGCATTATTAGTCGCGTGCTTCCTTCCAAACATGCCGAAAAGCCTCCATTTACTAGATGGTTTCTTTTCTACCGGCATGTCATAGGAGTCCACGCTGCTGGCCATTGACAACGGAGATGCGGGGTGCACGACGGGTGCAGCCTGAGGGCGTAGGGTCTGCTGTGTATCATCCCAAGAATTCCAGCTCGGTAGATGATGCGTCGGACTTCCCAGCGCCATGCCAATCGGACCCGAACCAACTTCGTCCATGGACTCAGGCGTTGGCACCCTGATTACTGGGACGATAGGTTGAGTGGCCGCCCTCGACCTTGGACTTGCTTCAGGAGTTGGTAACTGGCCTCGAAAGGGCGCATGGTGTGACCGGAGCCCAGCCCCAGCACCGGGCCGCGAGTTCAGATAGAAGTCGTCTCTGGAAACTCGCTTGTCGTACTTGTCGAAGTTGAAGCCGCCCTCCGCCTGACTCGTTGAACTCGGTCCACCTGATGTGTTGGGTCGATCCGGCGCCGGCATCTTCACTTTACGAAGTCGAAGGGGTGGAACCGGTAGAGGACGATCAAGGTACGGATTGCCACTAAGAAAGGCAGCCGAAGGAGGGAGATGATCATTATAACGCAGCTGTGTGGGCTGGCCGCGATCTGCCGTAATGCCCAGTTCATCTGTGAAGGGGCCGGCGGGGACGTGCGTATGTGCGTCTCCTGCACGACGAACCATGTTGACCCTCCTCCGTGAAAGTGTTGGATCAGGGACTTCAGACCCGAATCCTTGGCAGTTCTCCGTCAATGTGGACCAGTATTCAAATGGCCGAATGTAACTGGACCATCCGGGATGTCGATTCTAAAAACAAAACGAGCAAAAGCGGAAGGCGATAAAACTTGGAAATGAGGTGAATTGAATAAGTTGTATCAAAGGTATGGAGTGAGTGTCGAAAATGATCAACCAATCTACTTCATATCGGATACGACTCATTTTACATACCTGATCACTTACCATAGGCTATGATTCCCAGGGCTTCTTCCATCCCCGTTCCGTTGTCCCAAGATCGGATGGAGGACATCATGGCTGCTGGCAAAGGTGCCGCATGAGCGGTCGACGACGAAAGCAGGCGGTGTTTGAGATTGATGACACGGTTATTTGCAAAGACTGATCAACGACCGGGATGGGTGACCCCGGAGGATTGCAGCAGTGCCGTCCAGGGCTCGCTGGTCTGTCCGGGGTTCTCGTGGGCTCCATTGACTGGGGTTGTTTGAAATGACGAACGAGGATTTTGGAAGGAGTCGGCCGACAGTTTCGTGTATCAGCAATGACAGGAAACATTCTGATTGCGTGGCCTATGGGAGGGAGCATGGCCGAGGCATGAAGGTAGAATTTCGGACGGTCTTGGGTATGCCAAATAGGCTCAACCAAATGATGCACCTTGAACGGACTTTGCCGGCGTTGAAATGAGACCAGACAGTTGAGGGTCGATGCTGGAAAGATTCGAGAAGCCCTCTAACTCGACTTCAGACCGAGGTCATGGCAAGCAATGCAAAGGCCAATATGAAGCAGCGACCCCCTTCTCACCCCTGTAGCATCGGACCGGGGCAGATTAGAGAGAGGAGACTATTAGACGGGGATAAGGCTGCAAACCGGTGGATGCGGTAATATAACTATACAGCGCAACACTTTTCGTTCTCCGGCACAGCTTATGGACAGGTTGTCGACGACGGCATGTTCCGTTTGGACGAGGTGCCGCTGGTGGAGCGGCACGCGAAATGTCGTGTAATGAGTAATATGTGCCGTGATACGGAATACTTGCAGCTGGAACAGTTAGGGAAATGAGAGGGACTCCTGGAGCTTGTCGGTTTCTGAAGCTGCATTGCGGATCAGTCCATCGCGCTGTGCCGTTTTACAAGACTTAGCCATGACTCAGCAGCTAGCGAGTATGTAATTAAACGATATCGCTAAACACTTGCCCTCGCGCCTATCAAGCAACTAATCTAGTTCATCTACACTTCATGTTGGTATTCACACCAATCAGAACGATCGCCTCGTTGACAGGAAATTAGGGGGATGTCCGCCGCAAAAGTTCGTTCATCAACCTCTGCTCCAATCGGATCATTTGCTCAACTGAGTTTTTACGAGCGGACACAAGAGTAACACAGACTTCGGACGGCCAAGGGCGACGAATACGATGATAGAGGATTGCATGCAAATGCCGGCCTCAGTCCGTGCCTTTTCGACAGGAACCAGAGTGGCTGATCCCTGAACCATGAACGTACGTGATGGTGCGGTCGATGATAGTTTGCAAGGTAAGCTTTCCATGATTCGGATTCTTTGCCTAAATAAGTCTGTGGCACCAATCGCGTTCCACATCCAGTTCAACCCAGCCTTGCGGCGGTCTAACATGTCCAAATCAGAGTTTCAAGAGTCTTGAAGAGGAAAAATGGGGGCTTGAGCGCTCTCGTGTTTCATGACTTGTTCACAATGTCTAAGCTAAATGCCTAGAGCATCAACCTACTTGTGTGGGCTCGAAACCACCAAGATCTTATAGGAGCCTGCAGAACTCACCCCTCGTCGAGCGGCCATGGGATGACGCCGCGTCGAAAAGCTGGAAGCTTAAAAGACGTTGGATGCTCTTACTTCCGCGGAACTACTTTAGGTGTTTGATCCCGCGGAAGCTGCGTCATGCTAAAGGCGTTCATGGTCAAACAACTGACGCGTACCAGACGAAGCCACCGAGATGAAAACCTCTTGACGACTGATCTGCCTGCCGAGTTTCGGAGTTCCTGCGGCTTAGAATCATAACGCCTTCATCAGACACCTGTTAGCTGGCTTTGACTTCTCGGTTGGACATGATAGAAAATGGATACTTCAACTCCCCACGCAACTACCTCGCATAGACTTCTCGTCCTGACGATATTTCTCAGCCGTCTTTGTCGCTAGAGCTTTTACCGGCAGCTGTCGTAGGGGCAAGACTTTGGTCGACATTCCACTTTTCCAATTCCGTCGGAGTATCCTGTCCCGGGGATCCAGCACTCCTTGCTCTGAATCGAGGCTCATGTGTTCATGGCAAGCATGGCATGCTCACCTTACCCAGGGCACGAATTGTCATGTTCCAAGGACCAGGTTCCGAGACGCAACGTCAGTCTTTGCCCGTAAAAACCATTCGGAAGTCTCCGAATCTATAACCTTGACAATAAATGCCCAGCTTGAAACACTTCTTGGCCCGGTACGGGGGCGTGTAAATCAGAGTTCTTTCTATATTAAAAATCTGAAGCACCCGGCAGACATGATTAATGCCGTCCATAATAACGAGCAAGTAATGGGACGGATGCTCATCGGCACGGAAGGCGGCATCAGTCGTCCACTCGGTTGTCTAGAACCCACATCAACTAGACTGGGGAGCTTACAATGTCTAGCTCCTTAGTTGATCTTGTAGACGAAAAATCTAGCCCAATGTGATTGATGTGATTGCTGGCCACAACTCGTAGTCGGTTGCTGACAATGGATGGAGTTCAGTAGTCGGAAACGAGTCATCCTGAGAAGATGCCGGAGACTGGGCGGTGGGAGCACACCATTATGCTACCGTGCACAGATGTCTGGAGTTGGCTGATAATGACTTTGAGTTCCCCGTTAGTTCGACTTGGCAGGCCAACTAGCTCCCATTCAAGATTCCCATGACATCTGAATCATCCAAGACCAAGAAGCTTCTGTCATTGTCATAAGCCCCACTACGCGATACTTTACCTCAATCTAAGAAAGATCTGATGTCGGCGGTGTAATACGGCGAATCCGCCTGACTTCCAACGTCGACCGCATGAGGTAGCAGAGCAGAAAAGGCCTGCAGGCGATTCGGTGTGAGATCATTCTCTGTAGAAAGATACTGTGTAAAAACCCGTGCCTCGATAGCGGCTGTCTAGTCACTTGAACGTAGCGGTGTCGTGTTACCATGTGGATATTAGTGGGCATTGTCGAGTTGTCGATTATTTTTTTGGTCCACGGGGTGGGTGAGGCTGTCCCGCTTTCATTCTCTGCCCGCAAACTTTCCCAGGATGATCCAGGCGGTAGCACGCCGCCCGTTTCCTCGAGCCCCTCATTGTTTATTAGTCCAGTGTCCAGCCCATTGCGGATGGCTCGGCGTGCATCTAGCGGCGTGTAATCGCAATGCGGAGTTCGCGAGGGTCTCGCGTTGTCTAGTGATCCCAGATGTGTCGGTTTATTGTCGTGCAGTGCTTTGTATTCAGAGTCTGACTTTGACTTTGCACTCCCGGAACTGGCAGGTAGGGAGAACTGGTTTCTAAGGGGGCCATCGCTGTTGGGAATAGAACCATTTGCGCCGATAACGCCATTGGCCTATCCTCTTTCCCCCCTTTGCACAATGCTATTGGTGATGAAAACAACCTTGGCTCCCGTGAACTTCAGTATAGACGCCTCCACTTCAGGGTAGTAGACAGCTTCCAGAGCCCGTACGTCATCAAAGTCCTCAGCTCGCACTTGGTCTTCATCCGCGTTGATCAATCTTGACGTGTTAAACTTGACGGCCGTGAACCCATATTTCCTCAGCAATTCAGCAGAGCTTACTTCCTTTCTGTCTTCGTAACCTGCGGGGCAAATGTGTAGTCCCTCATCAATGGATCATCCCGCTCAGAAACGCCGTCCAAGACATAAATCTGGAACGTCTCGTAGAGCGTGGGCTTCTGTACCGATGCTTGAGCCATGGTTTCGGAAAGAGGCACGGGTTAAGGAAAAAATTCAGAGTAATTTAGGAGCCGTGAACATTAGCAATGGCTTATGCGCGGTAGGGCTCTGACCAAGTTGAAATAACTCTTTTCGACTCGATGAAGCTGTTTGGCTTTTTCTGTATATTTTGTGCCTCATCGAGTTTTCCGCTAATTAAGCGATAATGCATAGTCAAATCCCTGTGACTTCCATGGCAAGCAAGTAAAACCAAGCAGTCGAGATATGGTTCACTGCTTCTCGATTGTGCGACAAAGTAGAAACTTCTGGGTATGCAATGTCATTGGACACTAAATGCAACGTCAGAGCCATATGCGACCCAACCACGGGATCAAGTCACAAAGGGTGCTACACTCTGTTGTTAGTATCCCAGTTTTTAGACAACTTTTTACTGGCCCGAGAAATATACATGTTGTATGAAATATGTAAGGTCAGCGCGTATTGCCGTCATGGTATCGGCATGTAGAGCATACCTCTAGGAGCATGCTTAGGGAACCTATGTAAATGTCCGCGTCTACCACCACCACTGTCACTATGATTGTTCCTGTCGGCAGTGTGGGCGGCAACACGGCGTCGAACTTTCTGACCATCTTCTGAGTGAAGCTACTGGAAGGAGATAGGGATGAGTTGAGTGTTGCCCGCACAGCTTGTGAAGGTGACGGCTTCTGGTACCTCGATCTTTCGCAACAAGATGGAGAGCGAGCCGCTGTTATTGGGAATGTTCGGCAAGGGGTGAAGATTGTCGGAGAGCTTTTCGAATTGGACGAGGAGGAAAGGATAAAATATGATGTAGATCAGGTTGGTCCTCGGAAATTGAACGGGTGCGTTCGTTTTAATCCCAAGTCCACGGTCACCCATCTCATAAAGGACCTGCACGGCATCGGCTTCAATATCTTTAAGGTTCTGGATCAGACAAGACCTCTCGGGTAACCCGGATTGTCGTCATTCCACCGGCTCTCCAAGCCCTCTACCAGTTGCGTTACACTCCAGAGATACCCTCAGCTCCCACAAGCTAGCCAGAATGCGGGTTTGTCTGCCCACACCGACGTCGGTAGCCTTGACGGTCCTGTTCTATGGAACCTCCAGGCCCCTCAATCCGAACACGGGAGTGTGGCAATACCTCGAGCCAGAGCCGGGCTGTGTCGTCATCAATGTCGGCGACTCTCTTCTATTCCTCTCTGATAAGGCTTTCCAGTCTGCACTGCACCGTGTCGTCCCTTACTTACCAGGACACCAGGATTCGGAACCGGTTTCCTTGCGCATACTTTCTCCGCCCCGAGTTTGACGCCGAATTTTCGGATGACGAAAATCGTCGCTGGAAGAGTTTGGACTGGCACATGAGGAAATAGCAGGGTTATTGTGAGATGGGGAAAAGCAGCTAGGTTGAGAAACGAACCAATGTATACACGTGGGAATTATAAAAAAAGGCCTCAGGCCAGGTTCATGCTGAATGCTAAGAATTTGTTCCAGGGAAGTAACGGATGATTTACTCACCATTTCAGTGTGAAGAGACAATTGCTTGTGATTAGGAATTTCTGTACCGTTGTGGCAATCAAGTCGAGGCGAACGTGGCTACTGAAGTGAAGATGCTGATGATAGCGTGAATGCTCACGTCACCTATGCGGTACCACCAACGTTTCTCTGGAATATTGTGTCTTATTGACCTCACTATTCCCTGAGAATGGAGCAACAGACTTACAAGATCCAAGATGCTAAGTATAGGGTCTTGAGGAAGTTGTGGACAGTGTTAATTACATAAAGATACGACTTATTCTAGAGATGATGAAACTCGTGCTGGCGTTCCTTCCTACCTCGCCGTCGAGGCGGCACGTCAGAACCGGCCTTAACCGCTTGATGATGCGGGGTGTTTGGATCTGAGACGGCTACCCTGTGTGTTAGACAGAAGACAGAACCGGAGGATCTACTCAACTCACAGGAAATGCCATTGTCTTCAGGGAATCCGTGCTGCGCGTGAGAACAAAGGCTCCCGGCCTCGTGTTCAATAATGTCTATAAGAATATTCTCTTTCTCCAGCATGGTGGACCCTATAGCGGCGTTCAAATAAACGAAATCGTGGTCGCGGAGATCTTTGGGAGCGTTTCTGATATCGCATGTTTCAAAGGTACAGTGTTCGGAACCGCATAGGATATCGTTTATCTTCTTGTTCAACTCCAACCGGCTGGGAATCAGCTCAAGGCTGTGGATTCGGACTTGCTGGCTGTTCTCCGAGGCCCATTCAGTAATACACACCGTAGTCTCTGGCATGGCGCCGGAAGCAGGTGTCCGGCCCATTACCGCCAGAATTGCTGCCCACTCCACTATCAACACATGCGTATAGAACTCGTGAACAGGAGTGGTATTGTAGATTTCTCGTGCTGTGCGTGAATATGTCAGACATTGGAACGTTCAGCAATGGGAAGTCGCCGGCCTAGCATCCTGCAGAGGTTTCTGTGGCCGCTATTCTCTCGGCCCAACAATGAGTGTGCGTTGTTGAATCAACCCGAGTACCTCTCTCAGAGCCTCATTGCTTTCACTAATACCGGTATTGAGACAGCGACCATGAGTCACACCGTGAGACTTCACCTTGCCAATCATGTGGCAAAGGCACAGGCCATCTAATCGAAGGTGCGTCATCTAATAGTAATGGCTCAAATCCTCGCTTCTGAAGGATCTTTCTCGCCTCGCATTGTCACGTTGCCCCAGCCTGCTTCAAGCTATAGAGAGGCAGCATCAACTCGATGATGCTCTCGGGGAAGTAGCCATACTTTGCTACTTCGTCAGGGTAGGCCTCGAAATACTCTTGCAACATAGGGAATTGCTTCATGAAAATCCGCTCATCAAGCTTTCTGTTGAGGTAGGCCGCGATAAAGTCGATTTGTATGATATGACAGCCTCAGTAACGCTGATAGGGCTATCAGGATTCTCCGGGATGCCGCTCTGGCGGTGCTGGCCGCCGTCTCGTTGTAATCAATACCGTGCCTTTGCGTGAAGCCTCTGGCACAGATTCGCGACCTCAACTTGTCTAATTCGCCCGTAGAGAGAAACTTCTTTCATAGTACCCACTTGGCGTCAATAAGATGACCGCGCATGTCTTCAGATTTATCGCAGAAGCAGAATGTGCCCTTCTCTATCCTTGCTTGATCTTGGCGAAGATGGACTACATCCACTCGTTACCGTTGGGACCGTTAAGTGCTTCCCGTAATGGTGGCTCTATTGGATGTTATACACGTAGTAGTCGGTAGGCCTCCGACTCTTCCAACATCGCGGCTACATTAAGTAATGGCGCAGACAGAATTCCGTCTCGTTCTTGCCGTAACAGGTCGAAAATTATAGACTTGATGTACTTGTGGTCTAATTCACGATGTGAATCGCCGGTACCTCTGTAGAAATCGTGGGATTCCGGATAGTTGGCTATCACGAAGCCATCGAACGGCGATATCTGTACTGATCCAACCGTTAGACGAATAAGTATATTGCCAATCAGGTATATCGTTGCAATCGTTAAACCATTTCCCTAGATAGCTTCATCGACGCGATTGACGCGTCAGAATGGCTGAGGCCATCGCCGAGTCGTAATTGGAGGGTAGAGCGTGGAACGCCCCATCGGAGGGAAGCCTGGCGCTGGAATATCCCTTGATTGATATCGTTGAGAGCGCCTTGAATCGAATTTTCTGAATATCGAGGTATTGTATAATAATAGCCAATACCGACGATAATCTGTTGTGCCGAAGATTGTTGTAGTTGGCAGATTAAGTGGTCAGAAAGGTGGGGTTGTACGTTAGCAGCTTGGCACGTGCGTATTCCCGACTCATATTGGTGATCTGTGGTCTGTGCGTTATTGATTTGGTTTTAGCTAGTCTGTGCATAGTACAGCTCAAAATGTTCAAAGCTTCGCGATTTCCTTGTCAATTAGTCTCTCCGCGCAACAAATTATCAGAAAGGTGAGCATCTGTTGTTCTGCTTATGCTGGACATATGCGTGCCTTTTCGTCTCGTCTTCCTCGGGTCTAGCATATGCTAATCATAGCAGTGATATCTCAATATAGGCAGTCTTAATCACAAGGAAAAATCATGGCTGCTAACTTCACAACCCAGGACTTCAGTACGTTTTAAGCGTATGCGATAATTGTATGAAGTATACACTAACCGTATACAGCGAATGCGAACGTTCAGAATGCCCGAAACCCCCATCCGGTCTATGGTTATGCACATGGTAAGTTGGCATATGCGATATGTATGCTATGAGACTGAAAATAAGCATATAGGTCCGATCACCAACCCCAATGCCGACTGGGTCCCTAATTGTAAGGATATGCTCCGCGTATAGACTCTACCACAGAGACCATTGGCCGCATATACTAAACATATGCATAGCTCACGCCGTAACGGAACCCGGTCGCCCACTGCCTGCGCTTTCTGCTGCAGAGAACGCTAGTATGAAGCATATCCAATGCATATGCGATATTATGTTAACATATTTATATTATTAAATACGCCGTAGGCTCGAAGCCCCCGGTACCTCTACAAGTGCTCCCGTATGTCAAACCGTGCCCTAATGGCTGGACTAAATACATACGCTGCTACGTAGGTTCGCTCTATTAGCGACTGCGTTACGTCCACCACAATACCATGTTAGTTCTCACCCTACTAACAAAGTCCCCCTGAGAAGATCGATATTATCCGGGCCTAAGCGCTATCCGGCCAGTCCTGAGTAGCCACCTTGTGATAGTCCCGCTGACTACTGGTTTCCCCGTCGCCGTTGCCAGGTCTCTACGTGTATGCAAACATATGTAGCCGCTCCAAATCCCGCTGCGATTTTGAACACCATCAATGGAGGAGTGTAAGGCCTCTATATTCTCGTATGCTCGATTACATATGCTCATCATGTGCAGTTGTTGGATTGAGATTGGGGTTGCGGGCTCTGGCCAGATGTGTGGCCATACCTTCGCCTCGCAGCCCGCCGTATGTGAAGCATATGCTGTTCATATGCATTGTATGTGCTGACCTGGAATAGCTCCGCCGCCATATCCGAACCGCCCACCCTGGCGCTGGTAAGTGGAATTAATAATGTGCATACACACATATGCTAAGAATATGTACAGTTACCAACCCACGTCGTGCTAACGCCAGCGACCAGATGATTCTAGCTGGACAGAAGTCAGTAGAGCACACTTTATACATAATTATTTCTAATGTGGCTGTAGTGCGCTTAAGCAATTCGTGGTATCCAAAGGCTGGCAAAAGGCCAGCTTCCTCCATGAGCCTAGGTATATGCTGAACATATGCAATCAATGTCCGCTTCATACTAACACTATATTGCGTCAGCCTTACTAGCGGTCTTATTAACGAGTACGCTACGGCCTGCGAGCGTATTGCGTGAGTATATCTCAGCGCAAGCCTTGCTAACCTGCGGGCACCACCACGGGACCCCAGCGCCTCGGCCAACGGCCAACATATATTCTTCTTCAACTAGCACGTCTTGTTCTCGTATCAATCAGGTCCGTTGAATTAATCAACTTGGCCGTTGCCTCGGCCACATTGCAATTTGTCGCTGCGATATGCATGCTTACGCTTTCTTTCTTCGATCATGGATGGCCAGCAAAGTTATCGATGCTTCTGGGCATATATCTCTTCCCTACGCTTCTTTTCAATATTTCTCAAACTCGCATATACTGGCTTGCTTCGGAGACGCGGCCTGAGTTGACGTATGCCGGTGCCTTCGCCGCATCAATGTCGTTGATCCTCTACCTTCCGACAGAACCCAGATCCCTTTGGCACTGCGAGTGCCGAGGACTGTCGCGATGTGCTCGAAATTGTCAATCTGTGGACCATCGTGATGGAGCGTGGCGGCCTGGATGCTGCCATGAACTCCGCTGCACGTTCCCAAGGACCAACGTCAACTATTCTCGCTGCGCACGCCGTGCTCAGGCAGAGAATACGCGGTTCCTCGAACGGCATACTCCTGCTAGATGAAGTGTCTTCATCGGTTGATAAAGAGACGGAACGAAGCATGCAAAGCATTATCAAGGCCGAGTTTCAGAGGCATACGATTGTAGCTGTGAGCCATCGGCTAAACATGATCGTGGACTTCAATACAGGTGTGGTTATGGACAAGGGAGAGGTGGCTGAAGTCGGCAATCCTCAGCAACTGGCCAGGACGGTGGACACCAAATTCAGGGACTAATGGCAGGCTATGGGGAAGTAGCAGATAAGTTGGCTCATGTTTCCAAGATAGCCCTCACTCGATTACTGCGCTTCTATCAACGGCGGCGTGAGTGATATCAAGGGTTTACGGTGCTCTTCCTGTCGCTTTTTCACTCGTACGTAATCATGGGACAAAGGTGCAGATGTCGCGTCACTGCAACTCTAATCTTAATCCTCTCTTGGGCTCAACCTCCGAAGTCTGATCCCATAAGTTCAGCTCATGGGACCTTAGCGAGTACTGCACGGTCACAGACGGAGCTGCAATGTCACAAGACGGAATGCAAGGTCACAGTGAGAAGGCAGGAATGGAGCAATACTTGCCATTAAGAAATAAGCTATAAATAGACAAGATATATTGCTCCTAAACTCTGTTTTTGTTATGACCTGTCCATTCAACGTAAAGCCCCAGCCTGTTTCATAAATTGAAACATCTCGAACGCTTCATGGCGGCCAGTGGAGACATGAACATCAACCAGCCTATCCATCCCGATATTCTCAGAAGACTAGACGCTGAATATGTTGCATTTCACTATCGACATCTTCAGTACATTTTCCCTTGCGAAAAAGAGCCATGGAGCCCGTCGTCTCGCCCGAGATTGTCACGTATCGTGCTAGGAGGAATGAAGTCGGTTAAGGTCGGCTCTGTGCAGGACAAGGATGTGGGAAACTTTCAGGCAAGGGTCTTCATACCAGAAGGAGATGTTTCTGGTGAAGGCTAGCCAATGCTATCCTGGTTTCATGGCGGCGGTTGGGTCTTGGGCGGACTCGGAAATGAAAATGCTGTTTTAAGGCATATTTGCAATTGTAAGTCGAACCGTCTTCAGCTCTTGGGGTAATTATAATTAGAGCAACGGCTAACCTTGGTGGAGCGACAAATCAGATATCAGATGTGTTGTAATCACTATCAACTGTCGTCACGCTCCTGGGCACCCATATCTGGCAGCCATCAACGACGTAGTGGTCGGGTATCAATGGGCAACAAGCCGTTAGGTGGCCAAGGATCTAAGTACTTACAGCTGTAGGATATCCATTAGTGGCCTGTCAGCGTAGGTATAGCTAACCTAAGACCTTGCACATTACCCACTTCACTCTGCTTTGCCAAGAGTCGTACACTAAATTATCCAACAAACCTATAGTGGCGCCAGTCTGGCGGCAATTCTGTCCATAAAGATCGCTCATCTGGGACTTACGCCAGGGCCAGTTTTCCAGCTACTACTGAGCCATGTTATTGACAACACGGCCACTACAGCCGGGATCTGGTCAAGCGCCCAGCATGCCCCATGGCTGACTCCCTCTCGGACGACTTGGTACTGGGATATGTATCTCCCCAAGCCCTCCTCTGCCTCCAACTGCGACGCGTCCCTATGTTTTGCCCGCCCGATTTGCTGATGCGGAGCCCCAAGACATTCACAAGGACCGGGGAATGCGATACCTTGGCTCCTGAGGCCCTCCAGTACACCCAATATCTGAGAAGCGCTGGCGTTGAAACCAAAATTGAAATCTACAATGGATTGCGCGTCGTTAACTATGACCCCTAAGACTCCGACATTTGGACAGAAGTTCTTACCTCTTTATATTTTCCGTTATCCCGCGTACTGTTAAGGCCGGCCTTCTTTATCCTTAAGCTGACCTTTCGTTTACTGTTAGGAAAGAGCCGTCATGGCGGGCCGGTCTCAGCTGACCAGCTGAGTCGGGAGGGTTTCGCCCCCGATCCGGTAGAACTCCGGAACCGCCCAGCTTAAGAGGAGAACTCGAGACGCTCCCACCTAACTTAGATTCCTTAAGAATCAGTCTTGCAACAGACGCACCCATACACTGGCCCATCCTAGTTGCTCTTTGTACTACCTGACTATTGTATTGTGAGACGTGTGGTATCCCCGTTATATGTACTTAGAGTAGAAGTGAAGAATATATTTACCTATATAAGAATAGGGCTAGAAATTCCTTTGTATAAAACCTGTCACGACCTGGGTTGCATCGCATTGGTAGAGACCTCGATTAGGTGCTATCGACGAAGATTCTACTCTAAGGAGCGAAGGAAAGAAGATCACAAACTTAGGTTTGAGGGAGCGCGACTAAGTCGTCCACGCTTGGCGGGGCTCCTGCAGGGGTTATGATTGGCTTCCCATCTGGCACTGCCATGGCAGGTGTTCCAGCTGTAAGTCACCTGGTTGTAGTGAGTCTGCGAGGGTTGACCTTCACAAAACCTAGGACTTTAAGTATTCTTAACTTAGAATTTCTTCTTTACGTTCCTTAGATTCCTCATATTTAAAACCGTACTACTACTTATAGAGACTTAGTAGCATACTATAGTAAATAGGTATTTGGCATACGTAGTATATATTGCTTTATTATACGATAGTTGTGTTGGTTTAAGCCCGTCTTTTAGTCCGTCTTATCATAGTTACCTCATTTGTACCCGTTTGCTAAAGCCCTTCCTAGTATTACAAGTAAAGCTTGCTTATCAGAAATCGGGGTATTCCTCGTAGTTATATCTGGCGCTATATTTCTCGAATTGAGGTGGTGGCCGTGGTCGTAGTCGTGGTCATGCTCATAGAATGATGGACGTCTTGGACGTAGCGGAGTACAATGAGGGGGCCGGGGGTTGGTTAATAGAGAAGATAGGTAATCGAATCCATCGCGCTGCTAGAGCGTATCAGCCCTGCCTTGAATGCCATTTCTATGTTCTATCTACTTAATCTTGAATAATGAAATTTGAATGTCGCATGTCTGCTCGCGCGGGGCGCGTGAGTTATTAACCAGGTAATAATTCTCCAAGCGCTAAAAGCAGCCACGCGAGGTGAGCACAGACGAGAGCGGATCCCACATATTCTATCTAGTACGCCGCAACTCTTTCCCTCCTTGACACCATCCTTGGAGAGCTGCACTTCCATTCTTCCAGACATCGCAAACCCTAGAGCAGCAGCAGCAGGCGTCGATTTCCATTCCTTCACAAGACCTATCAATAATACACCCGCATACTTCATATACATCCACATCATGTCGTGGCAAGGTGAGCTTGCCCCAGGTGGAAATAACCCCACCTTTTGGCCCGCGTTTTTGATGAGATAGCTGACTGATTCTTTTGCCTCGTTGCAGCTTATGTTGACTCCAGGTGCGCCCCGACTCGCTATTCCGCAGATTCTGCACATATTATCTCGATACTGACTGGGAACAATGCAGCCTTATCGGCAGCGGTCACCTTGACCAGGGTGCTATCATCAGTGCCGCTGGTGACAGTGTCTGGGCCACGTCTGCTGGATTCACGGTATTTCCACCCCGCCTATCCCGAACCCGTCTATCGTTCTCCGTTGCAAATCTCATAACTGGGTACAACGAAGCATCTGTAATGGACAACAAAGGATTGACAGTTACCATTAGGTTCAACCGGACGAGATGAAGAACCTCGTTGCCATCCTCGCCACCACTAAGGATGCCGTCGATAAGGCCCACGCCGAGGGTGTTCACGTTGCAGGCCAACGATACGTCGTCACGAGAATCGAGGACCGGAGCATCTATGGCCGATTCGTGGGTTGAACCAGATACGTTTGATTGCGGAAGCAGGACAGGACACTGACATGATACGGTGATTCTAGGGCAAGACTGGCATTGTCGTGGTCAAGACAAAGCAGGCTGTCCTCGTTGCTCACTACGGTGAGAACGTCCAACCCGGAAACGCAGTGCAGACCGTGGAGGCACTGGCCGACTACCTCATCAAGGTTGGCTATTAGATCTGATTTCCCGCGCGAGGGGGGCTTGACATTGGATCCAACAAGGGGACATAATCTGGGCCAGACGTAAGAGGGTCAGCGTCAAGGAGAGTATGAGGGGATGGATGCGGCAGTTGTGCGGGGTGCATTGGACGCACCACAAGGTCTTCTAGAGCCTCCTTTTGGGTGGCGATACTACCATCAGGCAGCTGAGACTGTTCTCGCCTGTTCGAAAACCTCGTTCACCGATCCCTAGGATTTGCATAGGCAAATGATAAATGGCCTTTCCCTAATCACCAAAATGAGTCCATACGGACTTTACGCGCGCGCAATCCTATCAATGATCGGCTTTGATTTACATGTACAGCAAGTTGCCCCGCTGATTTGAAAACATGTCTTTTGCCCCCGTTATAGCTCGGGGTATACCAATCCAAGCTACAGGTGCTGGATGCCTTTGGAACCTCTATACCACCAAGTATCGTATCATGAGGTAGTATATGCACACGTACCACAGAACGCCAATAACTCCTTCTCTTTAGAGATCCATGCGATTACAACCAAAAAAGGATCAGGGGGGGCTATGGTGAACAGTCTTCGTGGCCAATCCAGTTCGAGGAAGCCGAACACGTCCGACTTGTCAAGACAAGCTGGGCTTATACCGGCAACTCGGCATTCCGTCTCCCCAGCCCGATCTTGTCAATGAGCACACCAATGTAAGGGCCAATGACCGGGACATTCCTCGCGAACCCAGCTATCGTGCCCAGGAAGTCGCCAAACAGCACCACGATGCCGTACAGCTCCACACAGAACCCGATCAGGGGCCATTTCATGAGAATCAGCAGCAGCCCGCTGAAGAAGGCCGCCGTGCCTTTAGCCTTTTGTTTCCGCGTGAAGAAGAGAAGCGTCTTCTGGGGTCCGATGATGATGGTCAGGCCGATGAGGAAGAGGATCTAGAGATTTCGCGCGCGTTAGGGTCGAGTCTAATCGAGAGGGAGATAGACATTGAGGAATGGAGGATGGAAGAGAACAACGGCGTACGTTTCCCATGGCGAGCCTGCGTCAAGGTTGGTTAGTCACTTTGTTGCGCGAAGGGCTGGCACGGGGGAAAGTGGGCGGGCATGCAAAACTCACATAGCTCTATCAAAGAAGAGCATCACTCCTCCAACTAGGAAGAAACCTCCTGTAGCCGAGCAAAAGGGGACCCATTAGTCCAGCTGTTCCTTGTGCGCGATCGCTCAAGACCTCCACGTACCGCCAGAGCAGAAGGCGACTCCGATCTCTAAAGCACTGTCAGTTGGCGCATTCTCCAGAGACCCCCCAGTCAACAGCGGGAGGAGCTTACTCTGCGAATCTGTTAACCACATTGTCGGCATTCTGACCGTATTGCGTGTGCCAATTGCAAGTCTGGGGGCGGTTGATCCAGAGGTTATTCAGTCGTATCGTAATCGAGGTTTCCGAATGTGGGCTTATTTGGCGGCGGCAACCTTGTTGGGCGGTGTTGACCGAAAAGCGAGTTGCTGCAAGTTCGCCATGGACATGTGTTCGAGTAAACTTAGAAGCTTTCATTAAACACGGGCCGGTCGAGTCAGGGGTCCAGAACCGTGTGTCAGTTTGGCGGTTCGTTCTTGCGTTGCAGCACCAAAACATTGTGGGGAGGAACATCACCAGCCACAGTTGTACCCTTGAAAATTGCAGGAAAATTGCGAATGTAACTTGCGTCCCTATTCTCTGCACAAACAACATTGCTTTGAGGCACACGAAGACCTGACATCTTCCCACCTGCACCGTGGTCCTGCACATGGTTCAGCTGCAAACTTGCTCACTGCAAGCCCATTATTGCCTCGGATGTCACGAGGTAAAGTCTTCACTTGAGCCAGCAAGCATCTGCGAGTGGTTCCCATAAGCCACTCGACAGAAAATGCGCAACCGCGGCCGACGCTCTGGCCAACTAGTCGCGCGGATGAGCAGCGCCGCCTTTGAGCGCGTGAGGCCGCGCGACGCTGCGGGCCCTGGGTGAGCCAGGCAGCTCTGCATCAGAGATTTGTTGTTATCCCGATAACCTGAAGCGATTAGCTATTCTGCATCAGAGACCGGCCCCAGCGACAGCACCCATTGGGGAATTTTGTCAGCAGTGTCTTGACCTGCAGACTCTCTATCAAGAAGCCGGGGGTCATTTACCTCTCTGGGCATGTGATTGGACTGAGATGGTAACACCTCCGCAGCACCACCCTGGCACCAACGGAGGGGGCTGAAAGTTGAACATCTTTGTGCGAGCGCATAAAATTTCCTCTGTTCAGTATTCCTCTTCCCCCCGCGCCTCCCCCCCGGACGAGATTGACGGGGGTTGAGGGTGTCTCGTACTTGGCCAGGTAACGGGTACTGGTGAGCTCGTCGTAGTTTGTCGACATGGAACTTGTTGTAGAAGTTTGACCGGGTATCTGCCAACACTACTATGTATGAGTCTGGTGTGTTGGCCATGGAGTATTTTGCTCTTAGCCAGTCTAAGCTCTCTTCTTTGGCCTACCGGTACTGTAATCGCCGAGGTTTAGCTAAGCTGTGTCTCCAGTTTCGAATTCCTCGGCTGATGCGCATTTATAATTCGCACATAGCTCTTGACGCTGTTGGATTGTAGCCATAGATACTTGCGCTAGCTCCATTATTCTATGGATTTGCTGGAGGAATTCCTCTGCTCGTTGCTCTGGGGAGGACGAGGCGCATATATCCATGTCTTCCAGCGCGATAAGGGGGGAAAGGGGGGTCGTGCCCGTGAGTCATTAAAAAGGGGCTTGTCCTTATGGAAGAGCAGATCCTACCATTGAGGGCCAACGTGGCCACTGGTAGCCACCGTTCCCAGTCCGTCTGGTTTCGATTGATATAAGCCCGTAGGAAAGCCGGTATCTCCTGATTCATGCATTCAGTTTTGCCGTTCGTCTGTAGGTGGTACGCCGTGCTTAGTCTCTGCTTGATTCCCGCCAGTCGGCAGAGGTGCTGCCGGAATCAGCTTACCCATTGGGTCACCTGTCGCTAGTAATGCACCGCGGCTAGCTGTGGAAGCGGAAGTGTGCTGTTATGAATCTCTCTGCGCAGGCTTCTGCTTCCGTGGTTTCCATTGGCTCTAATAGCACTGAATTATTCAAGCGGTCAGCTATGACCCAAAGGTACTTGCAGTTGTATAATGGTGGCAGATCGGTAATAGAGTCTATAGATGGCCTCCCATTCTGTTTGTGCCTCAGCTGTAGGCTCCGGGGCCCGTCTTTACTCCGGAGCTAGGCTTTCCCCTGGCTTGTAGCTGCTATTGCGCCTTCTTCTACACTGTCGCTATCGAAAGTGCTGTCTTCGGTGGCCTCGAGTAGAGCTGGTCTGGTGGCAGTATTGCGAATGCCAACTCCTCGGTTTCCGCCGCGACCGTTTTTCTTGTCCACTGGGTTTATTGCGGGGTGGTGAGGGCAATCCTTTTATAAGTGCTCGCTTGCTCTACACCGCATGCAGTTACCCTCTGCGAGCCGGCGTCTCCTTTCCTCCTGCGAAATTCAATTTAACTTGGGATGGATCTCAATGTCTCAACGACAATCCTTACGAGGCGATCAAGAAGAGGTAGCTGATCGTCTCCTTGATATCCAGCTAGGACCTCTCCATTATCATTTTTTGTAGGGACCCAGTTCTTCTTCTTTCTCTTTCCATTGCAAGTAGGTGCCTCATTGACTTCAGATACATTATTGCTGCTCGCAGGCATCATATTCGTCTAATCAGGGATGTTAGTCATTGGCTGAGAACTAGGCTGTGCCTGGGGTTCAGCCTATGCGCCGTCTTGATTGAGTCTAGGTCCAACAAAAGTTGCATCCGCAGAATTTCCAGTATGTCATCTTTCTCGTTCATTGGCATTCGTCGAAAAGTTTTCCCTTGCTCCGTTCAGCTGAAGAGTATCAGCATCATCTGGCTCTGTCACACTCTCGCTGATTGGACCAACTCGCTGGATGTAACGGTTTGTTCCAGAACGCTGACTGAGCAGTCTAATGTAATCCGCAACCACATAGTCGAAGACTGGACTTCCTCGAACTTATTAGAGCCGATTGGCTTAGATCTTAGTCATATTTGGTGAAAGTATTAGAGGAGCGGTGTTCACTGGGAGTGAGCCTGTACGTCCGATCAAACGGAAATCTGGTGTATATCTACTTTGAATCGTATTTTTACTTCCAGTTTTGATATAGACCGTACAATTCAGTGTTGCTAGGGTTGTTCGCTAGAATCGCTCGGACGATATGGTAAAGGTTCCGATTATTGACAGCAGCCGCATAGATATCTCCCGCAATCTCTCTTCTAACATCTGACGACTTTCCCGAGACTGGTGTAGGATCAGAGTAGACCTTTTTTTCCCCGTGCCGCATTGGCAAAATCCAATAGAAGTGCCGAAAACCAGATACTTACATCCTAGAAGTGATGTCCAACTTGATTGCAATACCAATAAATTAATACTCCCCCGGCAAATCCATTGCACGTATTGTCCAGTAACGAGTGCCTCGTTCACCACCAATACTACCAATACTATTCACGTTTTTCTGAACATGAGAGTCATCTGAGGTGATACCTCATTGCAGAGGATCCCTAAGGAACTTGGCTGAGTAGCATCCTCACCTGCTGTAGCTTCTTTGGCTCCCTCGGCAGAGACGTTTTCAAAATCGAAAATCCTTGCGTGACATTACCTTATGTGGCTTCTATCAAGCGCTCTCAATATTCTCAATCGTGTTGTCGACAATGAATCCGTATGTGAAGAAGCGAATCATATTCTGCTGCGTTGTTAAATAGGGCCAACTCCTGACTTTTGCTTTTCGTCTATGTCGAAGAATTTAACGCAGCTGAAACCTTGGCATCTCCGAGTCTGCTTTCTTCAAGTCTGTAGATCAATTTCTCATGTTCAAAGATAGCATCGTATAATGCCTTTGCTGTTGGCTGCACCTTTGTCATGTAAAACCCGTGAAGATCTTCTTCAGGCCGAGTCTGTCGTCGAGGATTCTCGCTCTTCCACTGTTATTCCATAGAAAGTGCCGAGATATCCCATGTCTTGAACTCCTTTCCGATTGAATGAAGAATGTTTCTCGTGTCCTGATGGCACCAACGCAACCAGGACGAAGCTTTCTTGGTCTCGAAACCATCAATGTAATAATCGGAACAAGTATCCTCGAATATCCCCACATATTTCGTGACGTTCCCCCCCTTAAAGGTTTTGAGGTCGTTGATTCCTTGCCCTGGGCAAATAAATAGAAACCTGAACATCTTCAAAATGATGGCGGGTTAATGTTTCCTCTTGAGGTATCCATCTGGCTTGGTGCTTTCTGAGGTAGGTGTGTAAGCTCGACGGCTGAAGTAGATGAAGTCAGTGATGATTGCGTATGCTCCAGTGAGAATACCAAATACGTCAATGCTAGAGGTGTCTCTTCGGTCATCTGAATAGAATAGAGGGAATAGAAGGGATAGAAGTTTTTGAATGAATGGAATAATCGTCCGGTATAGACACAGAATGAGAAAATGCTGATTGATGTTGACACTCAACAGTGCAACGCCTTCCTCATATGCAGGGACTTATGGCAGGAAAAGCAGTTGGAAGACAAAAGCGATTATTCGTACGCCTTAGCAACACTTTAGTTGTAGACGGGCTGAACGGGACTCCACCAGAATCATCCCAAGCTCTTTTTCTCCGCTTCCAGAGAGTACCATGCCCCGCCGGCTCACCGGTAACCTCAAAAGAGCACAACACTGCAAAAACACTCATTGTTGTCTTATATACAGTTCTACTATTATTGAAGCTATTTATAAGAAAATTACACCGTTATATAGCCCTTTTCTTACCATACTGCCACTTCGGGTGACGATAGGGGCTGGCAAATCCTGGGCCAAATGGTCTGATTCTGAAGAATCACTCCTCCCTAACAACTACCATAACTTCACCGTTGTTAGCCGTATTCTGACCCTGTTTGGGCGGAATTGGCTCAATAGCTGCGAGTGCTTCTGGTAACGTCATAAAGCACTTAGGTAATGCTTTACACTTCTTGTCCCTTTTTAACCGGTCAAGTTCTTCCTGTGATGCAGCAGACTTCATACGTTCCGCCACCAAATCGGCCTCTATAGCCTCAAAGCCCTTGGCTACCTTCTATAGCTTATAGCGACTATTTATGGTCGATTTTTTGGCTAAATTGCGGATCTGGCGGCTAGTACGGGGGTAGTTAACCGCTGGCCTGGTACGACGTGTTTACATGAAACTCTATGAGGGCACTACAATTGATTGTGTTTTGCCGGCGAAAGACCACACCATCGTGATCCCGAAATATACGTCTGGAATCAAGGTTACTGTGTTGGGTGTCAATGTTGAATAGAGTCGAACTGGAATCAGGGCTTATCCCCGAGAGTCGATATAGGTTCTTCGCGTTTCACTTTGATAATTTCTACTCTGCTTGCACGATGCACCAATCCATAATATTACCGTAGTAACGTGGGGGACGCTCTAACTCTCTTTGTGTCTGCGGCGCAAGTGTTTGAGGCCCACATACATGCATGTCATGTAAGCAAATGTGCCGATCCGGATGGTGTGACAGTTTAGTGTCCAATGCAAAAGTGAGTCCAACCCTCGCCTGACTTGATCAGGATAATCATGGGGTCCGGGGAGGCTTGGCAAGGCGGATGTAAGAACTAGGCTCGGATCGCTTCTTAGATAGCATACAAACCACCTTGGCTATCCTTGCCGCATTAGGCGAGTAGTCTGACTTGGCATGATTGTAGCGTTTTACAGTGGGGTGGGATTAATCTGACTTGCGTCGTGTTGTTGTTGTTGTTGTTGTTGTTGTTATATTTGTAAGCTGAAGCTCTAGGCTATTGGCTGTCGTATGTCCTTATTTTGACCTCGCTGTCCTAGTTCAACTACATGCGTCATGTACGAATAGGGGGCTTGATATTGCAACCGTTACATGAATGATCCTTGTCATGGATCAGAAACAACACTATTCAGCCTCGTATCCGCATATGAGAAGCGTGATATTATAGATACTTACATGGATAACTCTGACATGCATTGTATATTATCTGCGTAGTGATCTTGCGAGGGATAAATTAAATCGCGCGTCATTTATTATCCAACAATCCAACCAAGAATCACTATCAATGACGATATTCGCGACTCCCAATACAGTAAATGACGCCATGTGAAGATTGCGACCATAGAAGCATGTATCCTGCTTTCCACCCGCGGCAACAAAACTTGCCTAGAATACCTGTCGATAAGACAATGGAGAAGCGCGAGGTATTCTAGTCAGTCGGGGCCGTCCTATAGTATTACTCCAATGGGGGTGTATCTCTATTTGGTGAACGCTTCCGTCACTTTCGTCACTCCCGTTACAACTAGCTGCAGAGGGCACTTGGTGATAGATTCGAAATGGATTTTGTGATACGGTCGACCGGTTCATAACGTTTCCAAATTGCATTATACCGTCATGTAACCATGGCCCAGTAGAGGAAAATTAGGCCAACCACGAGGTCTGTCGATCCACAGACATCGCCTCTAGTCATGGTGGCCTACAAATGTAGGACACCCTGCTGTTCTCTCCCTAATAGACCACAGTCACAGGCAACCTACAACGGAGTGGTGGTCAATCACCTTATGTTACCATGGCTCTTGACCTGAAACAATTCCCTTTCGCTCAAGCCGCTACAATGCTGCCCCTTGTCCTTGGTGTTGGTTTTGGCTTCATCGTACTGAGGAGCTTCTACCGTCTGTTCTTTCACCCTCTCTCCCATATTCCAGGCCCCAAGCTGGCAGCCATCAGCCACGCATATGAGTTCTACCACGATGCGATACGTAAGGGAATGTACATTTGGGAGATTGAGAAGATGCATGAGAAATACGGTTAGCTACCTTGGTGCCCAATGTCTTTCTAACCATGCTTAACTGTCTATAGGCCCAATTGTGAGAATTAATCCCCGCGAGATCCACATTAAGGATTCGTATTTCTACGATGAAGTGTACGCTCCAGCCTCAAGAAGGCGGGAAAAGGACCCCCATTTTGTCGGTGTATTTGGGTTCCCAACCTCAATGATTGCAACCGTCAGCCATGAGCTTCATCGCGTTCGCCGAGGAATACTCAACAATTTCTTCTCTAAGAAATCCGTCCTGGCACTCTCATCCGTCATGCACGAGAAGGAGGCAAAACTCATACAACGCCTAGAGAAGGCACATTATGACGATGCTGTAGTACGACTAGACGATGCTTATGCTGCGTTGACAGCAGATATCATCTCGCAGTACTCATGGGGTGTGAGCTCTGGATTTCTGGATGATGAGAATTTTAAAAATGACATCCGTGAAGCTCTCAATGAGGTTTCCGAATTCGTCCACATCAATAGGTTCTTCCCCATCCTGAGCGCCATCATGCGAGTTATGCCGCGCTGGCTTCTGGCTCAGATTCGACCAGGTGCCACGGCAGTGCTGGACATGCAAGATATGGTCACACGATCCAGTGCCCATAAGTCTGGCGATGGCAGGCAGACCATATTTGACGCGCTGACGGATGACAGTGTCCCGCCTCAAGAGAAGTCTGCTCGTCGCCTGGAAGATGAAGGATTTATTTTGGTTGTTGCGGGCACCGAAACCACGGCGAGAACGTTAACGTTGGCCTCATACTACATTTTTCAAAACAAACCTTTGTTGCAGAAACTTCGCGATGAGATTCGAACGGCAATGCCGAATCTGACCTCGGAGGCATCATGGTCAGAGCTAGAGCAACTTCCTTACCTAGTGAGTAAGCCCCTGCTATATGTTGCCAATCGCCGTGTCTTAGCGGAACGAGCTGATGTGAGCTGCACTGTTCAGAACGGCGTTGTCCTTGAGTCGGTTCGACTCTCCTATGGCCCCATCTTTCGATCAACTCGGGTTGCACCTACAGAATCTTTGAAGTACAAGGATCTGGTAATTCCACCAGGAGTACGTGACGGGCAACCATGTACATTCGTTTTGGGTTGTAGACTTACAAATTCCTTAATCGCAGTCACCAGTCAGCATGTCTGGTTACTTTGTTCATATGGATCCCCACATCTTCCCTGAGCCAGAAAGCTTCAAGCCAGAGCGCTGGATCGAAGCTGCCAAAAACGGCGAACATCTGAACAAATTTATCGTATCCTTCAGCAGGGGAAGTCGAATTTGCCTTGGTATGAAGTGAGTGTCACAGATATTGTCTATGTACCATGTCTTTGTTAGCTAACCACTGGACTTCTCATAGCTTGGCTTACGCGGAGTTATTCATGACATTAGCCTCTATGATTCGCCGTTTCGACATAGAACTTTATGAAACCGGGCCAGATAATATTCGTATTGACCATGAGATGGGGATCGGGCAGCCCAAGGAAGGTGAATTTTCAGTTCGTGCTAAAATCACCAATGTTATTACGGAGTAGATTACCCCAGTTTTACGTTGTCTTTTCCTGAATAAATGCGTTTTTGACTGAACTATATTAAGTAAACTTGAATAGATTTTGGTTAGAAATAGATAAACAAGTTATGATGGGGATGACGGCAATCGTTCTGTCTTTGTTGACCTTTTCGGCGAGCCTTAGATGTAACTTCTTACAGAGCACTCCGAGCAGTCAATACACACATCACACTGCGCATCGAGCATCGTAACCAATACAGGATCTGTACAGAGTCATCATCTGAGGGTTGAATCCCTCAATATCATGATAAATGTCATGGAACAGTTTCAATCTTTGACCCCTTCGTTCTCATAACACCTACCATCCCCCCTACCCCCCTCTCCCCCCACGACCCAAAAAAAGAGAAAAAAAATCATGTTTAAGCCATAGACGCGCTGGCCCGATCTGTAAAGTTATACAATCTATGCTAAGCGAAAAACAGAACAGGAGAATGCACAATTGACTTCAATAATTACCAGCACAATGCATGCGACAAGAACTGGGCTTCAAACTCTGTATGACAATGACTGAAAATTTTGGACTCTTTTCAATCGCAGAATCGATTCTCAAAGGGTCAAATGCGAAAACCAGACGTGTATCCGAATTGGTATCAGCTTGTGAGGAACAGAATTGCGTAATACGGCATCGACGAGGGTGATAATGCACGATGCTGTAATGTCGTGTAAACTTCTGGAAAAGACTATTCTGATGAGTAGTATTGATTGGTTTTGTGTGTGTTGTGGCTGAATTATCGTGGTGATTTCAAGCTCACGGAAACCTTCAACCATGTTCCACACAGATTCTTCCAGGGAAGTCCAGCCCGGCCGCCCAAGATCGCGCAGCAACTGTTCCGCTTTGTGGCGAGGTTCAATCTCGTTAGGATCTTCCCCTCCAGAGAAGTTCTCTACGAAGACCTTAGCTGGTTCAAGCTTGCGCAGGATGCCCAGAACGGAGTCCCAACTATAACGCGCGGCAAATCCGAAGATCCGTTGGCCTCGCACCTTATCAAGGACAGCTGCCGCGACATGCAGCCGGCCAACATCTTGGACGTCAACAAAATATTCTGCCAAGTCGTCAGGCCATGTCAGGTTTCAATCACGATGGTGTAAGTCAGAACCTACGTCGCGGAACGATTCGGTGATACTCCACTACCTCTCCCCTATACAACAAAGCGACCATGCCAGCGGTGCTAGGATATGCCTGTTTAACTGGATCAAGGGATTTGCCCAGAGTCATGTTGGGCAGCACTAAAAGCTGTTTAGCAATGTGAAGCCCACAATATACACATACATAACTAGCCTGTATTGATCACGAGCTCAGGCCGCTCGTTGAAATGCTGCTTGTGGTACTTCCAAATCGCCTGTTCTGTCAGAGTCTTGCTCGCAGAATAAACCGCGTGAGAACGCTCGGGTGTATATGGGGGATCTGCCCAAGCCTTTTGAACGGCATCCTCGTTCCACGTTTCCTCCGTGACCACGATGCCAGGCTTGTCTGTAGTAGACAAAACGCTTCACACTGGGCTCTGCATATATTGCTTTTAGGGCATTAAGACCGAAAGCGATTGCCCCCGGAATGACCTTGTTAGGGTCATGGTCAAGACTCATGATGGACGCCGTGTGTGTAACGGCGGACACGCCTACAGAATGTCAGATAAGCTTGCATCAGACTGAATCTCTCGTGTAACAAACGTACCTTTCACAGCCTCATCCAAGAAACCCTGAGCAGCCATGTCTGGAATTTCCCATAGTTCAAAGCGCCCTTCACCGTATTTCTCACGGAATATGTCCGCTAGCCAGACGTTCTTGTTTACATCTCGCACGGTACCACGCACTTTGAATCCGTAATGCAAGAACTGATCAGCAATATGAGAGCCGAGGAACCCGTTAGCCCCCGTCACGAGGACGGTAGAACCTTCATGGAGAGCCGGTTCTTCAAGTGATGGCATTGGATATTCGGTAACGCAATGAATGTGGACGGAATCGAGATCTCATCCGTTACTGAGGGAAGAAATAGCCGGGAAATAACAGCGACAGGAATCATGGGTATGTGTCCATCCACTCCGTACACGGAAGGGGTGACTGACTCGGAACCGGGATACCTGCATTACCAAGAGGAGTACCATGTCCTCTGCATATGTCACCAAACAGGATATCTTACATTAGTGCTGACAATGGTGCATCTCTGAAGATCGAACACCGGAAGTGACTGGTGGCCTAGACAAGGAGGATTTGGTGATGCTAGGCAATTAGCGCGCTGTTGTGTAAGCTGATATTCTTCACAGATTCGGGGTTTCTCTTCCCCGAACTTCTGCGGGACTAGGCGTTTTGCTTCTAATACTATACACTCTGATAGGATCGTTGCTTAACCCCATAGTTGGCCCGAACGACGCATCTATCATACCAAGGTGGCATTCTTGCATCCAAGATCTTTAATATGAAGGCTGAGCGAACCTGATGACATGCGTCGCTTCTCCTGCGTATTAGATTTCATCTTCATCTAAATCTTCTAAAATATGAGGCAGAAAATGGAGGCGACTCTTAACCCCCAAGCCCACACTTTGCAGGCAGTAGCTGTTGCTGTCCTTGTTTGTGCAATATGTCTGCTCTTCCCGAGCATTAGTTATCGAGCGCAGCTCGCCCGGCTCCCACTCCTAAGCGCTACAGCAAGCAGTGAAGAGCGACGAAAACTCCTTATAGAATCCGCTTACCAGCTCTACATTGACGGATATAAAAAGGTGGGTATGGCTTCTTAACAAAATTCCGAGCTGACCAGTACACAGTTCAGAGATGTCGTTTAGCGCATGCCAACCTCAGACGGTATGTATCCCCCCAGCCGTATGCCCAAGACTCAAAAGCTGAAATGACACGTCCCAGGCCAGGAGAATATCATTATTATTATTATTAAATACGCCGTAGGCTCGAAGCCCCCGGTACCTCTACTAGTACTCCCGTATGTCAAACCGTGCCCTAATGGCTGGACTAAATACATACGCTGCGTCGTCGGTTCGCCCTATTGGCGACTGCGTTACGTCCACTACCATACTACGTTGGTTCTCAACCTACCAACAAAGTCCCCCCTGAGAAGATCGATGCTATCTGGGCCTTGAAGCTGTCCGACCCGTCCCTAGCAGCCACCTTACAATAGTCCCACTAACTACTGGTTCTCCTGTTGCCGTTGCGAGGTCTCTGCGAGAGTATAGTGGCCGTGGTGCGATGGCGGCCCGTAATCGTTCCCTCGGTCCTTCCAACAGCCCGCAAAAGAGGATTACGTGCTCTGCCGTCTCAGGGGCATCGCCACAGCGGCATAGCGGCGAGTACACGCCAAAAGCCCCTGTCTTGAATAAGAAGGCTGCTAGTCCTATTTTTTCCGTCCTGATCTGGCACAGCGTAGACGCCTCCAGTCGGTTCAGGCCGAAATACTTGCCCCCTTTCGGTATCTGCATCGAAGGGCCCTCCGGTTCCTCAGCGATAGCGCGTCGCTGGCGATCGTGATGCTCTGCTCCGGTGAGCCATCTCTTCCTCCAGTGGCCGAGGAGGGCAGCCGGGACCTCCTTTTCCTCACTCATCCACTCGGAGCCCCGGGCCTCCTTCTCCATAGTGTACCCTGCCGGTCGGAGTAGCTGCGACGCCTGCTTCCTCTTCGCCGGCCTATCCTGCCGGAGTATATGTGACGCTTTAGCGCTCGCGCTGCGAAGCAGATTTCTCTTCCCGCTAAGCCGTAGCCGTTCTTCAAACTTAGCAGCCCGGGCACTAAGATAGAGGTCTAGTGGCGGGATTGCTGCTTCTGCTTCCAGGTGGCGAACCGGCGTCGCTTTGTGGGCGCCACAGACTACCCGGAGGCACTCGTTCTGTATCCCCATCAGGCTCTTAGCTGGCCCTGTCGGTTCCTCACTTATAGTATGCCACGCAGTCGCCCCGAAGGCGATCGCGCTACGGATAACCACCGTATATAACAGCCTCGCCCGTATAAGATCGCAGCCCCACGACATATTGACTAGCTTTGTCAGGGCTAGCTTTTGAGTTGCCATTTTTGTTTTAACACGCTCAACATGGGCGTGCCACGTCAGTTTGCGGTCGAACCAGACTCCTAGGAACCTCGCTGAGACTACCGGCGACACTGTGGCGTCCCCAAGGCGAATACTTTGCGGCAAGGGCTCTCGGGCCCTAGTAAAGTGCATTAGCTCACTCTTGTCAGGAGCGAACTCCATCCCGTGCCTCACTGCCCACCGCTGACACGTAGCCCATGCGCTCTCCAACCGGCGGCAGGTCGTGTCTGGATCGGTGCCGACGCTTAGCAGGTTCGTGTCGTCCGCGAACCCGACTACTAAAAGTAGTGGATGCTGCTCCGCTAGCTCCTCGTACAGCGTTGAAATGTATAATATAAACAGTATCGGGGATAGCGGTGACCCCTGGGGGACGCCAGCTCGTAGGGGGATTGGCTCTGACTCCTTGCCATCGAACCGGAGGCGTACCGTCCTATCCTCCACGAAGCTGCGTACCCACTCCTGAACCCACTCCGGGTAGCCTTTCCGGGCTAATATGGAAATCAGCCGTCTGTAATTGACCGTATCGAATGCCCCCTTGATGTCTAGCTGTAGCAGCGAGGCGATGCCCCCGCGTCTCCACGCCGTATAGACCACGTCCTCAACTATACGTATTGCCAGTTCGGTGGACCTCCCAGCGCGGTTACCCATTTGGCCGTTTGGTAGTAGGCCGGCCGCCTCAGCTACTTTGGTGATACGCTGGCTCATCGCCGTCTCTATTACCTTCCCTACCGTGCTAAGCAGGGCAATGGGGCGCCAGCCGCCAGGGGTCTGCTTCTGAGCTGTCGTTTTATTAGGCTTAGGGATAACAACCACCCTCGCTGAGCGGAAGCGCTCCGGGTAGTACCCCAGCCTAAAGCTAGCTGTTGCCAGATCCGCTAGGATCTCCCATAGGGGTTCACCGCAGGCCTTTAGCAGGCCAGTGGGGATCAGGTCGTCGCCGGGAGCCTTCCGAGCAGCCGTTCCTTTGATGATAGACTCGATATCCATTGTGGTCACCTCCCTAGGGACGTTCAGCTCTGGTCTCGTCTGTAATAGGCCAGGAGAATATTGTCATCCCTCCCAAACTTTTCCATGAATATAGGAAATTAATGAATTCGGTGGTTGGATTCTACCCAGCTGCAGAAAAGGTGGGTATCGTTACTGCTTCGTAGAGTCGAATGACGGAAGCTAACAAAATTCAAGGTCTTGGAGTCCAGGTATACCAACGTACTCACAGACTTGGGGGTGGTCGCTCATTCGGTAAGAGCTGACCTCACGCCAGCACTCGGTGATTCTGCACTACCTTTTGCCCAGCCTCTTCTAATACTCTCTACCCCGACTAAATCCAATCATCTACGCGGAAGTTTACCAAGCCATGAAGGAAGACATTCCTGAATGCAAAGATTGGACACCCAACCGGCTTAAAAACCGTTACACCGAGGAACTTAACGATTTCTAAGCCCTCGAATATAAGGCGGATAAGTTCAACGTATAGTTGTACAAGTCAATTAGCCCGGAGTAGCACCCCATTTTCCGCTCGGCCACGATGGCCATTACCCCCTTCGAATTGGGGGATTGCCGCATATCTGACGAGAGATAGATCTTTGATTTCGGGTCCTGACGCAGCTGCTTGCCGATAGCCTCCCTTTTTTGGTTAAAAGCGTCAATTAGCCAGTCGTGAATCGTAAAATCAGAGCGCGGGGGCATCGTGGCGGCCATCGAGCCAATAGCTGCCGGAACGCAGGAGACTCTACGCCAGCCAGTGGGATCTCGGCGCTGACGACCATTCGATAATTATTTTCTTGAAGTTCTCGAACGTCTGAAGGACAACAGGTTCGTCGCTTATCTGTTTTTTACGTTGTTGGTCGAAGACTGATAGAATCGATGCTATATTTTCCGCTTAGTTCTACGCCCTATAGGCTGATCAGGGCTAGCTTCTGCTTCCAGCCCTAAGTCAAGCCAGTGAGGGTCGCCCTGCAGGTGCCTGATGGCGCTGGTTGTTGCTTGGGCGGCGTAAAGCTTCGTCTTGCCATTATTATCACAGTGGTTACAGCTCCAGAACGCCTTTTCGGCCTTCAAGCCCATCTCAGTCTTCTCAAGCAGCCACAGCTAGATTCGGTGCCTGTAGATAGGTGAGGACTTGCTGTTTGACTTCCTTTCGCAGCCAAGTGGCTAGAATGTACTCATACTTGCTATTCCTTAGCCTAATAGGCTTGAGATCCTTTTGGGCCATAACGTCCCTCACCCATTTGTGGGCCATCTAAAAATCGCTCAACGCTATAGTCACCCTTCAATTTCAAGCCTTCACATCTCCATCAATTCTATTCCAAATGTATCCATCGTTGAAATTCAGCTTTTTTAGTACCATATGCGCCAATATACCGAAGATGACGTCAACCAGGCTATCGAGGCTATCGCAAATGGTTCATCTATCCACAAAGCCTCTAAAATTTGGAGCGTACCAAGGTCAACACTTCAACATCGACTTCGCGGAAAGCAGCCAAGAGATATAGCCTTTTCAAACCGCCAGAGGCTTTCGACGATCCAGGAAAAGCAGCTAACTGAATGGATTCGCATCCAGGCTGCCCTGGGCCTTCCGCCGACCCATCAACAACTAAGGGAATTTGCTGAACGAATCTTGAAGATCCAGGGTGATACCCAGCCACTTGTAAAGAACTATATTCAAGCCTTTATTCGAAGGAACCCATCTATTAAAGTCCAGAGAAGCAGAGCTATCGATTCCTAGCGCGTTAATGGAGCCTCAACTGATATAATCAGGGACTGGTTCAAGTACCTCGCCATCCCTGAGATCAAGGCTATTAAGTCTGCGAATCGATATAATATGGATGAGAGTGGTATCCTTGAGGGCGGAGGGCCAAATTGGCTTATTCTTGGATCGTCTGTAAGTATATCTATACGCAAAAACAGCCTGCCTCTGTGCCTCTTAAAGAAGAGAAAATAAACTTTCTCCTAGCCCCGTAACCTATTTCCCTGATGTCCGGCCTGGCCCCACTACAGTATATAAGTCTATCATCTATTTAGATTGCTTTATTATACGATAGTTATAGCGGTATAAGCCCTGTGACGGTTGTCACGTGATTGACCCACACTGGTCTGAACAGATTGATAAGTGGTTGCAGATACCAAAGTCAGGGACTTTCACGTCTTACGTGATGAGACGTTAAATTTCAATCAAAGTCAGGGACTTTGGTATTGGTCTCTTTTGGTGAAGACACCTGGTACGGTGGCGTAGTGGCAAGGATTGCAACCCCTGGCGCGGCGTGACAAGCCCGTCGTTTAGTTAGTCTCTTCATAGTTGCCTCTTTGATACCCGTTCATTAAAGCCCTCTCTAGTATTACAAGTGAAGCTTGCTCTTTAGAAATAGGGGTGTTTTTCGTGCCCGTATCTGGCGCCATATTGCTCGAATCGAGGTCGCGATCGTGGTCGTGTCGAATATCACGTGTGTCCAATCGAGTAGTCAGAAGTGCATAAGATTGTATATGAATGAGGTGTGTTCTTGTCTGTGTTCTATTCTCGCGAACTCCCGTTGCTCTGCCCTTTATAGATTCTTTCGGAAATGTCGGAGGTGCATTGTTCAGGTGTCTGACCCCGAACTTCGGAGTTACTTTCGGGAAGAGGGGTTCATTTCGCCGTCTGAACTTCAAGTGACACTAGTCTTCTCTAGTGCCATATTATTTCTGAACCTAGGAACCAGGTGTCCTATCTGACAGGTCGTGGTCGTGGAAGGATGGTAGTCGTGGACATAGCGGAGTACAATACGAGGAGGGGGGGTGGATAGTAAATAGAGAAGATGGTTGAGAAATTATATTACGCTGCTAGAGCGCATCAGCCCTACCTTAGATGCTATTTCTGTTTTCAGTCTGCTTAATATTGAATAATAAAATCTGAAGGTCGCATACCTGCTCAGGCGGGCGCGCTAGTTATCACTTAGGTAAGAACTGTCCAAGCGCCAAAAGCAGCTACGCGAGGTGAGCACAGACGAGAGCGGATCTCACATATTTTATCTAGTTAGCTGCATATTGAACACAAGCAAATTTCATTTATTTTTTCAATACATCGCCGCGGCGGCCTCGGCTCTCGAGCCATGGTAACTGGGAATAGTCGCTTCATCTATTCTCGGTACCCGTCAGTTACAGGCGGACAACAAATTTCTCTGATCACGATTAAGCCGGAGCGTATCCTGTCATTAGTTGCCGAGAGGCAACTGGTGCGTAGGATAGGTTTGACTTCTTTGGTCGAACATGTTTTCCTCTTCCGTCCTTGATGTCCCCCGTGTGTTGTGATGTGAGCCCACCGTTGCCAATGCCAGCTTCACTGTGGCCAGTTCCGCTGTCAAGAACACATCAGAAGTTGAAGATTTGACCTCCCAGTGACCAGCTTTGCAGACTCTATTCCACCCATTAGACCCCATAAACATCAAATTATATCCAGCTCTCCCTCCCCCAGCACCCCTCATCACTTGAGTATCGTGTGCGCGCCCCTCGCCTCGAGGTACTGCTCGGGTGCACCCTGTGGTAACGACCGAATGTAGCCAAATACCTCTATGTTGTGATATCTCAGTCTGCTCTTCGGATCCAAGTACGGAGCTGGTAGCCCCGTAACATCGCAATACCTCCGTGAATGCGCCAGAGATGGCGCGCTCTCAATGTTCGTGTATGTAGCACTAGGCGCCGACGAGGCCACCCCTCCAGCTCCTCCACTCCCATTCGGACGCAGGCTCTTCTCGAGCGCGAGCCTAGATAAACTGCGCGATGCCTGCGCAAGGTTGGGCTGTAGACTGGCCGCTCCGGATGCAGGCGCGGCTGGGGTTGAAGCGCCGGACGTTGATAGGCCGTCGTTTTCTATGGCTGCCGGCGTGGCGGCTCCGCTGTCGTCTTGCGGCGTCGCAACGATGGAGGCTTCCTTGCGGGACGCATCGCCCAGGATCGTCTTTATGTTCTTGTTGCGGCGTTGGTTGGGCCGCCAGTGCGGGCTGCGGAAGCTCTTGTGGATGGAGTGAATGTCGAGCTGGTCGATGAGCTCTTGATGGGCTATCTGCGCTTCGGTCGGGGCGGACATTCTGCTGGCTGGCTGCTTATTTTTAAATAGCAGGTGTAAAGAATAGGACGTCTAAGCACGGGTTGATCAATGGCGTGTTCTGTTCTACGATGAATGTGGAAATCCGCAGCCTGGCCGGTTTGTCCTGATGCAACAACTGAGCATTAGGTTTTGCCGCGTGCGACCGCCAAAATAGGTGCTTGGAGTTGCCGGATACGCTGAGCCACAACCGTCAACAACTTAGCAATCACTAGATGAACACAAGATTGAGAGCCCCGAACAAGACAACTCGATATGGTCAGCATTCCTCAAGACTTTCTTGATGAACAAACCTGACGTTAGGCTCAAATAGGAGAGTCCTCATGAGCACCAGCAGAACCTCTTGCTGTCGCGCATCGTCACCAATGTTGTAAGTGGAAGACAGTGGTGTGCATTCCAAAGGTATGAGGCTGATATTGCCCAAAACCACAGGAGAAGCTCAACGAATCCATCTTGGTGATGAACAAGAGCCTGCAGGTGAGAATAATCGCCAACTGAAGTCCGGACATCGAAAACATTTACTGAGCATAAATGGCATACAGGAGATTAACATTCAGAATATGAACATTGAGCTAGTGGCACAGATGTTCAAGAACTATCAGTCTAATGTCCTATTCCACCTAGAAGGTACAGCTCCTAGCCAACCAATCGATATAGATCACCTGCTGATGCTTTAAAAGCCACGGACAACTTGAAAGACCCGTCATGATAGTTCTGAGGCTCACGCGTGTGGTGGACATGTTGATCTGAGAGGAATGGCATTGAGAAGCAGGGCGATGGTTTCGTCCACATAACCACCCCGGGCAGGTCATACAGCAAATGCCCTGTAAAGCAATGTGTACTCAGTATAACCAAGTGTGGTTGTATCCAAATATGGTTCGGGTTGATAATGACCAAAGCGATATCGACGTAGCTCGGTAAGGTAAATATACATTTACTCTACCTTTCCTCTAGACGCGCCCGTCGACTACCCCGCGTTATCAATCGCGTGCAGCTAAGATAGCAGGGGTCATAGCTCCACCAAGCAATGCAAACCCCTGCATAGCTGTCAGCCTTGCATTTCAAGATGCTCATGGCTCAGAAGTCAGCGAAGCTTCGCCCTGCCGGCGGACGGCATGATTTGTCTGAATCTAGCAATTGACCGCAGCAATCTCTGAAATTGATCACCGAACCTGCGTCATCACCTGAACAAATACATAATGCACCTGCGAGGATTCTGAAGATCACGACCGATAACTACTCACGATGGCACCATCAGCCATAGATCCGCCTGTATCAGCAGCTGTGCCAGCGTTGCCAGTGCCCGACGAAAAGACGTATCCCCCAGCGAGAATATACCCCATGAAGGAGATGCGCTTCGAGAAGCACACCCCACCTCAACCAGATGGACGAGAAAAAGCTCTTGCGCAGTCCAGTGGCAGCGCCGCCATCGTCATTGATAATGGTGCGTTCACACACCGTCTCGCACCCGTATTCAGCACTGAGGAAATGCTGACAAGCCGCTTCTCCCAGGCTCCTCGGCAGTTAGAGCCGGATGGTCTTTTGAGTCGCAGCCAAGATTGAGCTTGCCCCCGATCATGGCCAAATACCGCGATAGAAAGCTGGGCAAGACGTATTCCTTCGCCGGTGCCGACTGCTACGCCGACACGACCGCTCGAGGCCACATTCGAAATGCGTTTGAGGCCGGCACAAATATAGTGAGCAACTGGGACGTAATGGAGCATGTGCTTGACTGGACTTTCCTCAAGCTAGGTATGAACAGCGCTGAGGGCTCAATCGACATGCCGATTGTCCTGACCGAAGCTGTGGTGAATCTACCGTACTCGCGAAAATGTAGGGACACCCTTTTCAATTTGCAACTAAGCGTATGAGGCCAATGCTTACTCATCCGTTTGCAGCCATGAACGAGATCATTTTCGAATGCTACGGAGCCCCCTCCCTTGCGACCGGCATCGACTCACTATTCTCGTATCGCTACAATAAGGGACAGACAGGACTCGTAGTCTCCTCATCATACAGTTCAACTCATGTCATACCCGTCTATAACTCAAAAGCCATGCTGGCGCAGGCTATTCGTCTCAACTGGGGCGGTTATCAAGCCGCTGAATACCTCCTGAAACTTATGCGCCTCAAATACCCTGCCTTCCCCGGCAAGCTGAACGCTTCGCAAGCCGAGAACATGCTGCGCGATCACTGTTACGTCTCCAAAGCATACGACGATGAAATACGATCATATCTCGATTGGTCAGGATTGGAGGACAGGGATGTCGTCATTCAATACCCATATACCGAGGAAGTCATTATCCAGAAGAGCGAGGAAGAGCTGGCTCGGCAAGCTGAACGCAAAAAGGAGAGTGGCCGGCGCCTGCAAGAACAAGCGGCCAAGATGCGGCTGGAGAGGCTAGTACGAAAGGAGCAAGATCTTGAGTACTACAAGAATGTTCAGGAGAAACTTGCCGACGCCAACAAGAAAGAGACCAAAAGGCTGCTTGATGCAGAGGACATGAAAGACGAGGCGCATCTTGAGCGCACCATCAAAGAACTCGAGAAGTCAGTCAAAAAGGCACGCACAAAGGATGTTGGAGGTGACCCTGAGGAGGAACAGGACGTACCGTCGTTCGAGCTTTTGGATGTCCCTGATGATCAGCTTGATGACGCTGGACTCAAGCAAAAACGACAGCAGCGCCTAATGAAAGCCAATCATGACGCCCGCGCCCGCGCCAAGGCCGAGAAGGAAGCCGAGAAAGCCCGGGTCGAAGAAGAAGAGCGTGCCGATCGAGAGCGACGTGAAAATGATCTCGAAGGCTGGCTAGAGGAGAAGCGCGTGGCTCGGAATGACACGCTGCAACGGATAAAAGACCGGGATCGTCTCAAAGCCGATCTGGGCAACCGCAAGTCTCTAGCCTCCCAGATCCGCATGAAGTCCATTGCGAATCTAGCATCAGACGGCCCGCGTGTTAAACGTCGACGGGGCGGCGACGATGACAACTTTGGAGCGAATGACGACGACTGGGGTGTTTACCGGCAGATTGCGGTAGGTGAGAATGCAAGCGATGACGAGGAGGGCGAGGAAGATCTTCTAGGCAACCTCAAAATGCTCGAGGAGGACCTTCTACGCTACGATGAATCATTCACGCACGAGGACACTTTCGAGGCGCAGACGAACTGGAGCAAATCGCTCTTACACGCCTTCCTGCGCGGGCCGCGGCCGTTCAACGTGGGCGCCCAGTCCGAGATCCACCAACTGCACCTCAACGTAGAGCGGATACGTGTGCCAGAGGTAGTGTTCCAGCCGTCCATCGCAGGCGTCGATCAAGCAGGACTCGTCGAGATCGCCAGCGACATTCTCAACCAGAGATTGGTTGGCATTCCCAACATTAACCGCGACGACTTCCTGCGCGATGTATTCTTGACTGGTGGTAACACCCTGTTTGAGAACTTCGACGACCGGCTCCGCCAAGGCCTCACGGCTTCGCTGCCTGCTGATAGCCCACTGAGGATTCGGCGGGCTAGCGACCCGGTGCTGGATGCTTGGAAGGGCGCCGCGGAATGGGTTGGGTCTTCTGGCTACAAGACTGCCACTGTTACCAGGGCTGAGTGGCAGGAGAAGGGTGGTGATTACATTAAGGTAAGATTTCCCTCCCTTTTCTTGTTTATTGTGTTTATTTTTCTTTTGCCAAGTCTCTATTCTCGTCCCCATTTCCTATTATCGTATTCCGTCCTGCTTTGTCATCAGACAGCTCGTCACACATAATCAAGTTGGCCAGTGTACTAGTCCCAATAACGAAAATGCACGGCCCTGGCACAACATAACATCCTCTGCTTTTGTTTCTTTATTTGTCTGCCTGACTAAGATCCGAACCATGTTATTACCTATCTTACCCCGGGTTCCACAGCTTCGTATAAGCAGCAGCAGAATGTTTATTTATCCGCTTGTCGTGACACGTGAGCGTTGACCTTTTGGCTGACGTGGGCTATTTGATTTAGGAACACGAGCTGGGCAATTCCTACGCATGAGCAAGCAACATATTTGGTCAGCAGGGCGCGATAGGGTGAGAATTGTGGCTTCAGTCGGGAGCTTTTTCTATTCTTGCCATTTTCCGGGTTAGTCATCAATGTAGACTCGGGATTCGTAAACGCCAATCTAGGATGCTCTTGAGTATATTCGGTCTTCGTGTGTAAAGCGTCTATAGTATGTTTTGGTAAAAGCAAATTACACAATGAGGAACATCATCGTTTTAGAAAGCTGAACTTCATTCAAGGCAGACAGACGTGACTGACGAGCGGCCACGAATATCTAGTCAGTATGTGCGCGGCGTAAAAATCGCATCAGGCCAGCATATCAACTGGTCGCAACCGCATTCTTCTCACTCGAGTAACCTCTCGCCTGTGAGTCCAAATAACCTTGAAGCATGGCAAAACAGGCAATGAAGCCCATTTGTCCCTCCTGGCACCCTTCAAATCAATCAAATATGCGTACGGTGCGCATGGCGATGCTCAAATCTTGCTTTGTGCCCTTTTTGCTTGTCACTAGATACAAACAGCGATCCAGGTCCGCACCAAATACAACCTGCACCATGATGATGAATAGCAAATGATGTCCCTGAACGCCTGCCTGGTATTCGTTGAATGCACAGGTTCCCCAACACCTTGTAAGAGAAAATGAGACTGTCCCTTAGATCACTACACCTACCCAATGCTCACATTTACCGGGTCGTCCCCATGAGCCTAGTTACATCCGGTCCTCCAAAACCCAATGATATTAATACCATGAACTTCTGACTGCCATTTTCTAGCACTGACCATCCAGGAAAAGGTTGATCCAGAGGACTTCATTCAAGAATATAGGCCAGGGCGACGTTGAACCTTGTTCACAGCGCCACTGTGGCAGTCACTAATCCCATGAGTACCTTGCATTTGGATATGTTTAGACCAGCTGCTCGTTCCAAATACAGCTGCAACTGCCACAAACGCCTAGCCTCGTTTGTTCAAATTCTTGAAGTGAGAATAGAGAAGCCGACAACAAGATCACAGTTGAGCTGATTATTTGGTGCACACTTGCCGGCGCCTACGCCCGCAATGATGAAGGGGGTGGCAATGTGTCGCGTTGCTGCAGCTGCCTTCGTATCTCGTCATCAGTCCGGGGGGGCGCACGCTCGGTGTTTTCAGCCTTGAAGGTGCTTCTCGAATACAACCCATCAGCCGAAGGCTCCCTAGCCCGAAGCCCTGCCACAGCAGCGGCCACATCGGCCAGGGAACCAGCGGAACTCGTACTCGGTGGTGGAGGCTCGGGAGCGTTCGGTGGTGCAGGTGCGCTTCGAGATGCACTGGCAGCACTAACTGGGGTCAGGTTCAGATGCGGCGGGGCCTGTGGTGGGTCGACCTGCAGATCCAGCAGTCGTGATTGCAGTTGAATCACATACTCGCGGAGCGCGTAGTTGTCGTTCTGAATGAGTTTATAGCTATGCTCCATCTCGCTGTACTCGCGCACTTGCTGTTCCAATTTCTTGATGTAATGTTCCTTCCTTTGACGGAATGCGCGCTACAGACAGGTGAGTAGCTTGAAGCAAAGTATTGAGAAGCAGAACAAGCACAGCGACGGTATGTACGGGCTTATCATTTACTCACCTGTGCAGCGCGATTTTGTGCAGCGCGTTTGGATTGCGACAACTCCCGCTTGGCCTTCCGTCCATCTGTTGTGGAATCATCAGGGTCGTGGTCATGGTCATGCTCGTTGTCATGATCCAGGAGTCCGTGAACCGCCATAGCGGCAGAAGTTCCTGTGCCGGAATGGTCGGGTGCCGACGATATGCCAGCTGGCATTATATCAGATGCGGTACTTGTAGAACCTCTCAAATGCGAATGAATTGAAGCATGCGTTTCTACCCCAAATTGACTGTAGCCATGGGCGGGTTGTTGCGGAAGGCTGGTTCTAATGTCCTTGGAGGAGGTTGAAGATGCCGAGCTTGCTTGGGTTAAAAGACTTGCCGCCTCAGCCAACTTCCTTCTCAATTCGGGATCCCCTATTGTGTGGCTTTGTCAGTCATATGTATTTCGACGTCCCGATGTGGGCGACTGGATGCGTGAGGGGTTGTTATAGAGGTAAAGGGTGGAAGCAAGCCGAGCCCGATTTTAGAGGTGGGCCGAACAGGAATATGTATGATGAAAACTCGCCGAAGCCAGGATAAATGATTTGCTAATGGAAGAAAGTGATCGCAGCCGGCAAGTGGGCACAAGCTGTGAGTTATCATGGCTCTTGCGCCAGCATAGGTAGGTGTGATACATTGTACATATTGCGCCGCAGGAATAAACGGCCATAGCATGTCATATGTGGCGGGGACGGGAGGGGGGCGGATGTATAATGTTGCGAATAGGCTAGTCTCGCAGTCGGGCCAGCCAGCCAGCCAAGAAACACTTGAGAAATCCAAGTACTTACCCCCAGAGCCACCAAAGCTTGTGTGATTATTCTGCCCGTTTTCTGTGTGTCAGCATTCGGACGAGCCATGTTTGTTGGTAGACGGAAAGCTTAGAATGACAGCAATTCTGTGTAAATAGAGCGAAAGCGTCGGACATGACCAACGCGGGTACACGATCGGCATCGGACATAAGAGTACAGAGCCCGAATAGCGCCAATGCAGCAGGATAAGTTGGGATGAATGTAGCTCTGCAAAGGGTTCTTTTCATGAAAAACTCGACTGAGCTGTTGTATGATGATCCCAGCTCAAATCGTGTGGGCCACGAACTAACAGAAAGAGGGAGTATGCTCTGTGCTGTAGTGTTTGGGCACTGCTTGCTAGTTATCACCTAGCAGCTAGCAAGGATGACAATCGACGCGGAAATAATACGACGAGGCGATGCAAGTGAAGGCAAAATGCTGACCTTTTGAGCTGCCGTGGCAGCGGCGTTGGCATACTCCATTGACGTGGGAAGGCTGTTGACGGGTTGATCTTGATAGATCTGTCTTGCTGCAGGCTGCTTGTATGACCCGGAAGATCGACGACCAGATCTGGCTGTGTGCTGTTCCTGGCCACTCTTAGATGTATCGCTGATGGAGCTCGAGCCAATCAAGCGCTTGCCCCTGGTAGATGAGACTTTTTTTCGCGACCGAGTACCAAGGTAGAAGAAAAATGAAAGGTTGAATCCAGATGGCTCACCCGAAATCTCGGGCTGGAGGAGACTCGCAGTCGCTGTCCAGTATGGGAAACGGTATCCCGGGGTCCGAGGGGTGACGAAAGTTGCAGGATGCTATCTGCCAGCTAGGAAAGAAGGGGGTGTGTGCCCGTCGTTGCGGCGCGAGGTCAACACCGACGCGGCCCAGTCCTGGACAGCCGGGAAGGGTTTGTCAGCAGAGTGGGAGAGCTGCACCCACAGGAAGTACCTGAAGCTGGCTGGCTGGCTGGCTAGGCGTTTGGTGAGTGCCAGCGCGGTGCGGTGTGCTGCGAGGCTGGAATTGCTCGAATCAAGATGCGTGACTGATTACTTAAGTAAGTAAAGTCGAGAGACCCGATGGATGATGGCGGAGGCTGTTTCAATCGTCCGAAGGCCGTAAATGCGAAGGCGTTTCCCCCCTGTCAACAAGAGGCCCGTCTTCCTGACAGCGACTTGATTGATTGATGGATGGGGTTTGGTTTCAATGTTCCCGGGAGTCGTTTTCAATGCAATGCCGTCATTCAATGTACACTCGTGAGCTCGCTCGCAAGTGTGTGTGTGTGTGTGGTAGTCGAGAGCAGCTTCCACATAAAGTTTGATTATTAAAACTGGGGGTCCTCTCCGGTCGCCCCTACTGTGTAGCATCCACAGAGGGAGGGATTTGACGTCGTCTGCAAAGCCGTAATTTGCGGCACAGTGCCTGTCACTTGGTCTGGGCACTCCCTCCAGGCATCCTGGCAAACTACCCAGGCCCCGGCTTTAAAAATTCAACACTGGCTTTGCACCCTGATGCCATGCGCCACCTTCTCGCATCGCGTTTGTCACGACCGGGGGCGCATCGGTGCCATCAACGATCACTGATGAGCTTGGAAGTGACAGGGTACCTGACGGTACATTAGACTAGCTACACGGCGGGGCAGGGATCATGCTGCACCTATCGGCGCTCTTGACATCCCGGGCTTCAGGTGCACGGATAAAAGCCGTCAAAAAGTCGACTTCAATAAGCACAACTCCCCCATACAAGGAGGGAAATTGGACATTATTTGTCCAAAAGGGTCTTGTTCCGCTGTAGCAGGGTTGCTCTAGGTGTCATCAGTTATATCACGTGTAACCTGCCTCCACACCTGATGATGGTGCAGATTGCATTGCGGCACCGTTATTTCTGCTACATCCCCAAAGCTGACAAACCATTTGCAGTTTACCCTGGCCTCGCCGATTTCCCACTTCACGATGCGAAGACCGACATATCGTTAGCCTTGGCGTCTGCACTGGGTGGCCGCTCCGCTGCCAGTTTCCGGCTACTCGGCTTCGTTCCTCCATCGCTGTCTTCATCACCTAACTTATTTCAGCAGTCGAGAAACAAACTTATTGATCATCAATCACTATCAAACAAATCTTCTTGATCCTGCTGCCCGGCCTCCTTATACTTTGAGACGTGGCCACGGGGCGTCGAAGGATTGTCAGCTCAAGCTTCTCATTGGCGTTTGCTTACGATGGATATACTACTAGCAACTTGTGGATACGGTAAAATTTCCGGCGGCTTTTGACTGGTTACCCCGGCCGGCAACGTGCTACTCCTGTTACCTGTGAGGAGTATATGCAATAAGCCATCATCTACCTTGATGCTTGTAACCTGTGTCAGTCATGGTCACACTTCGCCGGCCACCGGCCATTGATAACGTCCAACAAGTCTCCTCTCAGGACTCATTGATGAAGACTGGCCCGAAGCATGGAGAGAACTTCTCGGTGAATTCGAATATCCTGTCTCGCTGTCAGTCCTAGACCAGATGAAATGTGCCTCCAACACGTGGGGTATGGGACGAACTCAAGCATGCTGCAAGTTCCGTCAGAACCAACTGATATTCGAGTTCTCGTCAATCTTCCCAGGCAAAAGGAAGCCTGGCCCCGTCAGCGGCGTCCACGTGGTACTAACTGCACTGCGTGGTCCAATTGTGCCCCGGTTTCGTTCAAGGTCATGCATGCTTTCTCCGGCCGCCTCGCCGTGCGCTTTGTTGACGATGTGCGGCATCCTCTGCTGCAGGGTTGTCAATAAGTCTTAGGCTGGCTTACCTACTGCGTAGTACACGCACAGGATTCTATTAGGCTATTGCAGCTGGGATAATTACCACAATTCGATTCAGATATTCACTCCCATCGGTAATTTGAAACCCGATGACTCTCACGCAGTTTCATCTCTACGCAATAGCTCTACCGTTTAGAGCAAGCTTACCGCTCGGGGAGATGTCGCTATTGTCTGTTGATCCTACCCGCTTGTCGATCATCTAGACGACGACTCCTCCGGCGCGGAGTGGGTGCAATGATCGAGCGCAACAGGAGCCACTTTCGTCAATTACAAGGTGGTCTTCGTGGGAATCGTGGGGCAAGGAAATAACGCAGGTTGTTGCCGATACCACGCATCATAAAATGTTCTCGTTCGACTCTACTATGCCCGCATTTGGCTGCTGTGCTTACTGTGCATAAGGGCATGGGTGAGAATTGCCAGGGTACGTAATACCGCGAGCCCCAGATGAGCCAACCAAGCAGACCCGAAGACTCTTGTGTGGATCTTGTTACGAACGAGACTTATATGATTTTCCTCGCTTCCAAAAATTTGTAACATACTCTGATTTAGTAAGAGGGATATCCTCAAGCGAGTTACACTGTCCTCGAATGGAATCCGCACCACGCCCATTACGTCGGTGTCATAACCTGGCATCAACTGCCCGCACATGGGAGCGTGTTTTCCCAAGACGTCGGCGGCACTGCAAGGTAGGCCTTGAGAGCTTGCAAAGGGGTCAGGCCGGCTTTGCAGCGTATACGAGCTCCATGGCGTTGTTGCCGTGTGCCAGACGGTGTTGGGGATTGCTGTATACCGTGACTGTTCCAAGTGCACTCTTGAACCCAAGCTCGATGACCAAATTATAGTTGGACCTGGCCAAAAGCACTACCTTCTTATCTTGTCCACGACCGGCTCGGGGAAGCCGCAGTGGTGAATAATGAGGCTTGGGCTTCCCTGGACACCATCAATCAGGATGGCGTCTCTCTCTTTCATCCAACTCGGCCAATTCTCAAGGTAACAGCCGCTGCGATGGTCCTGACGCCGGCTTATAAAATTGGCATAATGTATGCTTTTCCAATCACTGGACAGCCACGGTACGATCACTTCCAGTAGTTTCGCCCACTACGACCTTCAGTTCCTCGTCGGAGAGTTGGCGATCTTTCAGGTTGATCATCGAGGCCGAGGATGCCTTCAGAAGAAGAGAGACAAACCTTGATATAACGACAACGAGCACCTCGGAGCACCCTGATTTGGACCGCTTTAGCGCACTCGTCAACGCCATTTCAGAGCTGTAAGTTGCAAGCCCAACATGTTCAGACTCAACCACAGGGCGCAAGGGAACTTTATGCTGTTCTTCGTGCCTACCGATGATTGACAAATCCGATAGCGAAGAGTAAACGTTGAGCTCAACGGTGCAGCTATTCTGGATTTAATTCCCGGCCACAAGTAACTGGCGTACCAGGGGGGTTCAATCAGCATCTCTCAAAGCTTAGCAAACCGGTGAGATCCTGATCCTAATCCCAGACAGCTCCCGCACACTGTTGAAGCTGGCTTCGAGGGGGTGACGCAATTCAGCCGCCGTAATCGGCCCTTCCCCGTGTACTGGCATCTGGGAGGAGCGTCATGCTGTCGAAGAATTTAGGTGATAGCAGCTCGTGGCCACCGAAATGGACGTGGACATCCCAGAGCTCTGGCGCGAGGACTGAGGTGTGACCGAACTTAATGTGCCATACTCAGACGGCAAGCTCGTCTACTCTCCAAGCCAATCGATCTTGGCATCTTTGAAATCTAACGCCACATGTTTGATGAAATCCCCACGCCCAGGAATCGAGAGGGGCTTCGGAAGCTATATAAGCCAGCGCCTGTGCCGACCGCGCATATTGGCTTACACGTTCTCTACAGGGCTAGACAGGTAGTAGTACGATGCTTGTTCCGAGAGCCGGTGGCAGGAGTTCGTATGGAGGCGATGCTGAGTTGAAACTGCCGATGCGAAGTTCTGTGCAGTGCCAGTAGAGGTGCAGGTGCAGATGCAGTTTCGAGTATTGATTATAGATATTCACGAGAAAAGCCATGCCCCAATCTGCTACTTGCTGACAAAGTGGATGCCAGAAGTAGCAGCACATTGAACGCGACCTGCCTGTTCCTGTCTAGGGCAGCTAGGCCAATACGGGAAGTTGTTGTTTTGGGGACTGTCCACAGTATTGGATGTCACATCTGCAGCTCTAGAGATGCAAGGCGGCCCTAAATATCCCTAGTCTCTTGTTTCCAAACTGGTTTCCAAACTGCAAGTGAACGGATAGACGGCATTGGATACAACAAATACTGAGTAGGTTTCTCTCGAGTTGTCTCGGTTCGGAACACCCGCAGCGGCCGGAACTAGTCTCTTTCTTCCGAGCTTTCAAGGTTGGTCCCAGAGCGGGACGACTGCCGAAAGATCTCTAAATTGGACATCGTCACCTTGTCCCGTCAACTCCATACGGCCAGCGAATCGCATCCGCATTACCCTAGCGTATTGCCTGTCACTTGCAACTCCATTCGGAATTCCCAGTTGTTTCAAAAAACACCAGAACCACGACTTCCAATTGCTGGCACTCGGCACTCAGCGCTCGATGCGACCTGTCGCCTGGGCCCCTAGCCGCTGGCAAACGAGACTGATCTCAACTACGAGTATACCACAAGCCCGGCGGCAGCTCATTAGCCGACCCGTAGTGGTTTCGTGTCGACATCTACTTTTCCAGAGACAACCTCGCATAAACGGCGCAAACGTTGCATTCATGGCGACTTCATCGGCGACGCAGCCCAAGTTCTCTGCCGAATCAGACGAGTCAGCACTGACGCTGAAGCTCCAGGGCTTGCTAGCATCAGCACAAGGCCGCTGGACTCTGACCAACAGCGGCGAGGGACTGGAGCGGAGTTTCAAGTTCAAGACGTTTGCGAAGACCTGGGTAAGTATCGTTTGCTCTATTTGCGAGTTGCGTTTTGTGTGTTTGTTTGTCCATCTATCAGCCATCAATACGACGGTCCTGCCAGGTTTGCCGGAGTTTCCGGGTTGTTTGTCAAGAGTAGTGCCAGCATCACTATATCTCCCGCCTTTCCAGCCTTTATCTCATCGAACTGGGCGATACGACTTAAGTCTCGGTTACTGGGAGCTGCCAGGAGAGTTGGGACGTTGACAGACAACGCCCCCAGGTGTGCTCTAAGTGAAGGGCGTCAGACAAATTCAGGGCATAGCTCAGATGCTATATGCGTAACCTTTCCCCGCGGATTCGCAAGTACAACGCAAGTGCTTCCTGGATCTCAGGAAGACTACGACTGTATTACTTGCCGCCGGCGCTAGCTGCATGCTTCCCCCAAAGTCTATAATCGGACGAAGCCCATCCGGCAGTTCGAGCAAAGTTGCCCACGAAAAGCTACGTTCCCACGCCTGGAAGCATTGGGCGAAGCTGGGGAAGTGAAGACGGCTATGACGGCTAGCTCCATCGCTTCATCCATATCTGTAGTGGTTGTCGTCGGACAAGGCGACTCCAACGGCATCGCTCTCTACTCCCCACTCCCTGTTCGTCGTGCGCTGCAGAAGACAAACTATGAGAAGTTCTGACTAACAAAATATGTGATTTTAAAAGGATTTCATGACTGCGGTTTCACTCCAGTGTAAACTAAGCAATCATCATCCAGAATGGTCCAACGTAAGTCATTATTACTATTTTCTTGCTAATCAAGGTGGTTCTTATTAATTTACCATTACCTCTCGTGATACGATCGCCTCCTGTCATCGGCTTGTTGCTGACCAAGTTGACTAATGACCCAACCAACGAACCAAACTAACTCATTGACTTACTCACTTACACGGAACCCCCTAGGTCTACAACACCACTTTTATCCGGTGGACAACTCACAACCCCAAGGGCCTATCCACAAAGGACGTCGAGCTAGCCGCCATCTGCGACAGTCTGGCCAGGGACTTCGGCGAGGTTGTCGAGGAGGTGAAGGAGGGTGCTGATAGTGGTAGCTGCGAGATGGGGAGGAGGCTTGCTGACGCGGCGACCCGTGCTGGCGGCGACTGCTGTACGCCGAAGAAGAAGCAGTAGTCGTGGTACTAGCAGTAACAACCCCAAAGAAGCTAGGTCATAGTGCCACGTCGTGTTCCCAGATTCGTGGACGAAACCTCTTCTTACTCTGTTGCCTATTGGCTGCCTCCTATGCGAAACCACCCGGAAAACCTATCATGGCAAAGACTAGGCATCAGAACGACCCAACACGGCGGGAACAGAGCGGAACAAGCGGAACGGTGCGGGGATAGGCGAGAACGGAAAAGCAAACCTGCTTTGCTGGCTAAGTACCAGTAGGTTTATCAGCGTGTTGTATGTTTCATTTTATGACACACGAGATTTATTGCTGAGGGTTTCATTGGTGTGAACCGTGTGCCTCCACAAGTGAAGGTGCGTTGTATTATTAAGTTGTCTATCGTCGTGCCGAACGACGTCATCTTCTTCGTACCGAATTAAAAGGGTATACAAGTTGGCCCGGCCCAAAAGGTAGTATGTACAGAATCAACGAGTGACGAGGGCCATAAACTCCTTTCCCCATGCAACATACCCCCATCCGTCGGCCTCGCTCCACGTGTCAAATCTCTCATTGGCAACTGTTTTCTCATGTTCAAGTAGTGAACCCATATCGTACCAGGCAGGGCCAATTAACCCATGTCTCCCAGGCTCGGAACATGCGAGGTCGACTGATCACAGCCTGATAAGCCGCGTCGCGTCATCCGATGGGCAAATCCTTTGCTGCCTAGTCTAAATCGCGTTGGAAGTCACGGATGGAGCTGTCCACTGCCACGCCGCTTCCGCTCGGAACCCATGAGCGAAGCCCTCTACTGGGCCTTCTTGGCCTTCAGGGCCTTGAGCTTCCTCTCCCGGCGGCGCTTGGCGGCTTCGGGTCCGGACTCAGTGTCTAGGACATAGTCCCACCAGCGGAAGCTCGACGCATAGTTTCCAATGAAGCGCTCGTGGTGCACGTCGTGGTGTTCGGCACCAGCCCAGAAGGGGAGGAAGTGCCGCAAGCTCCACGGGAAGTCGTATCCGCTGTGGGAGTCGATGGCTTGGAAGAGACGGCCGACGATCCACATGTACATGGTGAAGAGGTGAAGATCACCGGTGCAAGAGACCCAGAGGATGGGGCCACCAACCGACCCCATTGCAAGGAGCATGACTTCGATCGGCGACGCGTACTCGGCGGCCAGACCGAACGGCGCAGAGTACGTGTGGTGAAGCTTGTGGATCATCTTGTACAGGGGTCCGTAATGCAGCGCTCGGTGGAACCAGTAGTGCCACGTATCTTCAATGACAAAGAAGACGGCGATGTGAAATGCCATCTTGCCAATAGAGGGGAAGGGAACACCGTAGTCCATGCCGAAGTAGGTCGCGATCGGGTGGAAGAGCCAGATTTGGGGGAGTTCGACGGTAAAATGGCTGAGGAGAACCAGGCTGGCACACTCCCATTGTTCCTTCAGTGTCGGGATTTTTTGCTGTGCGAGCATGTCAGTCAAGCCTAACAAGGGGCATAGGACGTGTCCGCGCCGAACATACGTTTTGAAGCTTGTATTTGTTGAAATAGGGCAACTGGTCGATGATCATCCAGGGAACACATCTGCCAAAGTAGATGATCTCGTGCATGAGGAAGCTCATGATACCCGTGGCCAGGACATCATTCTGCATCCAAAGGTACCACGCCTGGAGGGAGATGTTCAGCAATGTTTCTTGCGGCATGAGGTTTGTGGACAAGGGAGACCGACCGCCCACAGGCGCTCAACAACGTTGAGCTGTACATTGTACTTGGAGACCTCCTCGAAGACGCCAGTGAAGGTGCCTGGTTGGGCGAAGGCGCCAACGAGAGTGGTATTCCTGTTGAATGAGGGCATTAGCAAAGCAAGTCCGGAAGTGCATTCAGGGGGTGCGCTTTGGGGCGGTCGTACATTGTCGCCATGGCGGGGGAGAACTGGAATGGGGCCGTCCAACAAGTTTGGGTGTCTCGAGGTCGATCAATGGAAGGAGTGTCGTGAAGCCTCTGCTCAATGAGGGAAGCTGTGCAATGGAAGTCACCAGCTTTTAAAGGGAATGATGGTGAGACGTCGAAGCGTACGAAAACACTCTGCTGAAGGGCAGGTGGGTCGGGGCGATAGGAGTGCAGAATTCTGAATTTGAAGGGTCAAATAATAAGGCGATCAAGAGGACCCCGGTCAATGTTCCTAGTCCAGGTGCAGGAAGTCCATCGTGCACAGCGAGTGGCACCACCAGATGAATTGAGTTTCCGCATTCCGGGCCCAATAATGGTGGCCAATCCGCGAGGCTTCGAGCCAATGAGGGTGCCGTCGTATTCGTACACTAAAAGGGTCGCAGGCGTCACTCAATCTAGAAGCAAAGAAGCCTACGTAGTACACCAGTAGAACCACGTCCTTTCGGTGAATTACTCGGGCCGGCCGCTACAGGGCTAAACTCTGTCTAGTACCCAAATGTGTGACCTGATTGACAGCTCACGATTGCCATACCGCTCCCGAGCTACTTTTTGACAGCGCCCAAGCTCCAGCCAGACAGCAAGCTGGTGCGGGTCAGGGCGGAGCAGCGGTAGTTGATTCGCAAGCTCGGCTCCTACGGCTCTAGCTGCCAGCTGTCAGCCAGTGAGGTGGATTTGGTGCCTTTTCATGACCTCATACCACTTGAGCTGCTTTTTTTCAGCCCACACGATGTTGCGCGGTGTAAGACCTCAAACGCAAGCGATCGAAGTGACCAGTGTTCGCTTGCGCACAACCACACCGAGTCTCTCGCGCAACAGTATCGGCTGAGCGGCTTGTCAACTGGGTGTTTTCTGCAGACTCTGCCAGCTAGTTACTCTCAAATTCGGGCTCCCGAGAATCCCTTCCCCACGGTGCAGTTGTCTCTTTTTTTTCAGATCATCCGATACAGCAGCGATGCATTCCCCCCCCTCCGACCCGAGACCCACATAAACACTTCGCACCACTATCATTCGAGATGTCTGTGGTAGCCGAGTAAGTACCTTGGAATATCCCTGGGAGGCATCATGCCATTTTGCTAATATTGCTGACAGCCAGGTACGGCGTCTGGATGCACAGCTTGACCGCATCCCTTTCGCCCATTTGGCCAGTCCCGAGGGCGAGTTCCTCGAGCAAGCATCCGCTGGTCTAAGCTCCCCGCGCGTCCAAAGGCTGTTACGAATCATCAAGACGTTGTCAACCACGTCGGCTTCGGAACCTGTGCTGCCACTATGGAGGCTTCAGAGCTTGCTATCTCATTCGCAATTAGTGAATGGATCCGACGATGAGCCAGGCCCGAACCAGTATGAGGCCGAACTCGAATGGCTTCTCGTCAGTAAGGCGACTGTACAGACGTACGGCATTATCATGGACACGCTACTAGACCAGATTATCCCGCTTAGTGACCACATCTGGTATTGGGACGACGTGCTGTCATCGCCGTCGAATAGCACTCTGTATATGGTTCAGACTTCACCCTTGCGGTTTTGGTCCTGGGGTCAGGATATTTATGAGGATAGCAAGAATCGGTTTCAACGCGGTCGTGCAGTGTCGCGTTCTGATGAACTCTCTGGACAGAACTTTGGCGGCTCCGTGAGCTCAGGCATCTCACAAACCTGGCGTTGCTTCTACGCTATCGTTCAAGAGAGTATTCGAGAGAGGTCTCTCGCCAACATTCATCAACGTGTCATGTCGCCGGTGGCCATCTGTCGAGCTGAAGTGCGTCAAAAGCAGGCCAGACTCAGGAAGCTTCGGGAAATGACCTCCAGCGGTCTAGGTGTGCTCATCGACGAGGGCTTGGCATTTGGTGGTAATGGCAGCGATGACGGGAAGAGTGATATTATCATGTCTAATAACCAAGAGTGGAAAGGTGTCGTAGAACGCAGCGTTGCGCTGATGGACATGGTGCTCAAGGACGTCTTGACTCTAGAGGCAGGCGTTGCCGAGTTCGAAGATAAGGTCTTTGCTGGAGTCGAAGAAGACCCTGAGCTTTCGATTCAAGTCGAGGAGGACGAAAGTAACAGGCCGGCGGTTGTCGCAAAACGTTTGCACAACTTGCTTGAATTCCAACTACCCGCGCACTTGGCCGCCACAAAGGACGTAGTTGCCGAGAACGGTCGACCCTCGAGGCTCGTGAGATACTGGCTTCCCGCCACTGCGCTTCTGCTCTCCTCGACGACAATATTCCGGATCTTCGTCAACCGTCGACAAGAGATTCTTGACTGGATCACCGATTTCGGGCGCACCGTTCAAGACTTTTGGTTGAACTGGGTGGTTGAGCCAACAAGGAAGGTGCTTGCGACGATTCGGCACGATTCTAACAGTGAAATCGCCATCATGAGTAAGGACAGCCTGAAAGCAGATCGGGACAGCCTGGAGCGCATGGTTGTTGATTTCGCACTTGAAAACCCTACCGTAGCAACAGGCGCCTCCTCCCTGTCCGAATCGCAAGTTGCAGACATTCGGGCCAAGGTCAAGGAGGGAGACGTCACACCGATTCTGCGGGCGTACGAAAAAGATTTGCGGCAGCCGTTCATGGGAGCTGTGCGCGGCGACCTAGTACGGACATTGCTCATTCAAGTACAGAAGACCAAGGTGGACCTCGAAATAGCCTTGTCCGGCATCGACTCACTCCTGAAGAGCCAGGAACTAGTTTTTGGTTTCATCGGGCTGACGCCTGGGGTGTTGGTCTCGATAGGACTTGTCCAGTACCTGCGTGGTATCTTCGGAGGTAAGAACTACGGCCAGGAACGGAAAGCCTCCAAGTCGGTCCGGGTACTGCGCAACATCGACCGCATTTTCTCCGAGGCGACGCCATCCCCCAACAACCTGCTGTCATACAAGGACCACGGCTTGTTAGTGTGCGAGGTCCATTTACTGCGACGGCTGGCTCACCAGTTGCTCCCAGCCGACGTCGAGAAGGACTTTCTGGAGGATCTGGACGACCTTGCCAATCTGAAAGGCATTCAGTCGCAACTTAGGGCGTTAGACCGCATCCGTTGGGCTTACTCCAAATGGCTAAAAGGACCCGACTGAGGAGGAAGTTCGGGTCAACAGAACCATTTACACTATTTGATAATTATTCAACAATACATGTAACCAATTCGATATACCTACCTCGAAACTACGGGCACTTCTCTTGCATAGGCATAAGTGAGTATGAACATTTGGCGATTCGGTTACCTCGAATAAAAATTTCTGTAATTTTACACTGCCCCGAGTCACTTGTGACTGGTCATTGGTATTTTCTGCCTTCGTCCAACTTCCCCATCTTCTCGTCAGGGACCGTGGTACACCCACAGTGGCCAAACCCGTTCACAAATATCTACGGCGCCCCGTTGCACCGGAAGGAGGTAGCCATTTGTCCGATCCTACTTCAGAACATGGCAAGCAGCGCCTATCACCCTGCTATTAGGAGAAACGATGTTCGTGGTGCCGTCGTATTTTCGAAAGCCGATGAAGATTATAGCCAGAACTAGAGTGAATCCCACCGTCATGGCCCTCCCCGGCGGAGTTGGTAGCTTGAACACCCTTAACCTGTTGCGCACACGCCACCTCCAGGGGCGGCGTGTTGGTGCCCAGGCGACGGTGGCACCGCAGGGTAGCTACAGGGTAGCTCACATGACGCCCCTGATCGAGACCAACTGCAATGGAGGGGCCGTCTTACAAGCCGGGGGGCGCCGAGTCGGCTGCGACCCGGAACAATAAAGGCAGGCTAGTTTGTAAGCATTTGGCACGTTCGGTCCAAGACGTCCGAGGCGTTTCAATCAAGACGAAGAAGAACGCACAAGTCAAATTTCGCCCCAGCTCACCCAGGCTCGTATCTAGAGAGCCGAGAGGCCCGCGGCAAGAGTCCACGAGCTTCCGCGCATAAGGAATTCTTCGACAACCGCCACCGCGTAATCGTTAGAGGCGAGTGATTGGAACACAATCGACTTGGAGCAGGGCTCAACACAGCGAGGCCTGTTCTATAGCCACTAGGGAGCTTTGACCTACATAAGTGAATTGGGACGGAGCTAAACGCAAGAAGTCCCCAGGTGAAGCGTCTCCAATTGCTGATATGTGTGACGTTCCTCGGGCACGGAACACCTATGTCTAGCCGCTTGACCGTGCCACAGTCCTGATTGTATATACGTCTCACCCCGTTGTGGCCCTGATAGTTCGTGTACGCAAACGCCATCAATGCCAGATTCGTGATGCAGACGGCCACAACAAGTATGATGTGCAGCAGAAGCGCCCGGCTTCTTCTAGAATCCCTTATGCGCCAGCTCTTCTTCTCGTCGTCGTCGTTGATCTGGGGAATTTAGCTCGGAAGCCCTTGGGTCGCTCCAAGACCTCTGCGCGATAGCTGGGGGCCGTCGAAGGTCTTGCATTTCAGTCGGAATCGTTGCGAGATGTTACAGGGTGGATAGATAATTCTATAAACGATTCCTGAGAAACCCTGTTGCCGTTAGATAGGTCATCGGATACGAGCCATAGACCCACCTGTCAGGCTGTAGAGCGAGATGCCATGGTTCGCGAGCGGGCTCTTGGCCGGTCCCAGCCTGACTTTGACGTCTTCTGATCTGGAATGCAAACCGGCCACGCCAATGCCAAGGCAAAATGCCTCTCGGGTGATTCGTGGGTTGAATCAGACAATACGATAATGAAGGGAGGAGAGAGAGAAAACACTTATCGGATATGATTGCTCTTATTTCGGCTCAGTATAGTGGCTGGGTGCTCAGCTCGGCTCTGTGGGAAGACTTGGGACAATGATGATATGCCGCAGAATATCATTGGACGATCTGATGCACTGCAATACTTTAATCTGCAGGTCCTATGGCCACAGCATAGAGTCCCAGCACTCAACACATGCATACAATATATATAGCATTTGAGATTGAAAGCCTCGGCGAGATTGTATCGATATCAGTAACTGCTGGCAGGATATGGTTCGAAGAAAGCCCAAGGCCATTCTCCCATGCTGCTGAGCGGCTGGTAACAATTTTGTACCAGCTTGCACGATATGCTCAAGCACCAGCGATTAATAAGAGATTGAAAGCACCCACGTAACATTTCGTCCGAGAAGGCATTCACACCTGCCCGATAGAGCTCAATCAAACCAGCGACAATGACTTGGTAAACGTTGAAAGGGGATGTTAGCCAACCCTTGCACAGTTCAGCGACTGGTGAGGTGTCAACACAAATTGGAATATCGCAAATGACGGAGAGAAAAGCTGTTCGGAGGACACAAAGAGTTGCAGTTTCCACTTTCCTTTCCTAGGCCGAATTGAATGCACACTACCGATTTGTTGGTTAACTTATGCAGGTTGTTCTTTCCCGGGGCTATCCTAGAGTGGAGGAAGGCCGAAAGGGGTTGTGTAAATATCTGGGGGACTGCAGGGCGGTGACTGCCAGTTGTATGTTTCCATGCCCAAGGTCACACACAAGTATCTTCAAAAGCCCCCAATGCTTGAGGAATAATTGCCTCGTCTTTACTTCCACCACTTGAGCACCAAATAATCCCCATTTGCACAACCAACCGCCTGTCGCTTCGCCAAAGCTTCCTACCCTGGACGAGGGTCATCCAAATATTGAATTTTTAGTAGTTGGCAGGCGCGCGGCCCCTCTGTCGCTATCCTCCGACTTTCTGCCATCAGCCGCCACGACATCATCTCCCGAAAGCAAGCTCGAACTCAACCTCGTCGTCATCTCTCGAGCCCCCGTTGTTGTGCTAGTACCAAGCCAGTTAGACAATTTCTGCATGCACTTGTTTGTCAGGAGTAGTAGTAGAATAACCGTCACTGGAACATACGCTTCTGACCACACGTCGCCTGCCATCCCTATCCCCGTGATTCTACCACCTCAACATCGCGACGTCGCCTGCTCGACCGCTCTCCACATCACCACCCATACACAGCACCATTTGTCGTCACCGTCGAGCGCTATATCGCCAATATGTCTGGCAACCGGAACTACGATTTTCTAGTACGTCTATACCACTTCCTGCCCCGTCAGGTCGCACCCCCTGCCGTACCTTTTGATTTACGGAACCGAGCCGTCTTCGGTACTGGATGTAGCAACTCTGCTCGCTTCTGCACACATCTCGTCATGATTCGACAGACCCGCGGGAATGTGCACTAACCTCTTACTTGACAGATCAAACTCCTCCTCATCGGTGACTCTGGAGTTGGCAAGTCATGCTGTCTGCTGCGGTTCAGCGAGGACTCGTTCACCCCGTCTTTTATCACGACGATCGGCATCGACTTCAAGATTCGAACTATTGAGCTGGATGGCAAGCGTGTCAAGCTTCAGATCTGGGATACGGCTGGCCAGGAGCGATTCCGCACCATCACAACAGCATATTACCGCGGGGCCATGGGCATCCTGCTTGTCTACGACGTCACCGACCAGAGATCTTTTGACAGTAAGTCCGCTCGTAACCTGATGCACGCTGTGAACGGTGAGCTTGTTGATGCCCAAGCGAGCGGATGCAAGACCATCAACCATTTATCTCCCAATTACGTAAAATCGCAGACTAACCTCTGCTTTCCAGACATCCGCACGTGGTTTGCAAATGTAGAACAGCACGCTACTGAGGGCGTCAACAAGATTCTTGTCGGAAATAAGTGTGACTGGGAAGACAAACGTGTCGTCTCGACCGAGCAAGGAGAGGCGCTGGCCAAGGAGCTCGGCATTCCCTTCCTCGAGGTATCGGCAAAGAGCAATATCAACATCGACAAGGCTTTCTACAGCTTGGCCGCAGACATCAAGAAGCGCATCATTGACACATCCAGGAACGAGCCGCAAGCCGGCACAGGCATCAACCCTGCGCAAGAAGGATCCTCAGGCGGCATGGGCAAGTGCTGCTAAGATGATGCGGCGAGACATGAAGGGTAGTGTCAAAGGCTTGTATTTGTGCAGTCCACAGGACATGATAGACCGAGCACATTGTCTGACGGACGAGACGACTTTCCGGGGTACTAGGATGCCAAGGCAGGAGTATTATCTTGGAGGATCCTTCAAGACCCGGCTTCGCGGTAGACAACGGAAAGCTGGACGAGCAAATATCTGGGTGGAGTTTGGTTGATATGGGTCTAATACATTTCCAGTCTCGACTTTTCGAGTCTTTCTAGGTATTTTCAAGTTTTATTTGCTGCTTGACGCGTCTTGATATCTGCATTGGAGGGCTTTCTGCCTTCGAAAATAATACATCATTGAACAACGTGGTGTGACAAGTATGTTGTTGATGTACATGGAAGATACAGCTATTTGGTACATGCGGGTTCGCGGGTGCGGCTTCTACCATAGTAATGATACATTTAACGTCCTGGTCTTGTGCCAAGTATCCACCTCGGCCTCTTTGGTATCAGCACACAGAGTGAGGTGCCGTCGATGCCAGTTCCTAACAAACCGCCGTGCCTCTGCCTCATCGAGGAAGGGAACGATGAACCTAGAGTAGCTCCTGTGCTCCCTGTTGAGAGTGCTCGTATTGGAAACTGGGTCGTCCGGGTTGTCCTCCCTGTCCTCCTCGGCCTCCATGACTCTTCGTCTCTGTTCTTCTGAATTCCTCTCCGAAGGGTCTGGCTCGCGACTTGTTGGCATACTCCGCCCAAACGACATGATGCCCTGCCCATCCAAGTCCTTGACCCTCCAGGCCAGGTTTCTGTCCACACCATCCTCCTTAATCGCCGTCCGCAGCGTGCTGGGAGGTATGCCGCCCCCGTCAAGAGAGACTAAGACCAGGGCCCGCGTGCCGGCCTTGTCCATAAGCTTGTCAACGATGGACCCGCTGTGCTCGAGCAGGATCTCCTCGCGCGTGTACCGCGCCATTTCAAGGTCCCAACGCTGGCTCGGCGGCACCAGCGTGAAGTTCCCAATAGATTCCTTGGATCCCGGGCCCACGTTCCGGAACGACAGCGGGCCGCCTGGCGTGGCGTTCGCCTTGGACAACTCCCAGATGCGCCGCACCTCCTCCCGATATGCGTGCGCCGCCGCTTCGCTCTCGAACAGAATGTAATAGTGGCCCAGGGGCTCGAGGGTGTGGCAGTCCCGCGCGGGGATGATCTTGGTGATGCCCCGGACCCAGCCCTCGACATGCTCAGCTTTGTTGTCGCTTAGCCGGAAGAAGTCGCTTTCGGCTAGGCACTTGGATGCCGCCGAGAGCACGAGCATGGCACGCGCGTGTCGGTTGGTGTCACGAACCTTGGGATCCAAGTACGTGATGAGGTCGTCATTGGGCACACGCAGCGGGCCGGTCTCGGACGGTGGGGAGGCTTCGAGGAGCTGCGAGACCCAGGCGCTGTCGGCGGATATCTCATCGGGGGAGAAGCGGGTTTTTTCGCCAGACGAGCCCTCGCACTGTAGCTGCTTTGCTTCGGCTGGGAAAAGTTCCTCGAAGAGAGACTTGGGCTTGGAGGTTTCGCCTGCGCTCTTGCTGCGGCATGGCGCGATTTGCAGCCGGCTGCTACCGTGTAGGCTCGCGATGGGTGTAGCTCGCCATGCTGCAGGTACGAGTCGCGTGAAGGGCCGCTGAAGCTGTCGGATCATGAGGCGCGCATTGCAATGGCAGTTGAGGGATGGAATTACTCGGAGGGGGTGTCTGCTATATTTGAAGGTTTTGGCGTGGCTTGTATTGAGTAAGACCTTGTGTGGCTTGCGTAACTGTGGATCAAATATCACCAAAACCACAACCAATACACCCGAGTATATTTTATTCGGGCAACTGCCACTTAGGTTAGATATGTGGGAAATGCTTGCGTTTTTCAATTCGAGAAGAAAAACGATTGCCTACAGAAAACCCTGTCTCAAGTCGACTTGTTTAGAGCAGCTGCAGATTTTTCCTCCGGGATATGTTCCCTTCTCCATTTTTCGAATTGTCGTCAACAACCCCGGTGTGTCATCACAGTGAAAGTTGGTATACCGCATTGTGTTACATTTGACCCCCTTTTGCCAATAGAAACCACTGTGCAAGATGAGGAAGGGGATCGAGGGCAAGTGGCGGCCTCAAACGCAGGAGCTGCCAAACCAGAAGCATGCCGCCAAGGTCTTCATTGACCAGACCCGCCTCATGGAGTCGGGGTTGTCCGTAGGCAAAGTATGCATCGTCGAGGCCGCGAATGGCACTGGGACCCGGCGTGAGGCTATCGCCTGGCCCTCAACGGATAGAAATGTCGCCAAGAATGTCATGATGCTCAGTCGTGCGCTGCAGGAGGCCACTGGGATCAAGCTGGAAGACCGCGTTCAAGTGACCCCTGGTGGAGATGTCCCAGTGGCTGAGAAGGTGACTGTGAGAGATGTCAGTGAAGGCCTTGAGCCGTTGGAAGATATTGAGAGGCCGCACTGGGAGTTCTTCCTCAAAGGCCGTTTCGGTAGGCGGTCCCTTGTCATTCGACTAATAGTGTCTGACCCCCTTACGGCATCGTATAACTGACGAGTTCTAGAAATCTCTGAGCACATATTTCCTGGACTAGCGTTCCGTGACCTGTCTGTGTCCGGACCAAAACGATCTTTCGTCGTTATATCCGTCAATGGTAGAAATGCCAATGTGGCCAAGTACAGCCGCTCAACTCTTGTGGAATTGCGCGACGAAGATGCCGCAGCCGAGGCGAACATGGCTCCGGGGAAGCTAGAAGTCCACAATGTGCCGGGGATGCAACCACAGCTGGACGAGCTGAACTACTTTTTCAGCTATTTTGACGTGGACTTTGGCCGTAATGTGCCACGTTGTTCCTGCGGCATCGTCATTGAGGGAAGTCGGGGTACGGGGAAGTCGATGCTCCTGAAGCGGATTGGCGCATCTCGCTGGGGAGACGTCGTGCGCATCAAGAGCACAGACAAGGCAACGAAGATACAGGAGTGCTTCACGACAGCACTTAACCAACAACGGCCAACCATCATCCTAATCGACGATTTCAAACGGGTGACAGCCCATAACCAAGGGGCTGTGGACGCCATAGCAGATGGCCTCGACGACTTGGCCGAACATGCCGCGATACGAAACCGGCGGCCCAATGTCGTCGTAGTGGCAACTTGCTTGGACTTTTTAGAAGACATACCCCAGTATCTGCAGACCGAAGACCGTTTCGATGAGTATATTACGCTGCCCATACCAACCACCACTGATCGGAAAGAAATAATCCGATCCATGAAGCCCAATTTCTCGCCGGAGTACTTCGAGCAGTACATCTCAGATGTGGCGGATCGAACACACGCCTACACGGGCAGGGACCTGAAACGCCTTGTGATTGGAGCTGGTAAGGCTGCAGATAAGCGAACGAAATTTGTGCCAACAAACGAGCCACTGGTGTGGGAGGACATCAAGACAGCGTTGGCATCAGTTCGGCCTACAGCTATGCACGATATCAGACTCAAACCCCCTACCGTGAGATGGAACGACATTGCTGGCTATAGCGATGTCAAGGATACTTTACTGAAAGTGTTTAAGCAGCCAAAGGCAGGTGAAGATGTGCTGTGGAAGCCACCGAAGGGCGCTTTGATGTACGGTCCTCCAGGCTGCTCCAAGACGATGATCGCCCAAGCGATGGCCACGGAATCAGGGTTCAACTTCTTTGCCGTCAAGGGTGGAGAGTTGCTGAACATGTACGTCGGCGAAACGGAAAGGGCGATCCGCAAGCTGTTCCAACGCGCGAGGGACGCCAGTCCCAGTATCATATTCTTCGATGAGATCGACTCCATTGTAGGCTCGCGTTCTGGTTCAGGGGGGAGCGCAACTAGTGGAGGCATCCAGGCTGTCGGAACACTGTTGACGGAAATGGACGGCTTCGAAGAGCTCGGCAAGGTGTTCGTTTTAGCAGCTACGAACAAGCCTGACTCCCTCGATCCTGCCCTATTACGTCCTGGTCGGTTCGACGAGCTGATCTACGTGCCCCTTCCCGAAGAAAAGACACGGGAAACCATTTGGGCCAATAAGGCGATAGAGCTGAAGTTCGAAGGGTCCGTTGATATTCCTGAATTGGCAAGGATGACCGAGGGTTATTCAGGGGCTGAAATAGCTCGTATCTGTGACAGGGCGTTCCGAGACTATAGGAGCGATGGAGGCCTTGATGCTATGGGTACGTTAGTGACGGCCGTGGCTTCCTTCCCACCGCGGGTTAGCAAGGATACAGTGCGGCAATTCGAGGCCTGGAGAGTTAAGTAACTAGTTATTAGTAGCTACTTAGGATGAAAAAGCGCAAGAAAGGTGCAATCTAAGCAATGAATCCAATAAATAGTGGCTAGTGCTGTTACTGAATTGTGTTATTCCAGGATTAACAAACTGCATTATAGTTGGTATGATCTGCTTATTCTACCGAGCTATAATTGACATTGCGCTGTAATAACATGGATACGTGCTACAGTAACCTCGTTATTTTTCCCAGCTAAAATCAAATGCATTTGAAATAAACTGGTATATTTTTCAAGTGCTACCTCGACTGTTCGCACATGGATGGCTTTAGGTTGGGCTCCTCATAGACCGGGGAGGCATTGCTGGCTTTTATATTACCACAAACGGTGGCACCAATCCCCACGTTGATAATAGCAACAGCCGCATTTTTCTCATAGTTCCTATTGAGAAGACTTTAACTTCAAATTAGACATCGCCTTCGAAATCAGCACCTCAGAACGTGATCTTGAAGCTACCTTAGTTGTATTGGTTCATAGAGAGGGAGATATTATGTTACGTCCTGTTTGTTTACTTATATATTATATATGATTAATGGAAATGCAGAATGACTTAAATAGCTGTAGTCATATGGGGCAGATTATATATCTAATGACGAATCTCCTCTTTGCGCCGGATTTTTCGGTTCGCAATGTCCTTGGTTATTTCCAATTAAGCTACAAAAATATATTAGATCTACGGGCAAGTGTGGCCTCAGGTACAAAGGGCTAGACGTCACCCAGGCGCAAACTAGCCTATTGTATTTATAGACCCCCGAGGGCCGACTGAGCAGTTCTTCCCCACGCACCTTCATGGTACCAATACGGCCCCAGATACTTGGGGTCTGACAAAATACATACAATCCTTCAATAGGAACATCTTTGCGTAAACCAATATGTCCCCTTGTAGCCTAACCTACTACTGTAAGGACGCTGGCATAGATCGCCCACATTTACCACCTACATTCTGACGCAATACACGCAGCTTTGAGCTCCTCTAAACATAACTCTTCAGTAAAAGTCGAGGGAGGAATATCATCTTCAAGAAGGAGCAGCACCTTCTCCTATACGGCGATTCAGTCTTTCCAGACAAAACCACGCAATACACTCAACATCTAGACCAGCTATAGGTTGCTTTGTTTCATCGCCAAGTCATTGGAGAGCTTCAACTTCACAAGCCTTTCGTCTGTTTCTGATATTTTCATTGAAGGGAATACCAGTGGGGTTTAAGAGAAACCCCTCGCTGGAACTTCCTTAATGAGACACTTCCTCAGTGTCTAGAAGATCATGCCCGCCACGGCCACACGGTCGTCTGCGCAATGTAGGACAAGATTTGAAGGAAGCTTCATCCTCCTGTTGAGTATGTTTGTTCCACGGGGTTGCTTGCCGGGTACTTACACGGTCTGGCTAAGGCCTCTGTGGAACATAAACTCTCCCACTCTCTCAAGAGGGAATGTTAGTACGGCGATCGACATAAGGTCCCGTTGTGAACGCGATGAGACCAATCGCGAGGATAGCTTATCGCTGTAGTAGAGCGTCTTCCTTTAAAGTGATACCTGGTTTGACGCTGGAGAGATCATTTGAAACTCACCAATTTTCCACGTTAGCCCATGGTTTGGCCGAAGGTGGAAGCAATACTGGCCCCGAGGCTCTCTCTGCCAAGCGTGTTGACTAAAAAGAAATGAACCAAGGAATTCGGTCAACTCCTTGGTACGACGCATACTCAGTGTGCCTAGATGCTTGATTTGTCGTATTTTGTCCGATAAGGCAGTCTATCTCTTTAAATCCTAGCTCCTACCTCCTTGGTGGTCATGCTTTCCCAGTCTTTTTGGAGGTAAGGAAAACCTCTTTCGTTTTATCCTGGCGGATGCCAGAAGATATATCAAGCTGCTCTCTCAGCTGCGGAACTGGTACAGATATGCTGCAATAAACCGTGATTCCAGAAATCGAAGGTCATAGTGGGAGCTCTTGGATAAATGTCGTGGGGTTGCTAAATAGCACCATTAAAGGTATCTAGATATAACGACGAGATAACACAGAATAAGCAATCTTTCCATTCCTGCGGAGATAAATCTTGGACCATGCTCAGATGAACTCATTTGTGACTATTAAGGAAGCAACCATAAACGAAACCGTGCTTCTAGCTCATGAAACGACTCGGGCCACATTTATTGAACTATTAATGGAGATCGTTCAAACGCTCTTTGAAAATCGAACAAATTGCATAATAGTTCTATAGATTGAGAGTATAGGGTTCATAATGAATTGCTAGCTTGCTGGGATCGACCAGACTTTGATTTCTACTTGACTTAAAATGGTTTGCTAGCGTTGAGAGTTCTCGACAGTCAGAAAAACGTTTCTCGAGACAGGGGCTTTTGGCGTATACTCGCCGCTATGCCGCTGTGGTGACGCCCCTGAGATGGCAGAGGATGTAATCCTCTTTTTGCGGACTGTTGGAAGGGCCGAGGGAACGGCTACAGGCCGCTATCGCACCGCGGCCGCTATACTCTCGCAGAGACCTTGCAACGGCAACAGGAGAACCAGTAGTTAGTGGGACTATTGCAAGATGGATGTTAAGGACGGGCTTCGAACCTACGGCGTATTTAATAATAATAATAATGTGTGTCATTTGGAGAGTTCCGGATGATGTGCCTGCTTCTGGAGCTTCTGGATGGTGCGTTTGCTGCTACATGTGCTGGAAGTGACAGGGCATCCTGTATGGGAGTTGCTGGTAGCCGTGGTGACTGATTGGGATGGCGGCTAGTTATGCGAATGAGAGAGTAATGTGGAAAGCTGGATGGTGCTTTATCGCTAGTGTTTGCTAGTGTTTGCTGGTGTTACTAACGCGTTAAAGAAGCTCGTGGCACGTTCCATTGAAGAGAAGTAGACAGCTGGTCCTATAATGCCTATGCCGTCCACTGTCGGAGAGTGCGAGGCGCCTATAAAAAGGAAGTTAGTGGCTGCTATTACAAATAGGATGGGGAGGGATCCTTGATATCCTATTGATCACAACTTTGGGGTAAAAAGGGGTGCATCGGCGAGGTGAGGGTAATGCTTCGGGGAACTGGGGGATCGTTTACAAAGTAAAAGTCGGTGATGATGCCGGTTGAAGTCCTCAACGAGGACGGCAGAAGCAGCCGGAAGGTAACAAGTAGAAACTCTGATTACTTACGTTGCCACGATTTTGATCGCGGTCGTTGCGGCCACTGCCATTGTCTGCCCCTTCATGGGGATCACCGTTACGGTTGACAGAATGTGCTTCCATTTTCGTGTCTGTGTGCGCGTCTAAGATGAAGTTTAGCTGTTGCTGAATGCTGTTGTGTGAGAAGAATGATGATCTGACTTGAGTCGAACCGGTGCCCACGAAGTAAGCCCAGTTGTTTCATTGAAAGATATTATATCCCATGCATGGATGACAATAGTTCTATATATATGTTGAAATGTTTATCCTATGAAGAATATCTTGGAGGGCAATATCGCTGTTCACCATTGGTAGTGATCATAGAGGCGTTCCTGAAGCTCAACAGGACCAAGACTGCTGCAAAGGCAGAAGTGAAGATGTCATCACTCAGTCAATACGCATCTCCCGCGTCAAACTGAACGCTACAAACACGGTTTCTAGGAGGACTGTTAGCTATCCATCTCTTCAAAGCTGGGAAGAAGATAGAGACATAGGAAGAGACTAATACCAAAATATTTCTGGACTGCATCAGACTGATGTCCTAAAGGAGCAAAACAAGTACACCTGCACCTTAATAGTCAGATGGTTACTGCCATCACGATAGAAAAAACGACAATAATACAGTCCTTGGGGGAAGCTGTGGCCTCACGAATGGAGCGGTACGAGGCAGGCAGGATTGTAGTATTTAAGGACCCCTCGGGGCCAACTTGGGATTGGTGCCTTACGCACCTCCATAGTAACAATACAGCCCCCACTACTTGGACCTCGACAGCCCTGAGTATATTAAGTAAGTTCTGCTTGCGATCAGACCAATAACAATGGTCCACTCCGCTGGGAGTTACCCCATTTTCGTTCGGAGGCATCAACGTTTTCTCAGCTCTACACGGCCGCGTTACACTTTATGCGAGGTGACCGGTATATCCAAAAATGTGGCCAACGCCGGTATAAGAATAGTGTCGTTAAATGCTGTCCCCTATAGTATCCGGAGAAGTGCCTGCATTTATCACCACAAAGCACCAACTAGCGCACAATGTAGTTAACATATTTCCGAGGAAAGTAGACGGGCCTCTGGAAACAATTTTGTGTTGTCTAAACTCGATGTAGCCTATATCCATTCGACACTTGAATTCAAACATCGTCATGATCTTCCCTGTGTTGAACGTCGGTATCACCGGTTTCAGACAATACCTAACGTAGTCCACGGTCCAATTGCACACTTCGGCAGATTTTCGTACGCTACCACTTTGACCTGCGGTTTTTCACCACATAACTATGGTTGGTTCTTGGAACGAAAGTGATATGATTCTAGCATTACATGCGCTTCAATCTGATCCAAAATTAAGTGTACGTCGCGCTGGTCAGATCTATAACGTACCTTTTAGAACCCTTGCGTATCGACGCGACGGTAAACCCGCTCGAGCGATTACGCGATCGCCAACGCAAAAGTTGACTCCTTCCGAAGAAGCGGCAATCGTACGACATATAACTGACCTAAATTCGCGAGCATTTCCTCCCCGATTGAGTGGTGTTGAAGATATGGCCAACCGATTACTTCGAAGTCGCGACGCGGGACGCGTCGGCGTCAACTGGGCCTCGAGCTTCGTAAGACGACAATCAGACCTCCGGACGCGTTTAAATCGAAGGATCGACTATCAGAGAGTCCTCTGCGAAGACCCCGACGCGTATCGCGCGTGGTTTGACCTGGTACAGAATACAATTGCGAAATACGCGATCCAGGAGGAGGATATCTACAACTTCGACAAGACCGGTTTTGTGATGGGCCAAATCTCGTCCGAAATGGTCGTGACGACTTCTGATCGGCGCGGAAGGCCTAGAGCAGCCCAGCAAGGAAATCGGGAATGGGTTACAGTTATTCAAGGCGTTGGGTCGTCCGGTTATGCCCTCCCTCCGTACATCATTTTCGCCGGCAAAACCCACCTCTCCTCATGGTACGAAAACAGCCCATTACCGCCTGATTGGGTTATCGCAGTTACTAAAAATGGCTGGACTACGAACGAGAGAGGCGAAGATTGGATAAAACACTTCGATCATCACACCAAGTCTCGTACGAAAGGTACTCATCGCCTTGACTCGACGGTCACGAAAGCCATCACTCGACCGATTTCGAGGTATATTGCAAAGCTAACAATATCGTCACGCTTTGTATGCCTCCTCATTCGTCGCATAGGCTCCAGCCTCTTGATGTTGGTTGTTTTCGCGGGTTAAAAAGAGCGTACGGAAAAGAAATCGAAGATCTCATACGAGCACATATAAGTCATATCTCGAAAGAAGACTTTTTATCGGCGTTTTTAAACGCGTACAACGCAACTTTCACGATTTCAAATATCCAAGGAGGTTTCCGAGGGGTAGGAATAGTTCCGTACGATGCAGATTATGTCATATCACAGCTCGATGTGAAATTACATACGCCAACACCTCCGGGTAGCTCGGCTGGTCTCCCCGTCCCTTGGGAATCAAAGACTCCGAACAACCCAACCGAAGCCCAATCACAAAGCGATTATGTGAAAAATAGGATTGTACGACATCAAAATAGCTTACCAACGTCAATTTTTGCTGGAATAGATCAGATTGCGCGAGGTACAACGAAGGTTATGCATCGGCTTGCCCTTTTAGAAGGCGAGGTCGAATGACTTCGAAAGGCAAATGAGACCTTAAGTCGACGTCGTCGTGCGAAGAAAAAACAGCTACAGAGTGGAGGGTCACTTCGTATACAAGCTGGACAGGACCTACAGTCTCAACGAGAGGTTGATGGGCAGTTACATGACGAATTTCGTCAAATTGGTGGTCGTACGAGGCGGCGAATTGCGCGTGTACGGCGCTGTAGAATCTGCGGCGAGCCCGGACATAATGCGCGCACTTGTGGAAATGATGTAGAGACGTCTGAAGATAACGATTCTGAGTAGTCTCAATTGATGATAGGCGTTGTGCTTGAATTAACTTATACATTGTCGTATAAGGTCTGCCAAAGTGTGCAATTGGACCGTGGACTACGTTAACGCATATGATCTGTACCTTATTCAAGACAGCAAGGTATCCCGACGCTATTCTAGCTACTCTCGGTCCTGAAATAGGATGGAAGAAACTCTACATCAACTTTCCTTACTTATACATACGATTAGCAATAGGTTCAATAGAATAATCTTCCTAAATATCCTATTCTGATAATTAGAATCTCGGGTCGTCTACAGCGGATCTTTGTGGATTGCTGCCGGGTGTGGGTCACAATGCAGTATGGCGGGCATCAGTTCAAGAGCACAGGGGCCGGGCCCATGCCCAGAGAAAACCACAGTGAAGGCGATGCCTTAGGAACCAAGCAGGTAAAGATCAACATAGCGATAGGCACTTGACGCTTCACCTAATAGTTCCTGTTGTAGGGGATGACTTGTCCCACGCCCTCGGCCAGAATTTAGAACATAATTATCTTGATACTGCAGCAAAATCCAAGGCAGGACTTGTTGAAAAGGTATGAGCTTTCCGCCCGGAACAAGGAAGATAGGCAAGGGATAATATGAGCAGAGACCGCAGGCGTAGGGCTGCAGTCGGCGTGCCTAAAACGAGTGTTAGGTTCAAAAGGCAGAGTTCACAGGACAAGATGGGCAGGGCTTCTGCAACCATCCCGGTGTCTAGTGAGCTGACATACCAAGTTGTCACTAGGGTTGAGCGATGAGAAGCACCCCATCGCGTAGACAAAACCAAGAGCTACTAGACTCATCAAAATGCCAGCCGCATCAAGTAGATAGAATATTGCAAATTTACAGAACCTGAGGTAAAAAGATTCAACGCTGGTGTTCTTCGCAAGTGAAGTAGAGGTGCAGAGGCAGGCCATGCAGCTGGAGGCACTCGGACAGTACGTCACCGTCTGTTAGTGTGGTTGCTTCAGCTGGGATCCACCACTATTTTGGGCCGTTGGGAACTTTAGAAGGCACCCGAGCTATTCTCCAGCCAACGAGCTGCCGGTAGTCAGCAACATCGAGCGCACAACATTACGAGAGAGCAACCAAAGGTGTCTTTCCAGCTTCACATCCACTGCGACACCAAGACATCTGGCCATAAGACGATTGTCATCGTCTAGCAATACTTACCGGCACGATGAATAGCGTCGGCATCTTCTTCATCGTGTTCCTGGTGCTGCTGGTTGTTGCAGCTGCCGGATGGGTTGGTTCTATTGGCCCAACACGCGATCTGCGACCATACTAACCTCACGGCAGGTAATCTTCAGTCAGCTCCGCGCAAGACGGTTAGGTGTACGTACGGCCCATCCTCTTGCCCACTACTACAGCATTGCGCGAGCGATCGCATGACAATTTATCACCTGGTCGCCACTGCAGATCATCCCCGGGCTCTACTAACTCGGTGTCAATACAGCTACCCGCTCCCACCATCAGCTCCTACAACCCCTTCACCCGTGCCGATTCATCTCCCTACGGCGCACCGACTCCAGCGCCCGGTGGCATCCGCGGCTGGTTCAACGACAAGATCCGCTCGCGCAACAATCGCTCTGCGGTTGGCGCATACGAGCAACCTCTGCAATCGACCGACTACTCCCACGGCCGTCGCGGCTTCGGTCCCCTCGACCCTGACGAGGCCTGGGATACGCGTGTTGGTACGGAGGCAGATGCTTACGCTGGCTACTACGAGGAGCAGGAGCTCGGCAATGCTCTTGGAGGAAGAGGAAACCCGTACAACGGCAGCGATTACCCGATGAACCTGGCTGCGACACCTGGCACGGCACACGAGGGCTACGGCGGCGATCAGCACGAAGAGAGGGGCCGTTCGCGTTCGCGGGGCCGGAGTCCGGTGCCTGGAGCAAGCGGCCTCGGTGTGCCCGGCAAGGGCGTCAACCAAAACCCGTTCGACGACGATGCAGAACCAGCCAACACCACTTTGAAGGGCGTTAGTCCGCGACCAATCAACACGGCTTCTGCGGTGAAGGCAGGTGGCACCAGACCGACGAGCGATAGTCCGTCGGAGAGGCGTTCCATGTTCAGGGAGGATGTGTAGGATGGCACGAGGGGGGGACAGAAAGGGAGCCAAGGGATATTGGCATTTGTCTTGCTTCTATATTGGCAAGGTTTGATGAGAAACACGGAATGTGTAATGTGGAGTTTAGGCGTTGTTTACATTCCATGTTCGCCCAAAACCTATCCCGGTCAGGTATCACGGTTCAGTAAAACGGTTCGATGTGGTATATCATAAAGGAATACCATGACAAACTTATTCCCGAGGGCAACGCGTTGTCCCCAAGGCTGCATATAAGTGAATCTGCCACGCTGCCCCCCGGAAGCGTAAGGTGTACCAGCGTACCTACTCCCTCGCTAACTTGTCGGAAGATACTTCAGTACTTATGACCCCGGATTCCATAGTCGAAACGAGCCAATAAGATCGGCGAAGCTCAGCACCTGCGCCAGTCCCCCACAACCGTTCCCACTACTGACGCGCCCAGCTGGCAGACCTATCCATCTTTCCGGCTTGTTAACCAACATCAACCGCAACAGCCCAGGACGTGAGTAGCAGGATGGCGGAATTAAACCTCCAGGAGATTCATGATATCCTCGTAGAGGTGGCCCACGAGGCCGGCCGAATGATTATATCGGCCAATCCTCAGGACATTGAACAGGGCGAGAAGATCAACTGTGAGACCCAACACCAACCTACCCCGCCAATACCCCTCCATCATCATTATCGCCATCACTACCTACCTCTCCACTCTCCAAGGTTTAACCGCAACCCTTTCAAAGCAAAGTTAGCGGCGAAGCCAAACCCTCTCCGTTATACTCGCCTACCTCTCCTGCGTACATACTAACATATGCCCATACCAGCCGTCGACATAGTAACCGAATGTGACAAAGCGGTCGAAACCCTCGTCTCAACGCGCCTACGTTCCAAATTCCCCTCTTACGCCTTCATCGGCGAAGAGACCTACCGGCCGGGCCAGCAACTCACCGACACGCCCACCTTCATCGTCGACCCCATCGACGGCACGACCAACTTCGTCCACGGTTTCCCCGAGGCATGTATCTCGCTCGGCTTCGCCGCCGGCCGCGTCCCCACCGTGGGCGTGGTGTATAACCCGTACCTGGACAAGCTGTACACCGCCATCCGCGGCAAGGGGGCGTACCTTACGCATGGCGCGGCATGCGGATTGGAAGGCGGAAAGGGCAGGGTGAGTAAGTTGCCGCTTGTGGAAAAAGCGCCGCCTTTGGGCAGGTTGGATAGCTGTTTGGTGGCAGTGGAGTGGGGGAGTAGCCGGGAGGACCAGAATTATGAGATCAAGACGGAGGTGTTTAAGAAGCTGTGCGCGGGCAAGGGGTCAGGAGGGGCTATGGTGCATTCGCTGAGGAGCATGGGCAGCGCGGCGCTGAACATCTGTGCTGTTGCGGCCGGCCAACTGGACATGTATTGGGAGGGTGGGTGCTGGGCTTGGGATGTGTGTGCCGGTTGGTGTATACTCGCTGAAGCCGGGGGTATTATGGCGAGTGGGAACCCGGGGGGTTGGGAGCCGGAGATTGATTCGCGGAAGTACTTGGCTGTTAGGGGGGCCCCGAGTGGGCAGAAGGAGCTTGTTAAGGAGATGTGGGAGGTTATGGGGGATAGGAAGATGGATTATGCCAGCTAGGTGGACCATATTAGCTACCCGGCAAGCCCAGTTACTTGTGTTTGCGATGAACATGGTGTCTGCTGGTGGATAAACAGAAATAGCCATTTAGACAAATAATACAAAAGTAGATAGTGCTACGATAGATCTGGTCTTCTAGGAGTTTTGTCCTGTCCGGTTGGAATGCGGCAGTAGCCAAAGCTGTCTCACTTGTACCCTAGAAACTCTAGAGCCTGCGTAAGGGGACTGAGGAATACCTGCTTACCACCTGCATAGCTACCGTCATCAACTCTCATGAGTGAATCCTGCCATACAGTCAGTATTGCAAGTTTCGCAGTTACGGACTGAGCTCCCGCAGGCTAGCGCATGCCATGCACTGGCGACATTTCCGTTCAATCACCAAGAGCATGTGCGAGCCTTTCTACGATGCTGACCGGGAAATGGAGCATGGCGACAGTTTCATTGTACACGTATTCGGCGGTTGGACACCGATCCCACTCGAAGAGGACTCCCGCCAGAACGAAGAGCAACTTAACTTCGAAACCGGAATTGCGTGGAACGAACATCTCAAATTCGATCGCCACCAAATGCCGCCCACGCATCGAGCCCATTAGTCGGTACCTGTTGCCAAGTACATCGTGGCATGACGACCCCCTTGAAAGCTCTGCTGACTGTCTCTTACAGGGTACAGCAACCGTTCAAGCAGGAGAGTTGGGACCAGGAAAACAACATCCGGACATTGCTTTAGTCACAGACTCTGTCAGACTGTGCACGAAACGTTGGTCTTGATCTGCGCTTGACCAACAACCGTATCCACGCCACAGCTGCTCTAGCAGGCTTCTTCCGCATCCGGGAGACTGGTTGCAGAACAGAAAACCCGGCGCCTCGTCCCGCATAGTGAAATACGACGGAGATGCGTCCCGATATGGACCCCTACCCGTAGCTACGGATGACGTCATCAAATAACGGCTGCCACGCTAAGACGTGTTGCAAGAAGGCGTCAAGACAGCAATGGGGATCCGCTGCAAGTACCGGGACGATGAAGCCCAGAGCCCCAGAACCCCCAACCCCCATGGTCAGTCACCAAGAGGGGCTGGTGGGTCAAGGAAGCAGCAGAACCACCGGGCGAGTATGAGTATTCTCCGGGATTCTAAGGGAGACGTCCAGCACCAACACGGCTTTGGCCAGTGCCGCGTCCGTCATGGGTTTGACGGACATGCCGGACTGGAGGGCGCAGAGATTACGCTCGAGGAACTTAAGAAGCGGCTGTCGAGTCTCCTGGGTGTTTGTTTCGCTTAACGGGTTGGAGACGGTCTTTGACGGTCGATGATACGTTTCGGTTTCGGAGAGTATTAAATCTACGAGTAGCCCTTGGTCTGATGCCAGGAGTATACCTGCTGGGAACGATGTTGAGCAGGCTAGAATAACGTGTAGGATGATGTGTGAAAAGATTCCCCTGGGTAAAACCCGGGATAAACCCCAGTATAGTCTAGTATGAACACCTGATTATTTCACGTACAAGTGTAAATATCTTTCAAAGTCAAAGTATTGTGTCTACTGCTGCTCTGCCGTGACAGCGACAACGAGCAAGGTTGCTTATTCTACGTCGTGCACCAGTCACTACCCTCTGGGATTCTGGCATGGTTCAGCTCCGTGCCCATGCGCTTTGAGAGGAGGGCTGCATGTGGCGAATGGGACTTGGGTAATGCCATCTTCGGACAGCTTTAGCGTAAGCAAGTCTCCCAAAAAGTCTATACCTACATAGCCAATATGAAGCCCCACAGGAGCTTGCCACTAGGGGCTAATGCAGCCAAGGGGTGTTGGGATCTCGGTAGGAACACTCGGGAGGCTAGCCGCCTTTCATGGGTCGGTAACCTGCATGGAAGCAAGGATTATCATGCATACAGGGCAAGATAATGCAGGCAGGCAACTTGGCCTCTCGACGCGCCGAGATAAGGAAGCCTTTTTTTTCACTCGATTGTGAAGGTGAAGATAGCTATCTCGCATATCTGCTCGGGAGAAAACAGCTGATCTGATGCGGATGATTGGTGATGTCCATTGACTGATGAAATGGCCAAGTAATGGGGTGTTCTCGGCATTCACCGGACTAGAAGCAGAATCATGTCGAAGCGACAGTGGTCCGTGACTGTTGATATGGTTGGTGTTTTGGTTTGACCGCCGGAGAATTGAAAACATGGGACGGTCATGATGACGAGTCGAGCCGGTATCGGTCATGCGAACACGAGACCCAGATTCGATCACTTTCGTCTCTACGTAGTGCACTAAGTTGCTTGCCCAGCCTAACAGTTCATCTTGTGGAGGCCAAGAGCTAGATTCTGTGAGTAATGGTAACGGGGTTGTTGGGTTAGTCATGCGCCAGTCCATCAGTCAAGTGACTCAGGTATGCTCAGCTGCAATTCCAACTGGAGCAGCAGAATCTTCTGGCACCCCGCGTCTCCTCTCTGCGCGGTGTCCATACCGTACTGTAGAACTTGACAGACGTCGAAGTGAACTGGGGCAAAGCTCCCGACTCCTGGCTGGCTGCTTCGCCCATGAATGCCACCCGAATGAACAATCGCATCATCAGTGATCACTTTGGTCATGGCAATCAATAACCCGATCTTGACAGCCATTGGAGCTTACCCATGGAACTGCATCATGCAGTCTTGACACCCTCTTGCTAGGGCAATCTGGGAGGAGCGGGTGTCTGGAAGATCGTGGGTGTCTCTCGGGGACGGCGGGTTCCAATCGCCAAAGGAACTACAGGTCTCGGCAAGCGTCCCCCACCAAGATCTGTTAGAGCATGGAAGCACACGGGCTCCAGTCTCTAGCGTGTGCACTCAACAGCTTAGGCGCATGATCAATAGATCCGTGATAGGGCAGGGCTTGAAATGGTGCAAGCTCGCAGCCAATGTCGAGTGCCAAGGATTTCCTACCTGGGCAGAAAGAACTCGATTCGACCTATCAGATAATAAGAATATGTGGTTACGGTGTCCGAATGTCGATATGCAGATCACCCATGGCACCCACCGTAGGGAGTCAGTGCCCGCTAGCTTCTAGCGCGGCCGTGGCCTGGAAGTGCAACGGTGTTGCAGCGGGAGTTGCAGAAGGGATGCAGGGTACAGGAGGTTTGACGGCTGTGAAACCGAAATAAGCTCACGGTCGGTGAGCAGGTTGTTGCTGCGCGGTCGTTGTGGCTCCGTACGTACCAAAGTTCCCCGTATTCATTCCATGTTTGAGTTCGCTGCGTCAACTCCGTTGTCATCCCGTCTAGACCGCCTCGTCCTGGCATCTGAGCTTTTAGTGCGAAGCTAGCAGCTTTCGCAAGCCTGCCACATATGCCAAGCTTGTTCCTCCGACCGAAGGTGGACTGGGGTCGCCGACGCATGCGATCGAACTTGGTCATAGCCAGACCCTACTATCGATCTTCATGGCAGTAGCCAGAAGCCAGGGGACGGCGCAATGCAGTCAGTAGCTGTGGTGAATGTCTAACGGAAAGTCACAGCGCATCGGGTGCGCAGTTCTCACCGCAGATCTGCGAGTCGGGAATGCTTGGTGCAATCAATGAAATCCAGATGCGCAAGGGAAAACGAGTTCGGTTGGGGCGGTTGGTTATCGAGCCACGCTCTTTCACAGGCAAGTCGGTCCCGGCTGATGTAGTCGTCAATGGCCAGCGGTTGCGTCGCTGAAGTCTCTTTGTTCAGGCATGGTCCCCACAATTGTGTGCTGCAACGCCTTGAAAACTGGGATGTTGGGGGGGGGAACTAGAGTGAATCTTCCGTGTCCCAACTTTTAAAGTCTTCAGGGCTGCATCAGCCAATCTGCACTTGCACTCTCTCAACAACCTCGACTTATCTTTTGCCTCGAGCCTGCTTTCTTTTCCCCTCGATAGCTACCATCAACCATTCCTCCCACACGTCCCGCTCCTACTTCAAGTTGTCCTGGCGCATACAAACGCTGAACGTCCTTGCAGAAGCGATAATTTGATCCTCGAGCTGTTCACACAATTCGTTTTCTCATCGAAAGTAGAAGGCACAAGTTTGCCGCCGCATCACTTGACGCTTGATCCCCCCAACAGCAAATCTGTCAACCATTGAGCGTCGAGTGCTGTGCCCACCGTCGTAAGACTTTTACCAAGTCGAGAAGCAATGTTCCTAACCAAGCAGAGATCACCTCGAAGCCCCGACGACTTCCCAACCGCCCAGCTCTTTCTTCTCGGTGAGTCGTCCGCATCCGCACAAGGCGGCGTTTTGCCATGTTTTCTGACCGCAACACCCAGCCATCGTTCGACTCGCGGAGCCCATCGCGCTCACGTCCATATTCCCCTATGCTTGGGCTCTGGTCAAGCGTTTCAAGGTCGGCAACGAGCAAGATGCATCCTTCTACGCCGGCATCCTCATCTCCAGCTTCTCCTTCGCCGAAGCGCTGATGGGCATGTACTGGGGAGCTCTTTCCGACAAAATCGGCCGTAAGCCTGTGTTGCTCGTCGGCTGCCTGGGAACAATGATCTCCATGATCATGGTCGGCTTCGCCACCAGCTTCTGGTTTGCTGTCCTGGCTCGGATTCTAGGGGTATGCAACTGCCAGACTCGCTCCCTCCCCTTTACTGTCCTGTCTCGAAAGCAAAGACGGCCCAATGCTGTCTCGGCCGTTTTTGCTCTTGAGGCATGATTTAGGAATCCCAAGTCGTAGCTCAGCATGCAGATGTTTAGTACTAACCCCAATTGGCGGCAGGGGCTGATGAATGGAAATATTGCCACTATACAGTGTATGGTTTCGGAAATCACTACCAGGCCTGAGCATGAGCGTGAGTCAATCGATCTTGTGTTGGATGACGATAGCATGCTGATTTCGCAGCCCGAGCGTACTCGGTGATGCCCTTTGTCTGGTCCATCGGCACGATTCTGGGGCCAATGATAGGAGGCGTATTCGGAGACCCCCACACGTCCTTTCCCGACGTCTTTCCCGAGGGCAGCCTATTCGCCGAGTTTCCATACCTTTTGCCAGCCTTGATCTGTGCCTCCTTGCTGCTGTTCTCCCTCGTCTTGGGATTTTTCATGCTCGAGGAGACGCACCCGGATTGGAAACCTCGCGCGAAGACGCCGGAGGAGACCAGCTCGTACGTCTCGTCAGAGACTCCGCTCCTCGAAACCTCGGACGCGATGAAAAACCCGCCCGTGGACCTGCGCTCAGAGACTTATGGAACTATGAGAAGCAGGCTTAGTGTCGACCTAGCACGGGAGGTGCCTTACACCCAGGAGCCTGAGAAGGGCGGCCACCTGACGATATTCAGCAAGAGAATCATGGCACTCGTCATCGCCCTGTCCATTTTCACCTATCATTCCATGACCTTCGATCATCTGATGCCAATCTTCTTCGAAGACGACAAGGGCTCCATCAATCATTTCTCAAACCCGGGCGTCTTCTCTTCCTTCAACCCATTCTACTCGCCTGGCGGTCTTGGACTTCCCATGCAGGTGGTTGGAATGATAATGGCAGTCAATGGAGCGATTGCTCTGTTTGTTCAAGCAGTTATTTTTCCTCTCGCGGCTGCTCGCTTTGGCGTGTTCAGACTTTTCCTGGCGGTCACTGTCCTTCACCCCGTCATATACTTGCTGATGCCAGTTCTGACCCATGTTCCGGAGACACTCTTGTATCCGACGATATATCTCTGCCTGACGGTGCGGAACCTTCTGTCCATCATCCTTTACCCCCTTCTCCTGATCCTCATCAAAGAGGCTACGCCGTGCTCAAAGATTCTTGGCAAAGTCAACGGTCTGGCCGCAAGCGCTGGAGCTGCCTGCCGAATGATTGCGCCTCCGGTCGCCGGATATTTGTACACCATCGGTAGTCAGATGGATTGCACTGCTCTGGCCTGGTACGGTAGCGCCTTTGTGGCGGGAATTGGAGCTATTCAATGCTTCGCCGTCAAGCGGGAGCGAAACGATGATCTGCTGGAGAGGGGCGAGAACGGCTCGGCGAAGGCCGTACACCCGGCGGTTACTATCGTTGAGATAGATGAGGACGAGGTATGAGATGACGATTAATAGGGGCGGCGGTGCCGTGGCTCGGAGGATGTGGCTAATGGAATAAACCGGCTGACGCCACAAAGAGATAATAGCATGATGATGATCATGTTAACAGGATTGGGCTTCGAAGCATGGCATGGTGAAGTGTGCTTTGGCGTTCAGGTTGGAGGCGTTCAGTCCGAAAGAAAAAGCCGCGGTTCCTTGCGAACGTATTCCCTAGCATTCCCGGGGATATAGGGAGACTACTTGGCGAACTAAATTACACCGTTGTTGCGGTGTTGTGGTTCCTACGACAGAAGGCGGGTTTAGTATAACGGCGTTCGGAATAGATATATATTCTTAGCGACATGACTTAATGGACAGCTTGTTTACAAGATGATTTGGTTGGGCAGTAGACTCAGCAGACCAATATACCGACTTTGCTTTATGGCACACGACATTCCGCAGAACAAAGCATGGCCAGCTTGGCTGAAGAATGCAATGCTCGCTATGCAAGGATGAAGTCTGGAGCGTACGGACACTAATACGAGGTTGGCCGAAACCAACCCCGTTCAGGTAGCTGCACAAGGTCAGATTATAGCAGATGCACACAGCTTGCGACCGGCCAGTTGCCAACCCCACAGGTACTGATCGCGGAATCGGGAGCAAAGTCATCTTTGTCCATAGACCAAACCTCGTAAACGTCGCGATTTCATAGGAGTAATCTGCGGCTGGCGGGGCGAAGCCTGATTGGATCCGGCTCTTGAGGGTACCCCGGTACTGCTATGCAGGGGATGTCGCGCAACCTTCGCTGTAGTAACACTGATGATGGGACTGGTCGAGATCAAGCGGAGGATCTTGCACCAATGGAAAACCGGGACTCTGCGGGAGTAGCCCTCTTCCCCATATTTCGGCAGTTTGCTGCATACCATAATAATATTTATGTAAGTAAGGTAGTTGAGCAATTCGTAGAGGCGGAGGGGTGCTGCAACTAAAAGGGGAAATTACTGCTATACCATGCGCAACTGTGATACCAGCCAGTGTGCAAAGTACTCCATAGCAAGATGAGAAACATCACGATCGTGATGTAACGATATCTTGGTCGACGGACAAGGCTTCATGAGTAAAGCTTCATACGGCCCTAACGCTACTTCGTATCCGATGTATCCGATGGCAATTTGAAGAAGACGAGGTTACAATCTATAGGATAGGGGTGTTAATGCGTCGATCCCCAGCCTGTGGTTGGCCCGCGTGGAGTGTTTCCATGACTTTAATTAACCCTGGGGCCGAGACAGAGGTAGGTAGTGGAGCCCCTCCCTCGAACAGTCGCTTTATACGGAACAATTGGTGGGAATATGGTCTGTCTCGACTAAACAATCATACGAAGAAAAGGCTATTCGCACTGCCTCCGCATTGTGACGGTTGGTAGGTCCATGAATCGGTCACATTAAATATTCGAGAGGCATCCGCCGATGATCAACATGCCTTCTCAGTTTCCTCGTCTCCATCAGCCCGTCATCCCATGCACACAGACACAGCAGCCAAAACTGCAAAGCTACCAGTATGACGTCCCGTCTCTTCCTCGCCTACCTATTGGCGATGACAGCACCTGCCTCCGTAGTGGCGATAATAGCAGCTCCCCTCCCCGCGTGGAAGTCGCCAACTCCCCCGCCCCAGGCCAGCCTGCAGAAACGGGCCACGACCCTGATCCCGGACACGTGCTTCAGCTCGACCGAGACGTTCGAGTCGTACTTTTCGTACAATTACCCCTGGGGCGACACGCACAATGGCGCGGCCCTCATGTCCGAGGCGCAGGTCTCCATCATCCACAACGCCTACCTCCAGCTTGAGTCCGTCTACACGGGGCCCCAATCCGATGACAGCAGTTTGTCGTATAACTCGGGTACCGTCTATGCTAAGCAGCAGTTTACGGTCGAGGCGGACGGCGGTCTGGGTGCGTGCTCCCCAACAACCCCTCTGTCATCCCATCAGTGAAGTTTTTTGGGAAAAGAAGATGGAGTAGCTGACAAGAGCGCCAGATTTCCAAGCCAACTTCGTCGCCCCCGTGGCCCAAGGCACCTGGCCGGCGTTCTGGCTAACCGGAGTTGACAGCTGGCCCCCAGAGATCGACCTAGCCGAGTGGAAGGGCACCGGCAAGATCTCGTTCAACACGTTCAACACGAGCAGCGAGGTGTCGGCGCTCGACGTGACCTACCCGTCCCCTACGACGGCCTGGCGCACCATTCTCGTCGAGCTGCGTGCCGAGGCCGATGGGTCCACCGTCAAGGCGAGTTTTTACATGGATGGCACGCTCGTCACGACGCAGTACGGGGCGAACATGGTGGGCGCGCCATTCTATTTGATTATTGATTATCAGATGTTGGGGAGTAGCGGGAGCACGGGGCCGACCGAGACGACGTATTTCGATGTGCAGTATCTGAGTGTAGTTAGCTATAATCCGTGAGGGGTTGAATGCTGAGGCGGGGCGTTCATGACGTGGGTTGGGGGATGATGGGACATACGAACTTTCGCCAGTATGTATCCAGGTGTTCTCCATAACGTGAATGTACACCGAGCTGGCCATGACACCGAGCTGGCCACCCTTACATAACCTCGCATAGAAATTTTACGATAGTAAAACCACAACGCCGTAAATCAATTGAAACTACTCTGAATCTTCCTCTCCAGAAGATGGCAATGCGATGTTACAAGTTCGCGCATTATGCCCAGTCCCGTTGCAAATACCACAGCGCCTCGGGCGCGTTTTTACGCGTTTGGAGGGTGCTTCGGGGGACTTGGTACGTTTTTGCCGCTTGTCGGAGACTAAGTTTTTGGTCATTTTTGAGAGCTTGAAGGGCTAGCATTAAGTCTGCTTCGTTGTATGACTTTGCCATAATTGGTTGTTGAGAAAATCAAACATTAAGTTGGCCGGTCGCGTTGGCGCATGAAAGTGGCCAGCTCGGTGTCATGGCCAGCTCGGTGTACATTCACGTTATCTAATCTAAATATATATTTTCAACTACGCTATACCTTTTTGACGCGGGTATATCGGGGCACAGTAGGATGATCCCTCGAGCATGCCGGCCAAGATTTCTTCCATCACGAGTCATTTTCTTCCTCGTGGTGCGTGAACTTTCGAAATGCCTAGCCTGCGAAGCCTCATGGCAGCTGGCTGGCTTGGTCCGCAGAACGGTCGCGAATGACCTAGACACATTTTGCTTTTGTTGTAGCGACATCGCCCCGCCGTAGGGATCCAGCCTGCATCCCATGGATTTCCCTATTGGGACAGCACTGCCAATGAGAAGATAGCGGCCGTCGTGAGGGGGGAGCCAGGTCGCCGAGGCTGTGGCTTGACTCGGTACACGACTTGGCTACTTTGGTCAAGGTTGAACCGATCACTCGCTCCCTCATTCACTACGTCGTGGGTAGAATAACAACGCCGAAGGCACTTCGCCACATGTTCGTCAGCGGGGTGTTCAAACGAGTTGTCATCCATCTGAAAAGAACATGATCTCATTTTCACTGGCTCAAAATATCTCTGGTCTGATTTTTTTCTCCAAAATCCTCTTAGTTATATTGCCGGGGTTTACGTCAATTCCCCATTTCCGAGTTCAAGCGACTATGTGGGTGTCTACGCATGAGTGATCTTTAGCACAGGGCTTAGGACGCACATAAGCATAAGCTGCTTGCATGATGCTGAGCCTCTTCGACTTCAGACGAAGGGCCATCCTGCATGCAGGGCCCAGGCTGTGTGTTCTGCCAATGTCCCAGAAATGGTTTTCATCGCGAACACGAATTCGATCCCACCCTTCATCGCGCCATCCGAGACTGTAAGATACACTGATTACAACAATGACGCGAGCCTGGTGTTCCCTGTTTGACCCGCAGCCAGGCTCGTTGAGATGAGCGTCATTTGATGCTCTGCCTCGCATCCCATCATCAGCTTAACGGCCGCCTCGTCACATGGAAGTACCTGGATCATGGTATTTTGAATTGCCGCACTCGCCGAATCTTTCGACTGTCTTCATCATAGAATACCGTCATGCAAACCTCGAATCCGAACTTCTCGCAACTCTGCACGGATGGTTCGAAAGATACTATAATGCAGCTATTATATAAGAAGCTGCTATGTAATGATATGGATGAGATTTCGGCTCGCCAGAGATTGACTCACGATCAATATCTACACACATATTACAAGAGCGAACTACACCAGCTGCCAGCCTTCAAATATTTTCGCAATGAAGTTTTTGGTCACGTTAACTGTTGCTGCCGTGGCAGCCGCCAGTCCTATCAACGTTAACCAACCTGCTACCGTACCTGATGAGAATGAGGCATACAGACAACTACACCAACGAAATATTGGCGTCGTCGCCAAAGAATTTACCACAGAAGGCTGCAAACCCTACATGTTTTTCTTCTCACGTGGCTCCACGGAAATTGGCAATTTGGTAAGCTAGCATCGAAATTCTCTTTCCGTGTGACTACAGAACTGACATGGCGTAAGGGAACGGAAGTTGGGCCACAGTTATCCGACGGCTTAAAGGCGTATCTTGGGAAAGACAACGTTGCCACGGAAGGAATCGACTACGCCGCCTTGCTCTGTAAGTTGGCTTGTTGTCCATTCTTTTTTAAGCGGCAACGAAACTGACCGCGGTCTTCACAGCGACGAACTTTCTCCCCGGTGGAGCAGATCCAATCGGCATTAAAGTGATGCGAGACATGGTCAACACGGCAGCAACGGACTGTCCCGACTCCACCATACTTCTGGGAGGCTACAGGTCAGTTCCCACCACCCCCCTTCCCACGCTACAAAGCTGGCATAAACTGACCTCAAGTCCCCCGGGTATAGCCAAGGAGCAGCTATGGTTCACCGTACCGTCGAGGCTCTTCCCCCCACCGTCCAAAGCCGCATCGCAGGGGCTGTCACCTTTGGCGATACGCAGAACACACAAGACAATGGACAGGTACCCGGACTGTCTCCAGCAAAGACCAAAGTTATTTGCAACCCCGGGGATTTAGTTTGCGTCGGCATCCTGACGATCACGCCGGCTCATCTTGCGTATACGCTCCGTGCAGACGAGGGGGTTCAGTTCCTGGTTAATCGGGCGATGGCACCCAATTGAGATGCGCACGTGACGAGAAGTGTTCTGGTACCCGCGCTGGTTTTTGTTCAGGGCCAGGTATCGGTACCGCTGGTGACAAGGGTTACGATTAACGATCTAATGGACTACGGTATTTAGCGAGCGTGTTGTTGAGCGACAGCATTCAAATTCATTTTCAAATCGGAGGTTTGTGGCGGGTTATATATAATATGGTGTCATGGATAAGTTTTCAATTGTGTGTTTGTACCGTGCGCCATCTTGGCACGCGCCAACTCTTAGCATGTACTGTGGGATTGAGCGACATATGTGTGCCTGAGGTGGTGCCTAAGGCAGTGAAATCGCTTGTATAGATAAAAAGGTCGGCACCTGCCTACCTACCTTAGATGTAACTTCTTACATAGCACTCCGAGCAGTCAATACATACATCACACTGCGCATCAAGCATCGTAACCAATACAGGATCTGTACAGAGTCATCATCTGAGGGTTGAATCCCTCAGTACATTCAATATATTTTACTAGTACTTTGTATATAATCCGTTGGCCGCTGTGAAGGTCAACCCTCGCAGACTCACTACAACCAGGTGACTTACAGCTGGAACACCTGCCATGGCAGTGCCAGATGGGAAGCCAATCATTAACCCTTGTAGGAGCCCCGCTAAGCGTGGACGACTTAGTCGCGCTCCCTCAAACCTAAGTTGTCATCTTCTTTCCTTCGCTCCTTAGAGTAGAATCTTCGTCGATAGCACCTAATCGAGGTCTCTACCAATGCGATGCAACCCAGGTCGTGACACCTAGCCGGTTCTATTTCTGTTCCGTCGATATAATTAGCCCGGATTTTCCTAGTATAAAAGGTGATTACTTAATCTTTCGTTTTCTTTTCGTTTTCTTTCTTTTCCCTCTATACCTTTAGTAATTTCGTTAATATTCTCAGATTCTAATTACTCTATAATAGCCACACAGCCACACAGCCACACAGCCACACAGCCCTTGTCCTCACACTTAGCTACCTACCTTTTCGTTGGCATGAGTAGGCTAGGCCAGAATTAGTATAGCGTTACCTTGGCAGTGGTCCACTGGTACTTGTCAGGGGGGTGAAAACTTTGGCCTGATACCGTAGTATACTAGGTGAGGCTAGACTTCACGCGAAAGGGCGTAGCACATTGGTCGATTTTAACATCTCTCTCACACCTAGATTAGTGGGTAGATGGATCAATCCGTATTAGACAAGACTAATACAGATGTGTACGATGCATGAATGTCAATATTCGCATATGAACTATATTCGGCCGTTTGCCAGCCGTCTTGTCTCCTCCCGCGAGAGGAGGGCATTACAAGGTGTTACATGTGTCTAGTCCTCGCACCAGCGGAAACCAATTTGACTCTTGTCTTAACTTGCGAAAAAGGCCTTTCCTTTCCGTTTTTTTCCTTCTATATACCTTGCCGTCCGAAAGTAAACCTAGCCGTTTCCTTGCTTCGGAGCGAGGGTGGTGGCGGCGGTGACCGAACCTAAATTCGGATGAGGGAGGGGTCCCCTCATCTCATAACGCCGGTCATGAATGCTAGTTCGTCAAACAAAAAGCAGAATATTGTTCTGTTTCCCAACAGCTTTCCTTCTCCTTACAAGAAGAGGATGGCGCCCATGATGGCCAGAGACAACGCTCCGAAGGAAGCGGATTGCAGGCCTGAGGCGGAGTTGACAGGGACGGCGGTGGAGCTGGAGCTCGAGGTGGCGCCCGAGGAAGAGTCGGTGGTAGAGCTGGGCGAGGAGGTGGTGTAGGTCGAGTTGGAGGACGAGCCAGCCGAAGAACCGGAAGAGCCAGAACCGGAGCCGGAGCCGGTGCTGTTGGAGCTGGAACCGGAACCGGTACTGTAGGCAGCACCAGTAGCAGTGGCGACAGCGCTCCCAGTGGCCTTGGTGCTGCTGCTGACCGTCTTGGTGGAGGAACCCTTGCCCGAGGCGGCAGAGGAAGAAGAAGCAACAGTGACGTTGTCGCAGGACAAGTCGTACAGGGGCGTAGTGCTCAGATCGGTCACGATACCAAAGCTGGGGCTGGGCGTCTGGGGGGCAGCGTCTTGAAGCACGTACCACCAGGTGTTGACCTGGTCAAAGAGCTTTGCGCATCCGACCTCGTCCCAGAACGTCTTGGCGTTCTCGAGCGAAGCGACACCATCACCAACCTGGTCGCCGCTAACGGGCCAGCCAGTCTCGGTGATCCAGATGGGCTTGTCACCGACCGCAGCCTGGGTCTTGGCCACGCCCTCGTCGAAGCGGATGGCGCCCTGGCTGATGTCGTTGGCGACCGTGTCCTCGAAATACGGGTAGCCGTCGAAGCCGATCCAGTCACAGGCCTCAACCACACCCGCGTTGGATCCGTTGACCCACGCAGTCCAAGTGTCGACGTGGCCAATGGCTGCTCCGCTCAAGGAAGTGCCCGCAATGACCTCCTTAACTTGGTTGATGTAGTCGACAATGGTGTCGGGGTCGGCGCCCACATACGACCCCGCCGCGATGCCTGTGGGGGAATTGCGGTAGAGATCCTCGCTGCCCACCGAAATGCCGTCCACCAGGGATGCAAAGTCGTCTCCGTACGTCTCAATGGCCGACTTAAGCGCCGCGATCTCGTTGTCGAATGTGTCGCCGGATGACCAGAGACCAAGCAGGAGGGAAGTCTTAGTCTTGATGGCAGCGGGAATGGCCTCGATGGGAGAGTTGGTAGTTCCACCTTGCTAAAATCATGTTTAGCATACCTTCACACCAGCTCCAAATATGCTGCTACTTACCACCATGGTGTAGAGACGGGCCGAGGTGAAGCCAGACGTGCCGGCCAGGTTCTGTGCGGTCGTGAACTCCGTCTCAAAGTCCGACTGCGTCTTGGCTGCGCCGGTTGTGAAAGTGCTGCCGTAGTTGAAACCCTTGATGGCTGCGGAAGCGGTCGAGGCCAGGGCCAGAAGACTGGCGGTAGTTGTGGAAGTGTACATCTTGACCGTGCTGTTAAGCAGTAAACAGAAGCGTGGAATTTGGTTTTTGCGAGTGAGATTCCGTCCGAGTTTCTCACAGTGAAAAGTTGCGAGACAAAGAGAGCGAGAGCGTAGAATGGGCTTGACGGTGACCACGGAGACAAGAGAACGAATTTCTGCTACGAACGACCAAGAATTAACGAGAGTATTTGCCGCGGCTGTTGTATGAGAAACAAGACAGTGACGTCGACAAGAAAAGGGGATATTATGTAGTTGTAGACAGCAGTATTGGCATGTAAGAGAGAGAGAGCGATGACAAGAGGAGCACGAGAAGCAGGAGAGCTGGACCATGTCCGAGTTTTGTTATGTCTTTCGGCCCTCCTTCCAATTACCACCTCTCATTGGACCCTCCTCCCATCTCATGTCTCTCCACACCTCGTTCCTGGCGAGGCAGCCAGAATCGTGCAAGGCAGGGGAGCGAAGACATCGGGGGGGGGCTGCCACTACTTCGTACACCAGTCGACGTCGGCTGCGGTTGGGTGCCATTCTCCGAAAAAGAGAGCAGAAGAGTCTCCATAGAGAAGCAGAAACGTCAACCGATCCAATCACCTCATATCATCCGAAGCCTCGGACCTGCATCTGGAAGCCAACCCCGAAGAAGTGTGGACAAGGGGGAGGGGTGTCGTGTCACCCACTCAGTCCGTTGACCATTTTTAGAACCGGTGCATTTTGTGGATATTGCGGGATTGCCTAGTGATCTGTGCCAGGGAATTCTGTCCATCCCGCCTGGAACTGCGATCGATGCAATACTTGGCAGGCCAAGCTGAGCAGCAATGACCAAGAAGAAGAGCTTCGCAAAACGTGCTTACGGCAGGCTCGTATTCACTGCCGATTCGGGAAAAAGATCTGATCAGTGGTCAAAAATTGGAAACAACCCACGCAAGCCGCCACTTGTCATCTGGGCAAGTCAACATGATATTATTGAACACCTGCCACTTGCAACACGATGACGGCCGGCTCGACCGCATGAACGCCAACTTCCGAACTTGATTTGCGCAATCCACTGCCCCCCACCCCCCCAGTGGAGAGATGGGTGGTGGTCTAGTGTAAGGACTACGCGGCGGTCGGAGGGTGCTTCACCCCTATTCCCTGCGTTTTCGCGCTGTTCCTGCATTTGAGGCTGGCATGAAGGGGCCGCCCCCAAAAATTTACCCCTTCTCCTCATTTGCCACAACCTGTTGGCCGCCTCCTTCCCACGGCAATTGGGTTTGGGCAAGGACGTATTCATTCAACGGTGCACTGCCCAATGGGATCACACCGGATGACCCTGGTTAAGGGCTTACTCACACCTGGGAGCGTGCATCCTGTGTTCATGTATTGGTTCGTCCGCTTGTTTGAGAACCAGCTAGCTCACTGAGCTGAGAACTGAGCTGAGAACTGAGCTGAGAACTGATGCAAGTACACACTGGCCATCCAACCCCCAGAGGTTTCATGCGGAATTCGGATGGCTTTTCATCCCGTGGTCATCGTGCGGATACGGATATACACCTATTTACAAACACTTTATGCCCATAGTACTGTACGAGTAGACATGGAGGCTGCCACTTCTAAAAGCAGCCGGCTGTGGATGTGCTGATTTCGTCATTGAGATGCGGCGTTCGGCGAATACTTTATGTCAAGACAAACGACACCCTGTTCAATTAATTGAGTCGAGTTTGACAGCCCAGAGAGAGCTCAGTGTGGGCCGCCGCCTAGTTCTACATGGTTGTTGGTACTCGGTTTTGCACCTGGTTGGCTCTTTTGCATATCTTGCCTGGCCACTTCGTTCTCAACACCCGGCACCCAGAGATGCCGCGGTTTGTTCCCTTAAGCCTCTCGACGCAACACCCAATTCGCTTTATATGAAGCCGCGAATACCTCGGATACCAACCGATTTCTTCTCTTTCCTATCCTTCCGAATCGTATTTTGTACACCCCCTGCGAGAGTCGTGAGCAGCAGTTCTTGGACGCGCTACGGAATTGGTTGCTCACCTCTTCCGTGGTACCGATCTGTATTAGGACTGCCCTTGCTAGCGGAGCCCGACGTTTCGGCATCGGGCGTCGACGGCCGCTGCTGCGGGTGGCTACTGACAGGTGTCACAGCATTGTATTGCCCCAGCGGTAGCGTCGAGTTGTGCGACATTACCTCCGATCCCTCGGATTCTGCTAGACCAATATACGAACGATTACGAAAACTCAATAGGCTGCCCGTATCCGAAGAATGCAAAGAAAGTTCGCCGCTGGGCGATGCTGGCGGATGCGAGTCCGAATTTGATCGGCTCAATATCGACAGTTGTAGTTCCGACACAGTATTGCTCAAGACCTTGTTCTTTCGTGTCAGCTCTGCGATACGCTTCCTCAACTCGCCCTGTTGCGCCCTGCTTGCGGCGAGTGTACTCTCGAACTGGTGGTTGATTGCATCAAAATTTCGCTGTTCCTCTCCGTTCTTCAGTGCATCGTGAAGTTTCGCATTGAGCACAACGATCTGGGATTGATATAGATTGTGAGTCTGGCGAAGCTCCGCATCTCGAGCTTCAAGCTTCATCTTCAGCATCTCAGATCGGCTGTCAGCCTCGGCTGCTCGAGTCATCGAAGCCTCACGTTCCGTCTCCTTGGCTTGCAACGTCCGCTCAATTACTGTCAATCGTTTCACTTCCTTCCTCAACCGCTCCAGTTCGCTGGCATTCGCCTCGACAGCTTGCATGCTTTGCTTCCACCCAAGTTCCTTCACTTCAGCGTCACATACAAGCTGACGAAGGTTTTCGGCTTCCGTTTTCGCTGCGTCCAAGTCCCTTCGAAGGCTGTCGCCTTCGCTGAGCCATTTCTTCTGTTCGTCGCGAATCGCCCTCAATTTAGCTGAGAGGTCTGCTTCCCACTTCTTTGCTAGTGTCCGGCTCTTCTCCGAATCTTTCTTGACCTGGGTCTCGTTCTTCTTGGCTTCCTCAAGTCGTTGCTTGAGATGCCGGTTTGCCATGATCAAATTCTGCGTCTCGGCCTCCGAGGCAGCCTCTCGGACCTGTCGCCTCCGCAGTGCTCCCATATGCGTCAGGTGCTGCTGCTTCATAAACCGCTCGAAGGTCAGATCGTTATGGAGAAGAAGAATCTGACGGTAAAGATGGCGAATGTTGGGCTCCTCACTGTGTTCAGTGGTCGACAGTGGGGTACTTGCTGGCGGCATAATCGGTTGCATGTGGGAAGGGGGCCGTTCGGAGGTCGAGTCGTGGTGACTCAAGGCCAGCGAAGGAACGCTGTCATTAGCTAGCGACTGGTGCAGCCCTGATTTTATCACCTTGTTCGAGTTGATCATGTCTTGTAGGTGAGTGTAAGACCCGGAGCTGGTCAGTTGAGCGGGCAGTGTAGGACTGTCGCCGCCATTTCTCGATGGCCTGGTACTCGAAGAGTCTCTATGAGACTGGCGACTGCTCTGCGACGACTGACGAATAAGAGCTGACTGGACCCTACTGCTTGGCGTGGAGTCGAATGGCGTGGATTGCGTGTTGCGCCAGTTCTCGCCCGGGTTTGCCCCAACGAGAGATAGCCCAGCAGGAAACGAACTACTCAGCAACGCTGATTCGTATCCATCTCTATCAGTATTGTCTTTAACGGACAGAATGGGGGCTCCAGGCATGGGCGCAGGCTCTGTGGGTTGACACAGAGCCATGCAATCAGCAACCACCTCGGCCGGTTCACTTTTAATCCATCTGCCAAAATCGGTCCTCTCGGATTCGATGGTCAGAGTGTAAAAGTTCTCATGCAGCAGATGGCACTGTCGAAAGCGCTCAGATGCGTGCCGTATTTCCGTTGGTTGTATCTCGATATCATCGGCATTGGGCACCTCGGCATGACGAAGATATCGCTGGGGTTTCCGGATATAGTCCATAAAGTTTATGGGGTACAGCCCGTACAGAATGGTGAAGTAGTTCAGTAGATGTGGGATGGCAGTATCGTCGAATTCCGGAGAATACACTCTCTTCTCCCAGGAACCACTGTTAGAAGGCAGTCTTCGTTCCGTCTCCGTCTCGAGGCCAAACTCGGTTGCAGATAGCTCTCGTTCCCAGAACAGTAGCCGCGCGTATATGTTAAACAGCGTGGGCAATTGCGGGACGAGTGAACTCGGCATGTGCGGAAGCACCATGGTCAGTACGGTCAGGGCCAAAGACACGATGGTGGTGGAGGTATCCAGCTGCAAACACTTGATCAATGTTCCGAACAGAGGTGTGTGAAGAACCTGGTGAAGATGCGGCGGTTGGTGCTGAATGAAGTCGGCCATCAGATACAGAGCGCGTACCCGCCACTCTTGCTTGACCATACACTTATCCAGCATGGTCATGAAGTCCTTGGGCCTTTTCTTCCCATAGATGATGAGCGTTTCCCGTAGCTGTTTCTCCTTGAAATTCTCCAGCGCATCCTCGCCTCTTCCGGCAACTTTGCAATCTCGCACCCACATGGTCAAGACGGTTTCAGCCAAAGCCTTTCCAGAGCCGCTGTTGGGTCCCTCCGCTTCGTTGGTGTCGTCAGACGTAAGGATGTCGAGCACGACGGCCTGGCTCTCCGAGGCAAGATCTTTCTCCTTGTTCAGGTGCGCGAACACTGGCAGACACAAATCCCACCAACGTAAGATCTTCTCGGGTTGCCCGACCAGCGGCCGCAAGCGGCGAATGATGTTGAGAAAAGCCACATAGCGTGCAGGAAAGTGCGCGACCTCTTTTTGGTATATTGTGAGGAGCTCGTCGTTGAGCTTGTCGGAAATGCTTTCGTCGAACTTCTCATGCTTACGGAGATATCCTTCGAGTATCTCGACGAGATCATCGGGTAGGGGGAGGCTAGCTGTGGGTATGGCGGTGCTGATGGCTTTGGTGAGCTCCTTAAGTGACCTGACCACGGCATGGAAGGTTAGCATTCATCTGTAGCTTCGAGTACATGGTCTGGAATGATCGCGTACGGTGCGGAAGCCATGGCTGGCTCGGCCGCTCTAGCCGCTGGCCGTGAAGATGGAGTGATCGTCGCACTAAAGGCAGGTGTTGGAATATCGGCGCTCAGGTGGTAGCTGGATAATTCCTGAAGGTTCGGAAGCTGAAGTGAGGATGGGGAGCTGGAGAGCTTTATTCGTTTGCATCCACTTGACTGCTGCTGGAGAATGGATTGATGAATCAAAATCTCCCCCTCATTGCCGATAGCGCACGGATCCCTGAATGGATATCAGCGGCCTATCAAGCTCCCCGTTATTCTCCCCGCCAATGTACTAAGTAACCAAGACAGACATCAATTAATTCATCGATGATGAGTTGTGTATGCTTAACTTGGGAAATTGCACTCAAGGTCTAACATTACGTTCAGTCACAAATCGATTGACTTTGGTAAAAAAATTGGTTTCGATGGTGGTGGAGTGCTCAAGCGAAGCTACACACTGGAAGTATTTTAAGCAAGTTTCGGTGGAAGCTATTGCACTAACAGATTCTCTCCCGTAACACAGTTGCTACCGTTACTGGCGGCCCGCTTGGCTAGGGCCGTTTTTTTCTCGGATCTCTGTCCTTGCAGCTCTCTCCAGGTCCACTTGCATCACTGAATTGCGGGGGCGGGTCCCTCTAGCCTCATGACCTCTTGGACCCTCTTTGCCAGTGGGCACAACACGCCATTGACTGGCCACAGCTGCAAATACCCTCGTGCGACCTTCTATCGTAAGATGATCCGATGTCAGTTGCCCGGTACTGTCCACTTGGCTGCTCCCCGCCGAGTGTGGTCACTGGCTACGGGGAAACAGCTACCCCGCCATCCAGCTCGCGCACAATTTGACCTCATTCCTTCTTCTAGTTAAAGATATGCTGGCCTCTTCTTCTCTGAACCGTTGTTCTATCCCAAGACACTTGCCAACCAAAGCTCCCAACCACTACAAAGCCATTGACTCCTCTCTCGGCCTCTAATTGTGCATCTCGAATCCTATTGACCACCTGTATTGTTGGTTTCATACGTTGATCCACCTCTTCGTCAACCCTTCATTACGACCATGGCAAACAATAAGAGCTCCGCCATCTCTGATGAGCCCATTGAGGTTCTCGTTGCTCTCCACGACAAGTTTGACCTCCTCGATTTTGCTGGCATGTAACCTCGGCTTGTGTACAATTGCTTGGAATCTCATGAGTTTTACAGGCCCGACGGAGGTTCTCTACCTTGCCCAGCACGACAAGGATGACGAATGTGAGTGAACACAATTCCCTCCTAGCATGTTCGTGTCGATATATATTACCAAGCATTAACTAACAGCTATGCCTCTCGCAGCAACTAAGGCCTTCGAGGTCACCATTTGCGCTGCTGAGCCCAAGACCATGTCGGACTCCGGTGTCATGATCGGGAGTCAAATCACATACAAGGAAGCTTACGAGAGACTCAACGACTTCGATGTTCTCATCATCTTGGGAGGCAACAGCGAGGCCATTCTGAAGCAAAAGGCCGAGCCCCTTCCCCTCATCAAAGCCTACTCTGAGCTCCAGCAGAAGGATTCCAGCCGTGAACGCACGCTGCTTTCAGTATGCACCGGCGCAATCTTTCTCGCTGAGCAGGGCATCCTCTCGGGCCTGGTCGCCACTACCCACCCAGACAAAATGACAGCCTTTGAGAACATTTGCAGCCATTCTGCTGTTCGTGACGCACAGGAGAGAACTGACGTCGACGAAGAGGCCCGTTATGTCGTGAACAACCTCCGCTTCGAGATTGGTGATGAGGATGAGAATCCCTACATTCGCCGCAAGTCCGATGCTGGCAGACGTCCCTCCAATGCTCGGTATGTGTCGTATCTGCTACTTCTGCTGTCCTTAGGGGTGTCACCCACTAACGTCAATGCAGAAAGGGAAGCATCTCATTCAAGGGCATGTCACGTCGTGAGTCCATTGCCCGTCGTGCCGCGATGAGATTAGGTGGACTACGTGTTATCACGAGTGGGGGATCAAGTGCTGGTAGGTCTTAAATGGCGATATGGGACTCCCACTGTTATCATAGCTGACATTTTTTGCTTCACAGGCATTGATGCAACCTTGTATCTTGTCAGCATTCTGGTGGATGAGGAAAGTGCGAACGAAGTAGCTAGACAGATGTCGCACAACTGGACTAAGGGTGTGGTCGTCGATGGTACGTGATTTCTCTTTATACGGGATATATGCTTCACATATAAGTTCGGTTTTCTATGACCTGTAACTAACTTTGAGTGTTCTAGGCCTCGACGTGTAAGCTATAGGTCGAAGGAGGCATATGGCACTAGGATCTGATCTTGCAGCCTTGACCGTCTTGTAGCTCTACAATTTCTATCAAAACATGTCTGTCACCAATGCTTTTGCGTTGAGAAGGATTCACGTTCATTTCACATTTACATACCCATTCTATAAGAGAAGACCAATCTTATTATTTTTCATTAGTATTGGCTTGAGAGCGTTCATTTCATTGAGAATACCGTCTGAAGTGCGAGAACACATAGTAACTACTAACAATACCAAGTCTTCCCTTTTTTCAGTTATTCATCATAACTGCACCACGCCCTCTGCCTACCATTGCACTGCGCACTGCAGGTTCCTGCTACCATGCCTTTCCGAAGAGTTCCAAGGATGAATGACCGAGGGAACGATTACGGGCCGCCATCGCACCACGGCCACTATACTCTCGCAGAGACCTCGCAACGGCAACAGGAGAACCAGTAGTTAGTGGGACTATTGTAAGATGGCTGCTAGGGACGGGTCGGACAGCTTCAAGGCCCAGATAGCATCGATCTTCTCAGGGGGGACTTTGTTGGTAGGTTGAGAACCAACGTAGTATGGTAGTGAACGCAACGCAGTCGCCAATAGGGCGAACCGACGACGCAGCGTATGTATTTAGTCCAGCCATTAGGGCACGGTTTGACATACGGGAGTACTAGTAGAGGTACCGGGGGCTTCGAGCCTACGGCGTATTTAATAATAATAATAATAATATTTTTCATTATAGAGCAGAAAATCAAAGTCCTAACCTAGTGAAAGAACAGAACTGAATTACCTATATTTAGACATTTAGTCCGCATGCAAGAATAACCTCGGGTATAGAGGGGTGACAAGGCACCCAGACATAAACTAATATATCTAGCTCCCCCCACACCCCCTTCTAACCCGCGGGCCGATTAGGCGGTTCTTCCCCACGCACCTTCGCAGTACGAATACAACCACCAGTACTCGGGATCCGGTAGTATCCTCCTGCGTTATGTCAAAGTAGTATTACAGTATTGTCCTATTGTTCCACTCTAGGACACCTAAGAGCACCATACTTGCCTATAAATCCACTAACATGGTAAATACACCAGGTAGATTATCGGTACCATGTGGTAGAGTTGCCAGAACCAAAGTTCAAGCACGCCAACCACTTCATCGTCAAAGGCACACTTGTCGGCTGGGACAAGAACGAGCCCTCTGGACAGATGGATTTGAACCATTACAAGAGATGTACGGCGTTAACTCATCACACAAGTCAAAGCCAGCATCTCGAACAATATCCAGGGCTTCAACCTTGCTGAGGTGACCTCCCCAAACCTTCACCGATCCAGCTGGAAAACACCATGCAAACTGCCAGAGAGGTGAACTGTCTGGTAGCCATCCATTTAGATTGCCAGCTGAGGAACATGAAGACCATCAAGGAGTCTGAGGACCAATTCCAAACCTTCTTGTTAGATTTTAGCAGTTCTGCAGTCAAGTCGAACTACAAAAGCACCGATGATCCGGACGATTGGCATACTTTGGCTCGACAGGTGGAGCTAGACTTGGCATACAAACCTAGAAGGGTCGAGGAGAAGTGCAATGGAGGGTTGAGCAAGGATGACAAGCGCGAGAGTATGGACGAAGCCTGTTTGGACTGTGATTCGGGATTACCGGCTTCTTCTCGTCCTCCCGGTTCTCGACTGCGACCCCCTCCACTTTCTGCATGATACCTTTTGTTCATTCCCCTCCCATACCCTTCAGTCAAATAGATGCCTCCACACGTCATCCGCCGGTTCATCTAATGTGTAGATTGCCACTGGTGACAGTGCACCCAATTGTGATACCTAGACTACACCAGAATACAGCACTTGTAGGTCTTCCTGTTGATTCACGCGGTTTGACCGTTGATGCTGTTGTCCATTTATGCTAGGCGCATTGATTGCTCCGTCTCAATTCGGTATTCGCATTCTACTGAGTACTATAGTAGGTGAAAGACGGGTGCTCAGCTTAAGTGGGGTGCGGAACTTCCCGTCGCCACTGAACAGGCCGGACCAAGCATGGATCCATTGAATTTCTCAGGTCTGCGACCAGCGTTGAGCCTCATTATACACTACGACAATATTTCAGTCTTCACCCCCCCCCTGCTGTATCAGACAAGATGGCAGCTGCAGCGAGAGGAGTCAAGACGGGAACGAAGCAAGTCTTCTTGTGAGTGAAAAGAAAAAAACCTCTACAACTCCAATTTCACACACCAAGCTCACCATTACCCTCTCTGCTTTGCAGACCCCAAGCCATCGTGACGCTCTGCCGCCCGCCCACGAACCGGATCCTCCCTCCCCAATTCGCGCACTTCCGGGTGCCGCTTCGCTTCAATAAGCTCGACATCCGCGACTACCTGCAGAACCTCTACAACGTGGAGAGCGTGGGCGTGCGGTCACACATCCTGCAGCGGTCGCCGCGGCGGAACCCCATCACGCGGCGCATCGGCCGTCCCCCGCCCTGGAAGTTCATGACGGTCGAGATGAAGCAGCCGTTTGTGTGGCCCGTGCCGTTGACCGAGGAGGAAACGCACAAGTGGCACAACGAGGAGATGCGCCAGCGCATCCAGGCCACCAAGCATTGGAACGTACGCAAGCAGCAGATCAAGCAGGCTGCGGTTGGGAGCAGCAAGCTCGTTAATGAAACTCACGAGCGTGGACGGTTGGCGAAGCAGGCGCATGATTTGTTGACGGGGAAGGTTAAGTGGGAGAATAAGAGGGAGCTGGATCCGAAGTGGACGAAGGGGAAAGCTTCGTAGGAGGGAGTGGGTGGGGTTTGAGCTTGTGCAATTGTGATGGGTGTACGATCACGGCGACATACTAGAAACTTGTACAAACATGTTGTATGGTCCTGGGCGAGTCATAGCATCAATGGCAAACGGACTTTTGAGCAACGGACCGGGTGTCAAGCAAAACAATGTCGACACAATGGAACCATCTGGAACTCGTATAGGGCAGTCTTTCGGTAGAGTTGCCTGGATCATCACAAATTTTCGGCCTTGGAACCTGCCGGCCTCCAATGATTAGCTTGGAAGGCATGAGTTCCTCTCTTCGGGATACTCATTTATTGTTCTCCGCAGAGAATGTTACATGGAAATGATATAGGGTGTTCCACAGTAGTGCTGTAGACAGAGTTCCCAATGTCACGTTGTTCGGATCAACCTTCCCCGGCCAACGGGGCTCTTTGCCTCTCGCCGTAGGTGATGCTAGTAGCGGAGTACTGCCATCCCCTACGAGCGAGCCGTTCAACGGTACGTTGATTCTACTGGATGAGCGCTTTTCCTTCATTTGCTATGGCACAATACCGGGCTGCAGGATGGCCTACTCTCTGTGAGGTACCCTTTTCCAAAGTTATGCAGTATACCTGAATTCAAGGTATCGTTGACGTCTTCCCACAGTCTATTGGACCCGTTTAGTGGAAGTATTGTTGGATGTGATGAGTCGGATGGCCAAGAGTATTCGTCTTCCCCTCGAGTTTTAACAGGATAACCATTCACAACAACCCTTGGAGAATGACACCCAGGATGAATATAATCTGGTGGCATGTCTAAGTCCAACAACAAATGACACCGAAGATCAGGTGCCTGGAATCATGATTGTAGGATGGCCGACACGCCCCACCGCTCAAAATCAGTACATATGTAGGTCTTGATGACGATGTACGTGCTAGAAGCTTATGTTGATCAGACTTTGGCGACGAATGTTTGGAGTTGAGAAAGAATGGTCCATTGATTGGAGAGCTAGGTCCGTAACCTACAGCATATGCAATCCCCGCATATTGGGTCAGCAATAGCTGGTCTGCCCAGTTCGCTGATATTGAAGCAGGGAAGAAGACTTGGTTCTCCAGCCTCCTCAATGCATCCGTTTCTCTAACGAACCCGAACAGTGAAGAGAATTTGTCCTTACATATGCCATATTTTATTTTTGTCGTTTAGTTCTCCATTTACCATCAATTATTTACTTATTGGATTTGATGCCGATTGTCTTTTGCACCGTTGCGCATTGGCCGATGATGCCCCACGATTGGAAGGAAGATCCGGCGCCACGCACCAACCCTGCTGCGTACTTTATTTGCTTTATTGCCTAGCAACACCCCAGTCAAGGCAGTGGTCCACCTCCAGGCCTCCGTCACCGACGCGAACGCAATTACAACCCGTCACTTGTGAACACCAGCACCCAAACCTTAACTGGTCATATCGCGACATTTCCCCATCGCGGGGTTTTATGCCTCTAAGATATTCCGCAGTTCGTATCATCGAAGTCGTGGCCGAAATCGCCATGGCACCATTAATATCCCCGCGCAGCCTCGCGCGCGACCTGTTGCTGGACCTCGCAACACATTCGCCATTCCACTCAGCGACGCGCCAATCTACTCCAACCCGGCCACCAACGACCCTCACCCTCCGATCCGTCGCCTCGCGCCTCATCATCCCGCGCCTGGCCACCGATGTGACTACGGTGCCCGAGGGCTACGGCCGGACGCGCAACGGCCCAGACGCAGGCACGGTAGTGGGCATCGTGCTGGGCTCCGTCGCGGGATTCCTGTTGGTCCTTTGGCTCATCTACACCCTCGTCAACCTGGGCAACCCCAAAGTGACGGTCGAAACGGCGTCGGTGGGTACGGCGTCGGTGGTAACGCGCAAGTCACGTCATAAAAAACGCAAGAGCCACCATTCGCACTCACACTCGCACGGGTCGCCTGTGCGGCGCGAAACAGTCGAGGTTCGGAGGGAGCGCATTGTTGTAGACCCGCCGCCCCCGCCGCGGCCGGACCGTATTGTTGTTGAGGAGACAACGCGGAGCAGGAGCCGGGCGCCGCCTCCGCCACCAACGCCCCCGCCGCCGATGAGCGAAAGTGATGACGAGGTGGTGGTCATCGAGGAGAATTCGCCGCCGAGGAGGCGGGAGAGCAGACATAAGAGACGGAGCGCCGAGCGGAGGAGTGGTGGCGCGTATCGGGATGTGGACCCTTACTTATATGCTGGGGGCGATGCGCCCATGCGAGACGTAAGCCGTAGACGCAGTGAGTCGCGGAGGCGGTGAGGAGCTCTTTATTATGGTTCGTCCAAGTCTGCTGTGGACAGGCGGACGTTGAAAAGCAGCTAGGTTGTAGGACCCCCGGGTTGGGACGAGACGATGGCTCGACACGTAATTCGGAATTACTTAATCATTTCAAGAAGGGGTCCATCAGGTCGCACGGAGTTGTATCACCCCGTTGGAATGTTCAGGATTACATGAGGCTACGTCGAGAACGTAGCAGCGTCACGATATATATGGTATATGAAGGTTTCGACGGACAGAGCGGCTGGCGGTTTGCATGATGCACCACGAAGTCTATAAATTACTCATTGGACGAGATTGCAGCAACATGCATGCATACACCATCCTGCAACCGAATTCAGTTCCATTCATCAGACGCATGTCACAACTCACTAGGAAATCAGTCAATTGCGTCTTCACTCCAATGGTCCGGGTGGTTGGATGAATTCCCATCCATACCTGCAAGTGCCAAGACAGAACAGGTACCGCAACCGCAACCGCAACTAATCCAATGGGAGACTTTCTTGGCCCCGTGTAGATCAGCCAGTTGTACCTGCAAGTTACCCGCTGCTGGCTCGGAGCAGCTTGGACCTTCTGTCGTCGTCACATGTTCCTGGCAGGTGCTTATTCCGACACTCAAAAACGGCAATCCCATTGAAATGACATCATCGTGACTGCAAGCTTCGGCGCTCCAAGCAAGGAGCTCCAAAGCTTTAAGGACAACCTTCAGGCCAGACATGTGTAATGGTGTTTGTCGTTCTGCCATTTTCAACCCGGTACACCTTCTGCTATTGCTGGATATTTCCCTCGATACTGAACGCCGAAGTCGTGCTACATCAACAATCAATTCCAAGTTGCCCAGTTCTTCTCTTCGTACGTTGTTTCTCGACGCTGCTGAGCGGTTACTGCTGGATACTGAGGCGCGCCCACCATCATGGAACATCCAGGTAGGTCATGATGATTCCCAGAGGGCCTTGCCCCTGTTGTCACGAGCTCTTCTGACGGTTGCAGTCCACGAGATCGGAGGCGTCATCGCGGCCCTCTGCCAAGGTACCGCCGAGGAACAAGAAGTAGCGCTCAAAGACTACTACACACCCGACGCCTACTTCGTGCACCCATTCTGCCGTGTACCCTCGTTTTCGGGCTTTGAGCTTCCTTTCATCGGCACCAAGGTCGATTCGCGTTTCATTCTAAAGTTTGTCTACCAATGGTATCGCATCCTGAGCCCGCAGATTGATATCAAGATCGACTCGACTGGTAGGTTATCGCAGTCGTGCCCGCAGACTTTCAACCGGGCCGTCTACCTCTTGCCTTGATGCGAAACCTGACCTGGCACCTAGTTTTCGACCAACGTCAACGGTTGCTTTACCTGACGATCCGCCAAGTCTTCACCATCTGGATTGTCCCGTTCTCGCTGTGGCAGGCGCACGTGAAGCTCGTCACTGTTCTCAAGCTTGATGCATTACGCGAGGGACCCAACGGCCAGCTGATGCCCGGCGACGGCGGCAACGCCCCCAGCAATGGAAACGCTAGAACCAAGTACTACATTCGCGGACAGGAGGACTTGTATCAGGTGAATGAGTTCGTCAAGTTCGTTGCACCCTTTGGCGCCCACTTTGTCTGGACTCTTTGGCAATGGTTTGCCACATTCCTGTGCATAGTCGGAGTCGTCCTGTTCTGGCCTCTGACCGCCGTCCGTAACTACGTCCTGCAGAAGGGTGCTCAGTGGAAGCTCGGGGCCAAAAGGCAGTAGGATGCCGTTGGCCCGGGATGCTGGTCTGACAACTGGATGTCGCTTCTCGAATCGTTTGAAACATACGTGGTCCTCCGCCGCCTGTTGGAACTGCCCAGGCCACAGCTTTCAGTCCACGGCGACCCAGCCAACGGAGGCCACTGTAAGTCCCGGGCAAACCTGGATTCCGAGACCATGCCTGCTGCTTTTGCCGAGATCCTTACGCCGTTTAAGATTTCTAGGCGACATCAGCCTACATGTCCGGGACTATTTGCAGAATCAAAACCCCCCTCGAATACTTGGTCGCATTCAATCACTGGGAATGAGGGGCTTGTACGAAAGAACGGCAATGTACCCAAGTCTGCGTCATCCAAACCTACCGCTAGTGGTCGCTCAGCTTATTCAACACTGACTCAACTCATTCAATCTTGCCACAATAGCAGTCGTCGTCTGATTTCGCAGGTCGGTACCTTTCGTCGAACAGGAAAGCACCTGTCTACTAAGGACTTCGACGAAATGCGCAAGCTTGCTTTCAATGAAAGCATTAACCGGTACATCTTGAGGAATTTCACGGCAGCCTGCGAACCAGAATCAGACAACTCCGATGAGCCACAAGAAGATGTACAGCATTCTTTCATCTCAGAAGAGGCATCTTTGTACAACGATTCCATCTTTGATCGTCTTAACCCTCGACCCTCGTCTCGTTCTGTTTCCCAGGAGACATCGCAGTCCACTTCAATGGAGGTTCCAAAGCAGCATACTTTTATTGCCTATGATCCGTCCAAGCCCGGTTGCGATTGCGAGTCTGATTTGGACGACGAGATTTCTGACGCCGACGCCGACATCGACGCTGAGTGTGCCTGGGAGGCTCCTACCTCCATGGTCCGAGTACGCTTACCGAGCGAGCCCGAAAATTCGGGTTCTGCTTCCCAAGAGTCAGTCGAACAGTCTCATGTTCCTGTTGCCAAGGATCGTCGAGGCGACGAGGACGATTCTCTGTACTACGATCCTGATTTCGAGCCAGTTCAGGCTGCCCTTGCTGCTTGAGGACTGGCCGGGTTTCGCGAGGCCTTTTTAAGGCTCTGTCTCGAGCATACTTCCTATCCTTACCCATGGAGTTATCAGGCTGGTTGTTAGTAACAGGTAGTGCACCTATCCGGTATGTGTCATGAGACCTTGCGGGACGTGTATCAGTTTATATGACTTTATTGGCGTCGAAAATAACGTGGGGGTAAGATTATGTACTATAGTAGTGAGTTGAAGACAGTGGCAAAACATCCTGTATGGGGTGGCATAGAGACATTGATCAAAATGGCCTTTAATGTTGTTAGCAAAATGTTGATGTTGAAACTGAGTGTTTATGTACGTGAAAGCCTGAACAGCTCAAGGGTCATCAACAGTGGATCAACATTTATACGGTGGTATGGTGCCTAAATGGTGCGAGTTCTATAACAAGAACTATAAAGTATATACGTGTGGGATAATTCGGTATTCGGTGCGGGGGACCAGGCATAACTTGCTTGTTGCGTTAATTTTTGCCAACTGCTTGAGTATTCTCAGTGCTCTATGCATAAGCTACTACTCCTGATATCTGCTTCACCCGACTCAGTACGCAACTATAGAGGAGACCTAGCTTGCCCCCTTGATCTTCAAAGGGGACGTGGAGACACACATGGGCTCATGGGGTTTGGATCTAAGATGATTCTCCAGGTAGAATTTGCTCTTTTGTCTCATCCAAGGGGAACCATCTTGTCATAAACAACTGTCGACATTCAACATGCAGCAGACAAACCCCCCAGACTCACAGGTGCCAACGACCCCCTGTCGAAGGGCTCGATCTAAGAACCGTCCTATGACCTGTGTTTGTGTGAGACTGCTTTCTCGTGCCAGCAAGCAATATCAGTTACATAAAGTCCTCGCTCAGAGACAAACGACGTAAAGTTCGCTGTATAAGAACAAAACCTACGTGCGGGTGCTGTGCCCGTCTGAGCCTTGAGTGTCAATGGCGGCCATCAACCGAGCCTCGCTGCCGACTCACTCACACTGGCAGGGGTTCAATCAGCGGCAGAGTGTCTATCAATCATCTGAGGACAGGAGTACGGCCCAAACGGGGTCCAAACCTACTATTCCCACGGTATCGTCGACTCAGGAAGCCTACGACAATGTATTCAACTACTAAGCTTCATACCGGAGGGCCAAGCCTCTATTCAAGTGTAGACCTCTCCACGCAAGGCGATTCACAGAAGCAGCGGGCGGAAACACGGAAAAAGTGTTTGCCAAAGGAGTGTGGCATCAACGGGATGGAACGGCTTGTGGCCAAGTACCTGGAATATCCCGGGGCTAGTTGTCTTCTGATAGCCCTAGAATCCCACCTACGCTAATTCGAACAAGTAGGCTTGGACTTCGGATATTGTGTGTGAAATCTACGCGGAGCTGTTGAGGCATTGGCAAAGGTAAGCGATGAAGTAGATAGACCATGTACTCAGGCCAGTCACCGTTTCGATGCAACAGCACTTGAAAATGTCTCAACTCGCAATAGCAGTTTAGCGTTATCGAACGTGAAACCCGCTACTTCCATTGATTCCTTTTTGTAGTAGTCTCCCAGTCTTGAGTCAAATACATAATCATCGACAAATAGGGGGTATATACTGTACAAACCAAAACAGTTGACTTGCTTTCCCCCAGCCCAAGTCTCCTCTCCAACCAAGCCACTACGCACGATACGTTACGACAATATGTGTCTGTACCTGTGAGATTTCCCACGACTATCATCTTCGAAATGATAGCAGCTAAGCCACCGGCAAATCGTGTAATGCGGGACAGTCGCCCTACAAACCGCCCATACCGCCACTGTTTCCACCCTGCTGTCCCCCAAAGAAAAACCCGTCGAACAAGTCGAGCTGCTGCCCATCGCTAAAGTCATGGTGCATACCTTCCCACCCTAAACCAAAGCCCAGGTCCATCTGAGAATCGGCGCCACCCTGCTCACTGTCCAGGCCAGTGGAGGAACCTTGCTGCAAGCCCTGCAGAAAATCTATGCCCTGAAGGTCCGTGTAATTCAGGCTCTGGGACGGGGCAGGGGTGAAATTGGACGACGGGGAGCGCAGATAGCTGATATTTGCGGCCGAACCCGGTTGGGGGAGCTGGGGTGCGTTGGCAGAGAGGGGCGTCATACTCGCCACGGAGACGGGGGACTGGATCTGCGCGCTGCCTGGAGACGGCAGGAGAGATGGGTCGATGGCTGAATTGTCTGGCGTCATACCTCCTTCGGAGCTGCTCGCCGTCATGCCCCTGAGCATGGAGTAGCCGTCGTGTTCCGTCTTCACATTATTGGGCATGGCGAGTCGGAACTGGGCCGTTTGGAGAGGAGTGAGCTGGGACGCTGAGGCATAGCCATCTGATGATCCAGACATGTCATACGGGCCGGCTGACCGGGAGAGGTTTTGATCCATAGATCGTTGTTGGTGGTGTTGTCTAGTTCGATTTGCCGTCGCCTCTCGTGCTGAAATGTAATCAGACCGGTCGTGGCTACTTCTCGATCCATGCTTGCTACGGACCGGCGCTTGGCCGAATCCGCCTGTCGAGTTGACCATCTTGACGGTGGCCTTGGCGGTACGGTCGAAAGCATCACGACAAGCCTCTGCCGGAGGACATTTGTCGATGAGATCAGAGAATACCGATGTAGCCGCCAAGATGGTGAAGTCAACTTCGTCCATGCACTGCTTAAATGTCAGTTTCCACGGACCGAACCCATTCACAGGCAGAGGGTAACTTACGAGTCTACTTCGCACTATAGGCGAGTGCCAGATGGCGTAGAGATACGAAACACCCGCCATGAACAAGTGGTGTGTGGCCAAGTAGGTGTAGTTGACGAGTCCAGCCAGGTGCAGCTGCCTGTACAGCCGAATGATTTTCTGGCCAGCTTCAGCCACCTTGACATACACCCTTTCCTCGTCGTCCTTATCCTCAGCCGGGTATAGAGAAGGGCTGTTGACTTCCTTCGAGGTATGGTATTCTCCTTCAAACATGGCCGGCACACTCAGACTCTGTCTATACAGCATAATGATGGCCTGCCAGTAGTTGAGTTCCAGAAACTCAATGGAGAATGCAACGCCGGATTGTGGCTTCTGCGGTGCCGAGTTCTTCCATTCGTATAGTCGCTTGTCGATGTCCATGCGCCACGACCTGAAGGTGTGAAACTGATTCAGGAAAGGCGATGGTAAATGCTTGTGCATATAGATGTTCTGCTGGTTCTGGCCGCCGACCCTCGCAATCTGTGCTTGCTGGTATTGCAACACCTGAAGGATTTCGGATTGCAGCAGGCGTAGCCGGAAGTAATGATGGGCCACAATCTTGTAGGTGGGCTCGCCAGCAGACGCGCGTTGCAGAAAACCGCTGTGGGTGATGTATTTGTCTTCCAACAAGGAAGGGAACTCCGTAGTAATGACCTGATCAGAAACACCAAACGGCCTGCCGACGCATGTGCTGACAAGCCTGTCGAACGAATAGGTGCACCACCAAAGCCGCCGTCGCATGTCCCTGATGTATTCACGCCTGCCCCTTTCTCTCGAATGGTGCTCATCGGAAAGGTTAGACGCGAATTCTTTTCCGTCTTCATAGTGAAGCCCCAGATCGACGGCAAGCCGAACTGCGACACCAACAATGTACCTGTTTATGTCAGCGTCGATTTCACGTTTTTCAGTTTACTGTTTTATTCACGTACCAGAGCCCCGGAGCAACGGGACGAAGCAAGGCAAAGTTGGAGAGCAAAAGAACGGCCTGGAGCTCTTCCAAGCCACCCCCGCTATTGCTGAGACAGGCCTCGAGATGGACAATGGCACTCGCGTGGTATTCCTCCGGTTGGGCCTGTCTTGACTTTGTCTCACCCTCGCCTGACTTGGATGACCCATCCATGATGATACCGCCCCCAATGGCAAATACCATATTTAGCATGTAGAGCTCCTTGGGCCCACGTATCCTCCCTTCGGAGGCATATGCCTGGTCGAACATTTGCATAAAGTCGCCACGATGTAGCACAGGTATCTGAGGGTTGGCATGTTCAAAGTACAAAGTTACCAGCTTCATGGCCAGCTCCTTGTGGGGGAACTCGGCCGGGCTGATAGTCGGGCGTGTGTGCAAGCCAAAAAAGGAATCCCGCATGGACGTGCCCGAGGCGGCTGCGCCGGTGCCGGCGATCGGCTTATAAGGGCGTACTCCGGCCCTGTCTGAATTGGAACGCTGGTCGCTGACCGACGACTGGACGGCTGCGAAGACAACTCGGGCAAAGGACACGCCGTTGGTCGATCCCAGGTATCGACCTCCAGGCGTACCACCATGCTTCACGGCCTTGCTCGGTCTGGGCTGCTCGCTGCTGCCGCCGCCGCCGTTATTCTGTGGCCGCGAAGCTCCCGTACGACCCGTCACCTCGGGCACGGCAGGTTGGCTGCTGCCCTCTGCGGGCGATTTACCGAGTCCTGTTTCTGCGCCTGGCCGTGAGCAGTACTCTAGGTCATCGGCAGGCGGAAAGTGGACGTTGCTAGCGCGCAGCAAGGCCTCGAGCTGCTCGACGCGCGTTTCGAGATAGAAGACATAGCTAGGAAGGATTCACGTCAGCCAACACGCCAACACCCATCCATCCACAGGAGCTAGCTCACCTGCGCGGGATCTCCCTCTTGGTGATCGGGTCGTAGCCCACACAAGCCACCCTCGCCTTGTCGCAGCTAGCGCAGCTCGGCAGCTTCTGGTCGCAACGATTCTTCCTCAACCGGCAGCGATTGCACGCGCTTACGTTGCGGAAGCTGCTACTCTGTCCCACCTTGTTCGACCCTAGTCCGCCGCCGGCGCCGTCGTGAGACAGCTCGGTCGCAGGGGAAGTTGCGTTCGGGGGCCCGGAGGCGGGCGAGTCGCGGTCGGGCGATGATTGCCGCGCCCGCTTGGACGTATGGGAATGGGCTGACGGCGGTGACGGCGGCGAATGTGGCGCCATGGTATGTGTGTATGGTAGTCAAACAAAAAAACGTCCCAACGTCCCAACGTTCGGCCCGAAGCTCTGTAGAGCTATATGTGATAAGGCGCCCTCCAAAAGTCAATTGCGCAAAAGCTGGGCGCACTATGACGAGGCTTTGCTCGGCTGGCACAGGGGCTGGCTTTCTCCAACAGCCGCCTCTCCTTTTACCCCATCGCCCTTCTTCTGGGCTATCTTTAATGTTATGATTTCTTTTGGGTGGTGTTTTTGCTCTTTCCCTCCTTTTTTTTTTCTTTTTTTTTTCTCTCGTTTATAAACTTCTTCTTTCCTCCTCGCAATCTGTTCGGGTGTCGTCGTCGGTCGCAAACTTGGAGCGGGCAAAGAGCATCACCGGCAATGAGTTGATGTTATAGTGCGGGGAAGAAGAAGTAGGAGAACAAGTAGACGTGGACGTGGACAAGACCGTAGAAGTCGAGATAGCTGTTCATCTAGATGAGGCGGGCAGACAAACACTCTCACACCGATAGGTGAAAAAGGCTGGCGGCTTAACGTGGTGAAGGTAATAGTAAGAACAACACCACGTACATGCAATGACTCTCGAAACAAACCAGGAGCCCTGGTCTTGTGCTTCTTGTACCAAGTCTCTGGGTCCGAAAATCGACAACTTGCAGAGATTGGGCACGCGTCTTTGCGAAAGCGATAGCACAAAAGCAACGCAATCCTATCGAGCAATGCTTCTTGATAAGCAAATGTTCGGGGTCCTGTTTTAAAATCGCCTAATGGCCCTCCACCCCACTACCCCACACCGCCATGGCAACTCTACGACGCATGTCGCCCAGCCCAATTGTGACGTTGGGAATTTGGGAATGGTGGGAAGAGTTGCCTTCGTCAAGTGCAGCGGTATATTCCGTACAAAGCTGCGTCGTATAGTCTTCATTCCTTACAATCGAGGCTAAACTGAAACACAGCAGACCAGGGATTCATTCCGCGCTCGTGGAAATATTTCTTTTCCCTGGTGAACACATCCGATGGTCAATTTGCTTGCTTGCTCGTTTACACTACTCGTGACTCATGAACCGGATTTGTTGTGAAGCCAACATAACGTATATCAAAGCTTCGCAGTGTAAATTACATTGGCATCTTGCTGCCTTGATAATCCTATCTAACCCTAATGGTCCCTTATAATATCCCCCATGGTATCTGCAATCGGAAATCCTTCAAACGAGAGTCGCCTCCCAGGAAATGCTTCCTATCATGTCCAACGCCTGATATCCTTTCTAATGTATGCATGTACGCCCTTCCCCGTCCAGTTTCCAAAATCATAGACACCTGTACACTTAACAATGTCTCTCCATCGCTCCCAAGATATTTCCGGCCGATTATAATCAGAAAACCCACAAAACACCTCAGGGCTACTACTGGCCCGCGCGCCTGGAAACGTGCAAAAATGAGAGCCGATTTCTCATGATGGTCCAGGTACTCCGATATGCGCCAGTCCACAAGACGGACAATGTGCTGGTGTCGATTCAAATTTCGCTGCTGCATGTCACCGCCGATGACTACGGCGCAGCTTCCTCGTCGTCTCGGGTCTTCTCGCTCATGGGACGAGGTTCTGGTATGCGAAGCACGACGGCCGCTCCGCCCATAGCCACCAGAGCACTGCACCACCAGGCGAGTCCTGAATAGCCAGAGTCGAGTCCTACGGCGAAGAGCATGCCCGAGATGGTCGGCCCAAAACCACGACACAGGCTTGCCGTGGACGCGGCGACTCCGTTGATGGTGCCCAGGGCATGCTGGCTGGGAGCCGAGTTCGCCGTGAGGATCGCGTTGCTGGGGTACGCCATATTGGCAAAGGTGCATTTCCAGATAAGCAAGAAGCAAACCCCGACCATTTGGAAGTTGTGCGGCAGAAGCACAACGTACGGCGTTACCAGGTAAAGTGCAAAGTAGGCCACCGCCAGGAACCGGAATAGGCGCAGTGGCCCAAAGCGCTTGATGACCATGGGAACCAGGAACATGTTAATAAGGAGCGAATAGATGCCCTGAGCACTCAGAATGATGCCGATGGTCTTGGTGTCGAGGCCGAAACCGTCCACGAATTTGAACGGCAGCGAGATGCCCCGGTGTTCACGGGAGTCGGTAGCGAGGAACACCGGAAATAGCTGGTCGAATACCATGGTGTGGCTGGTATCATGTTAGTGGCGGATGTCACAGCGCTTCGGTTTCGACTTACAAGGCAAGTATTCCAAACGCCATGATGTTGAGGACAACGGGTTTCGTGAAGATTCTGGGAGATTCGTCGGACGAAAACCTCGCGGCTTCATCCAAAGTCATGGATATACGTGGAGCGGCTTCCGGAGACTGATCCCTCGAGCGGTATCCCGGGAGTTGCTCGTCGGGACCGTGGGGGAGAAGTGGCTGCACCTCAGACATCTCGGCAAGGTCCCTTTTTCGGTCGAGGGGTTCCACGGGCTTTCCAAAAGAAGGCATCTTGGACAGGAGCCAGTTTCCAAGTTCTACTCCGCGGTCGCGGCAATGCTTTTTCTCGGAATGGGTCTCTTCGAGGAATAGTAGCCCGTTCACGACGCCCACCAAGACAACAAACGCGCTGAACAGGTTAGGCAGGAGGTACGGGTACGTCTCCCAAATTGTCCCAGGACGAAATACACTGGGGTAGCTGACGCAGGGCCTGGCGAGAGCTCCACCAATCATGGGTCCTACGATCGACCTGGCATCGAGTTAGTCACCAATACAGCCCACGAGAGAAGACACAACTCACCCGAGACACCATACCACGGGCATGATAGTGTAAGCTCGAGCTACCAGAAGTCAGTTCAAACACCTTTAAGCCACGGAACACACACAAGACGTACGTTGGTGTTCCTTAACAGTGACCAGTTCCGCGACGGTAGACTGAAGAACTCCCATGTTTCTACATAGCCTATTAGCCAAGATTCCGAGTTCGTAAGTGCGAGGAACTCGAACCCATTCAGTAAGCCGCCAACCGCACGTGCGGCGAGTGCCACCCAGAGGTTCTGAGCGAAGCCGAAGATCACAACACTGATGGCAGTGCCAATGAGACCGGTCAGCAACACCGGCTTGCGACCAATTTTGTCACTGAGGCGTCCCCATAGAAATCCCGTGGAGAACTCGGCGAATGTGAAGGCGGACGTGACCATGCCGGCGTAGAAGGATATCTTGTTCTCATCCTCAGTGATGTGAAAATCCTTGATCATGAAGTAGATGTATGGGAATATGCCCATGAATGCGATTGGCTCGCAGATTCGACATATTGCTGCCAAAGCGGGTTAGCTCACCCGCGAGTAACAGATTCCAAGCAGTCGTCGTTCCAACTGAGTGAAAACCGCCATCCCATTTGCGCACATACCTAGTACGAGCATCTGCCTTATCGGAAAGGGTGGTGCTGGTGACGCCATGCTCATTTCTATCGCCGGGCTCCTCGCTGTGGGCGAGCTTGTGGCTCTTCCGAATACATTCCTACTCATAATTGGGGTGCCAGAGGCTTTGGTGCTACCATGTATGGTGGCTGAATCGAGCGTAATGGCAACCTGGGCGCAGAAGCTGGTGGAGAACTGTCTGGGTCTTCCAAAAGTGGCGTGGTCCTTCGTTTGAGTTATGACGTTGAGACGTTGAGAAACTTTGGCGTTTAGGGTTGGTTGTGACGAGGAAGACTCAGCGACAGAGTTGAAGGACAGTGAAGTCAAAGTATATTAAGTGGCTTTGAGGAGAGGATACACTACGGGTCGCGTCTGAGGAAGGCTAGTGTCAATAAGTAGAAAGAAAGTGTCTCTAGAATGGCTTGCGAACAGAAGCAATATAAGCTCTTAAGTGGGACTATGTAGGGCAGGACTATCCAGATTCAGAGCGAGTCGCGGACATTAAATCATTTTAAGAATCGAAGCGGCGGTGACAGCAAGCGTGACTGTGGAACAGATGATCCTCCTACCGGTGCCCGATATACTTGGTACGGGGTACGCGGCGGTGGTATCTTTCTAAAGGCAAGGCATGGAGACCCGAGCGGCTGGTCGAGGATGGATATGCCATAGTCCTCAATGGTGGAGATGTATCCATGCTAATGGTACTTCACATGTACCAGGATGACCATGTCCGAGAGTCGATATTCGTTTGCCATAGCAATTCCGTGTCAGTCTCGGCACTCACCGGGAATGGGGCTCAGGTGGAAACATCATGTACTCCGGGCCGTACACGTACTATATTGCATGGGGCCCCCTGTGAGATGCTGTCGCCTTTTGCTCGCCCGGCACGTCGCTGCTGCTGCGAATAGACAGGGGTAGGGAGCAGTATGGCAGGTCGACAGGGGGATATGCAAGAGTCAAAAAGGCGGGTGAAGAGTCAAAGCGAACCTTGGGAGAAAAAAAAATATTGGCGGCAAGTGCCTTGCCCTATTGGGTATGGACGCTATGTCGAGCCTGAATTATAAATGACAATTTCCAAACGTGGATCACAGCGTCGCTGGGGATCTGATAGCCTGAAGTTTTGGAGCTTGGAGCGCACGCGCGAAGTCTTTCGTTGAGACGAGGCGGTGAGCGCAAGGAACGGTCGACGTTGGGATGGATGCAGTCATCCTCACCAGCGCACTTCTTCACTGGTCGCGGCTTGCGGCTTGCGGATTACGGTTTGCGGCCCAGTACCTGACTGAAGGATAATGACCCTTCGGCAGCTAAAGAAGGCATCATCGGAATGCCTTCAAAATTGAGTGAGTGCATATGGTTAGACGATGAAAAGGTACAGGGGCGGAAGAAGCGGAGACCCCGTTCCCAGAGTACGTACTTAGATTATATCATGGCAGGGAACCGATACACGGACGCCGATGAAGAAAAGTAAAGTAATATGGCAATCTTGCGTTTCCTCGTCTCCATTGTTTTCCTTCTGCCCATTTTTTGGGGGTTTTTTGGGGGGGTTTTGGAGCGATGGGCTTTGATCACCAATGACGCAGCGTTGTGCATATGTCGCGTTGTATCCCTGCAGGAGCTCGCTCGCATACTAGTACCGACGATAGCCCGCGCTTAGCCCATCCAGTCTCTCTCTCTCACAAGGCTCTGACCGATCAACGTCGTGTGGGCGAATCAGACTCGCAACCAGACATAGTTGTGCAACGGCCGTAGACTGTATGCAGCTCGCCATGGCTACTATCAAATCACTCCGTGAACTGACCGACACCAATAGTAAACGTGTCGCTCACACATTCCCCGAAACAGCCCGAACCAAGCACACTCCTCTTTTTTTCTCCAGAACGTTGAGGGAATCGAAGCCGATCATGGAAACAAGCGCGCTAGATTGCCAGGACAGGGCAGCCGGGATACCCACATAGGAATAGGGTAACCACGTTCACGCTCTCTTCCAAGGTTGGGACGCAATGGTATGACAGAAGACTGGGGATGTCGTAGAAGAACCCCGTCATGCCATCGGCCAATGGCGAAAGCTGCCGATACTATCAATTAGAGTCAGCCGGTGACAGCGGGCTAGAGGCAGAAGCTGCTGTCGTCTGCCCTATGGACAACTGCCCGTTGCTAAGCTGACCAATTGGATCTGGACTATGCTGTTCAATGTTACAGCTGAGAACTAGCTAGAGTCGTCTCGGCGGCTTGGTAACAGAGGCCCTGGCCCTGAGCACGGAGAGAATCCATGATCATGCATATTCAGATTACAGACAGGCCGGTCCCTGCAACCCATGTGGCATCGATGTATTGAGTCTGGCAGCCTTGTTTCGTCCTACATGACACTGGAGGGCTGAATGGATGATTCAGGGCGAGGAGAGCATCACGAGTGCCCCCACATCAGTCATTAGTGGACCAACTCGTTCACGTCGATCACGATAGATAATGCTGTAGCCCGAGATTCCTGCCCGAGTGAAGAAGCATGCTACAAAGCTTCATTGTTTATCATGTCGTCTCGTCGAAGCGCCCGCGACATCCGGATGTTGCCCGCGGCCTGCTGGCATTTTCCGCAACTTGGACGGATAGAGATCCGGTTAGTCACAATAAAAAGGGCAAGGCACGTTGATGGCAGTGGAGAGTGTGATGTAACAGGGGCAGTGATGCTCCAGCTAAGTGGGGACTTGCGACTTCTCATTGAGCTGTGACAGCTGGGCTGTTGTGGTCTCAGATTTTCTCCATGATCATACACCCTCCCGCTCTCCTAGCAGATTGAGTGAATATTAGTCATATAACTCTACTAAGTTGTCCGCGAAACCTTATGCTAAATGTCTCCTTCAAACACTGCATTCCGTCAAATATGACAGCCTTGGCGGTTCAACAAGAGGTGTAAGGTCGAACCTACCTCACGACCCACACCACCAGCAGGTCGACGGTCTGCCTCCCTTCTCCGACACCGCGTGGCGACGACTCTGGAGCACGCTGCGGATGAGAGAATCCCAATGCCATCTTTAGTAAAATTGCCACAATAGTAGACGCGCAAACTGATTAAACGCCGTTAAACGAGCTGGGAGCATCCTGACAACTTTGAGCACAGAGTTTCTGACCTGTCAGTGCCACAAGATTGGTGAGAGTCCGGAGAGCTTCCGCGCAACCTGGAAAAGTCTCCTATTCATGCTAGCAGACAACGCTCTCCACATTGGCTTTTGAAGTGCATCCGCAACAGCCCCCACCCAGCTTCTAAATGTACCCGCAAGTAGCTCTCCTGCGTTGTTTGCCCATGTGTTCCCTGATGATACTCCACCTCAGCATTGGAAGCAGTGGATTCGTTTCACGTTCCTGGGCCAGGTCTTTTTCCATCACTTGTTCTTTTCTTTTTATAATCCAGACCCTTACCAGCACGTGCATGCAGTATCAATCATATGATCTACCCCACAGATTACCATATTAGCTACGGTGAGAGCGGCCAAACTTTTCTGGAAATGAGATCGGTGCTCAGTATTGATTTCCTCATTAGATGTGTACTGATTAAACTTCCCATGAAGATACGATGCAACACGAAGTAATGAAGATTACTATACGCATGCATGAAAACGAACTGTCGCGATCCGCCTGGCTGGAGATTAGGTTCCGTTGACCGCGCATATGTATGTCGTGCAGCTCGACGGGCTTTTTCTACTCCCCCCCACCTTGTCCCCCAGCGGTGGTGCCATTTTAAGTCATTTGGACTGGTTCGCCCCGTCGCTCGACCGTAGTAGAAAGACAGCCTCGAGGCCCTTTTCCATACGTCGAAATATGGTGCTAATACGTGAGCATCGTGAGCTCTAACCTCACCAGCCTGCTCGAAGCGATCTCCTTGCGAGGACAAGTTCACCGCTTGTCCAGGTTCGGATTCTCCCCCACACCCTGCCCCGCTGTGATGGTTTTCTGGCACGTTGTCAGGGTCGGCAACAGGCGAACAAGGAAGCGAACCCCAGGATGATGATGCTGGCGCTAGCCATGGAACTTCTTTTTTCTTCCACGTCGCCTTCTAAAAGATCCTCATTTACAGAAAAGGGGCTCATTGGACAATATTGCTCTCTCGTATGATGTATCACAGCTGGGGTGCTTTACAGGCTAGCATTTGTTATTATTAACTGGCCCCACTAAGACGAATGCGGGTACCTGAGCTGAGACCATGACAGCCTTCTAGAAACCTTCGAAGAATATGAGACCATCAGCTTGATTGCGCGGATGTTTCGTCGAGCTTATCCGGAGACCCAGTGTTCCAGGGGAGCATTCCGACTGGATGGTTTGGATGCCCCGTTGAATCTCGTTTTCCCCTTTAGCGCTGTGCAGTCGCAGCACTGTCGGTTGCCGTCGTTCGTAGTCGGACAGAGGCGAAGAGGCAACAGAGTGTGGCCCAGCGAAGGCGCCGGGGCTTTGGGCTCCGACCCGGCCGGAATGTTGCAGCAAAGATACCCTCAGCCCCAGCTTTTCATGCCCGATGCATACCGGTTGACTGTGAAGGCTCTTTCAACGTTGAATCGCATTAATTGCCTCCTCATTAGCTGTCCTAATCTCCATAGCTGGCCTCCACATCAGCGCATGTGCTTCGTCGATTTGATTGCAGATTGCCGTGTATAGGAAGTGTAGTGTGACCGCCAGAGCTGGTTGGTTCCCTATCCGGGAAGCGGTGAAGAATTACGCATTATTATTCATATAAGCTTCAGGCAGGTAGGTATATTGGTTTGCTACCGACCGCTAGGAGAAGACTAGGGATGACTCTAGCTTCTGCTAATAACATGAAAGCTAACGATGGAATGTTGGAATGCACGGCGGCTGGGGTGTCAAGCCGGCTGACTTGCTAAGGGTTCGCCAAGGCAACTGGCTATATCGAGCTCTGCTCTTTGTTTATTTTTTTGGGCGGGAAGACGGGGATATGGCAGGGAAGAGCCCTTTCTTCAGCCGTGCTCCCAGGAAGCGGTCAGGCGAGGCAGTCAAGTGACCGCACAATACGAACCTGGGAAGTTGTGATGCCGAGCGGCGGGCGACAGGCGATGATGCTTGAGGGCGGGTTACCACATATTGGTTGGTTTTTCACGTGCTTT